CACTGCCGGCAGTGCCGTTGGGTGACGCTGCAGTCGTACTATTACCCGCAGGAGCAACGGTGCCGGCCGCAGTAGTTTGATTAGCAGCGCCTCCATCCGCACTACCCGCAGTCCCGCTTGGTGGGCCTGTGGCTGTACTGTTAGCCGGAGAAGCAACGGTGCTGGCCGCACCAGTTTGATTAGCAGCGCCTCCATCCGCACTGCCCGCAGTCCCGTTGGATGAAGCTGCAGCCGTACCATTCCCCGCAGGAGCAACGGTGCTGGCCGCACCAGTTTGATTAGCAGCGCCTCCATCCGCACTGCCCGCAGTCCCGTTGGATGAAGCTGCAGCCGTACCATTCCCCGCAGGAGCAACGGTGCTGGCCGCACCAGTTTGATTAGCAGCGCCTCCATCCGCACTGCCCGCAGTCCCGTTGGATGACGCTGCAGCCGTACCATTCCCCGCCGGAGCAACGGTGCCCGCCGCAGTAGTTGGATTAGCAGCGCCTCCCCCGGTACTACCCGCAGTCCCGTTTGGTGAAACTGCAACTGTACCATTAACCGCAGGAGCAACGGTGCCCGCCGCAGGAGTTTGATTAGCAGCGCCTCCATCCGCACTACCCGCAGTCCCGTTTGGTGAGCCTGTAGCTGTACTATTAGCCGGAGAAGCAACGGTCCTGGCCGCACCAGTTTGATTAGCAGCGCCTCCATCCGCACTGCCCGCAGTCCCGTTGGATGAAGCTGCAGCCGTACCATTCCCCGCCGGAGCAACGGTGCCCGCCGCAGTAGTTGGATTAGCAGCGCCTCCCCCGGTACTACCCGCAGTCCCGTTTGGTGAAACTGCAACTGTACCATTAACCGCAGGAGCAACGGTGCCCGCCGCAGGAGTTTGATTAGCAGCGCCTCCATCCGCACTACCCGCAGTCCCGTTTGGTGAGCCTGTAGCTGTACTATTAGCCGGAGAAGCAACGGTCCTGGCCGCACCAGTTTGATTAGCAGCGCCTCCATCCGCACTGCCCGCAGTCCCGTTGGATGAAGCTGCAGCCGTACCATTCCCCGCCGGAGCAACGGTGCCCGCCGCAGTAGTTGGATTAGCAGCGCCTCCCCCGATACTACCCGCAGTCCCGTTTGGTGAAACTGCAACTGTACCATTAACCGCAGGAGCAACGGTGACCGCCGCAGGAGTTTGATTAGCAGCGCCTCCATCCGCAGTGCCATTGGGTGAAGCTGCAGCGGTACCATTACCCGCAGGAGAAATGGTACCCGCAGCAGTAGTCTGATTTGCATCGCCTCCATCTGCACTGCCGCTAGTTGGGTTTGATGGAGCTGCAGTCGTGCCAATACCCGTAGAAAAAGGAGCAACGGTGCCCCCCGCAATAGTTTGATTAGCAGCGCCTCCAGCGGTAGCCCCGGTCGTGGCATTTGGTGTAACTGCCACCGTATTGTTGCCTGTAGAAACAGGAGGAGCCGCAGTAAATGCCGCTCCGCTTGCAGTGGTGTTGCCCACTGTACTTGCCGATGCGCTGGCTTTTGGTTGAGCTGATGACGGTGCTGCCGTTCCCGTGCCGTTGGGTGCGGGAATGGGTGATGCCACAGGACCTGCTCTGCTTCCATCTGGTGTCGCAGATGCCGCTGACGTACTAGTCTCTGTTCCGTTGACATCAGCCGAAAAAGCTGACGCCACATCTTTTGCAATAGAACTCGCCACTTCACTCTCAGCTTCTGCTTCCGCGTTTCGTTCTCGTGAAATCAGTGCGCTTTCAGCGAACACCGGATTGCTTTGCTCCGCAGGCTCAGCCAGGTAGTCATCAGGCTCTACGAGCAGCCCCTTTTCGTCGAGACTCAGATCTTCCGGACCCGGAATCACCGGTCCTGTGACCGACGAGCCGCTCGACTCTCTGCGGTGCGCGAGCTGCCGCCTCTTGATGGCATGGTTTGTCCTCTCTGCCACCTCGAGGAAACTCGAAGCAACCCGAAGCGGCACGCGCATCCCTTCGTCCTGCTCGTAGTCCACGTTATGGGCGTACTCATCCTCCTGTGGCAAGGAACCAAAACGCTCGAACTGCTCCTCCTCCAGTGGCAGCTGGGCCAGCGACACCTTGACTCGTTGTGCTGAAGAGTCCATGTTGAGGCCTCGTTCAACGGCTGTCCCTGCCTGCTCTGCGGTGAGCATTGATTTTCTTTCGCGACCTTGGCTCCTTCTTGAAACGCGTCCAGCGGTCTGAGGGGTTTGGTCTCGTCCTTTCAGTTGTTTGGAAATTGTTTTTCTTTCTACCTTCTCCGCGTCGACGTCTCCCCGCTCATCATTCGAATGTTGTAAAAAATCTGCAGTCCGCCCCGCAACACGACTAAGGAGTGAGGTAGCGTTACTCGTACCACCATCGGTCTGATTGGTCGCTGGTGCAGCACCTTCTCTGCTGCCGTGCACAATCGTATCAGCATTTTCATTTGTCGCGTTCGTCATGTTCGTCAGATTCCCTGGGAGGCCTAAGCGGTTCATAACTTGATCAAGCGCCCACCCATACAGACTTTCTAGTACGCTTGGCGAATCGGTTGCAGCTTCTTCATGACCGCTTCCAAAGTTGTCATCCTCCCAGCCACCTTCTCCCGTCACGTCCCTAGAATTTTCATCTCGCGGATCGATGACGCGCGATATATTTTGTTGTGCGTGGCGCGCCACTGAAGCGAGCCTGTTCCGTTGATACTTGCGTGCGTCACCATTCGAGTAACTACTTCTTCTTCTTGTTTCGAGCAGGTCGAGGTCCGAGTCCAATACGTTGTCCAACGACTCTGACGCATCATCGTCTTCGGGTGCATCGGAGCCATCACTGGACAGGCCATTGTCACTCTGAAGCGCAACATTGCCTGAGGTTGGGTCTGCAGTTGTAGGAGCTTCCACAACCGTGCTCGGCGGCTCTCCCCTTGTGGTACTCTCTTCTGCCTGGCTATCCCCTGGTGCAGTGGTGGCAGTTTCTGCCGGCGCCATCGTCGTGCTTTCTTCTCCGAATTCATCTCCTGGCGCAGTGCTGGCAGCTCCTTCCGGCGCCAAGGTGCTCTCTTCCGCCAACCAATCTCCGGGTACGGTGGTCGCAGATTCTTCCGGTGCCATCGCGCTCTCTTCTGCCAATCCATCTCCGGGTACGGTGGTGGTAGCTTCTTCCTCCAATCCTCCAGGGAGCGGCGAAGTCGGTGGCTCCGTCGAGCTGTCATCTTCCTCCGTGACGCTGTCGGCTGTGAACTCGTCGCCGCCAGTTCCCGCCGTTCCGCCAGTGTCGCCGGGTCCTTGTTCCAGCAGAATCGAACCATGTCCAGGCGGCCCCCGAGCCGTTAACATACTGGCTTCTACATTGCCATGGGCGCTGGAATCTCGCAAGTTTGGCACAAACAGTGAGAGGCGCGTCGTAGAAGAAGGAGCCCCTCCGGTGCAGTCTCGAGAGGAAGCACATCCCCCATGTCTCGAAGACATAGCTGAAGAGAACGCAGATCCACTGCTTCCGACGTTCGCCACCGCTCCGAATGTTCTAGTATCTTTCTCCGACCCTTTTTGACGCGCTGTCTTCCGCCTACTGCGTCGGTTTTCCTCACCGGACTCGACACTACGAAAAATCTCGAATAGCCGCTCATCTTCGTGTCTTCCCAAAACGCTACTTCTGCCGTGCCCAGGATGAGTCCTCTTCCCGCTGTCCCCGAAACCCTGTTCTTCGCGTTTGCCCCCCTCCGACTCGAGGTCATCTTCAGTGGCTTCTAGCAGATTTTGTTCCTTCGACATCGCATCTTGTTCTCTCTCCAAGTCGAACTCGCCTTCGTCAGCAATATATGCGGACTTGTCCATGTCCATGTTCAACGCGTCAAAAGACTGCATTTGCGACTGCAGAAACACCGGAACGGAGCGCGCGGAAACCACCGCATGCACGCGACGAGGCTTGATTCCCGCTCGTTGCCAGAACCCGCGAACGGGAGATGAGGCGTCTTGCATTTCCGATCGCACTGCAGAATAACACGCATTCTTCGCTGCTTTCGAAGCAGCCGCTAAGTCGATAGCCCGCCGCTCTTGCTTTTCTGTTGGAGATGACCTACCAGAAGGTTTCTTGGGGTGAAGTACTACATCTGCGGACACTCGAAATTGGACCTGGCGGGTTTCGGGGATGCACGAGATACCTGTCACTGAGGCTGCACGGATGCAAGCGGCGTTCGATCCTGACGTCTTAGCCGCGTCGTCTTGAGCCGCCGGAAAAGTGCCAAAGCCACTTTCATCTTTTCTGTCGACTAGTCCACTGGATGACGCCGAAGCTACACTAGGAGGATGCTTGAGAGTCTCTATTGTCTTCCGCCTGACTCCCTCAACAAGGTGGTGCGCCCATGTCTTATTGCGCTGGAACGCCGCTCGGCAACCAATGCCAGCTTCCGACCAGTCCACGTCCATGCGCAATTTCAGGTCGCTCTGAAACACGTCTGCCAAGGAAGACTCTTCACAACGGCTGCGACTATCCCCACTGAAAAACTCTGAGCGATATAAGCTTTCCTCCGCGACCGCTCCATTTGGTGACTCGTCCAATTGCGATTCTTGTACGATAGTTGTACTAGCTTGCTGTGGTCGTGTTACAGCTCCAGCAGAGGATGGAATGAGAAGCGGTGAGTCTAGACGCGGCGTTTCGATTCCCTCCCTTGCATTTGATGTCGCAACAGATTGCTCACTTTGCGGCCCCGAGCCGCATGCATCTATTTCTGAATGGGCCGCCGCGTTGCGCAAATCGACATCTCCCAGGAGTACGGCCGCTGAGAGAGCTCCTGCGTGTCTACTAAGCGAAATATCGTTTACCGCAGTGGCCTCTTTTTGACCCAGCGCATCACGAGCGCGTTGGCCTAGCGTACTCGTCAACCATCTCCAGTGTACGGGAAAGGACGCGTCTAGTGCAGCGAAATCCAAACCCGAAGTCGTTGCGGCAGTCACACACGCCTGCTGCGAAACGGTGCAGATTTGCTTCTCCGAAGTAGATTCATCATCTTCAGCTGTCCGTTCGCAAGAAATGACCGCACTGTTCTGCGCGCTTTCGGGGTACCCTGTAGAACCAGAAGGTGAGGTTAGCGACATCATCACGTCTCCATCGTGTACGCTCCTGCTCGACGCCAGACTCAATTTCATGGCACGCCGCAACAAAAGTGGAAGTTGCGAACGAATTTCTGATGCGTTCTCTGCTTTCGGCAAGGAAAATGATGCCTCCAGCCTCAAACCGTGGCGACCAAAGTGCGTTTCTCGCGTCTCCGGTTTTGCAAATGCAATCTGCCAAAGATTCTCTGAGTCCGATGCTATCCTCTCTAACCCATGTGTGAACCACGCCTCGATCTCCTGTCGTTGTATCGAGTTTTTTACTACATCCCCTGTTAAGTCTGCGTCTCGCAATGCCCCAGACGGGTGAGGATCTGCAAGTCCTTCTTCTGCTCGCGACTCCGATAGCCAAACTTCGAATCCAATGTCGGCTGAAGCGGGTTCATCCGTCTCGTCCCCAATAAGTGTGTGCGAACCTCCAAGCGTCTGCCTGTGCGAACCTCCAAGCGTCTGCCGTCGTGTCTCTATCGGTGAGAACATTTCCCTGTTGTGCTTTTTTCGTTGCAACTCCAATACCGGCTCATCATCTTGGTGAAACGCATTCATCGTATTGCTATGAACGCGAACATGCACTTGGCCAAGACACACGCCAAATGTAGCGGCAGCCTTCTCACGGAACTCCCTCCGAAGCTTGTCTGCACTTTTTCGATCCCACGATGATACGGGAAAATTAGCCATCGTCACTGTTGCAGCTCCTGCGAGAACAAAACCGGATGGCTGATCATTGTTGCTCTGCTGCGAAAGAAGTTCACAATCTTTTGCCACGTCCTCGAAAGCATGATCCCCCCTGCTGTTGATCTGCTCCGATTCGCGAGTCTCGCTCCCGACACGCACCCGACGCCGTGTCGATGCAACTTGTAACAGCGATAGCGGACGGCGCGCCAAGAAGCTGTTATTCTCAAGGAAGCTCGCACGCTCGCTGGCGTCAGTCCCAGAGCCTCCAGAAGAAGCGGCTGTTGAAAGCAGTGGACTGGTCCTAGAATCTCTGGCATGCCCATCCGCTCCTCCAGAAGAACAAGCTGCCTCGCACGCTGCTATCCCCTGAGGAATGAGCCCGACGTGAGAGCTACAGAGAGATCCACACATCTCGCAACGCGGATACTGCAGCTCTAACTGATGCCCGCAAAAAGATCCTGCAGCGCACTGCCCCAAAGCGTCGCACAGACCTTGACATATTATTTTGCGAAGGATAATATGCAAGTCACCGCGACAAGCCTATTTCGTTTAGTCATTTGTTGGTGGGTTTTATTTTCCGACTCATATACATTCATAATTATCGATGTACTTACTGGTAGCGCTCTGGATGCAATCACAAAGTTTTTACGTTGTCGCTTTTTCATCGCGCCAGCATTGGTGACGACTGCGCTCATCCCTGCGCTATCGAGAGCGCCCCCACTAGTCTGCATGAGCATGATCCCTTCCGGCACAGCATCCTGGAACGGATTTTCCCCTTCAGCTGGAGCTAGACAGAAGCGTTCGCACTGGTTCTCGCCCCACACTGACATCGCCGTTGTCACATCCTCTACCCCGCTTTGGGACATCATCGTTTGACACTGTCTCGGGATGAAGCTCTGGCACGCCTTGCAGAGTTTCAGTGACCGATCCCGACTTTGAAAGCAAAACTGCCCTGCTCCGCAGGAGCCATCTGCCCCACAATCTTGCCCAAGCGCTGAGTACTGTACTAGCGCGATTCCAGGTATGCCCTCCTGCAATTTCTGCGGATTCAAATGCGCTAGCTCGGCCCCCTTAATCTTGAACGACACGCGAGCTTTCCCTTGTCGGGATAAGTGCCGTTCTTTCACGAGCAGCTGCAGACCCTGAAAAAAGAGCATGAGTTCCAGTTGTCGCCATAGGAAATATTTACGTTGGTTTATGTTTCATCTCTCGCAGCTTTTATAACAACATCAACATGTCTAGGCTAGGGGGAGCAGCAGGAAGTAAGAATTTGTCTTACATAGGACAGCTTTACCTGGTCCTTGTAGGTGTGCTGCAAAAGGTCTTGCAGTTCTGCCATCAACTTGTTTTTGCGCCCGGCCTGTTCTATCGACGCTAGCCCCAATGAACTCTCGCCACTCGCATCCCTTGCTGGTGTGATGCTATTTCCCTGTTGTATTAACGATGTGCCCGAGCCACCGGACGCTGCGGCGCCACTAGCTGCACTTCTAGCCGCATCCTCCTCTGGCGTAGATTTGCGACAACTGTCTAGGGTAGGATCATACACGTATCCGCTAGCAGTCGTAAGAGACGCAATGTCGATTTGCTCGGGTGCAACTCCTATGGCCTGCGCGTAGGCCCGTTTGAAGTTGGTACGCACGCTGGGCGAACAGACGAAACCAAGCTGATCCGCGACATCTAAAGTGAGGTTTTGCATTGCGACCTTGGCGTTCGAGAGGTCTGCCAATTTGTGGCAGGTGAGCCGAACATTCTGCGGTGGTATGCCCTGCTCACTGACTAGAACGTTCCGCAAACGCTGGATCGCCACTTCGTTTCCACAAATGAGATGCGCACGCGAAGACAAATCGACATTGAGAACGACATCACCGTAGTAGTTCTGGAGCCGATTATCTGGAAACATCGTTTTGCAGATCGTTTGAAATCGCAAGTCTAAAGCGGCAGGAAAGCCGCCAGGCCCTCGGGGAGAAAAACCGACTCCCGCACCTCCAACCAGCTTGGACGCCACGTTGTGCAGAATGGTTGTCGCGTTCGTACCCACCGCCTTCGGCCCCACCTCACCCGGATTGAAAAGAAGCACACGCTTTTCTGCATCGTACAAACAGCCAGCTGGATAGCCTTCTGGGTCCGAAACAGTGCCTAGCTCCGCTACCCACCTGTCGAGCCCCAGCTTCCGTGCAGCACCATCGCACTCCTCCGCTGAAGTCACGATTTCTCTTATCGGACACTGCCAGCCAACGCCGCGATTGTAGTACACCATCATGTCGTCGTCGGTCGCCGCAGGATTTGCTGCCGGCTGAAGAAAATGCGATGATGATCACAAATGGCTCTGATCAGGATAACAAAAATATTCATTTGGCGATAAAGCCCACACCACAGGAAAATTTTCACAGAACATGCAGTGTTTTGTCTAAGTAATCTCTCTATTTAGCCCCAAGAAAGGCGATTTCTACCTGCATTGCCCCTTCTTGCACTAGTGCTCCGACCGAAGACATCGCACTATGCGACGTTTCCAAAAGTGCGGTTTGTGCACCAGGCAAGTGCGGGAGAACATGGTGTGGCCTAATGCCATCCCCGCCCACATGCAAGGTTGCGAGGTCGCCGAAATGGGGCGGTACCCACTGTGCACTCCCGAAATGTGAGGAGCCCTCGATCAGCCACGGCGACGCGCGGAGCATACTAAAAAAGAGTGTTTGCACCCCTCTTCTCCTCCCGCGACCATGCATCTTGTGGCGGTCAGTCGGCTTTCGGGCAGGTGCACCGGTCGACGGCATTTTTGTTTCCGATGATTCACGTGGCTCAGCTGCACAACATTGTTCACGAATTGTTATCTTCTCGTACGGAAGTGTGCTACTTCTCATTCCTATTCTGGCAGCGGGTCTTCGCCTGCTTTTGTTCATTCGGAAAGCCAATTGAGCATATGGCTGCCCTCCACGACTATACGCGTTCCGAAAAACATCATTCTTGTAGCGAACATGCTTCGACGATTTTTTAGCGCTTCGTCGCTCGCTCCGCCGCTGGCCATCATAGCATGGCGCTGCTGACTCGCATTGAGTATTTTTGAAATCGCATAGCCGTGGTTGTGATCTCGCTTGTACGACTGATTCTGTATCAAACCTTCGTCCGCCTGAGTTGCAAACGCTGTTCTCATCCGGGCTAACGAATGAGCTACTACTTGTACTGCGTTCGCACACCATCAATGCGCACTTCGCGTCCTTCGTAGGGAGATCATTCTCAATATTGTTTCGTGTTGAGCTGCAACGAATATCGAAAGCATGCCATGGCAACGCGCGTCGACCGGAACCCGGAGGTCGGAGCCTAAGAGTGACTCCGCCGCCTCCTGGTATTTCAGAAATCATCTCTCTGCGTCAGTGTTTTCCGCGACCATTTTTCTGTCACGAAGAAAGTCTTCTTATCTTCTTGACAACGCGAACAATAAAACTCAGAATAGGAAGTACTTGGTACTTCTGGCCCTACTCAACGACTAAAATAAAATTGAAACTACTACTACAAATCTAGCAGATTCTGTCAATATTAAAGAGCTAAATTAAAAAACAACAACGACCCCCCCAAACTCTCAAGCCTTCACTTCACTTCCGAGCCCAAAGCCCTCCCACTTCTGCCTCATGAACTTCCCGAACTTTCCAAACTTTCCAAACTTCCCAAGCCTTCCAAGCTTTCCCAACTCTCCCAACTTTCCAGGCCTTCCAAGCTTCCCAACCTTTCCAAGCTTTCCGAACTTTCTGAATTTTCCAAGCTTTCCGACTTTTCCGAGCTTTCCAACCTTTCCGAACTTTTCCAACTTTCCGAATTTTCCACAATTTCCAACTTTTCCAAACTTTCCCACTCTCCAAACCTTCCCTACTTCCCCAACTTCCCGAAATTTCCGAGCTTTCCAAACTTTCCGAAGTTATGAGCTTACGAACTTGCGACTATGAACTTATGAACTTACGCATCCCGCCCCACCCGGTCGGCGAGCTCCCACCATCATCACAGTCGCCACTTATGATGGGCTTATGAACTTACAAACTTACAAATTTGCGAGGCTTGGGAATTGGTCAGCCCTGACCCCACGCAGATGGGCGCGAAAGTTAAAACCTAACCGACAAAGCCAAAACTTTTACAATTTGAACCAAGTCAAAAAACTGAAGAAAGGCCTGGGAATTTGTTCACCCTGACTCCGCGCAGATGGGCGCGAAGTTTAAAATCTACGCAATATAGTCAAAATTTTTACGTTTTGAATTTAAAAAATTGAAAAAAGGCCCGGGAATTGGTTAGCTTTAACCCCTAAAGTGTCAAGCTGAAAGCTCACACCTGAAAGCGCAGAGCTGAAGGCCCAAAGCCGAAAGCGCAAAGCTGAAGGCTCAAAGCTGAAAGCTCAAGGGCTGAAAACTCAAAGTCCAAAACTCGCCATTGACAATGCAAAATTCAAAACCTAAAGCTGAAGGCCCACGCCTGAAAGCTCAAGGCTGAAAGCTCAAGGCTGAAAGCTCAAAACCGAAGGCGCGAAGCTGAAGGCCCCAGGGTAAAGGCCCAAGGCTGAACGCTTAAGATGAAAGGCCGCGCCTCAGTGTCTCAAAGTTTCAAGCTTGAGACTGGAAGCCCAAAGTTTTTGGCTTTATCCAATAAGTACGAAATTCGAAGAATTCCCATCTAAAGTTTTTCGCATTCACTGTATCACAAGAAGAGGAATCTCGACAAGTTGCAAACTCAGGCGCTGCAACTTGCACGCAAAGAAGGCCAAACCTAGCAAAAGAAGAGCACACCGACAGGCCAGCGGCTGCAGTGTGTGCCTTTTTAATCAATGGCCGCACGCCGTCCCCCGCCCGGCTCTTGTTCTAACGATCAACGCCGCCAGACGGTTGGCGGGCGGGGGAGGAGCCGGGGAAGCAGAATCTGGCCGGGGTTGAGGAAGTGCGTGCCGGGGGTGGATGATCCTAGTGGGAGGAGTGCTGCCAGGCGCTCAAGTCTAGTAGCAAGCTCATGCTCACGCCCTTTGCTTCTCACATAGCATTTTGATTTTAACCTACCTGTATCGCTGAAGCATCACACTCATAAATTTCAATTTCAATTTCGAAGTCTTCGGCCAAAGGCCCAGCGCACCAGCGAAGATCTTCGGTCTCCTATCATTGCTTCCGTCTAGAAGGACAGAAATAAAGCTTTTTTCCAACATGTGGGCATTTCAACAGTACTTTGAGATGGAAGCTTGTTGTAGCTCTCCTTTTCCGCATACGCATGGCTAGAAATTTCATGTACGGATAAGAGTGCCTGTTCCAATCGATTAGCAACCATCGCTCCCCGCGTTTTTCTGTTGGCTTTCTCACGTCGTTCTCGCTCTAGTACCGTTCCACTCATCTAATTGTTATAGCAGACATACAGACTCCATACAAACCTCCATTAAGCAGGAGGCAACTCACGACACACTGGACTTATCAATATCACCTTCGGGGAGAAAGTCCTATTGCACATTCGGTTTTTTTCTTTCATGCTCGACCAACTCTGACGTGGCGTGCTTAAAGTCAAAAACCACGACTTCCGGTTCAGGAGCTTGCTTGTTCGTTGCATGAGCGTACAAATCGAGCACTCAACAATGCCAAACTATTGAGCTGAATAACGGGTCGCCCAGCTTGAAATGACTGCTCTTCCAAGTATAGGAATCAGATACAACTATTGTCGGAAGATAGATAATTGGAAAAAACTACATTGTGCTGGTAGTTACAAAAAAATTTCAAGTAAAAGAAATAGCTACCTCCTTGCGAGCCGTTGTAACGACTCACTCGTAAAGGGCCGAGAAGTAGGCGGCAAATATGACAAATGAACGTGTTTGTGAAAAATATGGAAAACACTAATCAGGCTTCTCGGAAATCCAACTTTTGCCTGGTCAACAAGTGTTGTGACGACTTGTCTCTCTCCTTTGTCTCCGAAGTGAAGTGCAAAGTCCACGACAACTGGCATAGGACAAGCGCGAGACGCTGCAGTTTTCTTGTGGCTTCATCTTCTTCCTAGAACTACAACTAGAACAAATGATAGAAAAACCTTGCGTAGGATAATGCAGAGGTACTTATCGGAATTTTCGCGTCAGAGCAGGACCAGGATTGGTCCAAGACTTGCAAGGGACAAAGCGGAACTCCCACAACCATGCCTCCAATTTCATTTTTCTACTCACTGCTCGGTGGTTCATTTCTTAGATATCGATGAGTTTCATTTCGCGGCAGAGACCAAAGGCACATTTTTCCAGGCATCACCTTGGCACATCATCTTGATGTTGGCGCCACCTTCGTCCCACAGATCCTCGAACGGAACGGACTCGAAATCGGACCGTAGACGGATGGGATCCGAGCCCTTGATATGATACTCGCGAGACCGAAGATTGGGGCCTTCGGAATACTCGCGCAAACGATAAACCATTCTCCCTTCTATAAAGCGGCCCATAAACGCTGCCCAATCTGAGATGATTGTGACAAAGGGTATGTACTTAGTTGAGCACTCATGGTCGCAGTACTGAATTCATTAAAGATATATGATCCAGGGCTTGGGGCTGCCGGCGCCCCCCCCCTAGCGCAGGAGGGGCCACCGGCAGCCCCGGGCCCCTTTTGGAGGCGTCTGCCGGGGGTGGAAGGCCTCAAAAGGGGGTCAAGTGGCTCCCTTCGCTCCCTTCCAGGCGCTTGGCTCTCCCCTAGAGGCCTCCGACGTAAGTAGGCGGAAGGCCTCGGAATGCGGCAAAAGCCGCGGGGCTGGACCCCCTGAGCCGTGCAGCTTGTTCCCTCCGGGCCCTTGGTCATTGGCTTGCTTGCTCTTGCGACCGTGGCCGCCCTCGCTGAGAGGCCCAAGGGGAGGCCCGCGCCAATTTTGGACGCCTTCCCCACTAGATTCCGCGCGGAAAAGCGCGCGCGCGCGCCAACACAGACAAGACCACAGGGGGGGTACCGTCCAGCCCTAAATCATATATAACATTATCAAAGCATCCTGATCAAGCCGATTTGATGCTTGACTCAATGCATCTAAATTCTTACTTATCATCCTCTATGGCGGTTGTCTCTTAAACGTAAGACCTCATCTCTCAAAATAGAAAGAGTTTGAATCTAAAATCAAATCTTTATGAAAGTAAAAACTATAACTTACTTTCTTGCCAGATGAGTGAAATGTAACCACGCGAAAAGTCCATCGTGGTTCCAGAGCTGTCCATTCCTGCAGAGGGCCGCGATGCGGAAGCGCGCCCCCCCGGAGTCCGGGGCGGCGACGCGGTTGATGCTGATTGACTGGAACTGGGCGATGCATCGCTCGCCTGCGAGGACGCCTTCTGCGGCGTAAGATTGTCCGGCACAGCCGCGGTGTGAACACCCACCACTATGTCTTTTCTCGGTACCAGTGCACTTCCTGGCGTAGCGGGTGTCCCTGTTGCTAACACGGGTTGCCCAGGTCGCGCGGACAGCGCACTGCGCGCACTGAAAGCAGAGGCTGCACTGTACTCCGGCGTTCGCAAGCCAGGGGCATTGCCGTCATCCAGCGCAATGCGGACAGCAAGCGGTGACAATACCTGAAGTTTTGGCGACTCAGCATCCAACGTCTGGGGATTCCACTCTGAGGCGACGGAAAAGCCATGCACCCGCTCGACTTCGGAGTCGCGACCTTGATCTGTCATCGTGGCGGTTGTTGCCCTAGCAGCACCAGATTCCTTGCTAGAAGAAAGCCGCCCAGCATCATCGCCTCGATTTTCGTCATCCTCTTCATCAATCGCACCAAGCGCCTCCGACACGAATGTAGGTTTTACTTTTTTCATTGGAGCCGCCAAATTGGCAAGAAATGTGTAAGCAGTTTTAATATGATCATTGCATCTTAATCTCAGCAGGCTTTCAATAAATTATTTATCCATTTCTGTCACGGGGCATCTTTGTCAATGTCATGGGTAGTAGCAGAACTACAATTCCAACCCAGCAGATGGCTGTATCTAGCACCTGATAAGTGCATTTTTCCTATCGGTCTCTTTGGTACAAGAACAACTCTTAACTCGACATATGCTCGCGGGATTACTGACCCGTCTTTGCGATACACCATTTCTATTCCGAACCGGAACTGCCCGTCACCAGATACCTTGTTTTTCAGGAAGTAGTCCGCTATCTGCTCGTATCCACCCTTCACCTGACCGCCGCAAGCGTTTTTGGCTTTCCCTGATGTGTGCTTCTGCATGAATTCAAGATCCATGTCGCAGTAAATTTTGCCAGACTTCCCACCATCATACTTTGGCTTTATCCACCAGAAGTCGATCGACCCTGGTACAAGGATGAAAAGATTATCTTTATCTACTGACGACGACAAGCTGCCTTTTTTAGATATTGACACAAGATTCTGTGAAAAAGATTCCTATTGCATGCCAACTACAAACAAGTGGTCGATTACCAGACTGCGTTGCGCTTTTCCGTTTCTTGCTTATCCGTGGGAGCATGCCGCCCGATGTACTTGGCATTTTGTAGACAAAAAGTATGGCTTGCATGGATCGCGTTATTGAACTTGGGCAGGCGCCGGCGAAAACAAAGAGCGGAAACTGTCCTGCCGCACATCCTTTCGTCAATTCATCCGCGTCCACACCAAGCGGATCCGCTGACAGCGCGTTCAGCAATGATTGTAGCCAAACATAATCCGTCAACTTGTTCGGGTTCCCATCCGCTAATCGTTTTTCCTTAGAAATTGCGCAAAACATTAACATGATGATAGCTTTTTCGCGCTATTACCCCCTGCTTCTCGCTTTTGCCAAAACCGTGGCTTTCTTCTAACAAGGAAGTCGATGATCTATGTTGATGTTCAGAAAGAACACAAAGATTAGCAGAAGGGTACCTGCATTATGTGCCAGTTCCGATCGCGTTCGTCAAGGTCTTCTTTCGACATTTTTTTCCGCATGAATTTACCCCGACCCAAAACGGTGTTCAGAGCGGTCCGGAAAACCTTCTGGCGACCTCTTCGTTTTTTCCTTTTCGGATCAGGTCCCATGCCAAAATCTTCCTCTACTTTCCGGTCCCTAAAATTGCTCAATCTCCTGGCCAAGTAATTCGTCGCCGCGGCCATGAGGCTCTTCCGCCGCCGATTGGGCGAATCCTTGCCGTCGGAACCAGCAGAGTAGAACGTCTCATTTTCGCTTTCGGCTCTGCCGCTCCCACCGCTGGCATCCTTGTACGACGGGTGAGAGAACTACAACATGGTGAGCGTGACAAGAGAGGCAGGTCATGAAAGTCTAGCTCCATGGACGATATCTGATCCTGATGGTCAAACCTCAGTAACTAAGTGACTTATGACCAACGAACTGTAATACGACAAATAGAAAGATGTTTGCAACTTCAAGTAATCATAATCAAAAACGGACTGTGTAAGCTATGGTCGTCGTGCTCGTTATATTGCCTTCAAACTGCTTGTTACACCTACATAGATCAATATCGAAGGTATTGGTACATTTATTCCAGCAGTGGCGCCGTCGCGACTGTTGCGGCGTGGTGGAGTAACACTTATTGTCGGCGGCTCTGTATTCTCTGGGGGAGCGTTACTCGCGCTGCTTCCTCCACAACAACAGCTCATTCCGCACAATCTCTTCAAGAAAACAAATACCAGAAAAAGATGACTTTGATGCCAAATAGATTCACATCACCACTGGAAAAAGGGGACACAAAGATGGCCCAAAGGGGAAAGCGAATGGCCTGGTCTTAGGGGTAAGACCTCATACAATCGAAGACTAAGATTAAGAACCAAAAATCACACTGAAACTTTAGATTTAGTGGTATCTATATATAATTCAAGTCTTGCTTTACAAGGCCCGCCTCCTCGCCCACGTCTACGTAGTCGTAGTATTTATCAATACGCATGGCAATTTCGATTTCCTTCTTGTTAAAAAAATCAAAATCTCCTACCAAGACAAAGTAGAATGCCTAGTGTTGGTCTTTTAACGTGTCTTTCAATTTTCGTCCTCTGACATTTTCCAGTGTAAAATGTCCATAATATTCTTTTTGTGCTTCTAGCGTTCAAGCTGTGTCTCCAGCTGCAATTTCCTAACATGATCATTGCCACAGTTGTTACACTCAGGTACTATGGGTCTGCGGGATCTCAATAATACTGTCGTGGAATCTTTCTGCAGAGACGGGAGCTTCTTTTGGGCGATGTATAGTTTTCTGTACTTGCTTCACAGATGTCAAATATGTGACCGATGATAACCCAGTCCTCTCCGCCGCTCCTTCTGTTCTCTCCTTTGTGAAAAGTCGCGAAACCCTCTTGGCCACAAACTCTTTTGCGACTCGGATTTGCGGATGCGACAGTACGCGTACCGGAAACCATGGCATGCCTTGCTGTGAGAATGAACTTTGCATGCACACCGAAGCGGTGTGGCAGGCTACGCCCTAGCCCTTTGCTGCTTCCATCCAGCACTACTTTTTCATTTTCACATAGGAATTCCATTACAAATTACAAGTTTTTCGGGTTTGTTCGATGCACCCACGTGGGTAGGCGCAGAGAAAGCAAGCATTTCACAGACGCGAAGATAAAGAATTGGGATTACAACAATGATATTAAGCACCTCGTTTTGAGTTGGACTTACACAGGCTTGGAGCCCGACAAGGATAACTGTGCAATACAACATCTACGATATTCTTCATATCCAAATCGATAATCCATCTCCAAATCGATAAACCCTCTGATTTGCATTTGTGGCTCATAACTTACTGCTCAAAGTAAGAATAGCATAAGTACATTAGGGGTGCAGGCCGGAATATATTTGAGACACATTACTTCCGATGTGTTACTGAGTAAGCCTCGAGGTTGCGCCTGAGCGATGCCTAGCTCTATGCGTGCCGACGCATAATCAATGCCAGAGCATGATTATGCGAACAACGGAGAAAATTGAAGTCCGGACAGCCCTCGCTCAATCGTTTTGGACAGGCCTCCTGAGCAAAACTCGGACGACATCGATAAGAAGCAAGGAATCACCAGGATAAAGAAACGAAAAATAAGCGATTAATGTTGGATTTGGATTTAGACCACGATCTTCTTTTACTTCTGATTCGATCTCTCAAGTTCTTAATTTCTAGCTTCTTGTGATTTTCCACGATGTAGTTACTTACTCAAGACCCGACATACTTGCATAACTACATAGCTCGCTGTTGACTAGGCACTGTGCCAATGAAGGTGTAGGGATGTACAGAAAGGGGCTTTGTTGTTTGCGGTGCTGGTTCCCACACCCCTATAATGCCTGCCGTCGCTAACGCTATTGTGGAATTCTACTTATATAATCGAGATTTATTTGGGAACAACAAGGTGTATGACAATCCTGATGGTACATTAAGGGATATGGTTGCCAAATATATTAGATGAGTCTACCAATAGGACTCCTGTGGCTACTATTCATTGGACTCGTTTGTTTGTACATATGTGAAGCTTAGTCGATTTTGGCTATCATGCAAGAAATTTTCTTTTAATAACAATTATGTTTGTAGGTCTACGTTTCATCTTCTATTTTGAATTTGATTATGTCGAACGAACAAGTTTGGTAAGATGTAAGGACAAGTGATCACAGTAGTGCGGCAAATAGATAGCATATGTATCACTTAATAGATAAATTTTTTAATCAGGAAAGAATATCATGGACGTTTGAGATAGAACAATTTACTTTGTAAGGGTATACTATGGCATTATTCAAGAGTTGCAAAACATGATGCATTTACTACCTACGAAAATGATCTTGATTGAAGCGGAGGACGACTCGTATGAATGACTTTATTATGCGTGTATACTCCGTGAGGTTAGTTATGTTGTTTAGATGCGAAATAGGGCGGAAAGCTCTAGCTCAAGATGGGTCTCTTCAATGTGTTGCATATGTTGCTTTCATCTGTGCACGTTGATTATCTTCGATCTAATCTTATTTTCAATTCTATCTTGTGAAGGTACATGGTCATTGCGTCCTTTTCACTGGTGCAAGACTGAGGAATTCAGATAAGTACTTCAATTCGATTGATTTGATCTATTTTCGACCTCGTCGACAGATCATGATCCCCCAAAGACGGTAAGTACAACAATGTTTTTGCCAGTCAGAGGTCAAAGATTAAACATAGAGCCGACGCCGACAAAAACTGTATCTACATGTTCAATAAAATCAGCCGTAGCAGCTCAGGATCCAATAGAACGAATAACTTCTCATATCATAATTCTTCCCAGTCAATGATAAAATGGCCAAAATAATCTCAATTTAGCTTTACTTAACACGAACATTGGGTTGTTGTGAGAGCTGTAGGAATAGTGTCAACAGCCCTCGTAGCTTGTTGACACAATTACTTCTAAAACCTTAGTTGTCGTTTTATCTCTAGACCCTTTCTGACATCACCAAAATGATGTCGCGTCTGCCAGGCGAGACGCCAAGCGGCGTACGAGGGGAACGCGGCGACGTCTCGTCCCCGCTGTACTGCTGAGCTCGCGCCTTGAGGTACACATAGCAGAAATCAGCGACCAGAATCAGGTTGAAGAATTCAGTGCCCAAGGAAACGATGTAGTTGCGCGGTGTCCAACCCTTGACGAGCGGAAACATAATCCAGAAGGTCAACGTGCAGATTCGTGCTGCAACCTCGAAAATTTAGTGGTTTTTATAGAGAAATGATATAGAAGAAAAACTCGAAGTCAAGAACCAAATTAAATGGCATAGCGTCATTCGTTGATCAGCATCATAAAAATAATTTAACGAGAAGCTACAAAAACTTTAATCCTCTGCGTACCTGAAGAATTACGAAATCACCGAGGAGAACAGGCACTTTTCTGCGTTTCTGCACGATGTAGACTTGAGGCAAAATCGTCAGGAGCTGGTGTTTTGTTTGTGAATCATGAAAAGAGGAGGACGCTATTGTTTTTCACCTGCTTCTATGACGTAGTCATATTACTATTACTTCATTTTGATGTTCTAGAGGTAAATTGACACGAAATAAAACGATTATTTTGATTGGTAATGAACAAAGTACGTTAACGCATTCACTGGTTCCGAGGCCGATAGCGAGAACAAGCATTTTGAACTGGATGTAGAGAGTTGGGGTGTTGTTTGGCGGCCACATAGCCAAGCCGGAGGATCGGAAGAACAAGAGTCGCATGACACTCCAAACCAGAGAAACACCGACGCAGACAGCCAGGAAGCCTCCTTGTTGTACAAAGCGGTGCTGCTTCCACCGCTTCGGCACAAACGGTTCCACCAATATCGCGCCCAGCCGATCATGCTTGAAATCAGTCCTGTGAAGGTGACGTAAGGACAAGATGGCATTTCATTTGAGTCCCACGTTGATCTTGATATTCGTCATTACCCAGCATGATGAGATCAAGGATGCAACTGAAAATTACAGAAGTACCCTATCTAACATTGAATTGTAAATGGTAAGAATACGTTTTTCCCCTTTTAAAGAGCGCAGCAGCAGATGCGATGGCGAGCACAACGGCCACGAAATCGACGACGACCAGCAGAAAGTACGGAATCGTCGTCGGACGGTAGTGCATTTTGTATGTGTGCGAAAGTGCGTGTCCCGTACGAATCACCGCGAAGGCCAAGAAGGTTTGCAGCGACACGCCTCGGCAGCCAAACTGCCAGACACAACTGTAAAAGCTGCAGAACGCGATAGCCGAGAAGATGTCCGAGGCGAAGATGAGGCAGTCTTGAAGGAGGCGCGCCCAGTAACTCTTGGTCTCCAGGATTTTCAGGACGTCCGGACGATACATCCACGGCGCCCACACGCCTTTTGCTTGCTCCCGATGCCAGATTTCCGGAGTCATGTTCGCCGCACCGGTGAAGACGAATGGCTTCTCTTTGGCTGACGACGCACCCTCTGCCTCCAAGAAAGAGAAGGAGGTTGCGGACGCCAGCATCGCCTGTGCCGTGAGTTCATCGCCATCCTCGGTTTGAAACTTTTGCGGCGGCACCTCCAGAAACTCGGCCCCGTGGCCCGGCAGACGAGCGTCTTGATGCATCTCATAGTTGTCGCCGAACTCCTCCATTCCTGTGCGCAGCAATTCCGAGACAGCATTTGCGTGGCTCGACACGAAGTCACGCAGAGCGCGCCCGCTGACCGTCGCAAAAGCGCGAAAGCGGCCCATCTGTTGCGTCGCCAAAATATCGTCGAAATCGTGGGTCTCATCGTGCGCGCTCAAGCTCCACAATGCGGGCATCTCGTGCTCCGGCTCCACCGGTGGCGCCAGCTTCGTGAATGATGAGGCAGTGCCCTGCTGCATCTGCAGCAGCGCCGACATTGTCTCATTCGTGAATCCGTCGGTGCTCATCTCATCAGTTTCTTGCTGCAGAAAGCTCTCGTCCGCGCGCTGCCAAGCACGACTGCGCGCTTTCTCCGCGTCCATTGCCGCAGTGCTGGCTCTGAACATCTTCGCCGGTGAGAGCCAGGAGAGCCAGCCCTTACGGACTACGAGTTCGAGCTCCAGTAACGCAATGGAAGCAAAAACGCCAATGAGCATGCGTACTGCGAGGCCGGACGCAATGCACCAATCGCTCACGTCGTCTGTTGAATTGACCGGTGTGCGCTTCTCGGGAGAGGACAACTCCATGTCCGAGTCCAGACGCTTTCGCTGATGAGTGCAGCCCAGCAACTCATCTCGTTGCGCGACCTCGTAGCTTTTCACATCGGACGCCGGTGACGGAAGATTCGTCATATTCGGTTTTGCCGGTGCGAGATTGAGGTCCGTCAGCTCGACATCACCCACCATATTGCTTGCGGAGCTCTTCTTGCCTTCGACACCGCCTTGCTCGAGTCGAGTCGCCGCTTGTTTCGTGGTCGGAGTTACAATCAGCGTGCGCCGAAGTGTGCGGTTATTCTGTGGAGTACACACCATACGTCTCGTCACGCGAAACTGTTGGAAAACGCTGAAACTGTTGTGTGTCGACGACTATCGTCCTCGCTACACTAGATTTGCGCCTTCTTTGTATGTAGTTTCTAGCGATTACCCCCTGTACTAGAGACAAAATGATGCTAGGCCGGTTTCCGTTGGGCCCTCGGCAGAAGGATACCAGTACCGCTGGTATGTACCGAGAACCGAAGTTGTACTATTTGTAGTCACTCCTCGTCTCCCTTGTGCACCTCACCGCCTGGTATAATGGATTGCCTTCCAGCTCTTCCAACAATAACGAAAAGGAAAACAATGGAGAATCAATTGTAATAATTGGTCTTAATCAACCACGTTGCTATCGACGTAGATCTAGATCGAACTGAAGCAGATATGTCTTTTCAACCTTATGAGACACAAATAGACCTGCTTATTTAGTCCATGTCCAACAAGACAGAATTTAAAATATGAAAGAAAGATTCAAGAAGAAAATGGGAAGGGTATGTACCTTTCAACTCTCTTCCTGTATCATGTTTGTGGGATGGAGATGCTTCGGATTGGTCGAGATTGTATTCTTGTCCAATTTTCGTAGACATCGATCGAATGATGGATTTGAGGCGAAGTCAAGAGCTCAATCAACTTCAATAAAGAAATATGGCGATGAGAATAGTGCGTCAAAATACGTCATGTCAAAACATCCTTGTAATTTAAAACCCATAATATAACGAGGTTCAGAAACACCCTAGTAGATGTCTGTGAAAAGGGGCACTTCCGTAGAGTTCGAGATCCGTTCGATTCTGTTCAGAAACAGGCCTTCTATGCACGTCACGACTCGATCTCACACTTCGGACCGATACGGTTTTGACAGAAAAACGAACGACTACGATGCATGGTTGATCCAGATCTTGACACAAATCGAGACAGAAAGTGATACCAGCACCTATGCCTGGTTCTGTGCTACTCGACTCGTTTCAACTCTTTCTCTCTTCTACTCGTTCGTACGATCAATGAACACAAATGCGACAGCGCAAGCTCTTCGACTAGATACTACAACAATATTACTGAATCGTATTATATTAAGAACTCCGGTGTGCCTTCGGATCGATCTGGCGCTGCTTGCCTTGTGAAGATCAGAGAACGAAATGCAGTACAGGCTGTGTACCGATGGCATGCTTATCGTGGGCGACGCGACGCCGAGGACAGACTCCAGAAACGAGTCGAAGAGCCCAGAAGGTCTTCGAATGTTATGCCGTCGTGGGCCATTTCACATCAAGACACACGCTGCGGAACCCGATGCACTACCACCGACCATTGGCACCTCCGCCTGCGCAGGGCGCGCGCCAACCGCACTGCGTCCCGCATAGGGCTCCTGTTGGACTCCGCGTCGATTGGCACTAGAGTCTCCCGCGACGCCGCCTCTCGTTCTTCCAGGAGACTGGTTTTCACGGTGAGATATCGCTCCTCCGGCTGCGGCACTTCTAGAAACTCTTCCAGCACCAGTTCCACGTGCCGCAGTTCCACTATTGCTTGTTCTGCCTCCGCCCGTCACACTGCCGCCCTCCGCAAGTCCGCCTGGGGGTGTAGTCGTTGTTACACTTGGACCTCCCGAGCTAGGGACGGCGCGGACTGCCTCTCTGCCGGACGGGAAAGCAGCACTGAAAACGGTGCTCAAAAGACCGCGGGGTCGACGTCGTCCTGGAGTGTTTGGCGGAAAGCGTTGCAGCCATTCCTTCGTTCGAGAAAGCTCCGCTTCTTTGCGGTCTAGCTCGTCCAAGTCACGACGGGCATTCTCAGGATGGTTCTTCAGAAACGTGTCAATGATACCCAACAGTGGGCAGTTCGGTTGCCTATGGGTCACCTCGGCTCTGCAAAGCGGACAAACCTCCTTCGGGCAGGAGATGGACCGCGCCATGACGACGGAAGTATGCACCCACTCGATGTAGCACGCCTTGCAATAATTGTGCAGGCAGGGGACCAGACAAACCGGCTTGTGCAAAACGTCCGCACAGATTCCGCAAGATATGTCTTGGAGCAGCTCATCACGGAGTTTGAGACGAGTCGACTTCTCTTCCATATTTTCGGGTTTTCTTATCATCGCTCCTTGTTTGGTCTTTTCTTCGTGCGGGCCAGATGCAGCCTCTTCTGTCTGCATCGCGGCAGTACAATCTTCTTGATCCTCAGCACTATTAGGCCTGACCCTAGTTCATCTCCGTGGAAATCCCTCAAGCGTATGCGTCACTATTCCCCTGGTATTGGGCAGCATGCGGTTGAGGGATCTCGATAGAGATCGATTAGGGTAAGCCTTAATTCTACCAGTTTCCGGGACGCTAGTTGCAGGCGCACTTGCGCGGCTTCCATCTTGTTCGGGATCAACATCATCATCGGGAGGCGGCGCGATGGAGCTCCCTCGGCAAGCCGGACCGCCGCCGCCATCGCGACTGATCTCAGCATGCGATTGCCCTCCTCCTGCCGTCTGTTCCCCACTGGTGAGAGCACGCTCTGCGCTTTCGCCCCGTTTCGTCAATTCCGACGCACCGCCTCCGCCAGGACTGTCAGCCTCAATCTCTCCACTTTGGACCGCACTCGCTGACGCGGTGCCATTCGAAAGCCGCATAGAAAAAACTGCGGGCACTGCAGGTAAGGAGGAGGCAGCTGTTGAGGTTTCAACGGAAAACTTTTGCTCGTCATCGTTGCCTTGTTGACCCGTACCTTCATCGAATCTTCCCATCTCACAACTCGAGTTGTAACCTTGCCCGTTAATCACGGCAGACGAAGAGGCCGATGTGGACTTTCTCTGAGTTCCGCTGTCATCATCATGCGGCACGTACGCACTTGTTCCCGTAGTCGAGGTTCTCCCTGTCTTGTTCGCTGTGCGACTGGGCGTCGAAAACTCGTACCGGTGGAGCCTCCGTAAACGCCGCAGTTGGCGTTCTCGAAAGCTTCCATCAGCGCTGCACGCATCACCCGCGGTGGACGGCAAGCGGATAGGCTGACTCCGAGAGAGACGCGACCGGCGCGGGGTCGGCGTATCCTGACGACTCGAGCTCCTACTACTCACCGCGACGACGCCGGCATCGCTGGGCTCTTCAGCGATGTGATCCTTCGTCGTATCCAGTGCATCAAACGCATTTTCGTGTCCTACGGTATTCTCACCAGAATCGCAAACTCCATTAAGTTCGTCGTCGCTGCGAAAAAATTCGAAACTTATTTCCTCACAAACCGACACAGCCGAGCCCTTGAGAACGGTAATTAGATCTCCGGCACGCAAAGGTACCTGACGTGAGAACATCTCTGTTAAGTACTTTCAGATGGCTGAGTACTATATCGACGAACTCCTGCGAGAGCCGAAATCATATTTTCCATGTATCTATGTATCTAGTAAAAGAAAGTGCTTCCTCATCTATATGCATAACTTAACACGCTGGGAACGACTAGCGTGTCCGTCCCAAGGAACAGTGAAACAAACGAACTGTACAAAGAAGATAGGCACATAGCCTTAGTTGTAGCATTGCAGAGTCTATTTTTACCGCTTCAGCCAGAACTTGGTCTCCGTTGAGCCACGTCCCGTTCGTAGAAGAGTCTACTAGAACAATGTCATTATTCTTCCGCGACACCTTGAGCATGAAATGAATGCTGCTTACACGCGCATCCGGAACCATTAGATCATTATCAGCCTGACGCCCCACTCGCAAAAGCGTTGTTCCAGGTTGCTCCAGCGTCGTTATATCCAGCTGTTTTTGCACAGCAAGACGCGGCGCTGCGCAAGAGGAGGCACTTGAAGGCGATGCAAACGAGTTGTGACTCAGTTCTTGTGAGGCCTCGTCTCCGCTCCCCAGAAGTACAGACGCATCCCCAGAGGATCCTGTATCGTTTGCAGCTTCACTTCCAGCTTGCGCTGCTACAGCCGTGGCGCATGACAGAGATAATGTGTCAGCAGAGTCTTGTCTACGCGCAGGCACCGATTTATTACCACATGCACCTTGCACACCACTTGACGCTGCTGCACTACCTTCTCCCCACGTGATCCCTCCCGTTGTACTCGTCTTGTGCACCTGCGCAAGCCGGATGAGGATACTCTTTCTCGATGCATCTTCTGACGGGTCAACGTTTTCGCCCGCAGGAGTTTCTGCGAAGAATGCCCCATTTAGACGCACCGTGCTGGTTGTCACGCGTTGCTCCACATTTGCCTCGGCCACGATCATCTATACGGCTGTGCGCGAAGATGCCGGGTAATACGAGTCAAAACCGCCGAAAGAGACAGAAACAAATCGCTGACTTTCTTTTCCAAAATTGGTGGCCTTAAGTCTTGTTCAACAAAGAAACACGATACGCGGTGGGTACCATAATGATATTTTCATGATGAGCATGTTTCCGGTCTCAATGCTGGTCTTGAAAAAGACTCAAAAAAGTCGAAAATCAAGAGCAGGAAAACTTCACCAAGATGACAGAGCATAAATGCAGTCAGTAACTAGTCCCATGTAGAAGTATTTGAGGGGTGATTTCTTCAGAGACGGCAAAAGTAGTTAGTACAACTTACAACTGCGAAAAAGATAATACAGGAGACATCACAACATTCGTATTCGATTTAACGATAGAAAAGCAGTTCTTCGAGACGGCCGATATTTGCAGTGAAAACCAAACTTGTCATGAGCAGAGGGCAAAAATCAATCGATGTGGTGTGGGACGAGTGCGACAAGAATGAGCGATCAAACCGAAGCATCGAGGCATCGTGGAACCAGTGGGTATGGGACACACAAGTATCAATAGCCGCTCACTGATTTATTCTCTCTTAACCAGCAACGATTTACAAAGATGGAACTCACTTTCACACGAATCAAAACGCCAATGAACGAGCTCAGTCTCCGATGTCAACGCTGACTTTTCCATTACTCAGTATCTAAATCTTGCGCTTTGTTTCAGCACCACAAACGACAGGTCGATTAGCCGATATTTTTTTGCCAACATTATCTGCTGTCACTCAACATTATCTGCTGTGCGTTTCACCACCACAAACTCACGCAAGGCGCAGGTGTATTGGTATGAGGTGCTTTATAGGCCTCTACCTAGAAGGAATCATCAGATTTATTGTACACAGTGGTCTGTGGTCACATGTCTTAAGTCAATCCATGATAACGACGAGACATGACAGTGGACCTCACCATCCAGCGAGGAAAAAAGATTTTCTTGGAACCAACGCATCGCTGCGATAACCGCTCTAAAATCATGTTCGTCTTCCTCAGCTGCTCGTCAGCATCCTGCTAGACACTGCTGTCGAATTCCGAGCTCTTGTTGTGTCCTACATTTAGCGCATTTGGGCCCGGGTCTTCAAGTTCGCCCGACGCACTGTTGTGCACACTTCTTCGATAGAGACCCAGAAATAGATTTCGCGATGCGAAAGCTTGTATTGAATCTGTGACCTTGGCGCGCGCGTAGAGGTAATCTGAGAGCATAAGCAAGTTGAGACATTCTGCTGCCATCTGAACCCCCCTATTTGCTGGGTACAGAAGGTCCCCTGAATTACTCAGGTAGAAGTTCGAGGAGTCGCCAGAAGTCGCATTACCCTCCGCTGCCGCTGCGGCAGCTCCCGCGGCCGCAAGTCCCGGCGTGTCAGCAGGGGGCTGGACTGCACCCAACGTACTGGCCGAGCCGCCCAAAAGTATTGGATAAAGAAGCCAGAAACCAAGCAGAGCTACCTTATTTACAGCGAAGAAGAGGAGGAAGTCTATTCGCAAGAGCGCGTCACGGGGTGTGCTTGTACCCCTTTGATCTGCTCGCATCGAGGCGAACATGTAAACTTGCGGAAACAGAGCCAGTAAGGTCAACGTTTCATACCAGCAATACAATAACGATCCAAAGCCCATGCTCGTCCTCCGCACTAGCGTCCACACCACGGCGAGAATGAACGACGCCTGACAGAGCGCATGGTTGGATATCTTTCAGGAACAAACAACATTAAAGCGCTATGCTTGCAAACTAAGTTGGGTAGACTGAAAAGTTCCTCTACACGAGAAGGGAAGCAGGAATCTTGTTGTAGTTCGACTTCTATCTTTCCCTCGTATAGAACCATTCTGCCTAGTCATAGACAAAATTCCACGTTGTAAGTTCTGGCACCAGATATAGACAGCTCCCCTGCAAAACTGCGACTGTTACTGCTGGCACGCCTGGCGGTAGATCACTCGCGTAGTCACCCGTTGGGCCTGCGAGACCACCCGAAGAACCGAGCGCTGACATCGCGAAGCCACCTCCGACTTTCTTGGTGTCCAGAAGCTGCAGCATCCACCGGCCAAATTTATCCTTGCCGAGACCCTCGTATGTCGCTTGAAATTCCATTACCTGCATTGCGAGAACTGCCAATGCAAAAACGATTGCGGTATCGACCAGAAGCGACCGAAACGGGTCGTAGTGGAAGCCCAGCACGCCTGCAGCGAAGTGAACGCCGCGTGACGCCAACAGAGCGCCTACTGTCTGCACACTCAGGCCAGCTAGCGATCGAGTCTGTCGAATTTGGCAAACTAACGAGAGCCCACCGATCAGGACCGAAAAGTCCGCACAGAGCAAAAGCAGGTCCAGCAGCATCATGCTACTTGTGGGAGCCGTAGCACGCAACATTGACTCATCAGCCGCGGACACCATTTTGTCTTCCTCTTCTCGCTTTACTTATCGTGTCATGATAACGGTTCGTGACATTGTTCCTATGATCGCTACCCTGTACAATATTACGGGTGGAGCCAAGCCTGTACAATATTGATTTTCATCTCTATCGTGATACTCGAAAATGATGGAAACAGAAATACACTGCCAGGGGCCACTCAGCTCTGACAGAGTGAAGCAGGTGTAGGTGGATTTTCGAATGATTAAATTCTGCTGTAAATATTCTCCCATCTTGTTAGCTACTGGTAGACACAAATTGCTTGAGATACAAATCCAGTTTTACCACAAAACCTTCCATTTCTTGCAGTTTCGGCCCATCGCCGAAGTCAGGCAATGACAAAAGCTTATATATTTCTTCTGGAGTCTTCACAAAAAGTCAAAACTCTGGCACTATCCTTCTGATCTAGGGAAGGCAAGAGCATGTCATGTGTGTGCCCCTGTTATGATCATTCTTGATCACCGTACATTTTTTTTTTTTTTTGCGTTAGGACTATATGCTGCCACCCTTTCAATCAATTATTTACCCCCTTATTCATAAGATCATCCAAATTACATACTGGGTGCGCATAAGGCCGTACAATCGGCCACAAATCGTACATTTTTTTTTTTGCGTTAGGACTATATGCTACCGCCCTCTCAATCAATTAGTTAACCTATATGAAATCGTCCTAAGTTACATACTGGGGGCGCATAAGACCGCACATTCGGCCACAAGTCTACACCTATCGGAGAAGCCGCACATTCGACCCCTGTAGAAAAACTAAGGCGCAACCCGACGCAGCGGGGCCCCGTGAGCAAGTCAGCACACCTGCAGGGGTACAGACCAAATGAAGGCAAGAGCCAAGGCAGCTTCCTCTATTAACAACAAAACCAATACAAGTGGGCGATGTCGAGTCGTCGCGTAACTCAAGTCGTAGTAAACGTCTTTTGTAGTATTCTTTTGTCATCAAGATCCCGTTATCAGCTCGTGGCCACCCAGAAATGATAGCACTGCGATTCCGTTGCAAAAACGTAGCAACAAGTATTTCCATAGGTATAGGTATCTATAGGCAGTGTGCACATCCGTAATCATATCCAGCGCGCCTCTTCCTAGTGCCACCTCTCCAAAGGTAGCCCCCCTTTCCCGCAACAGTCGGCAAAGCTCTTGTATATCTTAGCTGTAGTTTTTTGATGTTGTTCCTGCCCCATGCCTTTTGATGATAGATTGCGAGTGCCATCCTTTTAACTTTGAAGAGCAAGACCAGCAACATACCACAAGAACAGACACGACGTCGAAAGACTACTTAATCTCTTAAAAATTTTCTGTCACACGCTCACGAAACTCATATTTCGGAATGCCGTCTTCCATCTCGAAAGGGAAATCGGTGTCAATCTGATTCAATAACTCTGCTCGTGTCCTGCTCCCTCCGTCAAGGTCGAGCGCGGTCTGTCTCGGATTTGTATCACGCCATAGTCGGCGCAAGAATTAAGTTCCGATATAGGGATCTCTACCATACAAACCACCCTCTTGAAGCCTCTCAAGCCTTGCTCTAGCATACTCCACGACATGGCCCACTTGCGGCAGGTCCGGGTCGTCGTTTCTAAAAATCACACGGTTACCATCATGTCCCTCACGCTGGCCATCACCACCTTACGTAAAAATCGACTTTGGATCCAAGTCGTTGTCGTATTGCTTACGGTTTTCGTTTTTCCAATCCCAAAACAGTGTTCCGAAATTCGTTGCCTCCCAGAACAAATCAGCCGACGTCTTCATCTTTGTGTCCACAAATTTTTTTATTTTCTCCATTATGATTGTAGCGCGACTTGCTGCCTCTAGCACCGGGTCGGTCGCGAGACACGAACTCCTCAAAAGTAACAGGTTGGGAAGGGTTTTCAGATGGATCCGCCACGTCTCCCGGCCGTGCAACGTTCTTTCCCTTTTTTAGTCCTCCTTTCAAATCAGGTTCCAAGAGATCTTCGGAGACAACCCTTTCGTCAGCGGCAGAATCGTTCATCATCTTTCTTGGAACAACCAATACTTCAAGCTCCCAATCCCCATTATAATTGGCCACGCACTCCAGACTCAGCCACGCGAGCTCGGGGCATGCTGGATGTACGAAATGTGCTTGTGTGCCGCCCACTTGCAAGTAGGACGCTGAGCGTCGTGGCGAAGAGGGTGCGGAACCGCCTTCGCTGCCCACGCAGCATCACCGTATGCCCTTTTGCCTTTTGATGTATGATCTCTCGCACCCATTTTTTGGTGATGTGGTACGTGTGCTCTTTCTAGGTTGTCCGAATTTAGTAGTGCTTGTGCCAAGAAATGTAGATGATACCGAGTAGTTGTTGCTTATGCAGTTGAAGTGAAGTCAAGTTAAATAAATCAGGGCATTGTAGAGGTGACACAAGCAACCCAAAAACTACGATGAAGTATCCGCATTCGTTCAACTGTGCCTTTCAAGAGAAGGGTGCATGACGTCCGTACTGGTTGGCCCAAGTCTTTCATGGATTAATTCTAGACTGAATGGAATTTTGCCCAGATCAGTGTTCCGAAACTGTCGACGGGACTATTTAATACCGTGCTTCACTTCCGCGGAAGGGCTCAATATTAAGTTGTTGAACCTTAGATAGTCAAGAATCTTATTTGCATGAGATGAAAAGAATCCTCATACAGGACTGAGACGAGTGCAGCGAGAGGACATTTTCACTTTTTTCCCTGTTTGGTGTTGTTTGTGTTGGAAGACCCTAATTGTGTGGGAGTGGTTGGTTGTACTGCAGTCAAAGGCATGAAAATTTGGATAGTAGAAGTATGAGCTAAGAAGATTAGGAGTCACTTGAACTGAAAGGTAAAGTATTAGCAACGATGGGAACAAAGGAGGTCTTACTCTAGATAGTATAACTAAGATAGTAGAATACTAAAATTAGAGCGCTCGGAGTAAAAGTCCTGTCTTCGGCCACATAAGGTCCCACCTGGTGACAAGAGGAAGGGCTCAGTATTAATTTGAAAGAGAGACTTTTTGAATGAAACGTCTGCCCGAGGGGCCGAAACATTCGACGCGGGACGAGAGCGCTATCTTATTAATCGAAGTCGGGCTGCACGTCCGGGCATTCGTTGCGATCTAGAATACGAGGCTAGACGGCGCTGATTTCCCAGCCTGCTGCGCCCAAGGCATGTTTTCGGTCGAGAAAGGTCGCGCGCCTTGAATCGACAAGCTTCGCGAATGGCTCAGCTGATCACTGTTGGGCTCTTTTTCGTCTCTTTTTGGGAGTTTCTTTCGATATTCGAGAGCGATCGAGTGCCTTGAATCCGCAAGCTTCACGCATGGCTCAGCTGATCACTGTTGGACTTTCACGCCTGAAAACCAGCGGACCGCTCCCTTTTTTGTTTCTGCCGTTGTCTCGGGATTTCTGACGTTATCAAGCGTCCACGCCGTGCGCTCGGGTTTCTAGCGTTGTCTCGCGTTTTTCTGTAGCATCATGCGCGAAGACAGTCTATCGCTGATTTTCATTTGGTGGCTGACATGTTTGCAGTGCGGTCATTTGCAGCGGTTAGCCTAGTTCCTTCGCTGTTTTCTGCCTTATTTACTGCTGCGAGAACACCCAAGGCAGGCACTTGGCCAGAAGTTGGATTCGATGCATAGAGACCTAGAACTAATTACCCGACGGCACCCCCTTCAGAGCCTGTCTACCTAATTTTTCAAAAGCTTAGCGACTACCAAGAACAAACTTGGAGCAAAACAGATCACCGGCGGAATGCTCTAATTTCATCCGGAAGAAATGCTAGCAACAAATTTCAACTCTGGGCATTGAATCTCGCTGGTCGGGTGGAAGTGGTACGGGTTGTCTCAGTCTCTTAGAAAAAATACTTTCCTATAGCATGCTTGTTGTTTAGCTCCCGCCGCGCGGAGAGAAAAGAAGCGCTGCTAACTGAATAGAAATCCACTGGCAACATTTTTTAAATGCGTTCAGCCTCATCCTGAGGTGCTGTCGCGAACAAGCAATCGGCGATCATACTCGCGTCCTTTTGCAATATGATCTGGCTTTGGAAGAGCGGTGTCTACCTCCGTCTATTATGCAGAGTTTTAGCCCAATAGTGCTTGTGGAGTTGCTCGATCGTGAGGTACATATGTACGCAAAGTGCCAGGAGGACAGAGGACTGCATGTAGAGAGTGCCAAGACAGGGTGGCTGCATGTGGATAATGAGCGGAGTAGGTAGTGGGTTCAATATGGAGTTTAGAGGGTCCCACGACATCGCTTACCCCAATATTAACTACATCTTCTTTCACAGGCTTCTATTAGTACTTCGGCATACAGTAACTGTGTATTGCATGTGCTCCGATCTCCTCGTACTCAGCCTGTGTCAAAAAGCGACTGTAGTCGCAGTCCTGGTACGATGTTTCAGCGAAATAACTGGCGCCGAGAAAAACCATGAATTTTCGCCGTGGTGGGTCTTCGACACGGAAAGTCATTGGGTTTGTTGCCAAATGCGGGTTCACGGACGCTGAGTACAACTTCACGAGCTCGCGCTCGAGTCTTGACTTGAAACCCGGAAAGAGTGTGTTTCCGCCAGAAAGCAGGATAGACCCAAAGAAAGCTCGACGTAGGTCGATGTCGGTCTTCATCACTGTTTCGTACACGAATTGCCCTAACCCTGCATTTTGATGCCCGAAGTCGAAACTCATTTCCTGTGATGAGAGTAAACGAGGAAAAGAGTGAACGAGATTCCCGACGAAAAAGCGGAAGCGTGGTGGATACACTGGTCGTGTTATCTGGATCCAACTGAAAATATCAGTTAGAAACGGTTGTACCTGAAACATCGTTGGATTCCACATGATCTCCGGAGCGAGAAAGCGTTCTTCGCCGATTCGAAGCCTTCGCATTTGTGCAGAGCATCGATGGTCAAGAACCGACACTACTTTTTCGATGCAACTTGTCGTAGCGTGCAGCCGACGTTCTGCCTCAAAATCGAAAGCGACGTAGCAGGCCGATTCTTTTACCTCCGCGACGGCCGCCTGTGATATGGTTGCGCCACCACCATAGCTATTCATGGCGACGTTGCTACGGGAAAGAAGGGTATGCAGCTGCTTCGTCACATGACGCCCGGCGATGTTCATACGCTCGACGTGAGCTGGCTGAACGAAACCCTGGTAGACAGGCACGATGTGCGTGCACCCGTCGCCGCTATCAACAACTAGACCTAGTTCATAATGACAATTCAGTTTCATTGAGTAAAATCCTTTGGCAAGCGAAAAACGCAGTCAGCGTCGAAATGTAGGTTGCCCTTGCACAATGACCACGAGATAGCGAAGACAGATGAAAAAGCTTCATTTCTTATACCAGAGCAATTGGTAAGGTTTGCCAGCTCGCATGGCATGGAGTGCATGGATCGCATGGAGTTGCATGGAGCTAAAGGGAGCGCTTCTTGCGTCCCTTATGGATCTGCGCTCCATGCACTCCATGCTTCTCCATGCACTCAGTGCACCATGCGTGCTATAAACTACTCTGTGATACATAGATACACCTTCACAGACTGCTTAAATTATTTCAACTTCTTTCAGAAAGTGCTGCTTGTGATATGGAAGTACCTGTGCGCAGGCCTTCTGCGTAAAGACTGAGTACGCCCTGAACCCCGACGTGGAGCGCTTTGAAGCCATATCGCTCGAACATCATTTCAGTGAGAATCTCGCGATTCTTCATGGGAGTTAGGACGGGTTCTGTCTGGACTGTGGTATGCTCCGCTGGATCGATTGCCATTTCGTGAAAAATGTAATCCCATACTGCCTCCATGTCTTCCCAGTTTTCTACTTGACCTTCACGCATAGGACACGAAAATTCCCAGTCTCCGCGTTGAAAATAGCGCCACACATGTGGCCCAATGTGGATGCTGCTCGGGTCATTCGGGTTATTCACGTTGCTACAAGGAGCCATGGGTTCCTCCTCTACAGGAGCAGCAGAATCTAAACCATTCTCGGAAAATCCTCCACCTGCAGACGCCCCACCAGTATTGTGTTCTCGCATCTCGGCATCTAAACCATCTTGGCCTCCCATCTTCATGGAGGTCGAAGGAGGCGGATCGCCTTCGTTTCGATCGTCCCCCATCCGAAGTTCTCCGTGCGTAGATGTTCTCTGTCGTTTAAACGACGTAGAGGCGTACGCCGCATTTTTCCCGACGGTGCCAGCGTGGTCACCATGATGCGGATTTCGCTCACTATCGACGATAGGTGCAGGCCTCCATTTTGCGATTATGGAGTCGCAAAGCGCGTGATTGATCCACGGGCAATTGCGTAGAGCCTCCAGGCGCCCAAAGCTCTTATGTGGTGGGCACCCTGAAGACGAGGAAGAAGCGCTAGACCCGGTCAGTGCAGCACCTCCGAAACCCCCGCTAAAGGCTGCATCCACTCGCGCAACCGGTCGAGCAACGCAATTCGGCAAGTACAACGTCGGAAATTTATCTCCAGCAACACCGGCCTTGACGCCTCCTGTACCCGTGTCGACCACGATAGGTGGCTTCAGCTTCACCGAAGTGCCAGACATCGTCACTATCGTTTAGGACCCAGCCCGTGTCCCTTCATTCGCTCTGAATGCGGCAGTCGCGTTTGGGATGACCTTTGCGACGAGAAGGTAGAAGACAACATGGACGCATCTTGCATATCTTACGTACTGGATCGCATCAAACGACACACAGCAGCAAAATACACTGATACAGTGAAGCAGATCTACTCTACAGGACCCTTTTGTTTCGAAACTCAAGATCATCAATCCATGAGCAACAAAGGAAAAATAGTTGTGATTCCCTCGTTCGTTACAGAAATGGTGGGAAACGCATTGATCTTTTTTGTGTTCCTTTTCGATCGTTATTTTCCAGCCGCACAACGAGAGCCAGCGTCAGCGTGTACCAATCTAGAGCAGGTACGACACTGCGGAGGCTTAAGCAGCAAGGCAAGCTATGATCTTTACCGAGTTTGGTACCCCTTTGAAAGGCAGGTACAAATCTTTCCGGCATCTACATACAAATATTGCATTTGTTTTCTTTTCATCTTGTCTGCGCAATATCATCTTACTCGCATTGATTTCATACAATCCACCATGGAGGGTATCACAATATGCCCCTTGTTTTGTAAGAACACGAAATTGCATGTCTTGACCAGACAGTGCTTAGGTGTGAATAAGTCCCATCTGTGTTTCTGTTTACCCCGCAGGTGATGGATCCTGACAAACAAACCAGCTGCGATGGTTTGTGAAACAAAGTCGCGATGTAGTCTGAAAATGAAAAGAGCAAATAGCATGTCGTTGTAGGAATCATCTACGAGTTCGTAGAGAAGGTATGAAAAATAAACTTTTCTGGTGCAGAATGTACTAGGTGATACACGGTAGTAAATGACCAGGGGCGTGGTCATGAAGATTCATACGTGTGACTCATGACTTGCAAACAAGTCGCTTTCCCTTTGTCCTTTATCGGACAGACAGGCTGCGCAGCACTGGGTCCCTTCATGGCATTATGATGGCCGTTCTTCGAACTTGATACGAGCAACGACGTTCATGCACTGCATTTCCTGGAATAACAATTTACATGCATACGGTACCCGGCAGTCAAGCAGCCGGCTTTTCTCGCAAAAGCGGCAGAATGATGCATCAGCAAATAACCCGCAATCTCGACATACCTGATGTTGAAAGTTTGTTGAAAGGCATTATGAGGAAGCACCCACATTGATTATGAACAATACAGAAGATCCATATTCTGTTCTTGTTCTCATCTACGACATTCATGCTCTACTTGTACTAAACTGCGTTTAGCTAAGCTAAGAGGTACCTTGACATCACAGGCGTCACTGCTGTAGCTGAGTCGTTCGAGCAGAAGATTGCTAGCACCGTAAGCGATGAGGCAATCCCGTTCCATCTCACCCATACGCAATCCACCTTGCTTTGCACGACCCTCTGTCGGTTGTCTCGTAAGTAAGTTTAGCTTGCCTCTTGCGCGCGCCTGCACTTTGTCTGCTACCATGTGCTTCAGTTTCTGGTAAAAAATGGGTCCGGCAAAGACATAGCACTCCATGGGTTCACCGGTGATTCCACTGGTGAGAAACTCCTTTCCATTTGGCGCGAACCCATTCTTGATGAGCGTCTTGTAAATGAGCTCGGGAGGTGTCCCGCCAAAAGCGCTGCCGTCGCAGAAGGTACCTTCGAGCGCCGCCGCCTTACTGCCAACACATTCGAGCATTTTCCCTACTGTCATCCGTGATGGAAAGCCGTGTGGATTCATGATGAGATCCGGACACCAGCCCGTTTCGCTAAAAGGCATGTCTTCTTGCGGCACAATCAAACCGACCACACCTTTTTGTCCGTGTCGGGACGCAAACTTGTCACCTGACGAACGGGAACGCATGACAAGTAAAATTTAATCTACCATCTGTTGTGGTACTGTACTCAAGTTGTGTGAGTGAATTTCTATCCATGACAATGTGTGATCTATCAATCAGCTGGCAGCAGTCAGTCTATAGACAGCTGACACAGCAGTTTGTCCTTATCCAAAACGGGCGTGTCTGTGAATCACGATCACGTTCCAACCTAGCATAAAAAGTACCAAGTTCTGGCTTCCGCGTGTCCCTGTACATTATTTTGAATATTCGCATGTGCTGGTCGTTAAACGTAATAAGCGCCCTGTCGATGATCTCTTTTGCAGGGACTGGCGATTTGTGGAAAAGCGGCTGCTCCCTCATTACTGGAGCTTGGTCACCCTGCGCAGCCATGTAAGGCGTCATAGCTTTCGTATCCGGCTCCAGCTTGTTCAACAAATAATCACCTGAAAGATTTTTCGAACTGTGATAATCAACAATAAAAACAACATCCAGCTTGTATCGACTTCGTTTGTCTTTGATTTCTTTTTACTCATCTTCTAGCTAGGAATACCTGACTTTATCTTGGAACCTAAATTATTCACGTGTTACCATCCTGCACGACGCTTCCCGGGTAAACAATGCCGTCGCGCTCGTCCAAATTCTTCTTGCGCTGAATCTGTCGTCGATTTTTCTTTTCGTCCTTCGACACTGCTTCTACTGGGGCAATGAGTTCCATGTGCGAACCAACCTGGTCGCAGGTCGCCACATGCCGCTTCATGACGATGCAACGACCAAATCCTCGGTCGACGCTTGCTTTGTTCATTACAATGGCATCCTCAATATCATATCCACTGTAACTAATGACCGCAACAGAGGCATTAGTGCCCGCGCCGAATCGATCATAATTGGCGAAATCCAAAGTCTTGCTCTTGCAAAGGGGTTTCTGCGGGTACTGCAGCAAATACAAAATGTTATCCGTGCGGTGAAACTGGTTGTACCTGTGAGTAGGCCAAGGGGAAAATGTAAAATAAATATGCTGATCTGAACAAGAAGACGGATTATATTGGGATGCGAGCATTAATCTCATAGAAGAAGGACATGATCAGCATGATCAGTGATTTACGAGCTGTAAAAAAAACATCAACGAGTAAATAGTACCCGACGCAACCCATTGCCTGTTTTCCCATCGCACAAGTATAGGTGTTTCTCGGGGATTGGTTGTGATTCGGGTAAGCCACAAGTCCGGAAATGATTCCAAGGAGGGAGAGGGGCTCGATCTCGAGATGCGTATGGTCCTTTGTTATTTCTTCTGGTTTCATCGCAATGAGCAAGTTGTTCTCCTCGTTGACATCGACAAATTCGACCACGCCGTTGTTCAAAAAGTCTTTGAAGGCCCAGCGTTCGGACCGCGAGCCGTCATACTTACAACCAGTCAGTTTGGGGACGTGCTCAGAGGGGTCGAACCGCGACTTCCCGTTCTCGATGATGATCAAGGGACGGCAAAGACGCCCCTCATCGCATGCGATGTTGATGGTCTTCGTGTTTTCGTGGTGATATATGCTCGTGAACTGGAAAATGAGTCCCTGTCGTCGCAATTCCTTCACGTCGGCAATGAGTCGTGAAGGATTCCGGCATGCACCTAGTAAATTCCCGTTGAAGAACACCAATAGAGTGTCCGGGCTATCAGGGGTTAACTCATCTCCGCTTAGCAAATCCTGTGAAATAACGCCCAACGCAAAGAGAAGCGGCCGCATGGCTTCGAGCGCGTGATCGCCGAACCCGGTTGAGACCGTTGCCATGAGCGAAAGATTCTTGATAAGCCCGCATTGCTCACCTTCCGGCGTATCCGCAGGACAAAGCATGCCTAGGAAGAGTTTTGAAAAAAAGATTTTAATGCAGAATAGTACTCGACGTCGACCCATGATATTGATATGTCAATCAAAATTCTTGACCACAGGTATTCGCTATATACTCGATCGGCATCATATAAAGTTTGGTTTCTATCAGGGTCAAGGAACGTTTAGAAAGAGAATAGAAGTCATGAACATGAGAGTGAAAACGAAAATAAGAATTTACCCCATTGGCTCGGCTGCAGTGCTCGTGGTCCGGCTATTTTGTGGCTTTTCTCGACGTTTGACTTGACTTTGGTCATACTGCCGAGTGCGATCATGTAACTGAACCTAGAGAGCACCTGCGAAACGCCGCTTCGGTCGACTTTGAAACGCTGAATTTTCCAGTTTCCACTTTTGAGCGCGTATTTAAACGCGTGTGTTACGCGCTGCAGGCTTTCCTGCACAGTTCGCTTTAAGATGTCCGCGTGTGTGTAGTCTTGCTTGGTGACGAGCTTCCCGATCTCGGCATCCGCCCGTTTCCTTACATCCGCCCCCAAAGTTTTGAAGACGTCCTCAAACAGCATTGAGAGCATACTGCTCGCTTGCTCGATACGCTTGTTGCCATAGTAGTCCTTGTCGTCCACAAGGCGGTCCGGACTCTCTTCGGCCTCGAAGATGCGCCGGATCATGATGCACAGATACCGGACCTTCCCCAGAAAGGGTAAAGCGGCGCTCTGGTCCATCGCTACGTGAGAGAGAACGATCTCCAACGCTTGCCTTGCTTGCATCGCCTTCGGTACGATGGTCTGCGCTCCTGCCTGGTTCAACGCTGCCGCGGTAGCCGCGCGTGTGGAGATGAAGCGCTCCTTCATCATGCGGCCCAGGTACTCCAAACCTTGTTCCTGCGTGAAGACCCCCAAATCCTTAGCCTCCTGGAACGTCGGCAAGAGCGCATTCACAATGCGGGATCCCTTACCCACCCCAATCATCTGCACAATTTCCTGGTCATGCACCACGCCCATTGCCTTGATTACGCAAATCACGTTTACGAGGGACTGAAACTTGCTGTGCTTCAGGTGCAGGCAGTTCTTGTTCGAGTAGCAGACCAGGACGCGCGACTTGTTATCGTTGGTGGATGAGGTAACCGCAGCCTGCAGCTTGTCAGGTGAACCCGCACTGCGCTCCACGATGATCCGGTTGTTACTCATGTTCTCTTGCATCATCAGTACGCGCTCAGTGCCGTCAATAATAAAGTAGCCACCCGGATCCAGTGGGCACTCGTTCATGCCCATAAGCTGTTCATCCGACTTCCCTCGCAGATGGCACCGGTCGGAGCGCAGCATAACCGGCATATAACCGAGCAGCAGCGGCTCCGGCGCCACCGTGGGCGTCTGCGCGTTTTTCCCAGCGTAGTAGTAGTAACTAACGTAGATTGGCGCCTGGTAGGTTAGATCCCGGAGTCGACATTCGTGCGGGTAGACGTCGGTATCTTGCAATCGTCGCTCGTCTGCCATCTGAGGCCTGCCCACACGAATGCCTGTGAATCGGATGAACCACGCTGGGTCCACGTCGCACCGAATTTCCACATTGCTGCGGGAAAGCACGATGTCGGAAATGCCCTGGTTCACAAAACTGTTGAAGGACTCCAGCTGGCAACTGATCAGGCCCCGCGCCTCGAGGAACGAAGCCACCAGCCGCCACTTGTCCGCCATATGCGGCACACGTCGCGTCACTCGCGGATCCAGAACTTTCCAGTCGTCTGGCGGGCTTTCGTGCAAGCGCTGCCCCACAAAGAACTTCTTCTGGTACGCCGAGAGCGTTTCCCACCGCGGGTTTGCGCGCTTCCGCTCCCCCTCCATCAGGTGATCGTAGTGCACAAAGTTCCGATCGTAGCCGGGGTAGTGCGGCTCCGCGTCGCTTGATGTCCCACCCGCAGTTGCCTGTTGTGCCGTCATCGAGGATCCACCGGCATGCGGACCGCTACTGCTCGAGCTACCACCCTGTTGGAGGTTCTGTCGCTGTGTCGCGGCCATGCGGGCAAAGATGGACTTACCTCCTTTGCCACCTTGCGCAGAGGGTCCTCCATTCATCGACATCTTCACTAGAATTTTCTTGGATGACGAATAAAGATACTAAGACTGTACTTAACGAAAATCCAGCAGATTCACGGATGTATCGGTCACAGCAGCGTCATATCAAAAAGCATCATGGTAGGAGTTCCATCCGATCTCAAATCAAGCATATTGCCAGTATTTATAGACGCTTTGATTATCCGATCACATGCCTGACTCTTGCCAAACAGAACATCCTAACCAAGATGTAGATGATATACGAAACCTCTGAACATCCGATGTCGCCTAAAAATTCGCTAACTTATCTTCAGAAAGACAGAAGGCTGAGGCTACACACATATCGTCTCTGAAAATCGATAGAAAAATTCAATCTTGAAGTTTAAGTTTTATTCGAAATCACACCGAAAATCTGCATGAAAGCCATTGTCGATTGAAATACTCCACAAGCAAGCACATCATTTTTATTTCAAAAGAATTTACATCATAGAACGGCATGGGTACATGATTGAATTTCCTACTCTTTGTGATTCCAATTTGTGAAACTACTTCGAAAAGACCGTCCGATCGGATAGCATTTCGTACTGGCGCTTTATGTTAGGATCGCTTTCATCGTCGTGGATTACAATTTCTTAAGTACACACGATTGCTGCTTCGACCAAATATTGATCTACTCAGACCGGACTGCTGATCACCATACTAGTACTGATCAGTGGCGTAACAAGATCTCCAAGAACTTGTCGTTGTCTGACGGAGATCAACAGAGTCTGCCTATCTCTAAACAACCAACGATCCTGGAGAAAAGCCAGAGCCTCAGCACCGAGTCAGCAATCTTTCTTTTCTACACCCAGGGAAATGAACTTTAACAACATGCGGATAGCAGTGACACCTAAAGCCAGATTTGACTCATTTTCATTTGGAAAAACAACCCGGATCAATCGGATCGGTGCGTGCCAGAAGCATGCTATGATCCTGTCTTCTCGAGGTGATCCCTTCCAGATTCGATTCCTCATTCTATTTCATCGATTAACTATGACCTCGCAGATTATACCAGACAGATGCAACCAAACCGGATCAACATGACATCCTTCGATCCTCTTGATCCATAACGTTCTAAAAGTTTCCTTCTGCATCAGATGTCGACAGTCCAATGTCAATAGTTGCCAACATCGCGCAGGATGCTTACGAACATGCCTACATGCTCTAATGGAATAGAAATTGAATTCATTTACGCTTCACCCGCTGAGGTGCCATCTATAAATTTAACTTGACACTACAGTTACTCAAGTACATCACATTTTGAAACACCAGCATGAATTTTTCACAAGAATTCATACATTAAGATTTACGACTCTTCATCCATATGCTCTTTCTCATCAGTCAAATGATGCTTCTTTGAGAAGCAGACACGGAAATGGATTGACCGTAACAGATTCTTAATAGAAGACCAGTTCATCAAACTGTCGCGGATAAAGCTATCAGATACTGATGAGACATCATCTCACACATCGAATGAAAATCAGCCCGAAATTCAAACTCTTTTCATGTGACAAGACGGCGACGTCGATTTTTCACTACTAGGATAGACAAATGTTGATGTTGTTACCTATCATTCTCGTTGCGCTTAATTTCAGAGATTGTTACAGCGATTAGTAAATATGTACACATGTATCAAGCACAAACTCCTTGTCTGACAGTGAAACATAAGATTCTAATCTATCTCATCTTCGGTCTATCATAACACTTTAATGAAATCCGCTATGATGATGACCAGCAAACAGCAAGGTACATGATAAACGCACCTTAAGAAATTCCACAATGCGTGTGCATCTTCATATATTTCATCAAATTATTTACCAGCTTCAACTGTGCGTCATATTTGGTATACTCTCTTTCCAGACCATCTTCCAGTGAAATACCTCTCACCGGGGAAGCCACGCTCGACTCGCCTCGCCAGCGTGATCATAATGTTGATAATCAAAATTCCAGTAGTTGTAGTCTTTAGCTGTAGCATAACTTCAGTGATTTGGTGTAAGTAAGTTTGCGTGCAGACGTGGCAGCGCCTTCGCTTCAGCCCGAAGCCGCTGCGATGCTCCAAGGTTTTCAGGCACTCCTCGCAAAGCTGGTGTCCGCAGGGAATGAGTGCGTGCGTTAATGATGAGACTAAGAAGACCGGGCAAGCATATGAATTCCTAGAATTTCTATCTGGTATGCATTCATCCAGAAGCTTTTCCACCTCATTTACGTCATTGGTGTCCTTCAGCTTCACAGCGCAAGTTTTCTTTTCAAGCATTCCCGCCAGCTCGTGCGCCCCGAGCGAGCGCGCGAGTTGGGTTGCAGTTTTTCCGACATCATTTTTTGCCTCGAGAATGGTTCGGTGCTGCGGGAACCGGAACAGCGTTTCGAGCGCTCTCTTGTCCTTCCTTTTCACGGCCGCGTGAACGACTGTTGAACCGTCAAATCCTTTTGATTTTTCAAAGGTTGTAACTTTCTTGCCCATACGCGCCAAATGCTCTATCACATCATATTCTTGATCTTCTACCGCAAGAAGAAGCACGGAATACACACCGATCTTTGCTTTGTCCGCGTTGGAATACGATGTCCGTGCCTGGTTCCAATCGAAGTTGTCGCGGAGATACAATGAGTCTTGTAGCAAAAACTTTATCGGTAGCCAATTGAAGTTCCGAAATCCGAAATAATTCAGTCCACCGGTACCATTCAGCCTTGCACGGTCGAAATCCGCAGGTTCAAGTGCATTGCGGCACTCAGCAAACGTCGCAGCCTTCGAAAACCGAATCGTCTGCATCTCCTTGCGTGCCGCCTCAGAAAGGTTCTTCTCTATATTGTTCCACGCAAACGCAATCGGTAATGCGAAAGATCGAGCTCGTGCACAGTTTCTCGCGATTTCTAACTGGTCCGTCAACAGGGCCATTTCGAAAGTTGTCTGCCCGAGATTGTTTTCTGCGTTGACGCCATTGAAGTACCCACGCGCTTTTGGTAACGCGCCAGATCTGTCCGGAAACCGCAGCATATCAACGCGAAGGAGTGCGTCTGCTACATCTGAAAACTTCTCACGAACAACCCAGTGCAACATGTCCAGCCATCAACGTCACCTTTTGTCAGAAGGTCTGCAAAAGCCAGCTTTTCGTCTTCCGCCGCTGCTACGAGCTCCGCGATAGCCAATGCTCCGGTCCGACTGAGGAGACTGAAACCATTCACGACCGACTCTGTATGAGTATGAAATTGATGAAATTATTTTCTGTATTGGACGGAGAAACTCATGAGAAGTAGTTAACTGATATGATCAATCTATGGCTTATGATTTATCTTTAGGTTCGCTTCCAGAGAAAAAAACTCTTGACCATGCTCCCGCCCGCGGGGGAACGAATCGTTAGTATAGCGGTAGCTGCTACTCGGGCGCGATATGTCAGGATTTACATTTACTTGAAATCCAATTGAACTTTATGGCGGTCGCAACTATTACATTTCAACTAGTACAAAAAAATTTCGGGGAAACTAGAACTTAACCCAAGAACTCAGTCGTGTTTCAAGTGCCGGGACAGCCATGGGCAATTGGAGCCTGCTGCAGTGGACCTGAATGAAGGCACAATTTGATATTGATGAAATGGCTCATTTGATTTGATGTAAATAAGTATGTTGATTTCTAGTTAAGGAGGAGGAGAGGAAATCCGGATTCTGCTGCTGCTAGGTGCGTGGCTTGGGGTCGGAACGCTTCGAGGACCAGCCGGACGAGGCCATTTTTAAGGCTAATCTAAAGGAAATACACACATAGACCCACACGAATCAGCCTACTAATAGCTCAAGAACTCGCTTCAAATAAACCCTAAAGATCCTAGTAGAAAATGAGGAAGGTCCAAAGGAGATCATCACTGGGAATTGAGTAGAACCAATAGAAATAAATCAACTTCACATGAATCAAATCGCCAGCCTTTCACTTCGTAGAACGATCGAGCCAATTTCACTCATGCTATGGACCCAGCGATTACGATTCGAAGACGATAGCAACATCAACATCCAACTTCAGCAGGATTCTTATGGGCAGAAGAACTAGGAACCATTTAATTTAGTCTAATTTTTTCAGTGATCAACATGGGCGCTGAACCTAAGAAGATAGAGGCGCGCTGCCTTGACCTACTTGGGGAACATCTAGGACCGTTCTTTTCAATTCAACGAGGTCACGAGTCGACCGCTGACCTTTTCAATCAATGGAAAGGGAAAAATAGCTATAACAACCACAATGGAGGCCGGTGGCTACCTATCCAGCTAAAGGGCTGCACCCGACGCACCGCTTCCTGGGAGAGGAAGGTAAGGTTTGTCATCAACCAACGCAAAGACGCCCTGCACGGGTGCGTGCTTCTCGGCGTTAGTCTTGAAGAAGATGCGGGCATCTTCTGCCACCTAGTACACCGGGCGGCCAACTACAGTAGTTACGATATGAATGCAGACGCTTTTAACTTTGAATGGGCCGACGTCATCCCTGAATTAAAGAAGCTGTGGATGGATGGCCCAGGCATGCAGTCCTTCTCCCTCGCCGAGAGCTTCGCCTATAGTGGCAGCAAACTCTTGGAGAATACAGCCCGGACACGGTTTCGACGAGAACTAGAGGGCTCCGGGCTGCTGTATGAAACGCCCGATACAGAATTCGGGTCCATCGACGGATACCTGGCCCACACGAACTACCCACATCGATACCGTGTCCAAGAGAAAGTGCTCACGGTTCGCCACTCAAGAGGCCGGCCGCTGTGCCTCCGCGTTCTTCTTCGAAGGTACTGCTTTTACAGTTATCAAATCAGCATCAGTTTCTGGGAGTTTCTAGCTGCGTCTCCACTTCATTCTCGAGCATCCACCACACCAACAAAACCAAGGTCCTCCGGGGTGAATTACGAGGAAAACGACGCCGACTTCTTGCTTTTACATGCCCGAGAAAACATCGAAAACGACCACGCATTCGAGCTCGCGGGAAGTGCTCTCATCCCCTTTCCAGTGCTGAGCAAGTTGGGCTATCTTCACAAGAGCGACAGGAACGAGCAGCATCTTCATTTTTAACAATCGTCTTGCGATAGAACAAAGAACTTCTTACTTCAAACTTCAAAACAAATGCCAACCATACACCCCCCTACATAACCAACCCACAGAGCGCGCGGACGCTCCTCTTTATCGCTCTACCCCGATGGAGTTCCCGGCGTGCTGAATCCAAGGCTGAGCGAATTGGAGGGCTTCTTCTGCCACTGTGGGCCCAATTTTCATAGTGGTCTTCTCAAGATCGTTAAGGACAACGCGATAGAGATAGGCGAGCCAGCTGCATCTTCCTCAAATGTGGAGTCTTCCTGTGTGATTCAGTAGAGGCAATTGCTGTTTTGAAGAATAAAGTGGGGGATTCTATACAAGTAGAGCCATCGACGTGAGTAGCAACATGGAACAGCCAAAAACTATGCAAAAACCTATTAGAAGAACTTAGATGAACATACTGCAAAAAAGACTGGAACCGCGGGGGGATTAGTTATGGACTAGAAGAGCAAGACTCGCGAAGTCATGGATGCACATCATGCGACGAGAATTTGACGTAAAGCAGGCGCGATTAGTCTTAAATTCTATACAAAATAAATGATTAGGGTTGTTGTGTAATTTTATTTACTAATACTAAATAAACTAGAAACAGGAGCTGAATCGTTTATGATAATTGATGGCGTGTAGTACTCTAAAAGATCGAAACTAGATGAGTGGATCAATGGAATTCATATGGAAGCTACTGCTTTTCAAATAATCAAGAACAAGACCAAAAGCAGGGAGTGGATTCTTCAAATGAACATCATCAAAAAATCTGACTCACAACTTGATAATCAAAGTAGTATGCTGCACTGAAAAAGATGACTTCAACTTCAAGGAGATGCTTCAACTTGGACACATATGAAAACTATGAAATAGCGAGAGAGTTTCGTACTTGGAAAACGATGAGAAGCATGAACATATTTTCTGTGCATTTTATCTATTCACCCAAAGACTCCTCCCCATAAAGCTCATTGAACTTGTCAAGTTCCTCCTGCTCAGAGTCCTCTTCTTCATCTACTAGATGGCGGACATGTTTCAGCTGCAGCTGCTGTGCATTTTGGAGACCATACTCCAGGATCACAGCCGGATAGAGGCAATCGATGATGTTCTTCTTGATGTCCCCGATGATGTCCGTCTCCGGCGCTATCTTCGCCACCTCTGGCGCATGGCCTTTCGGCCAATGCAACCGCAAAGTATCGAGATTGCCGCCTTGGGCGTTCCTGTGCGAACGCACTTCAGCGACGACGCGAGAAGGTTGCTCTGCGATGCTCCATATTTCATACACGTACTTGGCTGGTTCCCGCGTGTTGCCATCCACCCTGCGCTTTGGGGCTGCTTTCGGTTTTGCCAGTGCAGTACTAGATGATGCGGCGTTCTTCATCTTGCGCTTCTTACTGGTATGCTTCACTTCTTCATGCAATCCGCTCTCCACAGCGTCGACCGCGACGACCCGATTGGCCTTGCGTTTGATACTCGCTGCAAGGGCAGCATCTGCTTCGCCAATGGTCATCCGCTTGAAGAGTTGGTGCATGATGTCCGCCGGCACGTTGTCGAAGTCAGTATCTACTAGACCATGCTGCTGCATGAACGGCGCGACAGACGCAACTCGAGCGGCATGCGGCACCGTCTTGTACAACGCGGCAAAGGAAGCACTCGAACTGCACCACGATGGATTCTACAACTCGATGAAGAGACCTGCAGCACCACCAATTCCGACCTGATATCCACCATCATAAACGTCGAAGAAGCACAAGAGACCACAGCCGAACTTCGTATCCTGCTGCGTACTCGGCCAAGTCAACCTATTTGCAACATGATGTAGATCGACGGTCATGATGTAGCCGCTGTAGTGCCTGTGGATTGAGTAGTACTTGTTCTGTTTTCGAATGATAACAAATCCCTTCTCCTTCAACTTCGCATCGACGAGTTTCAGGCTGGCCAGCTGCTTGCTGATCATCTCGTAGAACCGGAGCTGCGCCGACGTGACAATTGCACCACGCTCCAAAATCACCAACGCCTCTACACCACGAAACCCGAGATGCTCTGCTTTTACTGTGGCCGTGTCCTCCTTGAGTAAATCGACGAGGTCAACAAGACAGGCCTCAACACGCTGGCGCGGGTAATCCGTCAGGTGCTCCAGTCCACGTTTGAACTTGTCGAACCACCCGGTCAAAAAAGCACTCTCGGATGTAGCACCTGCGCGCTGTTGCTCCTCTACCAGAGCGACATCGGACCGCAATCGCTCCTGCGATAGACCAAGCGAAGCGATCTCATTTGCCTTTTCCTCAACGGTGTGAGGAAGCAGGATAGGCGTCTTGTACTTTGATGCAGCGGCGATACATGGGTAACGTGGGTGCTGCCTGCGAGTCTGCTGCACCTGCTTCGAAGCCCCACTGTGCAAAGCGGAGCAGTTTGTCTTATCCTGCACCCGCCTCTCCTTGAACCTCCTCTCGATATCGGACTCGGTGATGGGATAGCTGCGGTTGCTATGCGTTACTGCTGTCTTCAATTCCTGCATCTTGTTCTCCTTGAGGCACCGCATCATGCGTTTCGTGTGGTACGACAGAGGGAAGCTCCAGCAAGTAGCCAGACGAGGTAACGACACAGCCGGAACCTCAACGCGACCGTGGATGAACGACTCCCAAAGACCATGCTGCGGGTCTGCGGTATCGAAGAAGTAGCAGTTGATGACCCTGCCGACCAAGGTCAGTGCTGCAGCAGCATGCGATGCGGATTTTCTGCCTGCTTGAAAAGCGTCCGCAGCCAAAATGCGCCAAATACGATCGCGATTCGCAGCAAGCAAATCCTGAACGTCAGGCGCTGAGAAGGCGTCATCCGCAAGCAAATGGTCACCGAGGAATTTACGTGCGGAAGCCAAAATCGCAGGGTCATCAAGACAAGCAGACGAAGCGTGCGCAGTGTTCAGCTTTTCCAACAGCAGGAAGTAATCGTAATGGCCTTGACTGACGTCGAGCTGCGCACGAAGGTCTTCCATCTTCGTCTCCTCTAGCAGCGTGCACATGTCCTCGACGTTGCCGCAGAACAGTTTCTTACTCTTCTTGGCTGCTTCGGAGTCCTCCGTATCGATGTCGAGCATATTCATCGTCTCATCTGCTTCGTCATCACTCGCAACCCGACCTGCAGGACGTCCACGACGAGGGGCAGCAGCGACTGCTCGACCCGTCACCGCCTTCAAAACGTAGAGGACTTTGTAGCGGTCCTTCAAAAACATGTCGCAAGTCGTCGTGTCACGGAAGAAACGGGCGTTGGTCCCGTGATAGAGCTCTACACCTGAGAGCATGTTTTAAGAGCTGTTTTGGGGTCTGTATTAGTTGACACTTTTAATACCCTCACTCCACCATGCGCTACTGCTAGAATTCAGAGACCTACCAGAATCGAGGAGTTTTAGGGGGGTCCTCTTGGGGTCAGAATGCATTCTAAGTCGTCAATTTCTAGTCCTGTTAAGGTTCGTTTCTACATAGATCCAATGTCTCAAACACCAGTAGAATCCTAGATATTCAGCTGCATCCTAACATGAGAAAACAGAATAGTTATCAAGTACGTTTTTCCAGAGCTTCCTCGAGGGTAGCTTTGTTTTGCTCGTTGATAAGCTCAGGCCCATACGCTCGAGCCGCTATCTGAGCACCAGCACGTGCTTCGTCTAGAAGAGACTCCCACGTCTTGAAGAAGTCTCCCTGATTCTCCTTGCTGCTCCGAGGGCCACACAAGTAGCTGCGCCAGCCCGAGGAGAGCTCCGCGGCGCCCTTCGTGAGGCCCTTACAGTTGTTGGACAATCTGTGATCCACACCGAAACGGAATGTGCCAGGGTAAAGCTGCCCAACCAACTGGCCAAAACGGCACTCCGAACTGCCCTGATCCGGTAGCACGTTGATGTTGAATGCGTTGCCGCCCGGACTGAGGCAATCGATGTCAACCTGCTCCCAAGAAGTGTCGCGGTTGCACTTCAGCTTCGCCATAGAATCGACCCCGAAAATCATCGTGGTATAGTAGAGGAATGCCACACCACTAAAGACCGTCGCGTCAAGGTTCTCTCTGCGCTTCAGGCAGTTTTTCCGGGCGTTGGATAGTGGTAGTGGGACGAAGTGCAACTCGTCGTAGCTGCTCTCAACGTCCTCTCCCGGGAGACCCATTGAAACGTCATCGAGGAAAAATCCCTGCAGGGGGAAGGACGGGGAAATGAGTCAGGGAAAGGATGGAATCTCATCGAAGTTGAAACTGAGGAAGCAGTAGACTCAATACTTGAAGTAGTCAGAAGCACAACAAGAAGGGACACTACTTAAATCATGAAGCTCTTCGAGGAAGTTCTACTCTTTGCAACGGCGAGAAGATCTAAAACCATGAGGACATAACAGGGCGGAGGTCCGGTCTAAAAAGTGACTACGTTCATCGCGAACGTATGGCTTTTGCGCGCCGCACTGTAGTCGTAGCATAGAGTTAGCTGGCCGGTCGAACTGCCTAAAGGCATACGAAACGCGCCTGCTGTTAACCTCGCCCCAAGATTGGAAAAATTTCGCATCTGCAGACGAAGATAGAGCATGTTCCTCATGATAACCCGCAGCGCAAGTTGCTGGCAGAGGTGCGTTTTGGATGGATTTCTTTAAGGTATCTTTATGGTAAGAAAGAGAGAATCTATAGTAGTGCTTGACGCGCTTATAATCCACTAGAGCAGAAGTCTGAAAAATCTATTATAGGAGAATATAAAAAGAGAAGATCGCGACCCTTATCCTAAATCCAACACTTGTAGAAGTAACCGAGGTAGCACCTGCTCTCGTTTTAGCTGTTCCTTTGGATTACGCTTCCGGTTCATATTATGGAGCTGCTGAGCCCAATCCTCAATGCGTTGGCCGACTGCCTCAGCAGTATTCAAATCGAGGCCATCGAGCAGATGTTTGAAACTGCACGCGGAAATAATTTGAATAAACGCTGCTCCATCATCTGCTTTCATCCAGGCGAGAATGTAAGCCTGTAACGAAGGTAAAAGCAAGGGATTGATAGAAGGACTCTTATGGTGGTTGAGTTGGAGATGAGTTCGTGGGAAGTCATCTACAGAAACCAACTTCCTAAGGTCAAAACAGGAGGGGAGATCCTCGAAAAGCCTTACAGTTCGAAGATGCGCAAGTTCACTCAGAGCCACGCTACAACTACTACAGCAGCTGACTCCTCAACTTCAACGAGAAGACTCTTAGAAATGCTACCAAGTCAGCTGCACTGCCCGAGGTCTTAAAACGATCGAGATGCACATGATACAGGTCGCGCAACGTGATGTGCAAAGAGGACAAGGCCCGATGATAATTCGAACTCTTCAAGGTGATCAGGCTCTTGAAGAAGAAGACCATCTGCCCCGAATTATCGTCCAGGTAGGGACAGTCCCAGTTCTTCACTTTCGACTTAGGTTGCCGCAAAGATGCAAGGACACGAGCAGCTTGCTCTTGGTCGGCTGGAAACTCGTCGGCCATTGCGTTATTTTGAGTTCGAAACAAGGAGCAGCAAGAAGCTATGTAGATGCTGCTGCTGAAAAGCGAGCTGCAGGAGCAGACTCTTCTATCGGCTGTCAGGTAGAGGCTGAAATGAATCTCCAGAAGCATGCACCGAAGCAAGTGCAAAGAAGGAGCGGTTTGCAGATGATCATCATGCAGCATAGCGAGCCCGTTTGATAAGCACTTCTACGGTTCCTGGTGCATTGAGAGATGTTCACACGATGAGGCTGCAGTTGTTGGTCGAACATCCACAGGCTGGCACTCTCCTCACAAGTGTGCTGAGGCTGCGTTATGTTGTCCTTGGCCGAAGCTCTATCAAGAGTCTGACTACGACCATGCACAAGGAGATCCACACGAAGTGGTCTCTGTGCTGGCGACGAGCAGCCAGCTATTCAGCAACATCACCAAGTTCAGTCCGCTCCAAGCATAAGAATGAAGTTGACACACACCGAGCTTAATTACCTACCAGCTAGCAAACTCCATGCCACCTTAATAAGGACTCTACTTCTAGAAGAATTAAACAACAACCATCAGAAAATGACTAAAAAGGACTAGATGATGTGAAAACTCAAGCTAGAATATAACAAGGTGAGGCAACTCCAACGCAAGCGCTGGAAGCTGCTGTTACCACCTTAAAGAACCGCTAATATGACGAAACCATAAGCCTATAGACACATCCGACCATGTTTATTAGAGTTGAGCGACTATCTCTAATGTACCACAACCTTCCAAAAGTGAAAAAATATTGCACTTATGCATCAGATTTTTGACTGTGTCTACAAGCCCGCCCCCCTCATCATCTCCTCAACCCCTTAGTTCTTCTTCTTGGCGGCCGCCTTCATCGGCGCCTTCTTTGCCTTCGGGCTTTCAACAGCCTTCTGGCGCTTCGTCTGTGGCTCAGAGTCTCCTCCGTCCGTAGTGGTGGCGTGGCCCTGCTCGGTCGAGGAGTGGATGAGGGCGACGTTGTTGGCGGAGCTGCTGGACGAAGAAGAAGATCCACGAACATCTGGAAAGGGAATTGCGCCCACGGATTGGGACTGGTCCATGAGAGCGAGCGGTCCGGGTGGAGCAGGCAGCGCAAGCAAGTTCGTCGACTGTGATGTTTGGTGAAGCGAGAATTACGAGGAGCATGCCTATACTTCAAGCTGAGTACGAAGAAATTCTTGCTATGAAAATGGAGTTCGTCACAATTCTAAAAAATCTAAATATTAACGCCTGCATTCCGAACGACGAGGGACCGGCGTTAGACTGCGCAGCAGCGACCGCCTGCATTTCACGGTGGCACTCATAAGAGACCACCTTCTGCACGCAGGACTGAATGTCAGGCATGCTCTGGTACACCTGCTGCAGCTTGAATAACGGCACCTGGTTCTTGAGGAAGGAGGCCAAGGTCTTCAGACTGTAGTGCCCATCTTTCCCGCACACCGTGATGGGCAAGTTGTAGCCGACGTCGACCATCATCAAGAACCACTTCCACATGGAAACATGTACGACCTTGGTGCAGGCGTTCAGGTACGAGACCTCGCACACAGTGGCCATGATCATGCAGATCTGCACCAGGGTAAGCTGTCCGATAGCTGTAGGGAGGTTTGGAGTTGTAGATTAGGCCTATGGTTTTTGAGTATGAAGTTCTGAAGTTGGAAGGTAGATAAAAGATAGTGCTTTTTTTAGTATCCTCGGCCAGATATCAGTATAGTGACATAGATAGAATTTCTTCAAGTGAATCCTTGAAAGGATGAGATTCCAGCTACTCGGTGACTAGATAAAGAGGCAAGCACAAAGTGGAAAATACTATGAATCTGCTCGAAGCTGCGGCTCGACAGCTGCGACAAAGGCGTGTAACCCACACGATGGGCCTTAAGGTCTTCCATACGGTCATCGATGACCTGGCGGCGTGCTGCTAGTTCAACCTCATTGCAACTGTTGCAGTCTTTTTTGAATTCCGCCATGGACATTCCGGGCACTTTAGGCATCTTGAGTCAAGGAAAGCTCAAAAGAGCCAGAAAGAAAGTGAGTTAGTTGGTCCCTCGTCGTTCAACCTAAAACCCCCATCGAATTCCATGCAGATGATTTGATATCTACTTTACTTACTTCCAAAGTTAAGACAAGGAATAGTCTAGGCCTTTTTCAGTCGTTTTTTTCTAAATATTCTAAGCCTTTTACGTTTTCACATCAGGAGCGTGTCCTAGCCTTTTTGGTATAGTCCATTTTCAAGATTCTACCTAAAGTGTAAGCCTTTCTCTCACTAATCTTCTCTCACTTTTCTCTCCTTGCTCTCTAATGCTTCGTCATGCAACAGGAGGACACGCCACAAAAATGCACAACCAATCTCCCCGGAGTACTGGTTGAATCAGACGCAGTTCTTATGGTTTCGATTTTCTTCTTTACCGGTAGAATCTCGTCGCGTTTCACATTGAGAAACGTGCTCAAGGGTCTCTTTCATCTCGTCGTAAATTCATCCTTCAAATGCTACTACTTATAGTTCAAAGTCCTCTAACATGCTCTCCAGACCCGCCAGTTTCTCGGCCTCTAAGACCACACTGTTCCAAGGGTTCAGCTTGTTCCGACCCCAAGCCACGCGACTTCGAACCGACTGCTGCCTCTGCTCCTCTCCTCCTCCATAAATTACTCAATAAATCACCTAGTCAACTACTCAGTTTCATCCTACTCAAATCATAATCCCTAAAACAAATATAATACCAGGTCCACCGCTGCTGCTCCATCGATTCGCAATTCCACTTGGGTGCTTCACGCCCCAACCTTAAGCCCATGAGTACTGGCTTCCCCGAAATTTTTTTGTACTAGTTGAAATGTAATAGTTGCGACCGCCATAAACTTAGTAAAAACGTATTCAATTATTGCTCTTTCATGAACGGTGCATCCACGATCGTATTGGTATTCACATTCAAACTTCTTTCAGATAAATATAAGTCTGCAAACAAAAACTGCGACAGCGACCTTTCTCCAGAGAAGTCCAGGAAATAATCTATAGTCCGATGGTAGATTTTCTTGAGTCGAGTCTTCACATCTTGCAAACAACACTACCATCCAAGCATCCCCGAGAATAAAGGTTCGCGCGAGCTTCTTTGCTACTTCTTCGTCGGTGCACTTGCGAAATTGATTTTGATTCGCGCATCTTGCAGAGTGCTGCTCCGCGTCCCTCAAAAATTTTAATATTGCCTCCGCCTTCCGCGCCCTCTCGGACGCCACTGTCGAGGAAATCTCTGCTCATCCTCTGTGTCGCCCGCCGGACGCCTTCAGCGGACCAAAGCCGAAGAGAAACGCCCTCCCCAAAACCTGCATTGCTTCACACTCCCGTGCGACTTCCATTACTCAGATGAGATTCAACATCAAACATCATTCTTCTATCTGCTACCACACAAAGAAACCAAGCAGTCTTGTGACTCTGGTGTCCTTCTGACTCTGTCGTATGCACAGAAGAACGCATACGACTACAGCAAGAGCAGCTATTGATCATACGAAGTGGAAATCGAACGACGTCATCAAACAGCTCCCTCAAAAAAAAAACCTATGTATAAAGTAACCCGACTATCCCACTCGAGCTATCATCTTGCGGATTTTCACTTCCAGTAGACGAGTCCTCGTGTTCTGACCACACGTGCTTTTCTTGATCGAAATGGTGATACCCAAGAAGCTTCTTCAACAGTCCAAGGTCGCTGTGCTTCACTACCTTGGACAAAATGTTCAGTCCGTCAATGTCAACGTCATTCACCTTCGTCCAGACAGCACTGCTGCCGGCATTTTTCGAAAAGTAATCGAGAAACGCTTCAAGCGCTACGAAGTTCAGACTCTTTTTGTTCGGATGATCGATATCACCAGAGACAGGGCTGATATTCAGAAGCTCGGCTTCGCTCATCCCGCCTATAATTTCCCCGCGCCCGCTCAAGCGTTGTCGCGCCGCACAGCTTCACATGCGACAATGATCTATTGTCCGCATTCTTTATGATGTGCTTTTTTTTAGGATGCTAGCTGTCACGGATTGAAGATGCTACCTGGTGAACAAGTCAAAGAAAATTGCTCAACGTATTTTTAGATTGCTGATAAGCTTAGTTACTTAATGTTTTCCAAAGCTTGTGATAATGTCTTCTAGTAGCAATTCATCAATCACTCTTAAACGTGGCTGAACAAACCGTAGTACACCAGGCGGGGAACTACAGGTGGTACTTCCTCTGATTTTCAGGAAACAGGATTGGGACACATGATACGAAAATAAAAAAATAGCTCTCGAATCTTAAACTAATCAACCTCCTACTCAATGATAAACCAAAAAGAACAAGCCGGATTAGCAGCTACTCTTTTTTCTTTTAACACAGTCAAAGTCTGTCAGCACCGAATATTTTCATGACAGAAAACCTGCAAAATCAAATGGTAAAAACCGATCGAGGGAAGGAAATATGCAAAGCATTGTAATCAATCGGAGAGCACTCATAAGTGAAGCATCTCAAATTCAGATTCATGAGGGATCCTGCGAGAAGCGTTATTCCGAGCTTGGCGGCGATGAGATGCGGAGCAACTCATCTTGGCAGCTGCCAATTGTGATTTGTAGATTTCAATACACATAACGCAAGTCAGCATCTCCTGCTGTGGTTCTCGGGAGAGGCGTGCATCTTCTGCACCAGAGCATGACAAGAAAGGGACCTTTTTCAGAATATATAAGTATATCCGTCGGTTACGGTCATAATTGGCGGCTTGCATGTCCATACGCTCGCATTCATATTTTGATGCGTTGTCCGAATAAGGCCAACTCTCGGACTCGCGACGCGCTTTTCCTTGCTGCGATAGAGAGCATGGCTGAGACCTCGATGCGATAAGGGAAAGAGGCATCGTTATATCAACAACTATCACCATCTCAAGGGTGCATCGAAATGAAACTTCGGCGAGGACTCCCATCTTCCGTAAGCATTCTACTTGCAACCTTGAATTGCATACTTGTTTACTTGTTCGTTACATTATGTCATGTCCCCTCCAGAATGATATGCCGTTCTGTGGCTAACCCCCCAGCCGTTGGATAGAGGAAATTTTGCACAAATTTAGCACCATGTCAAAGGCTTCCATCAGCGCAGCCGTCGTAGCGTGAAAGAACCTCGCTGATTCGTACTTGATGCAAAACTCCAAAGTTTCGGCTAATGTTTGTTTAGCTTCTCTAATGCTAGCGCATTGAACCCGATTCTCTCCGTCCATTTCATCTTCTTGTGAAGAATCCTGACAAAGCATCACAATTCTTTCCAGAAAGTCCCCAATCGAAATGATATGCTGTAGGTCGTGGACAGTCTCGCGGGCTAACAAACTGAGCAGTTGCCCAACACCGATCTCGGCATGCTTCGAGGACCCCAGAACATTGCGCGGGCACAAGAATAAGGTATACAATGGAGCGAAAGTCTGACCCAGTGCTTCCTTCTCGGCCCCTTCTGTTGTTGAAGCATGCAAAGGTGGCGTAAGCCATAACCACGCCTTTTCGTCCGCTTCGAAGAATCGACTACCCGCGTACCCACAAAAGTCAGTCAGCTGCCAAACTCTTCCGGTCTTTGAGCTGTGCATCACTTTCGGGGTCAGAAATGTCAATCCATCGCCAGAAACTTCGCTTAAAATTACTGAAGCAGCACACCCCCCTAATGGTGCGACTCCTTCTCTACTTTGTGTTGCCATAGTTTCCTCGTGATCCTTCCCTCCTTGGCCCGACAATGACCCGGCCAACGTTTGCTTGCGGCATCGTGCAACTCGCGCAATCGCGTCTGCTCGTCGCTCGCCGAGGCAATCCAAGATCACGAGCTTTCTCCGACACAAGGGGCTTTGAGACAACGTGTCCAGCTCACGCTTTAGCCCAAGGTCTATGGTTTTCTGAACACAGAGCAAAACGATGCTGCATGATGCTGTTTCCCCGAGATTTCGGGAGCGCCCTGCACAACGTCGGTCCTCGCCCTTGGATACCTCTAGCAAATCCGCAAGGCTGGCGACAAGGTCCCGCGCCCGTAACTTCCACAGTGCGTCTCTGCTGCCCCCCACAGAATCGAGCGAATCGAATAGCAAAACGAGACCCAGTTTGGTTTCGTGGTCAGAGACGGACGAGTTGAAATGCTCAACCAGAATCCCTCCGCGCAGAAGGGCTATGCTCTTATCGGTCGCCATTGGGAACGAGCATGCCAACTTTGGAGTATAACGATCGTCCTCGTCCGCGATGTGATCGAGCACTTGTTGCGAAATCAAGCGAACGGAGACACGTTCTGCCATGGCGACAGGTAAACTACCTGCATCATCGCAGTCGCCCAGCACAGCTTTCCAGGCTTCCACAACAGCCCTCGCGATTTCGGAGGACGCATCAGGTTTTGGTCCGAGAATCTCTGAGAAAAACATCCCCATCCTCATCTCCTCGAGTTGGCCTCGAACAGCGTCGCGCAGTTCCGCAAAGTCATCCAGCATGGACACCTCTTGCACACACGCCAGCGCAGTAGGGCCAAGCAATAAGTCACGGCAGCGGCTCTGAGCTTCCTCGAGAAGCATGCAGAAAATTTGCAGGCGGCGATACCCACGTGGTTGCGAAGTCCCATATCCTCGGACTGCTCCCTGTTTCCATTTTTTTTTCGCAACATCGACAACACTACCATTGGAAGTAGCACTGCGCTCCGGGGTAAACCATTTTTGCGTGTGAGTAAGAAGACCAGCGCCAGTGGTATCTGATGAAACAGGCGGCTCCGCAGCTGCTAGGTTGCCGCGGCCACAACTTGCTATCTGGACACGCTCGGGACTGCCAGAAAATTCCACTGCAGCCCCTGCGTCAGGCGTCGAAGCAAGCGTCGAGGCAGTAGAGGACAGGACGCGCTCTGACAGAATCTGTCGGTGTGCTTCCCTTTCCCACTTCGAAGACTTGGCCTCCGCGTGAATGCAGTCAGGCCAACCGTGACCTTGTGCTGCTTCGTCACTTACTGGTGTTCCACAATCGCGAGAAACGCGCTGTAAAGACCCGAAATCCCTTCCCCGGTCACAACGCACGAGGAGCAACAATTCCAGACACACTCGCAAGAAAAGCCAGCCACCGGTACCATTACGCTTTTCGAGCCGCAGCGCTGAAGCAACAAGCAGCTTCTGGATCGGATGTTCTCCACTTGCAGCATTCCCTGGGAGACCATTCTTTAACACAAGCACCGCGAGGTTCGAAAAAGCGCCATCGTCACAACAAATCAAATTATGCTTCAGCTCTAGGACATCGATCAAGGTTATCGCTTCACTCATAGGGGAGAACATCTTCCTCACCTTCTTCAAAACTCTCGTTAACAGACTTATCCTTTTAAGACAAAATGGCAGATGCACGCAACAGAAAATTGAAGAGCTAAATTAAAAAACAACAACGACCCCGCCAAACTCTCAAACTTCCACTTCCGAACCCAAAGCCCTTCCACTTCTGACTCATGAACTTCTGAACTTTCCACCCAAACGCCCCAAACTTTCCACCCAAACGCTCCAAACTTTCCAACCTTTCCAAGCCTGCCAAACTTGCTTTCCAAGCTTTCTAAGCTCTTCAAGCTTGCTAACCTTTCCAAGCTTTCCAAGCTTCCCAAGCTTTCCAAGCTTTCCAAACTCTCCGAGCTTTCCAAACTTTCCCCAAACTTTCCGAGCTTTCCAAAATTTCCGAACTTATGAACTTCCGAGGCCTGCGAGTTGGTTAGATCTGACCAAGCGCAGATGGGCGCGAGCTCTAAAAACTAAGCGCTCAAGTTAGAAGCTTTACTATTTGAACCCAAAAAATTGAAAAAAGGCCCAGGAATTGGTTAGCTTTGACTCCGCGCAGATGGCCGCTAAATTTAAAATCCACGCGACAAAATCAAAACTCTCACCATTTGAACTCCGAAAGTTTTAACTTTTCAAAAATTCATGGCGATGCCCGGAAGTTTCTAAATTTTACAGCTTTCCAGTGAGGGCGTAGGCTTCGCTAAGCGCTAAAGTGTCAGGCTGAAAGCTCACACCTGAAAGCCCAAAGCTGAAGACTCAAAGTCGAAAGCCCAGCGCTGACCTGAAGGCCCAAAGCTGAAAGCTGAAAGTTGAAAGCTCAAAATTAAAAGTTCAAAATTGAAAGTTGAAGTTTGAAAATTCAAAACTGAAAACTCAAAGTGCAAAGCTGAAGGGTCAAGATTGAAAGCCGAAGGCCCAAGACTGAGGGTCCAAAGCTGAAGGCTCAAAACTGAAAGCGCGAAGCTGAAAGCCCCAGGCGAAAGGCCCACAGCTGAACGCTTAAGATTAAAGCCGGCGCCTCAATGTCTCAACGTTTCAAGCTTGAGGCTCGAAATCCAAAATTTTTGATTATATCCAATACAGGCGAAATTCGAGAAATTCCCGCCCAAAGTCTTTGATTGTATCAGAAGAGGAGGAACCTCGACAAGCTGCAAGCCCGAGCGCTGCAACTTGCACGCAAAGAAAGCCAAACCTACTAAAAGAAGAGCACACCGACACGCCAACGGCTTCGGTCTGTGCCATTTTAATCAATGGCCGCACGCCGTCCCCCGCCCCGCTCTTTTTCCAGCGATCAACGCCGCCAGACGGTTGACGGGCGGGGGAGGAGCCGGGGCAGCGGAATCGCGCCGGGGTTGAGGAAGTGCGTGCCGGCGGTGGATGATCCTAGTGGGAGGAGTGCTGCCGCGGGCGCTCAAGTCCAGTACTGAGGACAAAACTGGACACACATTTACTACAAAGCATATCTATCATATTCTTGCGAAGTATATTTTTTTGGAGCTGCGCAAAGGGCTTGGCAATTGCGTAATCACCCTTGACGGCCCTTGGCGTTTTCTGAAAAAAACAACTTGGTAGGTTTCTTCACTGTGACATCGGCGTCCAAGAGAAAGAGCCCACTCGAACCACAAGGTCAGGATTGCGCAGTCGCTCTGACAGCTTCAGTATGCTTGCTGTCACAATCATATTCTAAGGCACTCCTCCTCTTAAAGATTTTCCGCTATTGAATCTGCACTGGTGAAACCTGTTCGACACTTCGCGATGTTGGAAGATTTGCCGGAGTCACATTGGAGCCTAGCATGCTATGAGCACCTTCACTTTTCTATTTTTTGCACAGTTTTCTTTGCGTCACGTCGTCTACGCAGCATTCACATCACGATGATTATTTTGCAGAAGGAACATCCAGAAGTTCGAAATGGAAATTCTAGTTTTAGCAGGTCCTTGATACGCTTACGCAACCAAGAGGAATCGTCAATTATGTCATGTCCGTGTTACTGTCTGACTGAAATATCGTTCACATCCCACACCCGACATGCTCTCGAGCAAATGAATGGAGTCTGTGTTTTCCCCCTTATTCGTCAGTGAGGAAAGACAGATATACGGTTTCCCCATCTAGTTCTAGCTCCGCCTGAACGTGCAGCTTCAAATCCCATGTTGGATCGCTGCTTCATCGAGCTAGTTCAATTATCGCAGAAAAACTCTATTTATCCCAAATTCTCTACTTTTGCATACTGTTGCAGAACGAACAAGAGATCAAAAAATGGCGCCTTTGGATCGAGAAAACGTATCATCTTGACTTTTGAGTGTCGATGGGTCGAGGGAAAACAGCGAGCTGTTTGGCTTACCACTTGTCGTGTCCATATCTGCAATAAAAATATGAACGAGAAAGAAGGAAGTTCGCCCCACGAAAAGTGGTACAACGATCATAAGGAAGCTCATGTTTCAACGCTAGGTACTGCAGGAGCCGACACCCCTTTCATGTTGTGACACAAGGGACGAAGGACGCTGGGCACCAAAGACACGAGCAGCAGCCCGAGTCAATTCTAAGTTACGAAGTGCAGCATTCTGATATTGATTTTTTCATGACGCATTCTGTTGCTAACTTAAACACTGTTGATAAGTTGCAGCATGTCCATTTTTTGATGACATGATCAATCGCCATGATCATCTATGGGTTAGCACAAATTTGATATTTTACCTTTTCCGTGAATCTCCCGTCGCACGCTGCAACTTGTTATTGCAAGTCTTCCCCTCTAAAGGTCGTATTACTGGTGACCATTAATTTAACGCTTTCTTTGCAACCAAAAAGACAATAGTACATCAAATCTTCATCAATCATCCGTTCACGACAAACAAAAGGTCTGTCTTCATCTTCATTGAGACCCCTGAGCGACATGCGGAGACCTCCTCTCGCCGTACCAACGCGTGATCATGGGACAGGCAAAGATGGAAAAGGAATTGGCGGTGTCTGTGAGCACGCAAAACGCGAAGCATTCTTCAGGTCAATATGCGAGAAGACATCAAACGACTCTTTCCGCCTATCGCCTGGCCTAATGTCGGGGAGCTTTCCGAACGTTTTCAGGTACAAAGGTATGAAATCATCCAGAAAGCGCTCGGCCGTTGTCGGATCCTGCTCGTCGCGACACGTTGTGATTCGTGTCACTTCGTTTGCCCCATAGTTCTCTTTTGTTTTCTTTCGATGAAGTAGATAATTACGACCAATCACCCACTTGATTCTGTCTTGAGGATAAAACTTTTTCCTAAAACGTCCAAAGTCGTTTTGCGCATTGGAATCGTGCAAATAAAGCGCATGCATGAGTTCCATCCACGCCCGAAAAAAAACCTCAGCGTCCTCCTTCTTCTGAAAAGTGACATGCCCAAATCCTTGGCCGTCAAGCTGATGGATATCGCTAAAATGGGAAAAATGCGCTTGTCCAGACGCCACAATTTCGTGAACTTGCTACTCGAGTGGGGGACGCCTCCGACGAAGAACTTGCGATAGGTGCCGTCGGACCCTGGTGTCAAATATTGCGAGCCCCCTCTTCCTCTCGATATGCAAATTGAGGACGGACTTGAAGACGACGGTCCTGCTGGACACCGAATGTCGAAGTTGGCATCATAGAAGCTCGTCCAAGGCCAATCACACCACTGTGACTCTTGTTCCCTAGAAATACGTCGAACTAGTAACTCCAGGATGCCCGAGCGCAGCTCCATAGTACCAGCTCCCAAGGCACTCGAACGGTGTTCCTCCGAAGCCGGTAATTCCTACAGAACTTTCAGGGCTCTCGTCTTGCGCGCCAACGGCTGAGGTCGATGACCCGCTAATACAATGCCAACTTTTTTACCGTCGGAACTTGTGTCTGACGAGCCGCTTGGATGCGGATAGAGGAGTCTTCTGTCGTTGTCATTGATGTTCTTCTCCCCTCCTGTGCTCTAGTGATGCAAATGCGGCTCCGCCTCCGTCGACTGTTCCGATAATGGACTACGACTACCTTTATTGCGCTGATCATGACAGTCAGGTAGAAGATCAGACGAAACGTAACAAGGTTCAGTTTTGTCTGGTCTTCTGAAAGGCGGCGACTGGGCCGAGATCTGAAGATGGTCGCACGCCTCTCGAAACGTCACGCCTGGAACATAAAAACACTGTTCAGGGTCATCTTCTCTTTTCGTTGATGCTGTCCCCGCACTATCCGGTGATTGGGACGCCGGCTGCAGGGGCCCGGGTTTTTGTCCGCCAGACAAGCTGCCGATGTTCGAATGAACCCGCACGGCGTAAGTTTTGACAACACGTCCGATCAGCCGGCAAAACAAGCAGAGCACGAGACCTCCCTTCATTTTCGTAATTGCTCCCAATCAATCTTCAAGGAAAGAACAAGGTGTTTCTATTATTTACTTCGATTTATGTACAGCACCCGAGGGTGGGAATGTAGACGTTCTCCTTCTCGTGCTTGTTTCTTATTAAATTGATGGTTTCGAATCAAAAATGCAGTAAAAATGCTACTTCATCGTTCCGAATCCAAAACATGACCACTTCACAGTCACGTCCACATTAATCGAACAAATTGAGCATCTATTATCTAATTAGAAATTTCGATTTGTCGGTAAAGAAAAAGCGTGCAAGGTTGTCAAGCTCGAAATTGTTACCGAAGTAACTTCGTCTATCGGAGCGGTGACTGTTGGATGATCATTTGTCGTGAGCACTTCTGACACCGTTAGCTGTAGAAACATTCGCGCTCAAACATTGCGATCGAGGTTGGACGAACAGCAGAACTATTGCAATTTTCAATCTTTATCGCGCATCTGTCAACTAGAATTAGCAAGCCCGCAAGATTATTAGGGAAATAAAACCCCTCGTTGATTCTGTGTAGAATTTTCATTTGACTACGAATTTCCTCTCATCCATCGCCTTCTTCATCGAACAACATCTAGAATATGAGTGATGAAGAACAACACAACAGTGAGAAACGTGCTTGGATCCACAATAATAAAAACTTTACATTAATCCAAGATGCCGGCCCGCACGCGCAGGTACTTCTTGAGGAATGGGACACCCTTGACGCGAGCATCCGGATAGCGCCGCAGAATACTTAGACTTGGTCGTTTGATAATTCGCCGCCTTCCTCAATCGAGGGTGGCTCGAGGATGATTCTAGTGCTACTAAGCCTTTGTTCAGTCTCACTGTGTTTGCAACAGAAAGCTTGATATTGATGAGGTTCTTAGATTTATGAAGCCAAGCAACATGTCCATACTGAAAACCAAGTCATAAGATATTGCCCTCCAGCGTAATGCTCTGCAGCAACTCCCAGCTACCCTTAGAGCTCCAAATAATGCACTTCTTGCCTGGATTTCTCCCAATCCCAAGAAGGAAACAACAACAAGGAGAAATGACTCGTAAAAATGATTTCAATTGGTGAGCCTTAATACCCCACTCGACCGGCAGGTCGCGCAGACTGTTGTTATGGAGAAAAAGCGGTAGATTAGAATTGTAGACACTGAATGTCTTCACGTTCACCGATGATTGGTTGACAATCACAACCCCAGCTGAGTAAAGAAGAAACTACCATCAGGCTCCGAAAGGCCTCAGATATTACACAATCGGGGAGTATTTCTCAGACTCAGTCATCCATGCGTGCTGCTCTTCCTAGCACCTAATGAACGTACGACAACGAGCACGGCATTGTATCTCAAAAAATCAGTAGTACCACACGTAAAGCAATATGCAAGCAGATACAACTCACCGCGAAACGCAACTACACCAGCCTATCCAATCGTTTGAGAAGTCGTGAGGGAGAGGGATGCATTTCTTAAATAAACTAGAAGAGGCAATTTACCAGAGCGGCCTTAATCTGTATCTGAGAAACATCAGATCCGCGCGCCACAAATGTCCCCGCGTTTTCGACAGTTGTTATCTGGTTATTCGAAATGTCCAAAACACGAAGACTCTGCGGACAACGCTCGTAAAAATGAGAACAATCCAACATTGTGATGCGATTCTGAGCCATCCGCAACTCGTGCAAACGCTTCACTTCGGATACATCTGGCAGTGCAGTCAGGAAATTACGCGACAGATCCAGGAGCTGCAGATTGTGCAAATGAACGCCCGGAATACGCAACAGTGAACTAGTACAGCCTCTGCCTGCTGCGAGCGCCGTTCAACTTAGGAGGAAAAACATACTTCCAAACGCTGAAAAAATCAGCAAAAAAGTCGAAAAAACTGAAACATATTTATTCATTTTACTGCGAGGAAAAAACGAAGACCGAGCATCAGTAAAAGAGGAGGTTGGTGTTCCAACCTTTCCCAAGATATATTTTGAAAAAACGAAGACTGCCGGCAAAGGACATAAGGGGGTTGCACTTTTATCGTTGAGAGACGACAACCATTTGCACTTGACTACTGCTAAATTCCGGAGGCTACCCAACGCTGGAGCATTCTCATCGAGTTGCACCTGACACAAGAAATTTTCCTGGCCTACCGAGCCCGACACGTCCGGATGATCCACAAACTCAAGTGTCTCCCTGTCTGTACCAGCCGCTCGTCCTACGAATAAAGAACTTAAACTTTCACATTTATACGGGACAGCTTGCTGTTCGTGAGTGAAAGACGCGACTGCGTTTGAGTCAAAGCTCTCCTTTTGTTGACGGGCGTCGTTGGCCACACCGCTAAAAATGGTAGTGCCTCCCACATCCGCTGTGTGAAAGCTATCCTGGGCATAGTATGGTGCCATTCGCGTCGCTTCATGTGGTTCTCTTCTCTCATGTACATGTTGCTGCGCGTCTAGCAGAGGCGCAGGCGCGCGATCTCGAAGGTACTTTTTCAGTTGATCCGCGCTACTCTGCAGAACTTGCGGCCGAATGCTGCGGATTGCATTACCATCTAGCACGATTCGCTTTAGGGAAGTGCAGAAGCCGAGCCCGAAGGGCAATTGCGCCAAATCGTTGTTCTGCAAATCCAAGGTCTGGAGCGAAGGTGCGTGTGATTCCATTTCCTCCGGCAAGACACGCAATTTATTGTTTGACAGAATACAAACTGAGAGCCGTGGAGCGACGATGCTACCATTGGCTACGACTCCTCCCTCCAGCGACTTTACGTCAGTAGAGGATTTTTTATTTGTAGTAGACGCTAGAGGCCAACTCTGCAGCTTGTTGTGCGCCAACTGCAAGGTATCCAGGTACTCGAGGGTTGCCGTCAATCCCGTCGGATGTTCCCGCCCAGCGACGTCAGCTCTTTAGACGCAGTCGTATTTCACCATTCTGGTTCGACAAACTATCCCGAGGCAGTCTCTCGAAATTCAGGCTTTTCGTTTGGCCTAGCTCAGATTGAAAAACCACTACTCCTAGCCATAATTCTTAGTGATCTCCGAGGCACTGCAGATACTCGTAAGCTGGTTCCGTGCCGCTGAGCACACACGCAAATGTGGAAACACCGAAATATTCAGTGTGGATAAAGAATTTCCATCCAGTTCGAGTTCGACAAGCGCCGGCCACAGTTGCAGACCACCACCTGCAGCTGACGGAAAAGACCCTTGTAGCCGATTGCTCTTCAGGTTCAGCTTCACCAAATTAGGAAGATGATGAGCGAGCAGGTTGAAGCGAGAAAGCAGGTTCTTTTCTGCGTGAAGCACCCCTAACTCACAAGGTGTAATCATCTCATCGCGTTCGCGACCATGAAACTTTTTGAAGGCTTCACCAGGTCGAGGGCCTGTTCTGGTTTTCAATAGACCGTGACCTTCCCCATTGGGGACGGCGTAGATCTCCTCTATACCATTGCCTCCGCAACGCAATTCCACAATCTGCTTGGGAACGCAAAAGACGCCTCTTAATGCGTTATTCCGAACGTCAAGCACTTTGAGCCCATTTAATTTCTCCAGATCCACTCCGGAGACACTTTCTAAGCGATTATCTTGTAGGAGGAGTTGTTCTGCGTGCATCAAGAGAGGGATGGAGCTGAAACCTCGTGGCAGAGAAACCAAGCGATTTCCGCTGAAATCCACCCGCCGAACTTCTTCGGCTTCCCACCATTTCACAGCATCCGGCTCAGAACGTTTCTGGCTCCCCTGACGAAAAAACGCTTCGTTGCGTTGCAACCGCCCCGATTCTCTAACCCCGCTGCTCGTAGACGTTGAGAACGCGGAATCAAGCTGTCCACCGAGTTGCTGTCGCTCTAGGCTCCTTTGCTGGCCGGGCCCCACACGACCAGGAGCTCCAAGGCCGTCCCACTTTTGATCAATCTGTGAAGGGCAAAAACCTGCCTGAGGCCGACCGTTTCCAAATCCGAAACATTCTGTCTTCCCCTCGATACCAGCATCAAGCAAATCTAGTGGCCGGAAAAGCGGGTGCGTGTCAACCGGAAGCACAGAGAGACCCAGCCCGGAAATGGATAAAGTCTTGTCTCGTTTGGCGCGTTCGATCGCAGCTTCAACCGCTCGTTGATGTGCAGCTTCGTCTGCGGTTCTCTGCTGCAATTGTTGATGTAGCCGCATCTTTCTTCTCTCGAGTGAGCTTCCCTTCGAGACGCGTTTGTCTGATTGGAGCGTCTTTGTGTCATCGAAAAAGGCCACGTAGAAGCAGCACACAAATTCTGGGCAGGGGGCGCAGCGCCGATCACGCGTCTCAAAGACTTTTTTACAATGGCACCTCAAGCTTCACCAGCCTGCTGCTCCTCTACCACACATCATACTGACGCATGATCATCTGCTTGTTATAGTACATCGTCATGCAAAATCAAAGAATCATGGTTGTACACTATGCACTTCGTTAGTATGAGTAAGAGTAAGTCACAACTGAAAATATCTTAGTTGCTTCTAAGCATCATGATAAAACTTCGCCCAATGACCTTTTTGCAAAGCTGAAAAAACCCAGAGCCGGCTCAATTTCACGAGAAATGGATCACGTGAAAAAGTGAAAGTACGATGAACTTAGAACTATTGCCCTGGAGCTGTAATTCATACACCACTTGAACTGAACACCGTCTAGCTTCCATCGAGTAAAGGTCACCCAGAGAGTTGACTCTGTGCTGATTGGATAAAACATCCATTCTTTAATGATCTTCCGTTTACTTGCTTAGGCTTACCGCTGTCAAGGTGGTGTCTCATTCCCGTCAAAACCCTTGCCTATACATGTCCTATGGAAATAGGCGTCATGCATTGCTCCCTAGCTTCGTTGCCTCCCAGTTTTCCAGGTTCCGGACTAGGGTGCGAGACCAACGATCACCAGGCATGACCCTTTCTCCCCGGTCGTGCGTCAAAGTTGAATCCGAGCTGAGAAACAGAAGTGGAATGCAAGACTGATTGGAGAAAAGGAAACCGAAACGAGAAAACGATAACATGAAATATAGTTACAAGCAACACCTAATTCATTGATTCACCAGTGCCTGATGCAGCAAGCAACACCTAATTCATTGATTCACCAGTGCCTGATGCAGAAACGCGTATCAGAGTTTTCTGCTTGAGTACTATCAAGACATTCACTCGCTTCTAACGAAGTACACAACTAACTGTAAACGATTTGATACTGACTCCTCGTGACTGTCGTTTTCTGTAGCTTCCGGTCTGGACCGTACCCGTTTTTCCCAACGTATCCTGGCTTCTTCGTCCATTTGACTCCTTCTAGCACCTCTTTGTTGATCAAGAACGGAGGCTTTACCTGAATTATAAAATCCAAGGCTATAAATCTATGTTATAATGATTCAGAAATTGCTTCTATCAGCATATTGCAGTGGATTCGATTTTCTTATCACCCGTACCTGTTCATCACCTTCATCTTAGCAAAATTCCAATACGAATACCAGAGTATCGACTGATTTCTATTCCTTAGTCTGCTGTATCTGTCTACTTAAAAATACCGTTCTTCGATGAGGTTTCCACTCGCCTTCAACACCGTCGGGCACCCAACTTCCAACCATCCTGCGGCTATCCGTTCGTACGTGCGGCAAGGAGAAGTAAGAGAAACTGTTCCGTGTGAAAGAGTCTGCAGGGCCGTTGCGAGCTGCTGTGTGCACGATCTTGCGACTTGAATTCCGTCCCGTGACAGAATCCATCCACTTCGATGGAACACTGCCATGCCATTCGGGCATGTAACCATGATTGTGACTCTCGTGCGGAATCCCACACGATGGGTGGCCTGGCGGTGCAAACCTAAGGAAGGAAAACAAGAGCGAATGCTTCGTATAAATACTAATCCGATTATTTCACAATTTACATTCTGGAACTAGAGCACGACGACAAGTAAACACGATTTTTTCTGCTGTCAACTTCAGACCCGCTGTAGTACGAGGCCACCGAAGTCTACCGTTGGCTGTAATCATCGAAAAACTGCAGCATAGACCAGCTGTGAGAAAAAAACAACCTGGCAGTGAAGCTCGGGTCGTAGCCTGGATCTTTGAGAGGTACTGGCGTGGGACCCTGCACCGCTGCTCTTCCAGCACAGCATGGTGCACCTGCTGCCCGTAGATGCTTGTTTGCTATAATCTCGTCAACATTTAGTCTCGACACTGAAGTCGCGTTGTCGATAGCACGATGTCGAATATTGTAACCCACGTCTTTGGCAAGTGGCATCGCCGAGCTACTCGTAGCACCAGATACTGTCGCCATCTTCAGAACTAATCGCTGTTCAGGCGGAAAATCGATAACAGACACTAGCAGATGGGTCCCAATCAAATCGTGTTGACAACTACAAGAACTAAATAGATGAAGAAAGATTAAGATAGTTCTGGTTAGGAAGAAATCCAACGGTTTCTTATGAGGTAGCGACTCTACTTCGTCGTGCCAGCAGGCCAACGTGGTGAAACTCATCTATCAATGAGCTACGTCATCCGAACTGTAGGATTATAGCGTAAAACTCCACAACACTACAGCACAAGTTACTGTCATTTCAAGTTGTCAATCGAATCTTGTTTAAGTTCCTCTGAGATATCATACTTGTAAGTACATTAATTAGAGGGTTTCTCAGCACAATAACATGTGACCTGGTGGCCTACAGCAGCACTATGAGTGAGGGAAGTGAGGGCGAAAGGAGACTGAACTTTCCTTCCCACTATTTCCTTGCGTTCCACTTCCAGACTGATCATCTAATGACTCATCCAGGACACTTACCGACTGTCAGCATATCCGCCGTATCACACGACGGAGATTCGTCGAACTGGTACCGATCTTTGTCACCTCCAAGAGTAGGACCGGGAAACTTGCAGGCTCGACAGATTATTCTGTGCATCATCATAGCTAAGACTGACTGAAGACCACGGACGAAGCATTGCCAAGTAACTTCAGCACTCGATGATTCTCAAACTCAATGTGCATCTACATAATGGGTATACTGGCAAGTCGTACTTCTCTCTCCAGAACAGTAACGAGTCGCATTTTTTGCGACAAACGCTCAACACTTACGCGTCGACAAAAATGTGCCTCACTTTTCTCGCACTGAGAAAGATCAGACACAGACTGCTACCTTCTCATTAAAAAACCCGTACATCGCGACTCGAGTTGCCAAGTGCAGGACATGGAGATTCAAGTCCCAATAGGAACGAATCTTGACAGGGCTGCTCGGGGCAGCAAAGATGCATTTCTATATCTCATGAGGCAAGGGTTGCAACTCCGAAGTCGCACGTGGCTGCTAGAACCTTCCCAATTGTTCATCACACGCTTACAGGGGACGTCATTATGTGTCAAGAAGAAACCCAAGATCACTTACCTCCCCCCATGCAAATTCTTTTTGTATTTTAATACCGTTACCGAATTCTCGAAAAGCAGTGTATTAATGAATTGGAATTTTTGCTTGAAAAATGGTTGCCTCGGTTTCTACATTCTCGATCGCCAATATAAATTTGTGATAAATTTAGATAGTACAGAACTTCGACCCCAACACTCGGGCCTCCTCTGGCGTCTGGTGCTGGTCCCCGCGAAGATACAATAGTTTGCAGATCTTGAATGCAAAGCAGCACTATCCCAAGACAGAAATGATAGATTTTTCCAGTAGGTGTCGATATCGTCGATATCTTCCTGATACTGCAATAAATGTTGGTAGTTACACCAAGTGGTAGCTAATTGTCTATAAAGGCGTTTGCAAAACAAAGAGTAAAGACGTCACAAAATTCGAACACCCCAAACTCAGAATCTCATCGAAGACAACAAGATGGAGAATGAGGAGGGCATACATATTTTCTGGAGGTAATTTTTGGCGTCTGAAATCCTCCAATTCCTCCATCCTTTGGTGCCTGTACTTAGGTATGAAGCCAGAGAACAGGCGGAAGATATGAAAGTACAAATCAGACTGATTTCGATGATGTTAGTCGGTTCCGATTGGACCTACGACTTCCCTGACTCTCTTCTGTGTTCTACGGGTTTCGCTGATGTTGAAGCTGTGAGGGCGTTGCTCCTGTCCCTACCGCAGCGCTACTCCTTGTGGGAGGGAAGTTCTCGCTACTCGCGTTTCCCTCTGTTATGCTCTTTCAACGTTTCCCTCTGTTATGCTCTTCCAGAATAATTTTAATCATGAACAATAATCCTTATTTTGATTCGTTAGGATGTCTAACACACTCTCGTCATATTTCATCCGACATTGCCAATTGCATGCTCCACCCAGTTCCAGGATGACGAGCCAACCACTCTCAGAGACGATCAGCACCTTCGCCAGTAGACCCTCACACATTCACATATTCATTCACATATGCGTTGGAGACATCAGGCTCCAGGCTCAAAACCTCTTATACACTGGGTCACATACTTAAATCTCAACAAGAAGAACATGATGCAATTACAACGATGTTGAAAAAGATTTAGAATCAATAAAAGATTGCCAGTCTGCCGTTATTAATGGACTTATTCCAGAAAAAGAAGCCGCGACAGGTACAAAGACCAGTCCTCACGGCCGTGCGAAGAGAAAGCAATTGGCGTCTATCATCTGCTCCGTGACTACCATGTCCCAGGCCAGATCCGCCGGGTGCTGCAGAGTTTGCACTTCAAGCAAAAACTTGCTTCCCGCTTCGCGCCGCCTGATTTTGGACAGAAAATGTTATCTAAGCTAGCGTCGTGGAAAAGTTACTTTATTGTCTTCAATAACCAAAAATAGCTCCCGGAAACAGGATATTATTCACGTGTTTAGATGCTGCGAAAATCCAAGAAGCCGCAATATGTTGAAAGTACTTTGGATCGCAGATCATGCCTTGGCCTTGCATTCCCGAGAGACCTGACAGTCGTCGGGGCCGATTCTCGGTAGTCACGTAATAGGGGTAATCCGATACAAACTGCCACCAGAGGGCGTGCATCTTGTCGAAGCCAGGATCTTCTCGTCCGCTAAGTTTCGGCAATCGCAGCTCAGTAAGTTCGTAAACAACGCACCAGCAAATATGCAACAGTGTCGGCATCCACTCCTTTTTCATCTTCTCGACAGCCGCGAAGTTTGGAGCATGAAGAAACAATAACGCCAAGCCCTCATCGACGATGGGAGGACTCTGGTGTTTCGCAGGCGGAAACCTAGCTGTGGCAGCGCTTGCCCAAGGGGCCACTTTCGTCGTGGCAGGCGTCTTTGGCTGACGAGGCTGCTTGGCACTGCCACAACGCTCCTTCATATTCTCTTTTTTCGATTTTTTTGCTTGTTCATCCCGCTTTCTTGCCAAAATCTGCACGGCCATGAGCTGTTTCGCATTTAGATCGTCAAACATCCGTTTGACACGAGGGCGCCGAAGAAGCCATGCATCCAGTCCACGCTTAATTCGTTTATCCCTCGCGAGGAGCTCCACGTCCCACGCCAAGTCCTGAATATGCTCTTCATCATCGAGCCCCGATGGAACATCAAGACCTCCAGCACTGGAACCACTCTGCTTGGCGTCCTGCTGGGCCTGCGTAATGAGCTCGCGCGCAAGCAGCCATAATTCGAGCGCGCTGTCAGGAACCTCGTTCAAGAACCTCGCCGGCCCTGGCAATCTCACAGCTCCTGAAGCCGATGCACTCTCATGTTCCCCGCTCCTGCCAGAACCCGGCGTCCGCGGATCGCACCTTTGTTCATCACGAAGACCAGGTGCTCCCAGAATACTTCCCGTGTAGGAAATGACAGGTTTCGCTGCCGTTGCTGGAGACCCCTCTGGGCATGCTGGAGCCTGCGAGAAAACATCAGCAGCCGCGAATCGTCCGCGCGGGTGCAGAGAGACGTGGTGCTGGACTTGAGACAATAAAAGCGGTTGTGGTAGTCGGCGCCTCAAATCGCCCCGCGCGCTCCCTTGATTTTTCGATCCCTGCTCCGACATTCGTGGGGTCGGAGCGCTTGCACCATTTCCGGACAGTGGTGTGCCACTGCATGATTCCTGATCAGGGCGCGGCGGCATCTGCCATACTTTTTCCCGAGGTATCACAACCGCCGGGAACATTTGGCGCGAACGCAGCAGCGCTAGGTATTGCATTCCGAGCTCGCGGCCGTAATCTCCTTTCACGACATCCTGAGGGTCGTGAGCGCAAACAAAAGCGCGCATTCGCTTGTTTAGCGCCTCTTCTCCCGCAAAGCCTACCAGCAACGCTTGCTTGCTGAGCACCTCTTTCAGCTGCTCAAGGTGTAACTCTCCTCCGACGTCCACCATGGCGTTCGCGTGATCGGCGTCATGCGTGGTTGAACTTGGCAGGTTATGCACCAAATCCACGATCCGTTTGGCGTCCGCGAGGTGCACCGCATAAAAATCTGGAAACTTGCGCAACAGGGCACGATTCCACACCGCATCAAAGTTCGGTAGTGTTCCCGGTAAGAGACCGGGTGCTCCGCATTCCGCAACATAGCTTGATGTGGTCGTCGCTGATGTAGATGGAGGCTCACCCGCCTCGACTGCGCTCGTATCAGCACCTTCTACATCATTACCCGATACTGGCGGTGCTATTTTATCTTCACCAGGACTCTGTTGTGGTTTGTTCTGCTCCTTTTTAGAGAACGACGCGGACAGCACCTCCACACGAGCGCTGACGGTCTCCGCGACTAAACGACGCAACCCTCCTACCGGCGGTGTGCGGACAGAAGTGAACACGGCGGATTGGTCCAGAGCATCCAGTAAGAGAGTATTCAGAAGAAATCCCTCTAGCACCAGCTGCTTCCACACCTGAGAAGTGCTAAGCCGCTGCTCCGTTAGGTCCCAATTGAAGGCGCCACTCTTCTTGTCCGCGTCACGGCGAAACAAGGGGCGAAACACCGCCACCAGTTCTTGCCACAATGTGGGACGCCCTTGGACAGCGTCCTGAAAATACCGCGAAGCTTTAGCAGACAACTGCTTTAAGTACGAAGTAACACAGCTCGCGATATCTTCTGGACCGAAGGCTGGAGTGCTGCTTCCGCGACTTGTCGCTGCTGCGTTAGATGCACCTTCGCCTGAATGTTCTGGCGCCTTCTTCCCTGCAATGCCTTCTCGGCTGATGGCGGTGGTCAAACTTAGTTCCGCATAATGGCGAGCCATGCGCGCGTGCGCCTTCGCAAAGATCACTGCAAGCTCAGCCTGTAGCGCATCCGCACACTAAATAAGAGCAGAGAGGTCATTGATAAGTAAGAATGGTGATTACCTGCGTTTCTCTCGCTCAGAGTCATTGTTCTCCCTGATCAGTATTCCGCAACTGTCTTCGTTTCGTTGCACTTCTAATTAATGATAGTCCTCATTTACTACTGAGTGAATCTGAATCTGAATTGTCGTTATTAAAAATAGTACTTACTCATCTGCTACTTCTACTAAGTGAATTGTCGAAAGCCTTAAGATCACCAAGCCTTCTAGTCTCTTCATTGGGGCCAATCGTCCCCTTCTTAAAAGGTCCAAATCGTGGATGAGCACTCCGAATTATCGCAGTCCTTTCATTGGGGGAGTTCGCCTTGCTCTTGAATTCTTGCGTAGCAGAGCTAGTATGTCCTTCCAACTCGAATCGCTTCTTCTTACTCAGCTGAATTCCACCCAGAGCGAGCTTCTCGGAAATTTCCGTCAACAAGCTTCGCCATTCTTTCACCTTGTCCGCAATCTCACTGCTCTCTAGTATCTCCGAATGCAAACGTTGCATAGCCTCTGAAGCCGGAACATAAGTCAGATCTGACGTCGTCTCTTGAAAAGCTGGAGCAGTCGGGGTTGATTCGCGTGAAAAATTAGGGCTGTCCATAATTCATTATACACGGTGTGCATCGCTAGAAAAGACGTCCGAGCTTTACAGCATATTCTTCATCACATGATAGGAGAGGTCGCAACAAATAACGACAGCGTTCTTTTTTACTTGTGCCCTTAAATGCGACCACCACATATGCAGCGGGTGCCGCGGGTGTTTTTCCTTGCGATTTTTCCGATTTGTTGCGAGAAATCAGCGATGTAGGATTGTTGGTTGCTCCAGATGAAGCACCGTTCTGCACCGACGCCTTGCTAGCCTGCCCGCGCCTGTACACTTCAACCTCGCGACAACGGGGAAAGACCACACGAGTCACATAATTCGCACTCAAGTCGAGGAAGCGTTCGTCTTGGTGCTTGCTGGTATCCTCTTCCAACTGCTGCTCGAGCTCGAGCCACTCCAGAACGGCCAGGCTCGTTTTCATCAACACGGATCCGTCATGGGGGATTACTTCGGCATCAACAGAGCTCCAGCTCTCCTTTTGGCATACCGGCAAGGTCTCCCCTGTGGAAGTCCCCGGCGAACCTTCTACTGTAGCGCCGCTCCAGCGAGTGACCTGTTGACGCTTTTTTGTGAAGCTTTCACGCCAACGTGCAAACACAATCTCCCCGCTGCCATCCTCTTGGCTGTCTTGTGCCTCCCCTTCTTCCGGCAGGCCCACGCCAGCAGCAACACCAGAAAGAGACAAGCTCGGTGCACTCTGATGAATGACTTGCATCGCGTCACCAGGCTCCAAATCATCTGCCTTGCTTCGATCGACTCTAGCGTGCTCGTTGAGGTGCTGCCATGTACCCGAGGACGTTGCCGTTAGCCAAGGCTGACAAGCTTCATCCGGAGCGACTGCTTTTCTTGCCACGGTATCCCCAGACGCCGCAGCCCGTGCGGAACTGAATGGCAGAAACGGGTCAATCCTGGTAGAGCTGTCTGTGTACGACGTGTCCACGAGGTTCTGCACAATTTTCATAAATTTTGGACGCTCAGCCATGAAACTCGTCGGCTGCTCGTTGCGAACCCGATAGGCCTCGTAACTTGGCGAAAAGACTACCTCAGCAATGTAGCGATCCCATGCCGCTTGCTGCACATCACGAAGAGCCCGCCAAACCGCAATAGGGCTATCATCTGCGGTTCTCGAGATTCGCTCGGCAGGCCGGGTGCCGTGGTTCGAGCACAAGGAATCGGAGCGCGTCGTGCTTCCAAGCAGAGGACACTCCTCGCAGCTGCTCTCTTTATTGCCGTCGACGCCTTTCTGCTCCGTGACAGGACAGGACTCGGCTTGTTCTACGCGCGGAGGTTCCTCCGCTCCCGCTGGAAATAAAGGGGCCGGAAGTTTTGCATCACACTGAAAAGACTCATCTGTCTTTGGAGTAATCTCTTGTCGGGTCGCACGTTTCGTTTTGGAGTACTCTCTTGTCGGGTCGCACGACTGAGCGTCTTGTGAAGCTTTTGCGCAAGCCGAAGCCGAAGCAGACGGCTCATTGCACTCTCTCGCCACTGGTGCCGCACTCTCGTCGTCCACCTCCATCGCATTCACGTCATTGCTCTTGTCAACTTGTCCACTTGCGGCACCACCTGCCTTAGTACTATCTGCATTTGACGCCGTATCACAAACTAGACCCAGTTGCCGCAAATTTTTCTTCGCCGGTTCGGCCGCTGCTTCGAAACGATCTTGTTCGTGGGGATCACCCGCCTGTAGCTCGTCAGCGATGCCTTTACAAACATTTTTCAGTGTCTCCGGCCCTACAGAAACGCCGGCTTCTTTCAGAATACCGGAAAGGGCTTCCAAATCGCCTTGCGGTCCTCCTGCTATACTGTACACAAGTGACTCCATAATTGCACCGCACTGCTGCGTCGCATTAGCGGCTACCTCTGTCTTTTGCGCGGCTTGCGGCGTGACAACACACCCGTTTTGCGTCGCACTGGCGTCGGGAAGGGCCACACCAACAGCATGGTGATCGCAGGGCCCGACACTAGCGTTAGCGCACGGTCGCCGCGCAGGGGAGCTCTTTGCAGATGCAGAGCGGCTATCGCTATATCCATGGAACGCTTTCACCAAATTAAATCCTCCATCAGCGGTTGCCGACTGTCCGGCTTTTTTTTCTGACTGGCATGCTCTTTGCTTGGTCAGCAGCGTTGCTTCTCTTTCCGCAGAGACGGCGCAACCTTCTTGTGACGCCGGAGATTCCGGAGCGGTCACACGCGTGGCTTCTGAATCTGGCAAGCATGTCGAAGACGAAGCTTCGTCTAGCCCTAGACCCTGCTTCCTCGACACAACATCCGCATCCGATGCCTCTTTCGCAGCGGTGCTGGCCCTTTTCTCTCTTCTCCTCTGTCGCTGGGCGGCTCTCTTCATCGCCCTCTGGCTGTTGTTGGCGTTTACACGTGCAGTCTCGCTCTCGCCAGAGTTTTTGCTTTGCAATGCCGCGTCTGGCATCGCAGGGTCCTCGTCGAGTGATTCTCCTTCATTCCCATCTTCATCACCACCAGCCAATGCACCCGCGGCCTCGGTCGACGGACTGTGGGTTGTCGTCGTTATTTTTCCTTCATCCTCATTTTCAGAGGACTGCAGGGTTGCGAACCTGTTCTGGACTTCGAGATGTTGCGCTGGCTGGGATGCTCCGTGCCGAGCACGCGTCCCGGAAGAGAGAACTGTCATTGGAATAGCATCACGTGGAAGGGGACCGTTCCCATCATCACTTGCAGGTCGCATGTCCTCCCCAGGCGGCGCACCATCTTTCGCGTCAAGGCCTTGTGACTGCCTGTTGGGAGTTGAACTTGAAGCAGGCGCAGGTGTAAGATCGGGAGACGAAGCCGGTAAATGTGGCTCAGCACCTCCCGGACCATCCTCGCTATCCAAGGGGTCTGCATGCGACTCCGCGCTTGGTTGAGTGGGCCCTTGTAGTGGGCTGCTGCCAGCGCATTTTGCGGATGGTCCAGTCGGTGCTTCCGCACCACAGGCAACCGGTTGCCAAGTAACGCTAGCACTTCTACGCGCTGCCGGCATGGTACGGTTAGGTTGCGCTTGCCGTGCGTTGGCGTCACCGCGCACAACACACGCCCATGAAGGCGAGTCCCCTGCCGGTGTCTGCGTCGGTGACGTTTCCGCAGATCTCTTGATGAAAGGGTCATCGTCTCGCGACGCTGTTGGCAAGTAAGCTTTGTCTACTTCCTCATGTGGTGTAATGTGAATGTCGTCCATTCCGGTCGAAGGAAGTGGCTCTCGTTGTACTTGTACGTCGGCCGTGGATTGCATATTACTGGAAAAAGTAGGACATGCTTCGTCTGCAGTATGGAGGTCTGGTGCTGGTGGAGTACTGCAACGCGGAACAAAATCCGATCCTATACGCGTAGTGGCGCAGTCAGAGCTCGCGTCCGTGCTGGAAGCTTCGGAATTTGATCCACGATCCTCGTTTCGATCATCGCATCGTGCCTTCGTACATTCGTCGCCGCACACACTCTGTTCCATGTCAATGTCGCTATCGCATATGCTGTGTGAATCATCGCCCCAACACCTCCCGGAGTCGCTACACGCGCCGCTCACAAACCTTGCTCTTCCATGGAAAAGAGGTGAGGACCTTGACACTTGTAGCGCACTGGCATTCCTTTCCTTCATCCGTTCCAACATTCTCGAATTCTCGCTGTCAGCCGCAGTTGTGTCCTCCTTGCCAGCTGCAGCCGCGAAAAAGAACGGTGATGTGGTGGCTTGACTGACAGACTCCGATGAATGACTTCCGAATGCACCTCGTGGGCTCCATTCTTCGTCAGCAATCGCCCGTTCCTCTTCACCGATCTCCATTCGGGAAAATTGCAAGCACACCTCTTTGTAGGACAAAACTTGTGTTGCTTCATCATCGTCAGCAGCGCTTTGTGCCTCTCTTCTTTCCTCTTGTTGCATAAAAGATCTTGGCGTAACCGTAAGCGCGTGTGCGCTCGCTTGCACTGGGGTGAGCGACTCACCTGCAGCAAGACCAAACGCATGGTGGAGGTCAGGAAAGGAATTATAAGTGCCTGGCTGTAGAGAGGTCGCGTCGCACCATGGGTATGCCCCATGCTGCCACCCATGCCAGTACGCTGTGCCGGCCACATTAGATAGAGATGAATTGTCCGTGGGTGCCACGGTTGCACGATGTTCCGGAGTCAGTTGTTCATGGCCGTCGTGGTGAGTATTCACATCACCTGCTGCACTAGTCGAGCCACGTGGTACCCAAATCGGACAGCACATGTACTCGACCGGACCTCGCGGGGTCTGAGCAACGCCTCCGATCGGCATCGCCATCTTGCTAGCCACATTGCCATCTGTACCTTCGCCAAGCATTTGAGGGTGCATGTTGTGCCATCCATGCGCCACTGCAGCAGACGCCGATCCTCCCGCGACTAGCTGACGACCTTCCCACGCACCTTCCGTCCCAAGCTGAGCTGCTTGCTGCCATGCTTTAACTGCGAGCACCGAACAGCCGTCGACTACTTGCTGCGCGGCAGAGCCCGAAGTTGCGCTACCAATTGGAGCAGGACTTGGCATGGGCGACGCGCTTGTGCCGCGACCATCCAGCGAGCTCTCTCCAGAGCTGCTGCTCTCTTCCTCGATACTGACCTGCGCAATTTCTGGAATCGTGTGTCTCAGCAGGTCGGAGGGATCGTGTGTCAGTACTGCCTCAAAAAACTGCCGCACTTTTTGCTTTCCAATTCCGTCCTGCCTGAAGAAGTTGAGTCCCTCGTCAGCGAGAGTTTTCAATTCACCTGCAGTAAAAAACGTTTGAAAAAAAGATTCCAAGTGAGGGCTTCTCGGACGCCCATACAGCGGCTTCACCACGACGCTCACGAAGGCACGGAGAAGCGACGTTACTAGTTTATCGCTCATCTCGAAATACGCCATCCTTTGACCCCACAAAGTATGCGCATCCTCGAAAACCGACGCCGCTGCTAGCCTCTCAACGTCTGCAAGGGTTGCAAGGGTTTCATCCACAATCATTGGCTCTGTGCCCGTGCTGCCAGGCTCGCCACTTCTAGATTGTGCGTCAAGAAGTTTCTTGAACCCAACGATCAAAAGTGCCCACGCTCTTCCGGATACATCTTCCGAATGAAACACAAATCGGGCGACTCCCTGTTTGTGCAATGCTAGTTTTAGGACGACAAGCACCCCATTTAACAAAGGTTCCGCGCGAAGAGTCTGCGTCACCGCGTCTTCGAGCTCGCGAGCGTGCTTTGAAGTGGCAACCATATCGTCATGAAGGAACACACGGATTAGCCTGAAGTCGTTTCGACCGCTGGGCGACGTGGAACCGGTTAACGTGGTTGTCGGCAACTGATCATGGTGCACTTGATGTTGCTGATACCCAGATGACGAAGTGCTTCGAAGACTATTCGTGCTATCTCCGAGAGGATCGGAAGAGCCTCCGAACAACTTCGACCACACCTCGCCCTTACCTGAAGTCCGGTGGGACGCTGTCTGCCTTTGCCACATGTTTGGTTCAGCCTGAAACTCTGCCACCACTTCCACAAAGTCTGAGGATTTAGAGCTCCGCAAGTAGTGCCATGCTCTTCGGTCCTGTTCCGTCTCGAAGACTTGAACAGGCATTCGACCGCGTGCAGCAGCAGCACCTCTGCTAGGAGGCTGTTGGGCGTTCATATGGTATCCTTGCTCGCGTGCTCCGAAGTTGCCACGCCCCCCTGCTCCGGCTGCGCTGGTGCCGTCTCGATGATCACTAGTATCACGACCGGGTCGCAGATCCAGTGCCAGTGCACTTTGCGTCAAGAAGCGTGCAAAAGCTTCGGAAAGGGCGCCAAACGAATCCACTGATGACGGAGCAGTAATGTCCACGCGATTCCCTGCCATAGCCTTTGCAACGATTGCATTGCGGCTTGCTCGTTCCAACATGGATACGAGATGCCCCGCCAAGCTATCATCTCCGAAGTCGGTTGCATGTACACCAGCCGCCACGTTTGCATCCGCCGAGCACGCTGAGATCAGAGAAGCTCCTTTTGCAGGGCTCTCTGGAGCAGCTCTGTCACAGGACTCGGACGAGACTGACCGCGCACGCCGCCCGGGCGTATGGTCGTCCGTTGTTCCGCCAGTGCCATCACTCCTAGCAGGCGCAGAGCTAAAGATCGGCGGAGGACGTACTTCTGATTAGAACAAGACGCAGAGCTCACGTTAATCCGTCTCGTTTTTTACCAAGCGCAGCTCCAATATTGTAGATACTTTTAGTCGTTTAACGGTTAAACATTCAGGCGCCATTATTCGTCTCGTGCGAGTACTTCGAAATATCCCCTATTGTGGCACTCATGCCTAATATTTGTGATTGAAGCTAAAGGTCTCATTATGTAGTCCTTTACACCATAGTCTAGCGCTGCAGCTCCTTGATCTTTTTTATCCGCAAGCCCTGCGAGACCACGTCCCGACAGCCGTACATCGAGCGCCGCTCCCGGCCAAAGCGCCGCCTCCCCTCGAGCCGAGCTCCCGACGACTTCTACGGCCAGGTCGTCCCGCCACCGACCAAACTCTGGCGATTGCAACAACCAAACTAGGTGCACAAACAGCGTCTTCCGAATGTTTTCTTCCACCCTCGAGAACCCGAACGCGGACGGAAGTAAGCCGCGGACTCCCACACCTGGTGCTGCGGACGAGCTACAAGCTGCGGACGCAACTCTACCGCTTCCTGAGGAGTGGCTGCTATCGACCCTCTTTCTCGGAACGGTGGGTCGGGACTCGCGCGGGAGTGCCAGAACCCGGGCATGCGTCACCGATACAAACAATGACAACACGGCTAGGGCAGACACAAGCATCATGTTCTTGATACTTAAATCGCTTCCATTACCAGACTACAAGAACGTTTAAGAATATCATATGCACTACTTGAGCGAAACGGGAGAAAGGTATAAAAATGCAAAAAAATACATTGTTTTGATAAAATAGGATCCAGCTGTACTGTCTTATGCACTGTTTATGAAAAGAAATCTATCACGACCAGAAGAAATAAGAGAAAGATCAAAATCAGTCGTGGAGCCGAGTCCTACATCATCCGTGTATCTATCTTCAGATGAAATAATCTACATGTACATACATAATAATAATGATTACGCAGCGAGTGTTTCCATGCATCGCACGGCATTGAAGTCTTCGATACAAACAATTAGGATACTTAATTGATAGTTCTAAAACATTGCAGGAAATCGAGGGTTAAAGCCCCTATTGCTCATCGAGGATCAGACGAAATCATAGAACTCTGGAGTGAACAAGTGCTTGACCCATCGCATGAAGCTCTAGCAAACCAACATCGAAAGGAATTGAAAACACGAGGAATGGCTCCAGCCCACGCTAACTACCGAAGATTCACATGCTGTATCACTGCGTTCCAGAACTTGCATAGCTTGTCAGTGTGTTGCCAACTTCAGGATTCCAGGAAGGATATTCATCTTCTGCTCACAACAAAATTTCACAAGAAGTAACCACAACATTGTCTTCCAGGAGGAACACACAAGGACAAAACTCACTGGTGCAGTGACTAGTACAATTTTGTTCCTAGTATGATCAGCATTATATTGTCATCTCAGTCTCTGTCAAACTCGACAGAAACTACCATGTATTGGACAACCAGCCGGACAACCCACTCTCTATCTGCTGCTCTCAAAAACCGACACAAGATTATTTCCCTACTGCGTTTGAGTGACTGTGCAGGAAATATAGGAGAACAGAAGTCTGTGTCGAGTTCGGTGAAGACAGTGGAACACACCACGCGAAAAACCAAGAACATGCCAGGAACTACTTTTTACGTGTATCATTCATGTATAAGAAAAGGAGAAGATCACATTATCCATCGGGATGTGGATCGTTGAGAAGAAAAGTCTGTAGAGGTTTTCATAAATTACCAGAAGAGGCAGCCTGAAAACACTGTGCGCCACCAGGCACTTCAGCGTTATCAATCGTTCATTTGCCGTCCGGCAAATAGTTGTCAAAGAGATCAGTCATTTGTCAATAGATGTTGTCGTGCGAACTGGGGTCGCTCGATGTTGTTGTGGAGGTATTTTCGTTTCATTTGTTTTCAACATGCTTCAATAGATTTAGGACAAACACTCTTCAGCTTCTGCCGCTCTGCCGTTGCAAAGCCCATTCCTGTCGCTGTGCATGTTTGCCATGGTCATCATCATTTTCTCGGGACACTGGATATTTCATGCGATAGACCTTAGGTTGGTTAGTGAGTGCGCTTCTGCATGAGGATGATAAGGAGCACCTGCTCGACCAATGCTAGCTTTATCCGCCGTAAGCGATGTCAACAAGCGTAAGGACACTGCAACCCATGCCCCCTATGACGCAACTAATGTATATACACCATCGCCACCAGGAGTACTGGTCCTTCACAACGACATTTGCCATGTCAGCTGAAAATGTCCTTTCGCATTCGGCGATGTCATCGTGCGAAGCGACGGAAGTTGCGAGCAGACCTACTCGCTCTCCTTCTCCTTGATGTTGCTGGTGGTCGGTTGTATTACTATTAGGCGTGTGCACTATGGTACGCTTGCCACAGCAAGCGCGCTGTTCCTTTGCAAGCCGACGCTTCGATTGGGCCACCAATCTGCGCATCCTACGCGGTTGCTTTACCCAGAACCGAAAATAGAGAATGCAGTGGATAATGAAGGGAAGGTAGACGCACGTGAACATGGCTGTGACGGCACCCGTGGCTTGCATCACTTTCTCGGACATGAGGAATTTGCCACCCACGACAGTAATGGCAATGAGCAATGATCGCACGACCATTCGTAAACCAAGATCGGCACAGCCACTCAGCTCTGCCGACTTCGAACCTTCTTCTGTACTTGCGTCTTGTGCAGGATTTTTTCGACGCACCAAACATTTCGTGAAAAAGCCCTCTATCGTGATTGCAACGGGATTCAGAAAAAGCGGGTACGTCACAACTACGTTCGCCATAATGCCGATTTCCACCAGGATTTGGCAAATTGCTTTCACCTTGACGACCCATGACGCGGCACCAAATGTACGGTTTTTCATCAGCGATGGCGGTACCTGGATTACAGAGACACAGAAGACATTATCATGAATATGGTTGGAGATGGAGGGGACAAAGAATCATGTAAGCGAATACATTTACGTATAAGGAGAAATCATTTGCTGCATCTTATTAAATCACAATAATGGATGCCACTGCCAAACAGGCAACGCAAACCGTGTCGGAAAGTGGAAGTGCCAACGCTTGCTGTATCTACATAGAAGAAATAAATAAGTACCAGCGCATGATGCAAATCGAGGCTCTCGACTTCCGATCCGAAGGCAAAGTAGCCGCAGAATGCGACGATGAGATAGATAACCATAATAAAATAATGGGAGTATTCAGCAGCCCTCGCGAACCGGTGAGGCTCGGACATATCGCTTTTTACTGTCGGCGTGATGACTGGCACCGCGAAACCAAACCAAATCGTCGAAAATGCTCCCGATATTGCAAGCATAAGAGCGAAGCCCCCACTGCCCGGCATACTATAGGCTCCTCTGTCGGGAATCCCAAAGGTCACGCCGGGGCCTACTTTACCTGACAATCAAACGTTTTCTTGGAGTTTTGCGCTCACTGTGTTCCTTCCTACCCACTTATCTAAAAGGTGTTGTAGTTTTCCTCAAACTATTTACACTCAATAAAATTGTATTCTTGACCATTCCCCCTTCGTAATTGCTTTATTTGCAAGAAGAAGAATATCAATCGTTTTTTATGCAGATTTAATCTCGTATGTCCTTACCTCCATTGTGTGCGATCTCGCACATGCTCGCGACGACGACGAAAACCGCAGCTGCCGCTGATCCAACAACGCCGACAATTGATAACTTCGAAAGCGCAGCCATGTTTTTGAAGTAGCTGGTCGCCACTAGAAAGAGCACGACCAGTCCTAGGGAGAGCATCTCCCACCAATATGCACTGTTTAGTTCGGCTATAAGATCCATGGGCTCGCTGTTTGGTCTGCCTGCCATGCGCTGATTCATCTCGGAGTTCCGATCGCCTGGGACGCGCGGCCATTCGAGATCCAAAAGCCATCGCTGCTTCGCGGCATTCCATTGCGGTCTACAATACCAAGACTCACGCCTATCTGTCAACCTCGCGTACTGCGTGCGATCCCCAATATTCTCATCATCGAACTTTGGCTCAGGCCACATTTCTGTCTTGGCAAATAGCTGCGCGCACATCGACTGTGGCATAGCTGCACTCCTACTTTTGCTAAAATATTGCATCACAGCGCTGTCCTGGCGCGAAGTAAACAATTCCCGCACTCCGATGCTCGCATCGTTTGCATGGGTAATTTTTACCTCTAGTTTTTGAAGCATCCGGGTCCTGATGTGGAAGGGATTTTTGAAAGTCAGACTGTAATATGGTTACATTGACAAAAATGAAGTAGGTTCGTGTAATCTTGATGAAGGTTAAGAACCTAACTTGACAGGTTTCGTATTCACAGATTGATCGAAGGCTTGATGAGTATTCCAAGTCTACAAGAATAGAGGAATAAAAAAAGCAGTACAGGTAGCTTCCCTGCATTATTCCGTAATGGCATTGATAGAGCAGCTTCTGCATCATCGGAAAACTTGCGGTAAGAAAAACGATGCATGTGAGCATCAAGTCTATGTTGTCAACCACAAGACAGACGCCGATAAATATCCAACTATGCCGTGCGCCCCACAGAGCCGCTGACGCCACCCCGTCCATTGTGTCGATGCTATTCTCGAGACCCGATCGCACGCGCATTTTGCGAACGAAATCCATTTGCGAGCCGACTAGCTTGCACATTACCATAGAAAAGAAAAACGCAACAGCTAGAAGTGTCGTGGCCAAACCTATGCCGATATTGGCGTAGACCTTCGGCAGCGAGAAAATGCCGATTCCAATCGCCGCCGTAATGTAGTTCATAGCCGCTCCTGTCGCCGTGCAGTCTCCCCGCTTGACGCCATCTTTGATGACCACAGGGTTGCCGTCGCTGTCCAGAACTGCTCCGTTCCGTATCTCCAATGCTGCGAGACCTGATGTGGACTGCGAACTCCCCGAGGACGACGACGAGCGGTGCGATGCTGCACCATCTTCTGCGTAATGAACGTGCCCTGGAACCACTGCTCCCGCATACGCCGGCTCATCGTAGGACAGTTGATGACCTACATCGGGCTTTTTGTAGCTTGCAGCAGCATCATTAGGCCCTGCACTCGCGAACAGAGCAGAGTCAACATAATCGCCACAAGCGGCACCTTTCGCCGTACGATGAGAAGGCATCCTTTAAGCCAAAAATCAGACAGGGTGGCAACTCTAAATCTCAATGCTATGACCAAAAACAGTAGAGAGTATGCGAGTTATAGAATCTCACTCAGGACAGAAGATTCTATGACTAAAATAACCAAAACTATGATCAACACACACTATGGTTCCTTGAATTCGTCCTTTTACAATAGCCGTCTCAAGAGCTACCTCTACGTAGATATCTTCTCAGTACATCAAGAACATGCAGCAAAGTAAGTCAAGAAAAAACTACTTCGAGACTCTCATCCGGAATTAATTTCCCAAAACTTTCAAAAGAATCTTGTCCACAGTAACTACGACTTTGACTAGAAGTTCAAATTCAATCGATAAATCTTCCCTACACGTTAATCCTCCTCTTGTGTTACATAAAAGATCGCTACGGACTGCAGAAAAATAGAAGAGTGTGAGGGCAATGAAGCATTATTGGATTGTTTCAAACTTTCTCTACTTTCATGCAATTCGTAGATCTACTTCTACAGTCAATGAAAGTAAAAAGAAATCAAAGGAAAGCATGCACGAATTCACGAATTCGTAGCCCAATGGGTTCTACGTGGAACCTCTTGCCTGTGAAGAGGTCGCAAGATTTGCGGGATCTTGTTGATCTTGAAATGATTTTTGGTTGATCTCTGTGGAATCATTTTCTGAACTCTCTCTCTCTCTCACAATTATTTCGACGGATCTTCACTTCGTTCATTTATTTCTGAACCACGGTCGCTTCCGGATCTTTTTTCAACCTCGGACACATCACCACGTGATCAAGTACTTCTGTAATATTCGATGCGGTAAGGTAGAGCGCTCACATGCTTATACTGAACACTTTCAGTTCATCTATCTCTAAACTCGTCAACATGGAAAACTTAGACTTCTTATCATACAGCATGCGCCTAACGCGGAGGCGCACGAGATGATGTGACTTTGCAACAGCGGTCTCATGCTATTCGTCATGCAGTACGACGGGTCGAGCCAAGCATTCTCTGAACGCAGCTCGCGCCCTACTTCGGATCCAAGGAGTTTTGCAATCTCCCAATAATTCTCCAACTTACAAGTGGAGATAATTGACGTCTAATCAGAGAACAAGCGAGCTTAGACTTACAAGGTCTGTCTTGAAAAAAACCCGACTGGTTGCTCCAAGAAACTCGCTTCAGTTCAGCTATCGGCGAAACAAGTATTCAATTTCAAACAATGAGAAACCCGATTAGACAAGTTAGATTTAGGTCAATGCGGTAAAAGGAAACCTTCACGACGAACGGAAACAAGTACAACAAGAACTTACCTTTTTTTTTGCAGACGGGCTCTCACTGGGGTCCAAGAACTGTAGCCACACTACTTCTAAGAGGTAAAAAAATTTTCAACAGCGGCACATTACGTGTTGATGATGCGGGATTCGCGTCGTGTAGTTGGGAATTATTTTTATGAACTGACTCGCCATACCAGAGGACTAGTCATCGTCGGCGCCTCCTTGCTTGTAGATGATTTTTCGGGCCATCTCGAGCTCGCCGTCGCTCATGTCGTCAGGATCAAAGCCCTTTTCGATCATCAGGCGTCGTTCCATCTCCAAGCGCTGTTTTTCAAGCTGTTTCAACCGAGCCTCTTCGGCTAGGCGTTGTTGTTCGCGCCGACGCTCTTCCTCCGCATTACGAGCTTCTTCCTCCGCTATCCTTCGCGCCTTCTCCATCTCAGCCTGCTGGTGTCGCGTCTCCGCCTCGTCGCGCAAGCGTTGTTGTTCCGTGTCGTCGAAAACTGGCCACATGTCACCGTCTGACCACCGGATCGCACCATCTGTTTGTAATTGCAGTGTTAAGTTTGGGGAGAATGTATTCTTCAATCCAATTGAAAAGTTACTTAACAATTCCGTGAAGTTTTATGTCCGTCGAACTCGCTGTCAAGAGGGCCCTCCATGCAGCGAAGAACCATCCACCAATTACAGAAGAGCAATAAAAACGGTTACGGTGTAAGGTTCTGAAATTTTTAGACACGTCATAGTCACACTTTCTTCAAAAAGGTTTGAGTCTTTGCACCTGCTTTAAGCGAATCAACGGCGACGATGTCGCCCTCCGGAGTAACGATTCCCAAGAGCGGTCGCATCACCTCCACGTCTTCGACCTTCTGCATATGTAACTTCGCCCGCAGTTTGAAGATGCTTCGCCCTTTGAACATGACTTCACTACCGCATATTGTGTATACTTCGTCGTCAACAATGTACGACTTACCTGTTTTAAATGTAGTTACAACATTGCTGGAGCTAATGGAGGAACAAAACGAAGTGCTTCATACATAATTTGGAATACATAGTGTAGTTTCCATCGCAAAACTTGAGTGGCGGGGAACATTAGATTGTAAAAGTGAGTACCCTGCAGCTTGGCGACCATTTTTCCCATTTGCTTGAAATCTTCTTGTGTGATGTCGCCAGCCCAACACGACATTAGGCCCTCGATCATCTTCGCGCAGGTGTTGCACAAACAGTAGTCGTTCACACGCGAAACCAGCATTTGCACGGGTACATGAACGCCCTTCTTCTCGCGTGCCGCCGTCTGACAACTGATGCATTTCCGTTCGCTTTTTCTAGCGTCGTCAAGACGAACTGGCATCAGCGGATGCCCCACGTTGTCGCACACATAACTATCCCGACGATCGGCTTTCGCAACGCCGTCCCGCCCACCTGCGGACGACGCGGGAGTTGCGGCACCGCTTCTGCTTCTCGCGTCTCGGTCGTAAAATCCGGACCTGCCTGTCGCAGCGAAAACCTGCGCTTCGTACTCGCTGCGCAAACGATTTGTGCGCAACATCTCTGACGCCGGTGCCAGTCTCACCGTGCCGTCATGCTTCTCTTTATCCGGTGGCAAGGTGGGTTTCTCTCGCTTCGCGATGATTCCAGCCAACTGCAGCTCCCGGTCCTGCACGCCTGTGACTAAGGCTAGAGCGTTCAGTTCCGTCGATTCTATCGTGCGTGTCTCGGCTTCTCGCATAAAAAATTCCGCCTCTTTTGAGAGCGCCTGCGCCCCGGGAGTGGTGGAAGGCTCGATGCCAGGTGACAACGGCATCGAATTTGGAGGAAAAAACGGAAGTGGCGGCACGATGCTTTGCTCTAACGGATCGCCTGCGTCACTAGACGCAGGGCGCCGGTGCGGTAACGTACCGCGGCTAGTACCCGTACCCTCGGATTGCTTATCGATGTCACCGCGACTGCTGCCTCCGCGGCTTTGCCGATCAGATACCGGCCGCAAATCCTGCGAGCTCGTATGGTGCGTGACGCTTGATACATGCTGTGATACGCCTCCCTCTAATGCGGCAGCATCGCGCTGACTGGCTCCTGTTATCGAGCCACCAGTGGGCGCCAGCGTCTCATTTTCGTCACGCGGGTCGCTATTGGCCAAGGCCAGCATGCGTTCTTGCGCAGCTGCTCTTGCGGCTTCCGCACTTGGCCGATACACGCTTCGCTCAAACATCCCTGCACGACTCTGCCCTGGAAATTCTTTTTCGTCTTCCCACTCTCGGAATGCCTCCGGGACCTGCTCTTCTCCGGGTCGTTGCACCGGAAAAGCCTCTTCTGGTGGCGGAGTTGGCGCGGAGTCGATGTAAACCGCACGAAACACTCCATCCGGGCCTCGTTCCATCACAGCCTGGCGTCGTCCTTGCGCACGCTCATGAATGCTCGTACTGAACGTTCGACTACCACGCAACATGTTGGCGTCAATCAAAGCGCGCAACCTTCGGTCTTGCTGGTGCTCTAACCGCTTTACATCCAGCGCAAGCTGGTTCTCCTTACTTAAGTGTGGCTGCCCTTTCAACCCGTGAAGTTGCGCTGGTGTCACTTTCCGTTCTATATACCGCTTCCCGGTTGAATCCACCATGCCCTCTCGCGAGAACATCAAGTCCCTGATAGATATATTAGAAAAACGATTTGAATCCTAGAGAAGAGAAACACAGGATGATCAGTTGTGCAAGAGCTCTTGCGTTTCAGATGTTAGATAGTGACCTACATCGATGGATGCGAGACTTCTGTGGAGATACCAAAAACAAAACCAGCCACCGCTTCTGTGGAGAAATAAAACTAATCACGGTTGTCACCACAAAAATTTCAACGGAGTACTTGACAGGCCTTCTAAAGTTGCCGTCCAACTCGCCTTCACCATCTTCAGCGCTGGCATGAATCACGTGCTTTCGGTCCAGCCCCTCCTTATCCTTGGTCTCTTTCATGCGCTCGACCCAAAGGAAAGCGACGCGACATACAAGCTGTATTATACCCAACACGCCAATGGCAGAACGAAACCCGTCGCCGGCCTCCGACTCGCGCTCCGGACACGGAGACTTGACTGCGGTTTCTAACAGCAGAGCGATAAAGGGCACAAAAAGGTAGGGATAGCAGTCCGACATCAGCTCGAAGCCAGTTCGTTCCTTCACCTTCACCTTAGCGGCGTTCTCGGCGTCAACCTCAGACTTTGATCGCCACTCACCGCGGATAGGATCCCAAACCATCGCGTCAACACCCAAGAAAACCGCCCTACAGTGTGGATGGTGAATCTATAATCTCTTCATTCATTGCCTAATTGCTAAAAGTTTTGCGCTGAAAATTTTGCGCTGAAAATTTTGCGCTGAAAATTTTGCGCTGAAAATTTTGCGCTGAAAATTTTGCGCTGAAAATTTTGCGCTGAAAATTTTTGCGGATATGCGCCCTCAAGCTACCTTTGCGGATATGCGCCCTCAAGCTACCTACGCCTTACCCTGGGGAACCACGCCAGGAGGCTAGTTTAAAATTCCAAGTAACATAATTCGTTTTTATATTACTAAATTATGATTAGCTTAACAAGAACAACTACGTTGGATCAGTCGTGGTTGTTAGCGTCGCTGCAGTCTCCGCATACGACATGATATCCGTGTCCCGGATAAGCGGGCACTCTGGTTCCACTTGAGGACCGACGATGGCCCCAAGGCGCTTAAACTCGTGTGGACACTCCACGGCCACGGTCAGCGTGATATGCACAAGAGACTCTTCCGAATACCACCACCGCACGTTGTTGCGTTCCACCTCTACCAGCCGACGACAGTGTTCCTCGGGTTCGTCACGCCGCAAGCGAAAACCGACAACTGTTGCGCGCTGCTCAGGCAACAAAAAACCACGCTCGCTTGACAACAAATCCAGCATGACCGTGTCTCCGAGAGACAGACGCCGCAGACACGAATAGCCACCAGGCTCGCACTGATACTTCAGCCGCACGTCTTCGCAAGCGAGCTGCACTGGGACTTTCACTTCCACTTGCACGCAGGGCACGTCGCGATTGCACGCGCGCATCTCGTTGATCTGCGCGCGAGAACAGAACGTACTTTGCGGTGGATCCAGGGTGCCCGTTTTGACGCGATACTCCAAACCGCTGCAACAGCACTCCTGCGAGCAGGTTCCCCACGGACCCCAGTCGTCGAAGAGACAATCGCTGTAGTCCGGCGGTAGGTACACCGGAGCCGCGGTCGTTATCTCGGTCGATACGGGAGGCAGCGTTGTTGCGATGCGTACACTCACTGTATCCTCCCGTGGAAAATCATCTGGGTTGGGGACAGGTCCCCGACACTCTTCTGGCACGGCGGCGCGGTATGCTGCGTCGTCGCCATAGAAACAAATGACACCAACGCACGCTTTTCGCATGAACCGCAGCGAGCAGCTATGGACATTCAATACGGGGTTAAACGGAGCGGGGCTCGTCGACGTCGTCTGGGCATTATGTGCTAACAGTGCCAGCCGCGCAGTCTCATTGATCGAATAAACCTGCAGCAAGGTTGATTTTCATCGTAAAAGCCGACACCTTCCGCTTCCACATTCATACAACTCGTTTCCTACACTAATTCGACACGAGCATATTGATGCATGCTGAGTCATGATTAGATTTACAAAAAAACGGCTCAAATTGTACCCTGGTCCCATCTGGGAGGAATGACAAGACCGTTCCGTTTCTTGCAGCTTCTAGTTTTTCAGCTTCGCGAACAATAGCGAGATCGGCAGCTATCAGATCCGCACGCATGACATCCTCAAAACAAGGACAGTCCGGATTCAGGACCTCGGATTGCGTCACCAAGTAAGGGCACCACACCTGAGAGAAACATGGAGGACAATTGAAGAACGGCCTAGTCCCAATGACACAAAGTGATGCATGCCGGAGTATGGAAAGAAAAAAAGGTGCCGTTCGATGAACCAGAACAATATGTTTTCTACCCATGTTGGACTGATCCCGAGGAGCCTTCTAGCATGCGCCTCCCGATAGTCCCTTGGCTTTCATACAATCAAATGGATTTTCGTCCCAAGAACAACAAGGGCGTACATTTGTCTACAAAAGAAAAAACTTAAGTGCAGCCCAAGTACCCCTGGACACCGGCAGCACGTGAGTTCCTTCTCCGGATCATAGGGATTCTGCAGCGGTGGATGTGAGTAGTCCTCGTCGCCGAAACGCCCACGATTGGTCCCGAATATTCCGGAATACAGGTCTTCTTCTTCCTCACCCGTGCTCTCGCCGAGCATGCCGCAGTGCTCCCACGTGATCATCGTGAGTGCGATTATCGCAACCAACTCGTAGATCCACAAGAAATGCAAGCCCACGCGAACAATTTGCTTTTTCCTGTCACGCGTTAGAAACGCTTTTGTCCGCTTAGAGACTCCATCACCCATACTCGAGGCTGCATCGCCCTTGCGTTTTTGTCGAGAGATCCACTTAGCTACTCTCTCCTGCAAATTCTCTTTCTTTGGTGCAGGTTCTGGCGGCTCGCCATTGGGAAACATGCGCTTCGATACCTTCCGCTTCTCTTTCTTTTCCGGCTCGTTCGTAGATCCGGACCCGTCGGTGAGGGCCAGCATCCCACTCGGAGACGACAACGACCCATTTGTGAGAGACAGCACGCCCGAGCCATCCTTTCGCGTCGTCCTTGCTGGGGCAGTCTTTTTCCCATAGCGTTGGTGCGGTGACCCTGCAATGTTCGGAGATTCTGCGAGCTCATCATCCTCAAGCTCGATACCGTACTTCTCGAAAATGAACTGTAGTAAGAATGATGTTGCAAGAGTGGTGTACAAGAACACTCGTAAATTGGAGACAGGGCAATGAATACGGCTGATTTCTGATCCACAACGACATGGGTCAGGAGCTTCTGACTTGCGACTTTCCACCTGACAATGTGCGTAATAATCACACAAATTCTAATTCCACGTGGTAATCCACGAAACACAGCCGAAATGCTACAAAAACGAACATGTAAAAAATGTAGAAGTACCCTTTTGTAGTGGTGTTGATAGAGATCTTTGTGGAGCTTGTGCGTGAAATAAATTGCAATGAGGTGAAGGAAGATTGGCAGGACGTGCCGACAGCTAGTCCCGTTCTCCGGAGGGTAAGCTCCGAGAAAGATAAACCCGAAGAAACCGAGCACCACCGGCAACACCAAGTTTGCCCAAATCAACACGCGCAGGCGAGTGAGCAGAGTTTCCCGCTGGTTCCCCTCTTGCTGTTCGAGACGATCATCCGACGGGACCAACATACCCTAGGTGCTCAGGCAGTGATAACACGAGCACGAGGGAGTATGCAGTTGTCTAAATGCATTTTCTGCAGCGCCAGACCCACTGAAAGCCAGTGCTCCTGCCTCAAACACCGAAGTTCACGCTGACGACGGGATGCGATTGAGCGCGGCTTCCATCGCCGTTTTCCGTATGTCTAGCGAAAAATCTCATGCTGGAATCGAGATATTGGATAACGGAAAAGAAGCTCTACTACGATTAAGCAAACATGCTTAGATACCTGTTGCTGTCCGACAAGCCCTCGACTCCCTGAAGTCAGTAGAAAATGGAGGAATCATTAAAACCACAATCGAAAAGAGACTGAATAACAAGGGTTAGGGGTAGCGGAACGACCACGAAATTGACAATTTCGACGGAAGGGAAAGTTGGGTTTGGGTCACATCACCTGCGTGTCCGATACTGAGTGCGTATGAGTTTAGATAAACGAAGGAACAGACAATACAAGAATTCGACCCTCGTCCGACTCTTGTACGTATAATTTTCAAGGGCGCCTAGATTGAAGTATGACCGGCGCTCTGCGATTTTTCACTCAGATGTCAACTATGTTAATTCCGATTTGAAACTTTCATTCGCGAAACACAACGCTGCGCCCACAAGGGCGGTGGAGGCTCGGAGTCGGACACGTCTCTCAACAATTTTCTCGTGCTCGTCTTTCCCAAATCACGACCGCAGAAGATATTGATCCCCATAGAAACTTTTCTATGCTTTTCGTGAACACTCTCAATTACGCATAATCTTCCTTTAGTGTCTCCACAGAGGGAAGACATCTTTTTTGTTCGGTAGGTAGTCTCACCCACTTGGGATTAACAATTCACCAGGTAAAACAACGAAGTTTCAGGATATCACAAAGAGCAATGCAGCACCGAGCGCGAAATATGCTGACACCTTTCTCTATAAGCCTCATGAACATCAAGTCGTCTTTCATCTTGTTCCGCAGCTGATCTCCAACCCTAGTCCCATCATGCCACTCCGAAAAAGCCCAGAAACTTCGTCGTTTTAGGTTAGACTGCTTCACTTCTCTGGCAGCATTAGGATCTACTCTTCCGGGACAGCCCAGGTGTCGTTATCGATTTCCTCCTGGAGATCCTTCGGGTTGGACCCATCAACCTGGCAACCGATAGAGAATGCTGTACCCAACATTTCCTTCACAGTTCCCTTGAAAGTCTTGGCCTGGGACTTTTCACGCATAGTGCGGGCGACAGCAAACAGACGCTCCTTGGAGATGTTACCTGAGACGAGCAAATATATTTGCAAAGGATGAACATAAAATGCGGGAATATATATATACCAACGATTTCTGCGTCTAAAGTTCGTCTAGGACTGGTTCATGTCAGCATTTTCATCTTACACGGCGAACCTCTTCACTAATTCAAGAAGCCTCATACCGCTGTGCTTGATGTTCTTGGTCTTCTTGCGGTCGCGGATCGGCTCCTTGAGCTCCTTGATAAGGAGGGAGCTCGCGTTCGGCTCGATATCGACCTTAGCCTGACGATTTGCGATCGTCAGCTTGACGGTGATACGAATACCCTTCCACTGAGTCGAGTTCTTGATAATATCATCACCGATCTTCTTCGGTGACATACCTGAGGTTTAAATTGGATTTGTGATATGGAGAAGCTTTAGAAAACCATTGAAAATGGTAAGAGGGTAGCAGAACTACACATGAGATCGGGGTAGTTGCATCTAGAGTAACAAAAATCTTTCGTGGCTCAGACCCTACTGTTGAAATTTCCCAACCACCCGTATACCGGTCTTGAGGGAAAAAATTTTGTCATCACCGTGACAGCCACAACACCGCCGATCTAACATTAACGAGTCGCGTAAGATAGGTCCTGTAAATGCTATCCTCTAAAAGTAAGCAAAAGTTCAGGTCAGTACCAAGAGGACCGATCTTCGGGGCCAACACGGAGGAGGGGGCGGCCTCACCACCATACTGACGCACGTACACGTACGTGACCGCGTTAGGATCGAACTTCGGTGCCATTTTTTTAGATTTTGTGTCACGACACTACCTGATGAAATGAGTGGTCTTCTGAAACGCAGAAGATCCGACTACTCTACCTGCTTTCTGACTCTCCACAGAAAGACAAGGTTGTTTCCCTGCAAAATGAAAGGGTTTAGAAATTGCGATGTCATTTCACCAACGGAACGAGGGTCTTCCATTACAGTGTGTAGCCGTGCCCCAGGATAACCTAAATCACGAACCGAGGAGCTTTAAAAATGAGCTATTCAGGATCTGTTTAGGGGGAGTACGTCGTCTCAGGATCAAGCTGATCGTTTCCGTGACCTTTCTTAGTTTCCAGCGTGGACTCAAGGAAACTGATCTTGAAAGTCTCATTGGATTTTCTAGGAAGATCTTCGATCCAACAGATATCTTACAAACGGTCAACGCTTGGAAAAGAGCACAGCGTTGGAACTACACGGAGATCCAATACCTTCTTTAGAATGACGACTATCTCCACTGCTGCCTTACTCTCAGAGGATCTTTAGACTGTCAATACGTTTTTTCAGTGACCTCCTGATCTACAAAGGAAGCTACGAGGTAAAAATTCTTCGGAGGACATGCTTGTGTCAGAACTCAATTTAGGTCTTGGACAACAGAACAGCTTAGATACGATCAGAGCACTGCTCGGATACCTTGGAAAGAAAAGCGCCACAGTTCTGAAGCGGTAGGCGTTCTGCAGATCTTTCCAGTTTCGCATTTACACCAGGAGCTTTTCCCTCTATGCAGATCAGTGAAGTAGAGGCTTCCTCTTGACATTTAGATTTTTTCCAGATTACTACATGTCTCATCTGTCGTAGTCAAAAACTACCAAATGCTCATCACGTTGCTGTCAAATAAATATAATGACTGACTATCAATTGCAATTCAGACGCCGACGATGAGAGGATCTGATGCTCAAAAACGTGATTCAGACCTAAATTCTCTGACGTGAAAAAGACAGAAAGGATATCGGTTTTGATTATGGGCTAGGGCTTTGTGTTTGCTTATGCTTATGGCGTGGGATCACACGCTGACCGCCACGTAAAACGGTGCCTCGGTTGCAATTAGAAAGGGTCACAATCAGATGCGTTCGAAATTATCGTCTACGTAAACAACTTCGCCGGTCTTCGGATCGGGCATGAAGAACGTCTTACTACTCGACTTTGTCACCCGCTTTTTGTGATACAGTAGCGTATGAGTTGCGAAAAACGCGTTCTGGGTTCTCCATTGCGGGCAAACGGAATTCATTTCGCCTTCCTGCAGCTCCACATGACCTATGTCAGTTCCACTGCCAAATAACAAAAAAGATGCTTTTTTGTCTACCCGGAACTAACCTAATGACCTGCAGAAACCAATGCTCAACATTCCGGGAGCCTACTTCTCAGTTTTGAAAGCCAAGGTAGTACCTGTGTCCAGCGTGCTAGGAATCCAAACGTACCAGCACTTTGGCTCGATTGCGTTTTTCACCATTTGCTTCAGAACTTCAATATCGAAATTAAAAAGAAAATGCGCCAGGTCTCTGTTTGCTTCTCGCATCGGCCACCGGATAAACCAATTATCTTTATTCTCGAATAAACTCACAAATGGGACCTGGCATAGTGAAGGCGCACTCAGGGAAACGCAAGGTCGTTCCGTTTTCTCTGCTCTCCCAAAAAGAGAAAGGCAAAAGACCAAATGCGGAAAGATAATGCAATCAGCGAAATACTTAGACTTTTCTATTTAGGTACCTCATAGTCATCGTTCAGAAGAACCGGGACGCACTTTCCATATAGCACACGAAAAAGCCGACTACTCCATGCTGACTTACCTCGTGGTACAAAGCAGAATCGCGACGATATCGAACCCCTTAGTGCTTCCGAATACGGCACATCCTGGCGTATGTGCATCTCAGCCGGATACCGCTTCGCCCATCGCAAGAGGGCCTGTCGTGGCGACACCGTTTGGTTCCCTTGAGCTGCATGAAGTGGCCTATTCCAGCCAACAAAATCTCCGACCCACGGACGCTCCTCCATAGGCATCTAAATTTTTTTTTTCGCGATCTTTCACACAAGAAAACAAGGCTTGCGTTTAGACTTCCCGTCTTTGTCACAGTACTACATGGTAGGCATAACTTAAGGAATCTTCAATCTGCTCACTAGTACGCGCAGTAGTGTTCTTTTCTCATTTGCTTGGCGGAAAATTTCATCATTGTCATATTACCGCGTGCTCGTTGTGCTGTGCTATTTCCGACACCTGGATTCGCCCCGGCAGCACAATGTCCTTCGCGAAATTGAACGGCTTCTCAGTTTGCCAGTGGTACGGATTCCAGTACTCAGTTTCCGCCATGAGAAAAATGCTGTCCTTAATGTACTTTCTCCAATTGCGAAAAGGCCCATCTACCGAGAATCCCGCGCCCCAGACGAAAACGTGATCTCTTCCTTCGGTCCGACGGAAGTGTTTTAGTTTTGGCACTAAGGATTCGAACATGCTATTGCTCTCCTCTTCTGAGAACGTCTCCAAATTTAGATGGCAAGCGGTGTATTGTGGCACGAAAAAAAAGTCTGCCTCTTCGGGGTTATCGGTGCGGCAGTCGCACGCGAGAAACCAGAAATGCAACTGCACCTCAAAGCCCCACTGATTGTCTTTGCAAAAAGCCGCACCCTTCGTCAGGGTTTTTAGTTCGTCGTACTCGTCAATGTTATAAACGTACACTTTAAAGGCGTTCTTCAGCGTTTTGTTCGCGTCGCGGTCAATCAGATCGTCCGCCATGGCCCCGAACAGGTTACCGTGGTAAGGCTTTTGATCCTTGTTTTTAGGACCTAAATCCCAGCCACGTCCGCTAGACCGCTTCGCAATTTCGGCCTTGAGCAATGTGACCTCGTGATCGGATACAGGCCACAATCGCTTTCCAGGCCCCTTGCTATTCTCATTCTGTTCATCGAACTTGTCCGGATGGATCGATGACATGTAGTGATCCAAAGACCGGAAGAGGTACGCCGCTGAGGTGTACACCTTGTGGTATGAGGGTTTCTCTGGAAAGAAAGACTAGCACCCCTCGTTGATTAGACGGTAGTAATTTCCCACTTCTAAAAAACATTAACATTTTTCCAGATATCATTTTATCACTTACCATGATTTAGATGAAAAAAAGATACTCACATAGGTACCCCTTCTACTGTCATTCGATGCCGTGCCAGGTGAAAGAGCATTGTCGCAACACCGATGAAGCACCGATTCGCCTGCTCGTCCATGTATGTTGTGTTCGTCATTCCGGTGTCGACAAGGAAGTTCATCGAAACTAAGGCCTTTTGATCTTCATCCTCGACTGCGATGTCATGCACCACGCTCATCTGGCGTCGGTACGTCGTCCACATGTCGCCAGCCTTCTCACACGCAGGATCGTTGTAGAAGGCATCAGCGAATTTCGGAGGCTCGAAACTCTGGTCGTCTGCTAGGCCACCCTTGACGTCGCCACGAATAGGGCTCTTGTCCACACCGTTCTCGAAGAAAGTCTCGGTCCCATCGCCCAGGTGTTCTCCATCTTCTCCACCACCTAAATTACTATCTTCAACGGGTTCTGCAGTAACGAAGGTCAGCCCGGGAAAAAGAAGACCACCCAGTCGCTGCGGATTTGGATCTGCGGGAAAAAAAATCTCTCTAAGTGTTCTTCTTGTTGTTGCGAACGTTGTGCTCACAGGATCAGATGGTTTGGTGTCACTACTTGTTTCCCTCAATGAACTAGCAGTTGCAGTGGATCTATCGCCCCCCGCTGTTTGGGCGCGTTCTTGGGTACTGCGATTGCTTCTGGGTACGGATGACGATGTTGTTGTCGCAACTCCTGGAGTAGCTGCGTCTTCCCTCCTTCGAATCGGTGGCTCCTTCGCGGTAGATTCAGGCACTGGCGGACTCGGAACATTTGGGATTCTTGCCGGCTGTTCCGCATCCTGCAGCTCATGGCGACTTCGTATGATTTTCGGGGCTTTGACTTGCTCTACTGCAACGCTCTCGACCTGTTCAGCCAAGGCATTTACGGCACTAAGGTTTTCCGCATCTCGCGCCTTCGTACCTTCTCTGGTCGCTCTGCATTAGAACGCACTCCGTAGAATTGCTTGCTGTACACAGAAGGCCTCTCAGATGCCGACACAAAACAGAGACTCTTCGCACGTCAACGATTTAGCCATACATCAAAGTCTCCAAAGACATTTACTCAAAGAACGAGCCAACACCATCACGTCTGGTTTAACTCTTAAATTTGGTTGCGAGGGTCACGAAACGTTCTTGAGCTAGGAGGCGCATGTAAGCTGAATCCAGCTGGCCATGTACTAGGTTCCCGCTCCCCTATCAAAGTGCGATCTTCCTCCTCCGAGTCGCTGTCTGTCGCGCGCCGACGTCCGTGCCAAGACCGTGTTAGATCGCTGCGCCACGCGACTTCGCTTATATTCTGTCTCTGAAAACTACGTCTGTCTACCGGCATCGCCGCCCTTTCTCCGTGCGACCGCGTCTCGCACGCCTTCTTCACTGCCTCTTCGTCCGCTCGCATGAGGTCCATCTCACCCTTTGCCATGGACACCGGGATTAGAGAATAAATGATGACGTGGAAAGCGCACCTAAGAATACATAGGCAGAACTGATGCTAACCCTGTTTTACTCTTCCGACTGTATGCAGTGCAGTGTGCTACCACTCACGGTTCATAAAGTGATACTATCATCGTCTCCAGAACTGAGGCGGCCGTTCTGCAGTGTGAGCACGCGAACAGCAGTATTACCCGCGTTAAGAGACTGTACCGTACTGCCCATGGTTGCAATTGTCTCAAAGAGATCCTTCGTCAAGGATCCCAACGCATCCAGTGCTTCCTGCATCTCTGCGGCTTCTTGCTCTTCGGCTTCCTCGGCCACCCACTGGAAAGAGGGAAGAGAAAAAGTTGAACAAAGGTGGCACAGCTAGAGTCTCTTCATACTTGATGACGAGATTATATTCTCTACATGCCAGGATGATTGACAGACCTGTATTGCACCAATCCTGATATCCTCTTCCACCTTCATTTAACAGAAACCTAAGCTTAGAATACCAAGTCGATGAGATAAAGACCGCCAATGAAGCCCAGAATCACGAAAACAAACCAGAGGCAACAACATCGACACCCGCAGCGGCAGCATCTCCGCGCAGGTGCCGGGTTTTCTACTTGTCCCGCTCGGGTTGCAACATCGGCCGGGTCGTTGGCAGCGTTTGCCGGTTCGCGCCTTTGGCATAAGCGTTTACGAAAGGACCTCAGTCGCTGCAAGCAGACGCGCAAATATGTTATAACATTCTCGCCTGCCGGCGGACGCGCATCTGGTGTCTCCGATGCTGGAGCTCTTTTGTTGAGGCCAGCCCCATGCTTGCTTACAGACGAATCTTTTGAGCCAGTACGTCTTCCTCTAGTTGCCGTAGAGTCAACGTGCGTCGGGTCTCCAACGGTGTCATCGACAAACGTAGTGGCATCATCGATACCGATTTCATCGTCGCCTTCGTCAGTGTAATCATCTTCTGTTTCTCCTTCATCACTATCATCTTCACCATCCGATTCGTCGTAACCTAAAGTTTCCTCCCCTGAATTTTCATCGGCCTCCTCTTGTATAGAGGTTTCGTCTGAACTACACTCATGCAGATCAGTCCCATCATAATCTCCTCCACCGCCAGCTTCTTCCGCTCCTTCCCCCGACAGCTTTGATGACTCCTCGTCCGTGCCTCTATGCTCGATTGGAACTGCTTCGGATCGACTTTCGACCATTGCGTCCTCCTCGATCGGATAGTCCGCATGTGGAGAACTCGCTTGAGTGCGTGATGGAGGGAGAGCAGACGCCGCACTAGTCATGGTTATCGTCCTTATACAACGAGGACAAGACACAAAATCTTCACAACTTCATTATAACTACTTCAAATCAAGTTTTGAGGGGATCAATATTAAAGAGCTAAATAAAAAAGCAACAACGTCCCATCCAATCCCCCAATCACACACACCCGAACCCCAAACACTTGGTCCAAAAACACGCGACCGCCGTAGAAAATTTCTCCGCTCTCTTTTCATATCAACAAAGTAACGAACAAACCCAACCCATCAACCCATGGGCATGGCATATTGTACATAACTTCCCCCAAAACCCGTGAGCATGGCGTGGTATACTTGTCGATAACTTCTAAACTTCGAGCTACGACCTCGAGGCTTCAAGCTGACGCCTAAGGCGCGCCACCCTGGGGTATTTAAGCTGATTTTTTTTGGCCGATAAAATTAAAAATGGGTTTAAAGTTGTAAAATAATAAAAATTTTGATTTTATCGAAGGCGAATCAATTTCAAAACAATTAGATGCAAACATTTTTTAAATTTATTCAAAGCAGACGAATTTTAAAAGTTTGAAACTTAACCGCTTCAGCTTTCGCGCAAAAGTCGCCAAATCTAACAAAAGACCAGAAAACTCCCGGGCCGACCATTTCGAGGCGTGCCGTCCCAATGGCCGCACGCCGCCCCAAGCCCGACGCTTGTGCTGTCCCACCGATCAACTCCGCTAGACGGTTGTCGCGCGGGGAAGGAGCCGGGGAAGCGGAGACACGCCCGGGCGGGGGAAATGCGTGCAGAGGTTGGAGGATTCTAGTAAGAGGAGTGCTACCGAGCGCTTAAGTCAAGCACATTACTCATTCTCCGATTGCTGAGTTTTTTAATCGTTTCTTCAGCACTACGGATCCAAATTTTTAGATCGAGGTTGCCATTCAAGTTCAAACTGCAAGACCATTAACGAAGTTGACTTTTCAAGGAAGATCCTTTGCGGCGCGCAAAAAGATCTGTCATTGCTAATAGGTTGATATGCGGATCACCAGGCCCGCATCATTCTCCACAAACTCCACAATCCATGCGCCATAGCGCTAGAGGTCTCACCGAGACAACATACTCGCAAGCAAACGCAAGCAGGTGGCCACGAAACATTTCAATCTCGCTGTGCCTTTTATATCAAAATCAATCATAGATGTTGCCATCATGCAAACATAACAACCTTACAAGAGAAAAGCTTTGCCGTTGGTGGGATAAAATTCTAAATCCAGTTCATACTTCTGCAGGAGACCCTCCTTTAGCCTCGGGTCCAGATTGCCGTAGTGTTCACGCAATTCAGGTTCCAAGGTTGTAGTTCGCTTCGTGCTATTGACACTCGGAAAAGGAGGCAAATCGAAATCCTTCAGCCTCTCCCCCAATAAACTGAAATCTTCAGCCAAGTGTTCCAGTCGTAGCACCGCAACGTCTGGCCGCAGGGTTTCGCCTCTTTCTCCTCCACTTTTCAAATGTTGCTCGCCGTTGCCGTCTCCAGCAGTTGACTGCGCACCAAACTCTAGAGCGTCACTGAGGACCAGAACATCTCTGCGGACAAAACCCTCGAACGCAGAGGCCACGTGGGCAATGTCGTCGATGCTCAGTCGCTTCCATCGATCCGGCGCATCGGTTGTCGGCTGCGCGTGCTTGCAAATTTTCTCGTTGTAAATAATGTCGATATCGTGCAACTGTATAGGCCGCCGCGTCGCCTTACCCGATCCCGACAGGTGCTCTGCCATAACTTCTATGTGTCCGCCTCCATCGGTTGAAGACCCTGACACAGCACTGCTTTCCCCAGGCTGAATAGTAGGACGCTGCTCATTTTCCTTGCGCAGGTAGTCTGACGTGATTTGGTTCACCAGGTGTTCCAAAGCACGCGGCCAACCGCGCAGAGAAGCAGGGATATCTGGGTGCGTTCCAGTAACTGCGGTTGACCTATAAGCACCCTCCAGGCATTCCAGATAATCAAACAGCTGTGACAGCCATGAAGGAAAAGGAAAGGCGCTGCTCGAGACATCGCCCTTCACAGCTGAATCATCGGCAGTTTGGTTTTGTGCGTCTCCGTCATCCCCGGATGGAGCATCGCGTGAGCCGCTCGCATCAGCATACACAGCTTGCGCTGACGCGATAAAGTTCTTGTAGTAGCTGTACAACCGTTCCAGTGGGTTCCGAACAATAAAGACCTTCAACCTTCCCGCGCCATGCTCACAGTAAGTCGGCGATAGGGCTTCAGGCAGTGGCAACCAGCCTATGGGCTGTTCCGAGTTGCGAAGATACCAGTACACTTGCCACATGTAGTACACTTTTCGCGCTTTCGTGTAGTAGTCGCGCGCCTCTTCGTGCAAAGGCACAAGGGAGTCGTCCATAGGGCCATCTGTTATGTGCTCGCTGGAGGCAGCTTGTGCGCTCAAGCATTCGCTCCAAAACTGCGTCAAGGAACTATGATCGGAACTCTGCTGTGTATCATCCAGGAGGGCAGGGACGCCCAGCATGTGAAAAAACGTTCCCTTACTTTCAACCAGCCCCGCTCCAGCCCGCAGAGTTGTCTGCAGTAGTTCTCGAATAGCATTTCCACACTTGTGCTCACTGCTGCTCCACACGGCCCGGGCAGTTCGCCATTGGTCTTCGTTCTGGTCGTGGCTTTGATGGTCTCCCACATTGGTACTTTTGGCGTTGGTCAGCTCTTCTAAATCTGGTTGAGCAACTAGTGCGTTTAGGATTGCGCCAAGATTGGTGGCCAACATGAAGTTCACATTCGGGATTCCGTCAACTCCTTTTCTTGGATCCTCCTTATCCCACGCGTCATCGTAGTCTGTACTGAAGAAGCGCGCGAGATAGCGATAGATATGGTCCTTGCGGTGGAGCGCGTCAAGGTCCTCACGAATGACGTGGTAGCTGAAATCCGTCGTTGCCACAGACGCAAAGCTTGGCTCCGCGTACTGCAAATACTTGTAGTGCAGTGCTGCCAGCTTTTCAAGCCCTCGGCGGACGCGGTTAGCGGCTGTTGTGTCCTCGTCTTCAAGCAGTGGTGGCTTGCCAGCCAGAAACTCGCTTGCCACTTGTGAGACGTAGTGTCGTCGATGAGCAGCTGCACGAGCTGGCAGCTGTTCGAACAACGACATCCAACGTCGCACTTGACTGCTCCCGCATTTTGGTGCCACAGCGACCGCAATGGGCACATCGAGAGGGCAAAAGAAACGCGGTACCTGAGCGGGTTTCGTGTTAAACCATCCGGGCAACAAGATGTAGTCGCCTTTGCCGGTTAGAAAGCCTTTATTATCACGGGGAGAAGCATTTTCTTTGCTTTTGGTCGATTGATTCATTTCCACCACACCGACATCGCCGACAACCGGTGGCTCGTCCAAGCTGGCGAGCAGATTCTCAACAGTCGAATGATCTGGCCGAAGATTGTGCTGCACGCTCGCAAAAGGAAATGCATACTTTTTATACAAATCGCACTGTTGAACGGTGCTTGCCTCTTGCCCTTCCACGTGCGACCCAGGTGCTCGTAAGCAGACTTTCGCTGCTTTGTACCTTGCATTCTGAGCTATCACGCGATACACGCTTATTACTTCGTGCTTGACTGCGCCCCACTCTGTTCCTTTTCCGAGCGCCTTAGCCGGAGCGTGGTTCCTTTGTGCCGCACGAAATTCGAAGTCGTTGCTGAACGCAAGCTGCCGCTTCAGCGCGGCTGTCTCCTCGGGGGACGTAGCATCTTCGTAGGTCTTCAAGCGGTCAATCAGCTCCGCTGCTTTGTCTCCATCATTGGCGATTACACTCGTACAAAAGAGCTGGACCACCAACAAAAGTGAGACAAGAGTACACCTGCGCACGACCGGCAGAGGACGAAAGAACCACGCTCGGGAGGAACACATTTCCTGTCATGCTGTGCTTATCTAGTACTTGCAGCGACCTGCCTATCTTCGTTGCGACGACATCGGTATCTCATCCCATCATCCGTAAAAATTTGTCATCTTTCTATGTGGAGGTCGAGGGCTCGGCCACTTTTCAGGAACCATGGATCTCTAGATAAACCGTGTAACCAGAAAAGAAACAATCCTTATGAATGACGATAGAATTCCAGGGGGAATCTGCACCTCTTCTCGTCCAGATCCTGTCGCAGCAGGAATTATTACTTCTTGAACATTCGGAACTTATCTCCTGCGGAGCCAACTACAAGCAAAACCACTTCATTGCTGCGAAGAGTCGATACCACCATCCACAAGCACCCAGAACACTCGAAACATGAAGCACGCTACGGAGTGCCTTCCACTTTCTTGCACTAGCTCAATGCGCTTGGCCCCACTCCTGAATACCAGGCATGATGCGCTCTTTTACTTGTTCCATCTCTTCTAGAAAGTGAGCCTCAGCTTCTGTCAGGTCTGGATGGTACACATCAACCACTAGAACCCCACGTCGCAACTCAGGCTGTATGTTCTTATCATGTTCCTCATAATTGCCCGTTCTGGAAATCGAAGTGTCTACTTTACGGGATGCAGTTGAAAATTGATTTTTCTGCTGCCCGTTGTCATCGTAATCCATGTACACCCCATGATAAAAAGAATCGTCGAAGGCGAGTACCTCACCAGCATGCCAGGGATAGCAAGCGTCTCCAACACGAAGAAAACAGTGCATCTTTTTTACAGGCGCTGGTGCTTCACTTGAAGCTCCTTGAAGTGGTTGCGCAATCCCCGCATCCAGTCCGCTGCACTCAGGTATATCTAAACCCAGATGCAACCGCACACGCCCATTGGTCGGACCAAAGTGCTCTCGAATATGCGTGGGCCCTTCAATGCGGCTGAAGTAGCAGCTGCCGAGTCCTAGCGCAAGCAAACTTTTCTTATCATCTGTGCTCGTGGTCATCGGAGTCCGGGCAACTACGGAAAATGATGATGAAAGCTGTCGCAACAAACCTTGCGTCGAAGTCCAGTTTGCATCGGGGTGCCAGTGGCGGTACGAAAGCAGAGGAAACTTGCGCCACAATCCACGTCGCACGACACCAGTTGATTTAATATTCTTATCCGCAAGCCACGTCGAAATCTTATCGTAGTCCGCACGTATCTTATCGTAGTTCTGCCGTAACGAGGACGCCACAATGTCGACTCGCGATGTACTTGCAGAATCATAAGACTCCTCTAGACCCCTGCATCGCACTCTGTCGGGTCCAGAATGGCCGCGGCTGCTCTTATCGTAATTTATTGTCCACACTCCGTCAGGTGGAGAGCGCAAAAAGGGCATGAAGAGTGTTGGTCGCGCCCACTTTTCGTGCTGATAGCATGGCGGTGACGCCGAGGACTCTTTCTCTTGTTTGTTTCCTGCTTTGTCCAAAAATGCCAGCCGGCTCCTTCCTACCAGACGAACATGACATTTTTTCAGCAGAGAAATCGCAGAAAACCACAGTCTCTCCGTCCAGCGATCCCCCCGACGAGCCAGCTTTTCGCTGCCCAGGTAAGTCTGCTCAAAGAACCTGCGAAGAGCTGGATTTCCTCGATGCTCTCGCACCAACGCTGCGAGAGCCCAATCGCAGCGCAATCGCGCGATTGGCAGCGGCATTTTCAGACATTGCGGTTGGGACGTTGTTGTGACCGATGTCGCCGTCGAGCGACGCCCCGAGAAGAATTTGCGTAGGCGAGGTTTCCATTCCGTCCGTAGCAGAGTCTTCGCACTTGGAATCGAGCTCGCCATGAGATTTTTCCTGTAATCACGGATTTTCTCCTAACAACACGTTTGTGCCTAGGAGAGAAGTTCAGGTAGTGGATCATTTAGATTTACTTTCGGCGTCATCTTCGTAAATCACAAAGGAGATGCTAGGTGTCTCAAAGCACGGCACACTCGCTTCGCTTCAGCGCAAAAAACATTTGAAGTGAACGCCGCAACATTGACATGGACACGTGCAATTTCTTTCTAGAGGTCGCTCGGTTGAAGCTTCACACTCTCGCTCGAAAACAGTCTGCGCCAAAGAGCTGACAATGTTGGTAAGAAACAACAATCTGCAGCTCCTGCTTCTCGGCGGGAAAAACTTTTTTACTTTAACACATTAAAGCAAAGACATCAAAAGAGCCTCAGAACTTTATTTACGGCACTTGGGAAACCGTAAACATTATTTTCGAAAAATAGTCTCTTGCTCATTGGTTGAGAAATCCAATCTATTTGGATATGGCTGGCACTGGAATTTTCGCACCAGGATAGGAAGGAACGATGTAAAAGTAGGAATGAGGGGTGGATAAAAATAAAGTGATCATTTGACAAGTGTGTGAGAGTAATTTCAAAGCTTTACAACAGCAACTCCAGCATAACCTCAACCTGGACCCTTAGAAACGAGATCAACTTAAATAATTATCTTAATATAAGGCACTGCAGTGCATGATCAAGCGGTCATCGACTCAACTATTGAGTAGATAGACCACGTGATAGCAGGTACAAAGCAAGTCTGAGAACAAAGTTCTCTTGATAAGGAGAGCCTAAATGGATAACGAAGTCGGAGATATATTTCATGAAGAATTATTCAACAAAGGAAGCAAACACCTCTGAACAAGGTGCCAAAAAAAACAGCTCACAACAACTATCACTGACTAGTAAGTCTAGCTCCATCAGGCATCCCGCGACAACGCTACGACCCATAAACGTAATGATGAGAGGCAATGCAATCACTAGGCTAATACAGCAAGGAGTGCCGACTTAATCTGGAGCCAAGTGTGTAGATCAGTCCAAACAATACACAGTCACACTGTGCTCGCGCGACAGCTTTCCTCTTGAAGGATATCGAAAATCCTCTTTGCGGAGAAAAGATTGGCTTGGTTCTCATGCTGATGCTGCGCGACATAGTAACGGGCTAGGTCGAGCGCGGTCTCTCCATAGTTGTTTTTGTACCCAAGAAGATCCCGGTAGCGGAGCTTGATCCGAGCGCTCGAGCGGTGCGCGTCCTTGCCATCGGCAAGCCTTTCCTTCTGTCGCTCCTGCTGTGAGACGCAGAACTGCTCCAGCCGTTCCAGGGTTTTTTTCACGGCAATGGAGTCAAAAGACTCTATGTCCACCATGAGCTGCGAGAGCCCACGGCCCCCGTTTTCCTCGACCGTGTGTACATCAAGAGCTTTCCAAGCACGACGGAAGTCGCGCAAATCTAGCACCAAGTCGGGGAAAAGCTGCATGAAAGCAAAAAACAGCGGCTCCCGCAGTCGCGTTTTCTTCTGGCGTAGAGATTCCATCGTGACCCGCTCCGCCTTGGCGTCTGCACTGGCCAGAACACGGCTGTGTAGCTCCTCCTCAACCTCCGACTGGATCTCCCTGTATTTATCCAGAGCGGCTTTCTCCCTCTTTTTGAGCCAGGCTTTTTCCTCCATCAAGTGCTCTCCCATATTACGCATCATCCGAATTAAGTTAAAGGCGTAGTTTGTTGCCATCGAGCTCGCCATTGCGCGCACCTTTTCGAGCTCGTCCGGATAGACCACCCCGTAGTAGCTCATCTCGTAAAAGTCTCGAAGAGCCGGCGTCAGTGTCTTCTTATAGTACTCTCGATACCTTTCGTTGACATCTCCAGAAAAAGCAGAAAAAAAGAAGGCGCAGTAGTTTTTGTACTCCCTGATGTCTCGCGCCACCGTCTCGATGAGCTTCGTGAAGTCCGCCAATACCTTCTGTGGCTTCGAATGCGAAGGAAATATGCCGCGCGAGCTGTTGGTCGCCGTGGTCGAGTACAAGTCTGCCAGTGGCGGATCGCCTTCAGGTGCCGCCTCAGTTTCTTCGGTGATTTTCTCGGGAACAGCCAAGCTCGTTTCTAGGCGGTGTAGTATTCCATTCAAGTCTTTATTGTAAAGATCGAATATGCAGAAATGCCACAGAGCGGCCATATCGTCGGACTTCGTATTCACACGCTGTGCGTCTATGTACGAAAAAACTTCCTGCTTGAGCTGAGGATGGTTCAGAAAGCCCCACCCATCTACAGTATTCGCCCACTGCGCGAGCCCACTGACACTATCCTCATACTGCGACGATTCAGCAGATAACCGAAGATGGTCTGCGAAACCACTGCCATCTTCACCTTCAACGGAGCTGCTGACATACGGAAAATGGTCTATCATCCTTGGTTTCCACGAAAAAGCTGGCGTCGGCGAGTCCAGCTTTGCGAACTTGGTCAGCCTCCCCCTGAATGTGTAAAATTCGGGAGTTGTGAGGGGATCGACTAGGGAGGCACGAGGAGCATAGACCGTCGTGGCGCAGTCCTGTATTGGGTGTGGGTCCATGAGGTCGCAATCGCTTAAGACATCCGAGCCTACTCCAACGCACGGGTTGCAGGCCTGGCCGACTTCATGGGCCTTGTGCGTTCCTGCAACGCACCTCGAAGGCAAATTTTCGAGCGCATCCGGACAAAGCTTCGCAAGCGCTGTCGGCGGCGGCGACATCACGGAGCTCTCACCCGATCTAGCACCAAAATGTGGAGACTCGAGAAGGTCATGCTGCCGACTGCTTGAGGAGGAAGCCGGGCCGTAGAACAAGGGAGGAGTTGCGCCACGTTGTGCCGAGAAGTCAGGAGATGACTTGTGCCCATTTTGATCCTCTATCTCCTCTACACTACACGCCGACAAGGCCTCGCGGACTTCCTCCGCAGTGTGTCCACGTCGAGCCAAGCTCGGAACCAATTGCAGCCACTGCTCGACGCTAGAGTTCTTCTCCAGAAGTGCGCATCTCCCAGGGTCACCTCTCGTTAGCATGCCGTTGAGAAAGCTGCGAATGTCCTTTTTGGCTAAGTGCACTCCTGCGGAGTCCTTAGACGCATGAATCACTTCGGGCTCTGATGGCGCACGCGTCGACGTGGCAGGAATTGGCGCAACTTCCAACAGGGTTCGCGGCTGGGGGATGTACACGGATAAGTCTACTGGTGTGGGCTCTTTTTCCATCGGACCAAGGACACTCGTCAGAGCTTCATTGCCATCGGATGGCTCTGCAATACGCGCTTTGGGGTATTTTCTTCTGTAGTTCGTACTCCACTCCTGCATCTGCTGTATCTTTGCCTCCTGAGTCAGATTGTTTATAAAATAGGACAAAGATCGCTGGTGCTTGTCAGTCTGCAGGTGCCATTTGTCCACGTATTTGCTGCACAACTTACAGATGACGCTGCCTTCATTTTCAAAAAAAAGGCCAGGCGCCTTCCACACATCCGCATAATCACTGTCGTCGCAGCCTCCCAGATCGCGCCGCCGGATGTAGCACCGTGGCGAGCCCTTCTTCGATTTTGCCGATGACAGTCGAGACATTTTTGATGCTTGACTGAAGTGCCAACTTTGACTTACTCATCCGATAAAGAGTGTAATCGACTACGGAAGCTGTCACGTAGCAAGAAGACAGCACTTGGTCTGTTATCCTCCATTTAGTATTACCGAGGGGATTTCTCTTTTTTGCTCCCTGGCTCTACTTTTCTCGCTATAATTCCATTTAAGTACCCCAGCGAGAAGCCTGAAGCACGACGGCCAGGCACTAAAAAACACGCAAACGATTAAGCACGACGGCAACCGCTGCAGAAAAGCTAGAGCCCAAGCCCCCGTGAGAAATCTTATATTTTTTGTTACCTGGGTCCAGAATTCTCGCTATAATTTCATTCAAGTACGGAGACCGTGCTGGTTAGTCGATATCTTTATATATAAGTACTAGGCTTCATTTCAGATTTACGATTCCTGACTCTAATGTGACGACACAAAGATGATAACCGCATAGAAAAACCTACGCGCCAAATTTGGAAAGCAGTGATCATCAACTCATTAGGGATCTCTTCAAAAACTCAATTCCTTGCCTACCTAGGGCGCCTCAACAGCTCGTGTCTCCGTTTTTTGTCTCTCGGAGTAAGATCGAGAGCAGAAGATGATCTGGAATGTTTCAACAGTTGGGGAGAAGCAATGATCTATCCGTAACTACTCTCTTCTGAGTTTCATTCGGTACAATTCAAGTCAAACGATCACTTTTTTTTTTTGTATCGCGAGCGAGTTCCGGAAAGAACCTGCCTACATATTTTCCGCGTGGATACCGGCGTAGGTGGGAGTTCTTAATCTCCTTAACAACTACGCTACTGCCCCTGGGATTTTAAAATGCAGAACCCTAGGAGCAAAGGCAGGAGAAACTACGCACCTAATACCTGCCACCGCGAACGATGTCCGTCTCCCCATCACGCGCGTATTGGGAATGCTAAGGTTGGGGGCCGCGGAACGATGTCCGCATAATCAAATTAAATATAAGTACACAAGGGCCCTAGGTGGATCCGCGCGGCAACTGATTGGTGGAGGAAACTAGAAGATTTTTGGACTAAGTAAAAACATGCGTGTTGATTAGATTGGTGAAGGGAAACTAAGTGCTAGCCGGCTTAAAATTTTCTTCATCTTCATGCTTTGTTTTCTTCTTTTGGCCGGTTCCTCCCGCTATGCAGCCGATGAGAGAAAAAAACAAAAAGCAAAAAATTGGAGGGCTGACCCCGACCAAAGGGGCTACCTTATGCCTGATAGCCACAACCGGGCGGGAGATAAAAAATCGGCGAGGGAGAGCGATGGGACGCTCTCCCCCTTTCAATTACGTTGCATAAGTCTACTCATCTCAAAGAACTATAACAGCGCTCAAGTTTGTATATCGGAGTAGTCTCGACCTCCTTACTCATCAAGGAACAGCGCCTCCTCTAGAAATAACGACGCTCAAATATGTTATAGCTCTCACGTATATATCTCGCCGCCAAAATGCCTCGTGTAACCGCTCCGGGTATCATTTTAAAAACCCAGTGGCAACTGATTGGTCATGCTTTGAACTCTAGTGATGGAAATGATCGCCGAGACCTTCAATGAGTCCCCGCACGCGGTCGCTCGCGCGGAGCACAAGCGGCGTTTTCCTTTTCGTAGATCAAAGACAAGATTGAAATTAATAAAGTGTTTTGAAATGGAATGAGTCGACTGCGTTGTCTTAGAGTGAGGACATGTACACGCCAGACAGCCATATCAGTTTCTTTCTTGCTTCATCTAACAATGGTTCTAGTACGTTGGTACCACGTTCGTTTTTCTATGTATAAATGTGTAAAGCGAGATGAAACATTTTCACGCAGCTAGGTTTAGGACATTTCGTTCTATAAATATACTACGTACAGACATAAGTCAAAAAATAACTGCGCCATTTTGTTGAATGGGGACCCTGTCAATGAATCAGGGTCAGCTAGAGCATTGGAAGGCCAATTTTCAAACTCAATCTATTACTTCAAAACAACAACTACGACAGTGCTAAAAGTGCCGCCTCTATAAACAGTACCGTATTCGGGAGCAATAATATGAACTGAATTTCCCTGAAAGTCTCCAGAAAACATCTCTTTTACGTTGGGACGCAAGCTTGGATGGACGGATAGGTAGATAGTTTTCTTGTCGTGTCCGGTGAAGCCTTTCCCTTTGTCCTTCGCATGCTGTATCAAGCCCGCACCATGACCGTTGCAAAGACTGAGTAAAGCATTGAGCACGCCTGCGAACCGGCCTGCAAGTGCAGAGCGATCGGGACTGCAACGCTCAAACTTGATATCTTGAGGCCTGCACATGGTAGCCGCCTCATTATTGAGATTTTGCCAACCCTGCTCAGTGAGGTGCAACAGAAGCAGCAAGTGGAAGCCTATACTGTGGTAGCTCCGAGAATACACAGTGCCTGTCACGCTTTGCCACGTCGGCTCGTAAGCAAAAACATCGTACATATCCTTGAGAAAGCGCGCTGCTTCCGGGTCTCTCTCCTCAGCATCAAATTCTTTCTTCTTGTCAAGGAGCTCCAGATTCGTAGCAAGTTTCCTCCGAGACAACACTAATTCCAAGGGCGCGGGTTTTAGGCTCTTCTCCTCTCCTGTAGTTTCCACTTCAGAATCCAAGAGGAAGATCGTGTCTACTTCGATCATAGATTTTCCATCCTCAAAGTCCTCGATTGACAGGCGACGACGCGGCTGGTGCACAGCGACTGTACTAGTCTTCTTATGGAAAGACGGGATCACAGTGGTGCCCGTTCGTAGAAAGGTGCCTGCATCTGACCTACTGGGTATCAGGAAACGCGACAGGCCGGAAAAATATCTCGTAGTGCTGCCATACTTGTACCATTGACCAGGGTGCGGAACCAACTGGGAAAAATCATGACAAGCTGCTTTGAAAACGTCAATACGAATCGGCCCATTCATGGTCCGAAGCGCGGCCACACTCGCCTGAAAGGAGGACACTCGCCGCTTGAAAAGGAGGAAGCAAACCTCCACTCGCCGCATTTTGTAGTTCTTCACCCAGTGGTGCTATGACCATCTCATTCATGTTCTCATTCACTGGGAGAAACGCCTTTTTGCCGATAGAACCTCCAGTGATCTCCACTGCCGTCGTGTCGGCGATACCATTGGCAGCAGCTTTGTTTGATCCTATGCTCATAGATAGAGCTAGCTGTGCTGCTTGCAACTGAGCCAGTTCCGTTGAAGGCCCGAAACGCCCCGCGTGAATGAGTACCCGAACTCCCTTCTCAATGGTGTGTTTTGACCAGCGGATCTCGCTTCCCTGTTCGGCATCTCCTCTCCAATGAAAAGGCTCGTCCTTTCCCATTTCGCTCAACAGCCTATGCCTCAACAACGTTCGTGGTGTCATTAAAGCTGTTGGATTACTCTCTCCCGTTGATGTTGGAGCGCTCGCTGGTGTTGATGTTGGCGTAATCCTCTGTGGCTGCTGCTGGTATTTTCGAGGACCTTTATCGCGGTCAAGTGGCTTTGCTCCCTGCGCCTCCTGTGCTGCTTCTATCTGCTGGAAGCAGGAAATGCCCTCACCGCGTCCCTCCTCATCGACAATTGTACCATCGTCATCAACTGCTTCGCGCCAACGGGATTGCCGACAAGACTGAACCGGACGTGCCACTGCCGTAGGAGTAGGAGTATCAATCTCTCGTCGTCTAGAAGTTCCTCTACTTGAACTCCACCATGGTGACCCCCAACTTCTCTCGCATCTCTGACTTTACTTCTTCCCTTGTTGAACAACTCCCGTAAAGACAGTGGTCTCGTTCTTTTTCTTCCGCCCCTTCTTCTCGTCACCTCCAATAGTACCACCACCAGCCGCCGGGCTTTTAAGTGCCACGACTGGCAGAGGAGATGGCAGAGTAGAAAAGGCAAGGAAGACGAGAGGAGAAAAGGTCCTCATCTTCCTAGTGCTCGTTAAGTTCCTCCTTATCTTCCTGCTATTTTGAGTTGTACACTTTGGGTTGTACAAAGGTACTTTATAAGTGGTCGGATCCAAGTCCACGGCTCCAAGTCCAGGAAAGGACCTCGTACTGATAAGGAAGACTTCTTGTAGATAGGTAATATCTTGTCTTCTACAACATTCTTCTCAGGGACTTGGAGGGCGTGTTTTTAGCGAGGCAGCTTCATCTTTTTCTTACTTCTATGTTTTTAGCGTGCATCATCCTTGAGAAACAGTAGCATATGCTTTTGCTCAGCACAGTCAAGACTTTTGAGATGCTTTATGCGCGCGCCCCTTCGGGCATTCATAACGTTTCGCGAAGGAACGCCCGACCATCTGGCCAGTCAGGAGTACGAGCCGTGCGTGATAGAGAGTGAACACACATTAAAAGCGTTGTCAAAATGACGCGCTTGGTCATGTTGCTGCGAAGTCTGAGACGGGACGACAAGAGAGCGAGGGGATGGACCCACACACTAAAATTAGTTGAACAAAAATTTCCTTTCCCTACACAGCGAACATGACAACAATACGGTCCCATGCATTCGTGAGTCCCAAATTCTAAATTAAAGTCGTGAATATGTTGCGCACATTCACAAAGAAGTCTCCAACGATATATAGAGTTCTCATCTCCCAGTGGGACTACTCAGGTCTACATGTTAACAATGCTGTCGAGAGAAAGGAGATAGATTCTATGCGTAACCAGGAATAACACACGTTGTAATGAAATTTCTTCTTTTTCAGGTACAGTTTCTCTCTTAACTAGCGTTGTGGGAAAATTTCATCTTATCAACCCTAATGAGCGTATCACGAAGGCAGACGAAATTTCATGTTCCTCGCTTTATTATCCAGCATGACACACCGGCTTCCCATGCATGCTGCGATTTATCAATCACCGCCCAACGACACTGGCATGCAAGCGCGCGTTTACCCGGTTTTTTCCCTAGACCTTCTCTTAGCTTAGGCACTTGAGGGAAGTGGTTTCGGAAAAAAAGATAGTCGCAGGTGCCTAACCAAAACGAGTCGTCGAATGACATCACCTGAGAATTTTACAACATACTCAAATGACAACATTTCTCTGTACACCACACTCATTTGTCAAGCAATCTTACAACCACACTCCTCTGTCGGACAGCTGCGAGTTGCGACGATAGTTTTCCTTCTAATACTAGCTTTTATAGTCATATAAGGGAGTACATCAAAATCGCACTTGCGACACATCATCGTGGGTGCCCCTGGCTTCGGTGGTGCTCCGGCTGACCCGACAAAATTCGTGTCGAGACCAATTACCTCACCAAGAACGTCATCAAGTAACGATTTTGTACCTGCAGTTCAATTAGTAAGTATCTACCGCGCCTAGAGACACTTTTCTGTTTCTCAATCTACTGGCTAGAAGTGGTATCTCCTCGTGCGGGGTATCAGATGTAGACTTCTTGAGTTCAGCAGAACATATCTCCCCGTACCTTCCAGAAGACTTTGCTCTTGTTTCGGCTTAAAAATTTCGTGTGCGCGCTGCGGGACCTGCGGTTCTTTGGAAAAGGGCATGCTTGCCGTTGCCTTCTCGTCCTCCTTATTTGTGCCTAGAACATCATCCAAAATCTGGTCGAAGTCCCCCATCCTCGACCACGATCAAGAGCTACAGGGCTGGTCAAATCCAGCACGGTAGTCAGCAGACGGATAGCCTGTGCGATGAACAGCCTTTGAGCGCAGTTGCTGACAGCAACGCATGGCAAGTTTGCCCCTGCCAAAGGAGCCGCATCGACGTGGTACTAGCACCACGTAATGCGCTGTACCTAATCCTTCGAAGTCGGGCCTCCTCACTCCCTCAGTCCAACGCTGCGCTTCGCAGATACCCAGTCGTTGTCGACGCTACAACTGTTTATGCATGTCTCATGCTCATCCCCATGTGCTTGCTTTACAGGTCAACCATGCGACGTAATTATCGTTTCATAATTTCAGAGTCCTGTTCCGCTCGCATGGTGCAAAATTCATTGATATTCATCAAGCAAAAAGTGCTTGAGCTGCGAAACAGTAGAAACAAAACACTAGTCACTTCACACTTTTGAGTTCATCCAACTCATTTCACACTTTCCATCTCACTTCTCTCTCTCTCAGCATGCTTGGACAGCACGTTTCTGAGCCGCTATTTTCGGCGTCTATGAGCTCTTCTACAACTCTTTTTGCTCAGAAAATCCAGTAGTGCTCTTCACTCAACATGCTACTAACAATCTTCATCCCAAATTTCCCGACGTCTATCTGAAAGGATGAGAAACTCAATTTGGCCCTGGAAAATTGTAGTTGAAGTTGGGTATTCCTAAACAGCTAATAAATATCGTTGCGAAGTACAACAAAACGAAAATCTGTACAACGAAACGCAATTGCGTCCTACCAAAATGTCAGTGTCCTGCTCGCCAAAAAACGTGAGCAAAAGAAGAACAAAAGTGGCTTTTTGCTACATCTGCAGCAGAAAATGTCTTCGAAAAGGTCGTTATATTGGACAAGAGTGCACCCCCTTAAACGTTCATCGGCCATGGTACACGGAACTCCTGCCACGGTTTCCACCTTGAGGTACTTCTGTCTTTTTCTGCGTCATCTCCTGCAGCAGTGTCGCGTTGGCGAAAGTACCAAAATACAGCACCTTCCTCAGCGTCGGAGATGCAGATTGTCTGGCTCATAGTAAGATCAGGCAATCCCCGCAATTCCTCAACGCAAATGTGACATCGCAAATGCTCGTCAATCAGTGGCGGGAATTCAAGATCCGCCCCCTGCTCGCAGACCGCTGGAGTATTGCTCTGGACAGGAACATTCGTAGAACCTGAAGTGTCCATGTTAGGAGAGGACGAACCTGGCTCCACGACTTTGACCGGGATCGGCGGCGCGAGATCTGTGCATGACATTTCCTCAGCTAGCATGTCAAACAAAAGCTGCCGCTGTGAAGACCCTCCACTCATATCTCTGACAGATGAGCACTCAGTCTCAGTTTGGTGCTCCCCCAAATGAGAGAGAGCTTCACCGTTTAGATTAGAGGCCATTCCCGTCGGAGAAGGGAGTGTTCCTTTAGCTGCATCATCCACTTTTTTTGTTGCCTCCTCAATATCCGGGAGCCTCTTCTGGACACGCTGTCGTAAATGTACCACCTTCTCCCAATCATTGTGTTGCAGCAGCGGTGATCCAGCGTTACTGAACACAACAAGCTCATTTTCTGGAACGACCCCCGTAAGTGTGCGCCAGTTTTTCGCCGACTTGCGAATTTGTACACGCACCATAGAAACCATATCTTGTACTTCATTTTGCGATGCTTCCTGTCCCGTGGTTGCTTCATTTCCTGCATGAAACGTTAAGGGTGGTGACAGGCTTGGAGATTTCGACTCCCACATTTCATTTTCACAGTCACCAGCGCTGCTCCCGCCATGAAGGGTTTCTTGTGTATCGGTTTCAGTTTGTTTTCCAGTGTTGAAATGGGTGAGCCACCGAATATTTTGGGGCCGCGGACCTGCGATGTTTCCCCAGCAAGCGTGGCACGCATCGTAATCTGATAAAGGAAATGCAGTCTCTTCAAAGCTCTCGCGAATCATACGTTGCACGAGCTGTCCACGACTCTTTTTTCTTGCTGCTTCATTTTCTGAAGATTCACGCCTTTCACGGCGATGCTCGCCGATATCTGCCTGACCAATCTGGCCGTTGTTCGCGCTTTCGCCCACAAGAGGCGACGAACCGACATCAGTGTATCGCATTGTAGGTCTTGGATCGGGCCAGACGTAGCGCGAGCGGCAGTTAGTCAGAACGGCCCAGTTACACGCGGCTTCCTCCAACCCGGTAACATATCCACCAGCACGCAAATCCCGGCTGCACAAAACACCATCGAGAAGCTGTGGCGGTGAAAAAGGCCGTTTCGGGTCCTCGTCACGGTTGTGACAACAGACAAACGGAAATCGCGAATGGCCCGGCCGCACGAGGAGCAGACAGATGCACATACTATCTTTGACTGTAGCTATCAAATCCTGCAGACCTTCAAAGAAGTAGTGCTCAGGTTCGAGTTTCTCAAGGTAAAGCCAAAGACAATCCGAGTTAATGTAGACCAAATAATTTGTTAAACAGAAAAAGGTGCTCAAGGATTTAGTCTTTTCTTTTTCTGCTTATCTATCAAAATCAATGTTTTTCTCTGTATGAAAGTATTTATCCCATTGGCATACATTCGAAGATACATTTTGGTTACGGATTCTCACAGAAGCGACTCTGCCGCTTTCTCTTGCGTTACATCAGTGAGCGACTTCTTTTCCGCAGAAGCAATCACAATTACAATTACAATTACAAACTTTTCGAAGGGGGTTATGTCGGGCGGTATACTAAAAATATAGCATGACCGATATTTTTTCCAGGATGCTGCCCGGCGATGGTGGGAGTGCATCAACCTCCTGCACTAAACGCTACATACATAGTGGTGGGTGGTATACTCGATAAAAGTATGGCCCACATTTTTTCCAGGACGCTACCCGGCGACGGTGCGAGTGCATTAACCTCCTATACTACACGCTACAAGTTACATACTTACATACATTGCGCCATCGATTTCATCATGATCAAGTCTAAAAGTATGCAGAGAGCCGTCTGCCTCAGGCTATTTGCATTTTCACACTTTTGAGACAGCAGGAAGCTGCCGGCGTTTTTGTCTCTCTCACTTGCGCTAACTCATCATGTGGCAACTCAGTGATGTCAGATACATAAGAACATGGTAAACCCAGTGACTGATTGGATCGAGGTCAGAGCTGAGAATCATACTTCGTCTGCCATGGCTCCAAAATGGTGTTGCAGTAAGCTGATCGTTTTCCATGATGCTACAACTTCTTCACATCAGCTTAGGAAGTGCTCACAGCTCAAATGCGGAGCAAAACACCTGACTCTTGTTAAATGATATATAAGTGTTGATATCTGCGGAAGCAGCATTCACCATGAAATCACCTTGCATTCAGATGTGCATTCGCTACTACCTTCAGATAGCAAGGCTCAAGGTTCAAGGTTGAGGGTCCGCGGCTCTGCGGCCAGGCCGCGCCGTCCGGGACGAAACAGGCTCGAGTAGAGCCACAATTATAGATACATTGTGAAGTGTGTCCCCTGTACGGATGTAACATTCAACGTAAATCAATGGACAATAAATACACGGTGGAATAAAAGACTGATTTTGCTGTTCTTGTTTTTATGGAATATGCAAAATGTTTTCAGACTATCTGCAGATACGTCTGTTTGGACAAGAAAGATGATGTTCATAGATAATTCGTTGACCTCATTCTCGGAAAGTCTGTATGTGTTTCTGGATTCTTTAACGACCTCGATTTCATATTCAAAAATCCTCTGTGTTTCACTATAAAGCTTCTCTACTGAGCGAGCCGTAAAACAAACCCTGTCGCGGAACCCTGCAACGCGCCCCATTACATTTTCTGACGCTTGGAAGCAGTCCCTTCGCTAGACGATGAGACGCAGTCTACCGTGCTACGACTGCGCTTCTCTTCATGTAGTTTCGCATTCTCTTCCCGCAGATTCGCATTCTCTGTCTGCAGCTGAGCAACCTGCCTACGGAGGTTGCCCATCGTCTGTCGCGATGAGCTGCTGGCGCTGCTTGTCGTTGCTCCGCGCGGGCGACCGCGCCCCCTCTTCATAGCGACGGATGGCGCAGCGCTCCAGATATCGTAATACCGTGTACGGCAGGAAGGCTTCTGCGGTATAAACAGCGAGCAACAAAACCGGAGAGCGTCATCCATCTCGACCGCAGATCCCGCGATGACGCATCTCCATGGGTACGTCGCAACTTCTTCGATCTCTTGCCCGTACCTGTGGTTTGTCTTCTATTTTCCTAGTTGTGTCGTGTGATAAAACACTCTGCGACTTGAACATCATACAATTCTTGCATAAAAACCATTTCAAAAGCGGAACCTAGACCTAGCAGTACGTCTGAACAAAATTTGAATGACAACAACAGACCAATTTCTCATTGAGATACAGCTGAGAGCGCGGGGCGTCTTCCATGTTGATGAAAAAGACACGGCTTCCAAACTGCGAAAACACATCAACACAATCCTCCGCCCAGCCTCTGTCATTATGCGCGCATGCACTCTGATCCAGGGTATAATTCGCCGTGACAATAAACATCTTGCTTGGCTTGACAGAGCCCTGGTAGAAACATTCGCGATGGTGATCTCCACGCTGAAACTCGCGGTACAAGGTTTCCTTATCATGCGACTTCTTCTCCATTTCTCTGGTTACTTTGTAGCTGTCAGGTTCGTAGAAGTAGCGTAGCTGCCACGAGTCCAAGAGCTCCGGTCGATTTTTGAGATCTACGTACTGAGCGTTCTTTTTCGCACGCGCATCGGCCGAATCTCTGCTTACCATCTTGATCACTCGCGGGGCTCTTTATCAGATCAAAAACCCGAAGAGAATGTACAATACTATTCCTTCTAAGAAAGCCCTCGCTAAATTTCTTGCAAAGTTTTCAACCCGAGAAGCATCGCGGGGTAGGAACTGACGAAGGTTGCAAGGTGGGGGGTTCGATAGCTCACAGCACGAGCAGACCAGACCCAAATAACAGCCGGCACCGATGTACAGAAATTGCTGATGCTCGCTTATACCGGTGACCGATGCGAGGACAACCGAATCGAGCCATTCTACAACAGAGGACTCTTGCTACAACGGACTACCATCTGAAAGTACTTAAGTGCGACGAAGTTTCTTTGTTCTGCATGGTTCTTCAGATACAGGCGCACGAATCTGGCCACATACAACTGATGCAAAGGTAAGGCGCATTAGGAAAGAAGTGGACCGAACCATCAGTGAAGATCGAACACAGAGTGTCGTTCTGATATAGCGTCGCAAAAAGCCCCTTTCGGTCGGTAAGCGCGGATATGTCTATGGAAGCAGAATTTACCAGAAAGCATGCGCAGTCACTATTGGGGGAATGTGTGTCTGCGATTCCTTTGAAAATCGTTTCTTGAAATCCGCATTATAACGATGAGAATCATCATAAACACGAAACTCCTGCTCGAGTCCTCCGCATCCCGTCTCTATCTATACTAGCATATTTCCTTTCCTTGTGTGACGATGGTGAGAAGGGATTTCTTCACTTCGAAGACGTTCTTTCCATGACAATTCCAACTCTAGCTTTTGTTTATCCTGATCAACATTGCTTGGGTCAGAAATGCCTAATTTGAATAGGTATCATTGGATGTACACTGCAATTAAATAAACTTCATCAACATAACGTAATACTGGGTCTACTACGAATAATTTTGTAGTCCTCAACGCCGAAGAATTTCTTGGATTTTATGGTCGCGAAATGTTATCAAAAAGGAAGGCTCAGTCGCCTTCGGTATACAAGAGTTTTTGATGTATCAGATATTCAGTAGGTATATTGATGTCTTATCAGGTATGTGGAAGTCTCTAAGTCAAGACTCAAATTATGATAGTTGATGTTGTGCAACTTCATTTTATTCCAACATGTTAGATCGATTTTCAACTTCTGGTAAAGGTTATGACTGGATTCGCATTTCATCTATGTAATTTTACATATGAACATCTGTTAGAAATTACGACAAATTCAATCACAATCAATGAGAGTGTGTTCTATATACATCATTTTTGAATCATTTTTCTATGTCGTGGCTTAAATGTACACGTATGCATGTCTGCTTCGCAAAGTATCGAAGCTCACAACAGATCGTCCATGGTTCCGAAGCTGCCGCTTGATGCTGAACTGCTGCTGCCTGGGCCGCTTCCCCGCGGCGCGAATAGTGCAGGGATAGGGGTCGTAAGGCGATCTGCTTGTCCCTTGACAAGTTTCGGCTCCTCTTCCAGAAGAATGTCCGCATAGATTAGAAACTAACCAAAGAAATGATGTCAAAGTTGCATCAACAGGAATTGTATTTTTGAAAAACAAAGTATGAGGTAGCTACAGTTTGAAGTTGATGTGCACTGATCACTAATTTGTCTAGACACGGGATAAAGGTTTAACCAGATCCGGCCACTAGCATAAATTGAGACTGTTGTTCCCTGCATCGAAGAGAGGTGGTGCATCGTCGTCGAAGCCACTTGGTTGCAGAAAGTCATCATGTCGCTCGACAAAAGTGTCAAGGGCATGGTCAATCCCCTGCTGTTCCAGGTCACCCCCGTTTACGCCAAGTTTCTGATACTTGACCTCGCGGAACCGCTCCATTCCTCGTTGCGCTACAAAGCTGAGGACTGCTGCGTTCCGATATGCAAAGTACAATCCACAAAGCACAAACAGGCCAAGCGCCACGCGTCCCAAGTGGTGCACTGCTGAGCCCGCTGGACATGCGATCACAGGGTTTTGTGGCACCCAGCCACCATCGCAAACCTAATATGTGATTCGCGAGACGAACAATTCCGGATCATTCTAGAGCGAGACATTTCAAGTGACAATGAATGACTTTTCTGTACGATCAAGTCAGCGTGTACAACGAACTTCATAAAATCAAAGTTGCAAAAAAAATTGAAATCTAAAATTACGTCTCCCGGAACTTTTCTGTATGCAATTGGTGTGTAACTGCTAGCTCCCGCCTTGCACTCCGAGGCAACGACAAGTTCACCGCCCTCTGTTGACTCTGCGTCGACTTCAACCTGCCCACATTCCATTGAGCCAACGTTACGTGTGAAACCAAGCTCGCACATGTAATCCTCTGGAGTACACTGACAAGACTTCTTTGTCACTGGTCGCTCAAAAGCCTCCCCGTTGAAACACTCCGCGGATGGCTTTCGCCGTGTGTACCTTCGTGGTTTTCGTGCATTTCTAGTAGACGTTACATCAAAACAAAGGGAGCAGTTCTTTACGAAGAGCATCAATCATGCATGGTTATCAAAACCGAACAAACCCACGAGGTCCAGCAGGAGTACGGCAAGGAGGAAACAATTGATTGAACAAATCGTAGTACGTGACTTGTTTTCCCAGCAAGCACTGGTCGCTGTTTTTCGTATCCGTTGGACTCCACAGCACGTAATCACTGGCAACAGAGCCCGGACTCCATACTTCGTTGCACAATGGGAGACCCATCACGGAAAAATCAATGTGATAAACCACACCTGAGTGAGCATTTCCAAAGAAGTACTAGTAATACCTTTTTGTTCTACGTATAATCGAACCAAAGCTTCTAGTCATGACCAGCTGGAATGCAGGCACATCGAATTGACATATACTACCAAAATAAAGCGACCGCATTGTCGGCTTTTCAGGATTCGAAATACCCAAAGTACTTCAAAAAGTCCGAAATACCCTTTCCTCCGCGTGTTCCGAAGACGACAAAAACAACGGACGTCGCCCCAGGCTCGATAATGATATTGTCGACATTGAATTTTCGTCCCTGTCTATCCATCTGCAGAGAATACCATTTTTCCCCTTCGTTCCATGAATAGAGAAGTTCGTTCGTCGCCTCATTGTTAGCAGCCATGACCAGCAGGCCTCCGTGATCCCCGATTTCGTAGATCATCGGCTTGCGGTGGATCTGTGCGACACAGAGGAATCTCGGGCTTCAACACGTAGTCAAATACTGAAACCGCTTCTATGAGTTCTTTCTGAAGTTGTGTAACACAAGCAACATGAGTCATGTCTGGTTTTAGATCTAGTCGAAAAAGCAAGCAACTAGTATCATCGTGAGAGCAAAGAAATGTCTTAATTTGGAAAAAAATACTTCCGTCCACGTGACGCCAGCGTCTTTCGACAGATAGGTGTGGGTTGCATCCATCTCCCATCTCATGGAGTCTCCCATGTTACCGGTAGCCATAATGACCCCAACTGCACTATCAAGCGTATAAAAACCTGGGAACTGCAGATACGACATCATATCGTGTAGATGCAGAAAGCAATTCTGCGCATCGGCACAGTCTGTTACTGGCTGTCCCAAGGAATCGAGTCGGGGACCTGGGAATTTGAGTGAATCTGAATATTCTAAGGAAGTCGAACTTCTATCAAAAGAAAGAAGTAATTCAGTCTTTGCAGCCACAAGCAACGCACTGCGATTTGACTCCGTCAATGGTAGGTTTGCTACTTATTTGTTCGAATTCATCACCTTCACCTGACTAGAAAATTACCTTGTATTTGCTCCCAGTATGCGCCCTTGTCAAAAGTGATGACTGAGCGGACGACTTCCTCTTTTTTTCCGACTTTCGTGAGTTTTTTCGTGTTGGAAGCGTCTTCTTCCATATCCTGCTCCGCAGCGTCATCGAGCGTTCCATGAGCGTGCGCACCGATATTCGCGCCCGCTTGCATCCTAACATTGGCCATATAGATCTGTGTGGTGTTTAATGTTAGAAAGTGGTTATCTACAAAAGCCCATGTCAATGACAACCGAGGATCTTTAAGAACCTTAGTATTCTTCTAACACAAGAATAAAAAATCTCGCAGAAGAGCAGTTCTTGACGCAAAGAAAGCGTAGTGGAAAGCGAACAGGTACTCCATCAATGCCCATCACTTTGCTGACGCTGTTGTCCTCCGCCTGCCACAGCGCTCGAGTATATCGCGTCCCGGTTTCGTCTGAGACATATACATTTCCGTATTTTCGAGCAGCGTGTCGCACCTCCAGCAGCACTACCTGTGAATACGAGGATACTGTGAAGTTACGAATGAAGCTCTTCGTCATGTTGTGACAAAGACCTCAAGACTTTGTTGCAGAACAAAATTTATCTGGACCCCGCCTGCCACACATCGGTACTAGATTAGCGTCAAAATTCTCGGAGACTGATAATGTTGAATAAAAAGGTACTCCCTCAGACGAGTCGATGACAGAGTAGCCCTTTTGCTCTAGTTTCTCGGGAATCTGGGCCTGCTCAAAATGGCCTCCGCCGTCTGTCGAAACCATCAAGCCGAGATCGGTGAGATCGTCTTGCTGTCCGCGCACCTGACATTGATTTCAATAGACAGCATTCCAGAAGCTAGGTCTTTGCTCTTGCTGCAGAATAACAAAACTCGATTCATTCAGCTGTACTTAAAAACGAAAGACAACTACTACGCTTCGACTTTTTCATGGTGTCGGTAGTAGAAAGATGAGTACCACTGCGCAGAAGATGAACTTGTCTGAAATCATAAAGCGATTTCCTTTCGACAATAAAGTTGTGGAGCTTCGTCCCTGATTATGCGTAACCGAGAAGTCGATTGGATGCGTGTAGTGCGGTGAATTGGGCTGGTTTCCGCTCTTCTTCGAGTAGTGGGTATAAAAAACGCTGTCGACCTGATTGCTAGCTTCGGTGCCCCAGCCCACTTGCACGATGTAACTGTACAACAAGAGGAGTTGTGAAATCGGCGTGATTCCATCGGTACGAAAAAACTAGTTCAACGTAGAACAAACGGTCGTACTCAGATAGCAGCAAAACTATAAGAAAACTTACACGCTGCAGTGGATTGTAGCATCTATATTCAGTTTTCCCAAAGCAATGTCGTACAGTGAGAAAGTGGAAGGTGAAGAAGATTCCTCCTTCAAAAGGTCAATAAAGCGACTCGGCACCTGTCGACGAGGGCGAAAGAGAAACCCAAGTCTTTGGTGACCCAGGCCATGTGAACGCAGGTGTTATCGCCTTGTCCGCTATCCTTCTTTCCGTCGCATTCCGTTGTCCAACTTGTGACAAGCATCCAGTTCCGTCGAGTGGGATGGAAGTGCATGAGGCGAATCTTGTTCTTGGAAACGATCTTTCGCCATGAGACGCCAGCATTTTCCGAAATGTAGTGTGCCCGGTCGTTTCCCACCGCGAGAACTACATTTTTATCGGCGGGAGACACTTCTATGTGGCTGACGCCAGCACGTTCTGAAGGAGTAGTGGCCCTGCATCGAGAGGACATTTGGAAATAATTTGAGAAACTACTCTTTCTTTATGAAGAAATTCCTTCATCAAAGTCTATCTATCTTTGTATCAATTGAACTTCTTTACTTTCTACTATCGCGGAAGAAACAATAAATCAAGTACAAAAGGATCCATCTTCAAGAAATTCTTAGGTGGTACTTAATATCGAGGTCTTTGGTGATGTCCATCCACGCAAAGCCGTTATCGCTGCTCCGGTAGAGTATATCCCCCGTTGTGTGCAAGAGCATTGTTTGTTTGTTGTTTCCAATCCATGTGAAGCCACTCTCAACACTAATCGGCGTGTCCATGGTCGTTTCCTCGATTTTTGGTGGCGCGTATTTCGATGCACCCCAGCCGTTCGACTGGGTCTGCGCGTGGGCTAACAGCGTCATCGGTGAAAAGGCGCCGCCGAAATCGCGGAGAAGCGAACATCCGTCGAACACGAAATGCAATGCCGTTCCGACGAGTACGGGCACGCCAAACTTTTGCGCAGCTTGGTTTGTTTTATTTTTGACCTGCTTTCGCCTGTGACTGGGCGGAAGCAGTTGCTTTTTCGTTCCTGGCGATGTTGACGTCGAGGAAAAACAGCGTCGTAGCCAAGCCAAAGCGGTTGCTCTCTGAGCTGTGCTGCTACTAGACGTTGAGGCCGTGGAAGACGTCTCCGTCGTCAAACTCCAGTCGCTGGCTGGTTCCGCAGGCCGCACCGTTTCCTCTGTTCTCCTCGTCTCGGAAAAGGCTGCAACCTGCTCCCCAGGCATCCTCGTTTGAGCGCTAGGAGTCCCTCGCCGCTTTACGCTCGGTGTTCCTCGCCCGGGCTTCTGCGGCGCTGGCTGCATACTGGTCAGCCTCGCAGCTGTGACCTGCCTCGAACACCGCGGAAAGACGGTGGAAGAGCTTGATGCAGAGAACGTTGCGCAATCGTATGGCATATCTGCAGAAGATGGCTGTGACGATGATGACCACATGACAAATCGTGCGCTCCTGGTTGAGATGACTACTCAGTAATTTACAGAAGTAAATTCCAAATACATACTGATGAACTCTCGCTAGCGTGCTAACGACTTCGGTGGTGTCAAATGTCAAAGAGCATAGTTGCTATGATGTTGTTCGTTACTTTACGATCTCGCGCTCCACCTCGTCATTCATCTTATCTTCACACTTTGATATTGATTGTCCTCCACTAACTACGGAAACCAAAATCTGACACCGAGTACTGCCGTCGGGTCTTAGACACCGCTCGTCTTTTTCTGTCACCTCGTTGATGCACATGAGGCTAAGCTTCTAAGTGTCTCTCACACACCAAAGATCTTTCTACAAATTCCACCCAAAGCCAGAGCTTCTTCTGCAGACAAATCCGATTGTTCGAGGACGAAGATGATGTCAAGCGACGAACACGATTAGGACCATACGAGACATGCAGTAAGACTGCTCAATGCGGTGCAGCTCGTTCCCTCAAACAACCCGAATCTAAGCGTGATCCCACAACACGTATATTTTCTATCGACAAAACAGCGGGGCTGCGAACAGCCGGTATACAAGTTCGACTATATTCACAAGAACGAAAGCACAAAACAAGCAAATACTTGATTTAGGTGCAAGAACGAGTATGAAACACACCTGTATACGATCTATGTCCGCGAGGGTCATGGAAACAAAGTAACCGCATCTTTCGATAATTTTGGGAAAACATCTGCGCCGAAGGAAATCAGCTTAAAACATCCTCCTCCTCTCCGGAAACTGTTGTTATCGTTCCATCTCGTTTTTTCCTCTTGTCCTTCTCCTCTTCCACATCATCGACTACTGTTCTATTAACTGAGTCTCCGTCTATGCGAACGACCGCTTCTTCCCCTTTCGCTGGTGCTGCATCCAGTGTCGCAACATCCTCGTCTTGGTCACTCTCATCGACGAATTCTAGCTCCGGATTGAATCGCTTTCTAGGATACCAATGATCTTGTCCTGGTGCAAGATTCTCAAGCTCATCCCAGTCCCCATTATCTTCCTCTTCTACTTTCATGGAGCAGTTGCATAGGCTTGGCAAATCGCGAGGACATGAAAGCGAGGAGCGAAGAAAATTCTGATGTGAACTAACAAGCCAAGGAAAAAGGCAAGCAAAGTTTTATCAACATGAACATGATTTAGTAACGATTCAAACTCAGCTACATCTTCCGTCTACAACTTTTTTTTGCCATCAAATAGCTAACCAATCGAACTCGTATCAACAATTCAGGATTACATTTTCATAACTGTAACGGCACCGGAGTTTTGAAGCTGGTAAAATTTTTCATGTCGACGTCAAAAAAGCAGTCCATCGTTTCAGGTGATAGATGATGCGCGACCCAAGTGCGCTCATGCAGCATGGAAAACTTCGCGTCGCAACTGGGATTGAGGGAGAACAAGTTCCAATCGCGGTCATCTACATTGACGGGACTACCACGATCGACCAAATTTTCCACAAATATGCCCAACATCGGGTCGTCGGGATGAGGGATTGAGCGCGCAAGCTCTAATAAGGAAACATCACCAGAGGTTCGTGACATTTGCTCTTCGTTTCGGAAAGCTTCCACGACCTTCGTTACTAGGTCGGAAGACATAATCCAAAGACTACCCCGAGCGTAGAGCGGAAAGACGTCACCCCACATAGGATGAACTTGCTCCGGAAGCTGCTCGAAAGTATTGTAGTGCGGATGCGTTGCGTTCCGCACGACGTTCGATCCGTGATCAAAATTTCCCCACCAGTACCTAGTGCGAAAAGAGGATTTCAATCGCGTTCCGTTTGCCAAAAATTTTGCTCAAAGGGCTTCGGATGAAATTGACTCAACGATGAAAACCTTTGGAAACCTTATAGAAAGTCAGTGCTCGTTTTCATAAAAATTACATGACAGGTGTTCGGCGCTCGAGGTGGTAGAGCATCGGAAAAAGACGCAAATAAATGTCATCATCACAGCGCAACAGAAACGTCAGCCGCGGCCAGATCTCCAGAGCTCTCGCTACCATGCTCAGCGCTTTCACGTTAATGGTCCGATAGCTTTCGGCAACACCAACTTCCTCCACGTCTAGTTCTGAATCGACCTCGTTGTCGTTCTCGGGTCCACGCTTGCCGACGAAAAATCGGTAGTCTACTTGGCCCATCCGCAAAGTCGTCCAACGTTCGAAAAAATGCTCTTTCTGGCGAATCCACGAGGCCCACGTCCGTCTAACACCCGCACGGATATCGCTCTGAGACCGCCGAGACATGATCGCGATTCCGTACTTTATCTGCTCACCTAACAAATGCTAGTAATTGAGGATTCTTTATGAGCAAATAAGTGTGGTTCATTTTTTTACTTGTACTAATGTGAGTTTTCGCGCTCTCTTCGTTTGACCGCAAAGATTGTTCAAAGCGTATTTCAGGAAGGAATTCTCTTTCTTACGCAAGACACTTTCCATTAGTTTCTGAATCTTTTTACCATCTTTGTTGTATCCACCGTCGCCTCCACCACTAGCTGCATTCGTTGTTACCCCACTGTCTTCTATAGCTTTCTGGGCACTTCCGCTTGAAACCTCTGCAGCTTTGCGTTTCTTATCATTTTCGGATATTCCACACAGCTGGCACATACTATGTGCTAGTCGATCGGGAGCTAGAGCCCGGTAGCGGTACGCGAGAAGGTTTTGCATGACCAGCAGAAAAGTTTGCTTATACGACATCAGCTCCTCTTTTTCAGGATTGCCTGCAAGGTCAGAAAGATAGTCTTCTGCGCTCTTGAGGCGGAGCCTACGCACACCCTGGACTGCATCTGGCAGATGGAAGTGAAATTTCGCCAGATCTTTATACATGTCGTAGGGCACGAGCGGCAGTGTCCCGAACACAAGCGTGTCGACCTGGTGGAAACAAAAGTAATTCTTTTTTTGCGAGCACTACACACTAAGCTCTAACGTATTTAACATTACACTACAGTGAGTTCGACCTGCACTCGGCTGTATATGTGGAACAGAAGTTTTTCCTTAGAGGCAACGAATTTCGCCATATAAACAAACCGAAGTTCTACCAGCGATTGTGGCGGATAGTCGTGATTGTGGATATTTTCGCCGCAGAAGAACGTGAATTGATAGGGTCCAAAGGCCTGTTTGCGCATCCCTGGTGTACCGTCATCTATAAAAACGTCGCCGAGCCCTATTTCTTCAATAGCCATGTGAATATCGATGCCTCCGGGACACAGCGCATCGTAGTGGTCGAACCACACTGACATGAAGCCGGTCTTCGCTTGACTTGCCCCTAGGCCCTTGCCAGTAAATTCTCGCAGGTCTAAATGTACTCTGTTTCCGTTGCGCGCGAAAAATGGGATCTTGTCCTGCGACGTCGTATAGATCCGGGAAATGAAAGGAGCACTCGTCGTTGTGATGTTTCAGATCAACATGACGACTTAAATCGCTGTACGAGCTGACTTGAACTTACTTGGAGTAGTAAACTCGTAATTTTAATCTAAAGACATCAAAAGTTCGATCACAATGCTGGTCGAAGATCCATCTACATAATCGTCCATACAGTCGTACTGCGACGAGTCATTGCCTTTCGGCAAGTGCCACGGGTCCGCAGCCACAGAGCACTGGGGGTATTTTTCTGGACAACCTCGGAATAAGTAGCTCGGCTTGAAGATGGTGACCCAGTCATGATTTTTCTTGGTCTCTGCGCGATTCATGTAAGCTGTTCCTTCCGTTTGCTGTTTTGATCCCTCATCGGCATTCTTAGACCTTGCCATACTTCATGCATGTATTCCACAGGATCTTCCCACCAGTCTCCAGAAAAGAGCGAAAAAAGCCTGGAAGAGATGAACTGTCTAGGACGAAGCCTCTTAACTTTACCCTCTACTGTAATGGATTCCACCTCGCTTCCAGCGCAAAACTGGGGTCTCGCTTGCCAGAACCACGTACCCGCCTCGTCGTCGCCCACATACTTCATGATCCCAGTACACTCCTCCATCTGCATGCAGAGTGACACTGCCTCTCTGCCCACATCGTCGGTCCAGTTGCCGCCTTCACTACCAATTGGGTAGAAATCCACTATCTCTTGACACCGCATCCCAGCTAGTGCAGGCCAACTCGACCACTCACTAACATCATAGTCGTACGCAAATACGCCAAATCTGAAGCTGCAAACAATGACGCATATGCACTTCGTAACTCTGAGCGACATGGAAAAAACTGATTTCAAAACTGAAGATGCAGATTCCATTATTCTACACGTCACAGAAGTGGCAGACACTCGACTTCGAAATTTCGTTCGCACCTGCCGCGGAGCGCACCGTCTTTGCGTGAACGCCCACCTCGAGCGGACACACGAAATTGCCTGGGCCTCACCAGGCCTAGCTTTTCGACCGAAGTAAGCTGTTAGGCCCGCCACGCACCCTCCCATGCGCTGGTGACCAATTTTCCAGGACCGCGGCGCAATGCTTGCGGAATTCCTTGCGTCTCCCCTTTCAGCGTGAGCATATGACGGGTTTTCGTTCTTGCCGTGTCGTCGGGTCCCTCTCCGTTCTGCACGTGATGCTCCTGTCGGACTTTCGACCCTTCGTCGTCCGCTCTCTGATAGATCAGGAGGAGCGGACTCGGCGCTCGAGTGCGACGCTGCGAATCTAAAGGCCCTCGCGACACGATCTGCAACTCGCGACGTACATCTAAAGCGCCAACGCGGCCCGACTGGCGTCGAACCGCAACTGCCCACAGGGAGCGAGCACGAGGGACGACACGACATTTCTTCCGTGAAAATACGACAAAATCACATCATTGATTTAGAGTAGGAGTCTGTCTATTTCCCTCATCACGTCTCTCATTTTGTGTACCGGCATCAGATCACATCTTATAAGCTCACCTGGATCTCATTGTATATTTGTCCCTAGAGACCGAGACAGGAAGTAGAGGAGCTTCACAAGCATCAAAAGACACAAGATGTAGACCCACGAATCAAATCTCAGTGTATCGCATACACTCGGCAATCACGTCCATGAACACTCCCTGCTTCCTACAGAAGTCTGCTTCCACTCAAACCCGCGGCGCACGGAAAGTGCTTTTTGGACTTTGTAGACATCGAGTCGAGAAAACCCCTCATCTGAACCAACAACACGTTTCGCCACAATGGCTATTTGCGCCTATTCTCGTACAAATTCTTATCGATACATCACAAGACCCTTCCTGAATGCATCATCGGCAAAACAAACCCGTGGCAGACCCGATGCTGATTGCTGATTCTCCTACATAGTCGAGGCGCCGATTAGATGTTAGACGGGTACATCATGATGCGGCACGGGGCACCGAAAGAGGTGCACGGCAAGTTCTTGGAGAATGCAGCACGCACCATACCGTTGTGCCCGTGGGCGCGGCGAACCTTGCCCCAGACGACGCTGTTGTGTGTTTGGAAGGACACGTGCAAGGATTTTCCAAAGGGCAATACAGAAATTGTCACGCTCGTGTGCTAAGCTACATTGCTACGTTCACTACTACACAATTTTTCGATGCATCCTACGTCTACAGACGACACGGTGACACTAAATCTAAATATGGAGAGGCTTCTGACGCTTGTTACACTAAAACTAATAGCGCTGCATGGGTACCGGAATCTCGAGTTCTTCTTCTCGGTCTTGCACTTGTACACGTAAGCGATGCGCTTTCCCTTGTAAAAGTTAGTCTGCTCCTGGGTGTTGACGCCTGAATGGGAATATTCATTGTTGGATTTTGAAAAAAAATCGGATGGAGTTCGACAAGAAGCTTCAGCGGAAAATCTAAAACTTTCAAATATCATCCTGGGCATCAGCAAATTTCATCCTGGGCATTGGTGAAACAGTTGTCTTTAGAAAAGCGTCATAAACGCTGAGTCTAGTCGAATGATAGCCTTGAATTTCGTATCAAGTGTAAGCAAACTCGGAAAATTGTACCCTGGATCTTGACAAGGCACTGGCGCGGAGTGAGATCCTTGCGCGCGCGCTTGTAGGAGCAGATGACTCCCTTCTGGTACAAACGGGTTGGGGTCGACTTCGCCATTTTCTCGATTAAAATCGATGTAGTCTACTGTACCACACGATAGTTTCCCTGTTGCAATTCGGACAAAAGAGAAATGGAATGTTCAGATGTTTGTTGTGTTTTAGAAAAAAGGGCGATTTAGAAACAAAGGATACTACGTAGATGAGAGATCATATCATCCCAGATCGCAGAACTCCGTCAATTTCGAGTGACCTAGAGCTTAGAGCGGCATGATCGTCAAGAGGAATCATGTAGAGATCTTCTCATCGATGACCTTGCTTCCGAAAACATCTGTCTGAGATCCTTTTTCGTAGCTTTTAGATCCATGTGCGAGTCACCCGTTTCATTCTAAAAACAACATATGGGATTCGATCGGTGCTTCAGAACGCCAATCGAGCTTTCATTTCTCTGAGCCGTTATCACACTTGTTGGATCAGTTTCCTCATACAAAATGATTTCACAAGTGATCTTTCGTGGTTTCGACTCCCGAGCACCGTGTGCTCGCCTTTAAAACTACAGCAGTCTGTCCTTCTCTTGATATCATCATCCTGAATCATGCTGGTCCTAAAGCGAAGCAATGTGGATCGTAGATCTTCTCTATCTCAATTGAATGCACACGGATTTGGATTCCCAATGGAAAAAATCGGATCCAGTCGATCAAAAGAGGTATAAACACACCGATCATGAACACGCCTGGTTAAGATGAAAGGAGACGCACGAACAGCGCGTCTCTCACTTTGCATGTCGAAATTTCGATCGTCTAAATCTTGAAGGGCCACGTGGCCAGGGGACCATCTGCATATCTCACTATTTTCGTTTTGCTTGCTGAAACCGCGCTTTAGCGCCCAGAGGTTTGGAAGATCCATCACCTGATCCATCGTGAGTGCCGAAATTATTAAGATCTAAACTTCCCATCTGACCGGCAGCTATCCCCTGATACGCCATCCACTGCTGCATCTGCACTTGCTGCAGCTGGTACATGTGCTGCGTCATCATACTCGCTGCCGCATTTGCTGATGTGCCATTATTTGATCCTAAATTACTACCACTCGAGCTGGACCCTGCAAGTTGATTGAACTGCTGCGATGCTGTGCCACCAGCGTAATTTAGACACGCACTCGGCAGGGTACCTCCAATACCAGGTAGAGTCATTGGATTTGGAAAATTTAGATTTTCGGCTCCATCTTCTCTGTCTGCTTCGCGTGCAGCAGCAAACGCTCGGGCGGCTCTCTCAGCCGCTGATGGTGGCAAGAAAAGGGTCGACTCTGCCTCAAGGTCCACCTCTTTCGTACCTTTTTTCACTTGTTCGTAGCGCTTAGCTTTCTCGGCGAGTGTCGTTTTTCTTCGGGCCTCTTTTTTCTCAGGGTCGGAACTTTCATCTGAGGAGGAATCTCCTCTTCCACGCTCTTTCTCCGAGGCTTTCGTGGCCTTTGGATTTGATTTGTCGCCGGTGCCGATCCCATCCCGCTTTGCGCTTCCTCGTTCTCTTGACCTGCTCCTGCTTTTCTCCTGCTTGTACCGCTCACGCCCAGCCTTCAGGTGGGTGCCTTCTTGTTGGCCGCCTCTTTGCCCAGATGCGGACGCTTTCGCACGGCTGCTACTGCTGGAAGCAGCACTAATTCCAACCTTCACAGACGTATTTAGACGCGGGTTAAAGCCTACGATTCCCTCTGCATCCTCTTCGTCCGAGTCTATGCCACCCTCGCGAAGCAGCCGCTGCCGATTTGTTCGTGGACCTTTGTTTGCTTCAGCGTTCCGCCGATCACCGACGAGGGCTTTGAGACCCGCCAACGCAGATTTATCATCTGACTGCAGAATCTGCCTCTCTTTTTGAGGCAGTATTGTTGCCTCTGTGAGCCATCCGTACGACATCCTCTGTTGTGCGCACAACCAACGAAGAAGACAAGAATATATTTTGAGAACAAGGTCTACTGAGCATTAGAGGCCGAGGGGGAACAAAGCTAAGGGCAAGAAAGGACACGAGCAGGAGGTGTCAGGGATTGATGTGAGATACAGCAGGAAGACTTGGATCTATTTTGCATCAGCGCATGAAAACGAAAGTACTCCTGTGACGCCCTGTGCAAAAAGAGATTAATTCGGCCATCAAATACTCCATACGTTTCCCCAAAAGAAATTGGTGAACGAGCTGTGCACCCACTGATAGGGTAACCGCTAAATAGATTAATCGACTGTCGGCATCAAATACTCTGCGATCCCGTCAGTTGTATTCCGCGTAATTTGGTGGATCACGATTGCCCGCTAAACATGATCAGCTCCTCTCGTTCTATCAGAACAACTATTTCATCAAAAAAAATTGATATCATTGCATCCGAGTCGTGTCGGTGCCTCGAGGATTAGGCAAAAACAAAAATATGTGTTTGCGTCATGTACTTCTGCGTCCTGTTGGTGTTTGGCGTGTATGCTAGCGCTTCGTGACGATTCATCTAATTACAGATTGAAAAAATGCAAAAGAGGCTCCGCCTCAGCTTTTGGCGAACTTTTCTGGTGGGCAGAGCTCCCCACAACAGTATTTCTCTGTCGCACCGATTGGTAGCTCAAGCACGAACCATCCCTCTTCGTCTAACCCTCTAAAGATGCCCGCCGTTCGATCCGCGTGGTGTCTTCCGCGTGGCGCAAATACAACGTGCTGATCCTGATAGAGCATGACGGATGGCAACAGCGGCGCAAACACGCCATACCCCGATTTTGCAAATGTGCGCACTGCGTAAACCAGTTCATGGGCAAGCTCCTGTCGAATACGCCCTACATCGAAGCTTAAGATTGGATTCCCGACCTCTCGCAGCAATGATGTTGGCGCCCAGGCGAAGGGTTCTGTCTTCTTTGATTCTCCGTCGCTCCTTTGTTCTGTGACATCAGCAGAAGTCTCACCATCGCTTCCATACAGCGCCACCATCTCCGCTAGATCCTCTGAAGATAAGTTGATATTCAGGCCAAAGGAGACTATCATTCCGATCTGCTTTTCATCACTGGTCACGAGGACATTTTCGATCCCTGCGGGATTACTCGCACCTTGTGCTGATTGTGCGGCGCCAATGCTACCGGGACTTCCGGATGACAGGACAGACTCTTCGTAAACAACTGGTGCTGCAGGTCGCGGTTGATCCGATGATGTTCCGCTTCGTCCCGCACCGGCGAAAAGACCGCAAAGCTCTGGTGGTACTGGCTTCGATACCGTTTCTCCCCCACCAGAGCTTTGGCCGGCAGGCGTTGTCTCCCCTAACCGTACAATGCCCGGCGCTCCTCCTGTGCGCGCGCCACCCACAAAAGATACGGACGCCATCGTCGGTACTGGTGAAATTTCACCTACCCCACTTCCCGCCACTGGCGATGAACCGCTGTACATGAAGCCGAGACCACTGCTTGATGCTGCTGCGCTGGTGCCCGTTAGTGTAAGTCCTGCACCAGACGGCGTCGCACCACCGATGCCCGCTTGTGAACCTACAGTACCACTAAGCAACAGTTCTGTCCGCGTCGTGTGCCGCACTGGATCTACGACCATGCGAGACAAAATGCCGCCCATTTTTCGCTCATTGAGCATCACATCATTGGGCCATTTTAAAGCGAAATGCAACTTATCCATCTGCAGTCCCACGCAAACTTTTCGTTTCATCGCGTGCATCGCCGCAAGGGCAGCAACCTGCAATTGGTTTTTGCAGGTAATCCAGAAAATTTAAAACGATCCAGCAAAACAACAAAAATATATTTTGATGAAGTCGCGGTGGACCGTGTGCCTCTACCCAGTGAGTTCACATTCTTCTCATCAAGCAGGTATGAAAATACGCGTCACGGCAAGTCACGCTTACTTGAATACCTGCAGAAATGAGGGTGCCTGCGCCTTGCGGCTCTCTGGTAGCATGAAGTAAAAGGTGCATAGCAAGTTTTTTCCTCGTGGAGCATGCCAAACACGCTGACCAGTACCACGCCCTGCCATCTGATAGTCTGCGGATATGCAAGTGAGCTTTTCTGGATCGAGAGACCCGTGATTCCGTTCAACCCACGTGTGAGTGGAGTCTATCTCCGGAAAATGCACGTACTGGATTGATTTCATTTTTCTGGAACGGTCACAAACTAATCACTTGGCTTATGAGTCAGCTTGGCCTTCTGTTTGTTGACAAAATAAACCAAACGTTGTCCATGTCTTCATTAGTATAATCACACTTTACTGAGTAACTGAGATCCGTTCTGAACAGCGACGGAGGATGAAACAGAGACCCAGCGCGGCTCAAAAACTTAGCTGTTTCTTCCCTGCATGAGAAGGAGCAATCAAAAAAATGTCTGTGTCAATGGATAAATAATGGATGACGAATTCCCGGCGCAGCGGCATAATTAGACAGTTTTTGTCCTCCCACTCACACCGCCTATCTATAACTCCGCTCGCGCGCTCTGCGAATGGAAAATAATCTTCTGGATCATCATCTTCGGCATCTCGCAACGCCTCAGTCTCGTTTACTCTTCGAGCCGTCACACGTGGTTGGTACAGTGAGCTGCATCATTCTTGCCTTTTTCGTTTGTAAACCCGAATACGCACGTACACATGTTGCCCAGCACTGACCTTGAGCGAGGCTCAAGCGTGAAGTGAAGATACTTGGTACAAAAATTTGAATTCGTTCTGCCATGATCGTTCTACATGCATCTCCTCCATCGGAAGACTTCCAAGATAGCTATGAATTTGGAAGGAGTCATGGGCCTTTGCCACAACATCGTACGACCTGCGCAAACGTCATAGTCCGTCCTCCCCGAGAGGCGCATTTTGGTGCTAGTTGTAAGTAAGCAGTTGTGGGTTACTCGGGTCGCTTTTGGAAACCCAAGTGAACAATTGATGTGGTATGTACGGGGTTCGACATCAAGGTTCGGGAAGGATTGAAGAAGCATGGGATGCTCAGGAGGTCTAAACGAAGAGCATCGCTCTTCGATATCATCACGGAAGGAGAAGTCGTAGTTCTTGTACTAGTAGCAAATGATTTATTATCTGAAGCAAGCTAAGTTTGTGCGGCAGCAGGTCCGTCTTCTTGCTCGAAATTCTGTTGTTACGCCATTCGCAACTGGTAGTCGCCATTTTGCGTGATGTAACGGACCCACGGAAGCGCCGAATAACCAGATTTTTCGAGAATTTTCAGGTATCGGACAGTGACCCCGGAGACGGTGAAGTAAGGAATTTCGAATTTGACGTTGATCGGCTTCTTTGCGTATTCCTCGCGATTCTCGCTGCCAATACTAGGCAATCCAAAGTTTGCAGTCATGATGAAATCTTTCTGCCCCTGGAACTGCTTGATACCTGGTGAAAAAATTGTCTCGTTATAATACACTCCTTCGATGAAAATGGACTAACTCGAGGACAAACACTTCGTCTCGCCAACCCGGAGAACCAGAGGAAACACCATACCCCGACTCAACGAGCAGTAGTAGTAACATTGCACTGGCAGTAGTAGTAGTTGTGGCAACGTGAATAGGTAAAATTGTACTCCACACAATCGCATCCTGGTCCGGAACATATTTGACGGTTCCTATCGACGTCTTGAAACTTGGGGAGTCGACGTCGCTTGGCACGGGCACAATGATTTCCACGTTGTTTGCTACAGACCTGATTTATTCAAGTGCTTTCATAAGAAATTGACAGCTCACATTCATTTGTCGAAGCGGACTTCTAGTATTTGCTCACCCAGTTTTGCCTTACAACCAGTTTGCACCCAAGATAAGACAAGACTTCTAGTAGAGAAGTACCTGGACTTGAACTGGCTCTTCGCGCGTATCATGTATTCTATTCGACTCTTGCTCTGGCCAAGGTCGATCGCGCTTTCAATCCAAATCAGCGGCTTCACATGCGTGTTCAGTCGATAACTCATCAATTCGAATTCTCCGTCCGGCGGAATAAAGGATATCGTCCTGATTTGTTTTCGGCAACAGTCGTCTTTTGATGCGCAGCAAACGATGAATTCCCCGGTTTTGTGGTAAGCATCTCTCTTTTCGGGAAGGCTTATCTTATGCAAGAGAAATATTATCATGACGTATAATACGAGAACTCTAACAAGTACCTGTCGTTTTCGAATCTCGCGAGTCGCACGCATTGATGGAATTTTATGTCTTCCATCTCTACTGCTTTTCCCTTGGCCATGGGTCGACCGGTCTGCTCAAAAAGCAGCTTGTCGTTAAGCCCTAACTTGAGCTCTGGCATTCCCGAGAGGAAAGATTTCATTTTCAAGCTTCCTAAAATTTCAGACCGCAAAACTGAACCGTTGGCGGACACAAGTAAATTTAATCGCTCGACCACATCCAGGAATATTTCGTTTTTCTTGTGGACAATACCCTCAGGCCGCCAGCTCACTGCGTTGGTAATTGCTGCAATTGGCTTTACCTGATTATTGAAATTCAAATGCAGGTTCCGCAAACGAAGTTCAAATGTTTCTGGCGTTTGACACCGAATTACTTCCTGGCTGCCTCCAACTAAACTACAACATGGCTTCTTCTTGTTACGGCATCAGAGTAAGACTCACTTCGTTATGCGACAGGCCACCGTGACATCGGTAAAGTAATATCCAAGATCCATCCACCAACAATGATTCAGTCGAAGTTTTTTACCTGTGTCGTACTCGTCATCTGATGCGACTTGGTTTTGATGTATTCGCGAAGAATCTTAACCTCTGTTGTCTGCGGAAGCCCATTGTCCATTAATTCGTCCAATAATTCGTAAGTTATGACGAAGTTGTCTCTAATTGATTCCTCCTCCAATTCTCGAAAATAATCTTTCAGCACGTCCGCAAGCTTGTAGAGGTAACTGTAGTTGTTATGTCACGTCACTAGTCGTGGGATTGTGGGGTGTCGAGGAGGATGCTAAGCCACATCTTCAAACGGAAAAGTTACTGTCGTCTTATTTTGTTGTTGATCATTACAGCGTGTTGAAATCAAATCACCAGAAGGAAAAAGAGACAAGCTTCCACCCATCTCATAAAAGACATCAGCATCTGAAAGATGATCATCAAATACCTGAGAAGCATAAGCGCATTCGCATTTCGCTGACTTGTCGCTAGAAAGTAGAGGTTGGAGTATCGTATCCATACGAAATTGACACCATCCTCACAAAACACCGGCTTAACGAATGAACTTTCTTCGTCGATTACCAAACGGACAAAGCGCTCCGTTATGCTCATGGGCACTTCACCGCGATAGTTGCGGCTAATGATGACCTTGCCCTTGAGGTCGAGAATAAACACTGCTGACGCGCCTGACATCTTGTCCTGGCCTGCCGGTTGCCGTAAAAAAATCGCTTCTACCTCTACCCTCAACTGGTAAATACAAACTTTTTTTACGTCTCCTGGAAATGACTCGTTCAGGTACGTAGTTGCCTTCTCTTCTGCCTTACCTGAAGTTTCATCGGACCATCCGACCTCAATCTCTCCACCGTGTTACACGGATCGAGTAATTCGGCCCAGCAAAAGGGATGCTTCGTAATGACCTCCAAATCCAGTCTTGCAGCTTTGTGCAGAAGACGTCAAACTATCCAACTATCACCTCCTTTCGCTCGCACAGGCAAGCACTACGACAAAGAGCCATTATCTTTTCCAAAATGTCCGAACTCAATCATTATGGCTTTGATGTATGATGGAGCAAATCACAAACAGCAGTCAAAAACAATTCCTCTTGGAGCTGATAGAAATAGAAATAGAATCTACCATGAACAAAAAGAACAATCAACCTACTAACCTCCAGCTCCGAAGTCCTTTTCTGACCGTAGCTGCATTTGAAATTAATGAGGAGAAAGGGTAAAGGGCCGTGGCGCCATTGTGTTTTAAACCAGACAATCTAGTAGGGCGTGAACAAGGACAGAGCTGATACACTCGCTTTTCTAGCCTCGCGATGTGAGACTAACATTGGAATGAGGTGGCACTCTCCGCGCTTTCATGACAGGCTTGTTGATTAGAGAGTGGAACATCTCGTCCCTGTGCCCATTGTAGTTGATACTTGCTGTTATTGTTCTTATCGGCGCATGCTGGATGTAGATTTCTCAGTTTTTCATAACCGAAGAATTTATTCATTTAAGCTGTTCACCAGCAAGGCAATATTTTTCATTCTGATATCTGTGCAAGAATAGTCTCCATTTCTTCTTTCATTTTGTTCAGTGTTGAAGATGTTGCAGGATTCAATCCATCATGATCAGAATGAAATTGACGCTCAAGCGCTTTGCGCATTTCTTTGAGTCTGTAGAGCTCGTCTCGAATTGATAGACCCGAATCCAACTGAGTAATTCCAGTTTCATTTTTCTTTACAGTAGCCTTTTGTAACTTCCGCACTGCAACCACGAGCTCTTGCCACGCACTGGTCTCTGCTGCATTAGCACTACTTCCATCGTCTGCGGGCGATGGCTCATCGTCAACCGACACTCGCGATCCCACCTGTTCCAAAGTTGAAGCTGCTTCTCCGGAGTGCTCGTCCCCCTCCTCCTCCCTTGCTTCGATCACCGGAGCCACCGAAGTATCCGGCCCCTCCACGACACCTTCTGCACGTGGAGGCCTCCCACGACGTACCATTTTCTTGGAAAAACAATGATTTTTCTGTGGTGCTAATATCACAAACTTAGTCTAATGAATCGATAAAGAGACCTCGCACATCAAACTCAAAATCGGACTCAAAACTGTAGATGCAGCAACTTCTACTGCCTCTAAATCTTTCTGGAACTCACAGCTCTGTGACGTCGATCTGAGAAGGATGGAACTGAAGAGCTGAAACAATTCGCGCCGCTCGTCTCACAGAAGATGTATGGTGCACGCACGAGAGGAAGGCAAAATTTCATTGCTTCATGACTAAAAGTGTGCGCATGGTCGCTTCAAGGTGACGACGCTTGGATACTCGAATGAGACTGTGCTTCCCGCGACAGAATAGGATCGCACAAAGGTGTGTTGTACTGGAATAATTGTTAGATTTTTTACAACGCATGCATAGGTCAGCGGGTCACGCGTTCTGGCTTTTTGTGTGTGGGGAATGAAGAAAGTGTGTTAATCGCTTGGGTTCAGATAGTATGCTGTACATTGATGTGCTGTGGAAATGTGTTATGCTGAGACTTTTAATAAGTATGTAAAAGAAAAATATGCAGATGTTGATGCTGTTGCTTGTGGCTGAACAGATATCCTGGATGGAGTTGTGAACGCCTAATAACCTGTGAGAATAGTTTTTTTAGGAGATACGTATGCCTATGATACATGACAGAATTTTCACTCTTGAACAGATAATCGTATTTGTGGTGCTATGCAGAGGACAAATTTGGTTCACGGGTAGTTTTTTGTATTGGATACGTAAATATTAGGTACATGATTCGTGCACATCGTCAAAAATCGTGTTTCTAGTTGTAAGTCTGTTGCATATCACGGAGGAAAATGATATCAATAATGGCGGATAAAGAAGGGAACTATTCTTGTTTGCTAATTCTGAGATCTTCACATGACTATAAATTACCATCAATTGTGTATGTCTGTGACCACTTCTTGCATGTACTCTACAATGTGTACAACTCGTCCTTCTAAATTGATTTCAAACAACATCGAAGTCGGCCTATGATTGTATGTCATCCAAGAAATCTTAAATCCAATGCTTACCTTATGCTTTCATGGATGAAGATTTGCTTTTGCATCTCGCTCAGCGACGAGCTCACAAAGAAAATGTCCTGTGGTCTCGTTTATTGATGAAAAGGATAATCTTTCTCCTCAATTTCTGCCGATGCTCGTTCTAGTCCGTGTAATCCGTTCTCCATCGAGTCAAGAGCACTACTGCTGTTCGAATCGACGTCGTCCTCGTCGTCGTCTTCGGAGCTCCAGCCGTCAGACTCATCCGATGCGTCCGCGATATGGTAGTACACCGGACTGAGGTACCTGTCCCCCGATGCGATTTGTCTCCGGCCTTTACCCTGCTTTTTCGCAACGCCTGCTGAGCCTACCTGCGTATTAGAGCTACTGCGTAATTCCAATTACTCACGTCACCAATGGACTGTTCTCCACGTAAATACCTAGGCGCGTCGGATCTATATCTCCTCATCTTTTCGATTTCAATTTGGAAAAGATGTGGCTCCTCTTAGAAATCATCTACTTAGGAGGATGAAGTAGTAGAGGTAGCCTTAACTGTAGAAGTATTCTTGATCGTCCCATCTGCATCATGAGGTGACCAACCCGGTAACGAAGGTCTTCGCTTGCTTCGGAGTTTCTTACCGGAAGTTGAGTGGTCTGTGCGCCGCTGCGACCTGCGATTCGTTGGTGGCGAAACCGGACCCCCAGTTCCCTGATGATCCTGATCCGTTGCAGATCCAGTAAGGTTCATCGTTGCACCAGCTTCGGTGGACGAAGATGCTTTCGTACTGCTTGAACTGTGGCTGCGGTTTGTCAGCTTGGAGAAATCCGCCTCGCCATCTGCTGGTGGCATCACTCCCTGTTGTAGCTGTATCTTGAAACGCCCCGCACTAGCCGGGTTTACCGTGGACGGACGCTTGTTTCGTCGCCAAGAGACGGCGTCATCTGCTGAACTCGATGAGGTTACCACTTGGTCACTCATCGCTGTCGGCGTCTTTTTCTCCTCATCGCTGGAAGTGTAGATGTTCACCCACAGGGGTCCGTCCTCTTCCGGTGACGACAGCCGCTCCGCTGTTTCCTCATTCGCTGTATCTAGTACAATGTCGCCCAACACCTGCTTACGACTTAGCTCCCCGTTCGGAACGAACGCCATCGACGTGCCTCCATTCTTACCGTTCTCGACTCCGGTGTCGGTCACCCTACTTGCCTCCCCCTCCCGCCTTTGTGAATCTTGGCCAATGGCCGTTTGCTCGCCGCCATCTGTCGTCGCATAGCTTTGCTGCGGACGACGATTACCGAACAGGCCCTGGTGTTCTGACTCACTCGCGCCATCAGTATCTACTACGCCCAAACGCACGAGGATGCGATCGCTAAGCAGATACAGGAAAACCATGAGCATGATTCGGAATAGGCCACTCAGCAAATTGAAAGTTGCAGTCGGTATCTTAGCGCATCCATGCCAGCCTGCGGCGCACCATTGTTCGCGACTGACAATAGCCACGCCAAACTCGGTTTGGTACTTCTCCCCCATCGCGAAAAATGATGAAACCATGTCGAAACTACTACTGTAGTTGTGACCCTTGGCGTGTTCTTCATTAGAGCGATCACATTCGCATCCTTCATGGATGCCCTCATCCTTGGTATATTTTTGGAAAATCCGCCACTCTGAAATGATGATCTCTTTAAGGATGTGCCTGCGGTCGCCACTTAGCCATAAGTTCTCCGAGTGATAGCCCGTCTCCATGATCATTGGAGGCCGTTCGACCCCGAAGAGTCCCTCTCAAAGATTGAACGAGCCACGGGTCGGCTGTATCCGACGATGAAGGAGAGGATGAGAGCGTCGCTCCGCTCATGCTCTGGAGCAGAAAGCTCAGCAGCCCTAGGCTCCACCAAAGTGCAACACCGAAAGCCAGCCACTTGACGAGGAACAGTGGTGCCAAAATGCAGCATTTCGTCACAGCACCGACCTCGCGCTGAACTTTCCCAGATGGAGTATTGGCAAAGTGTGTTGGTCGCTCCGGTAAGCCACGAGCCGTATGCGTGGTCGTATGTTCCCGAAGCTGCGCAGTGTTGGTATTTGCCACATGACGAGGCAGGTTTTCTCTCGCATCAAGGGGTGTCCAAAAGTGTCCGCCTTTCTTGGATCGCTTCTCAAACCCGATCGGCGGGCTGCTACTCTTCGTCGATGACCCCGCGTCTGACATCATTATCGTCCAAAGTAGATGCTCTAGAGACCACCCAAAATTGAGCACCGCCTCAACTAATGGTGAGAAGTTGCGTCCTCTGAATTTGCCGTGAGGCAATCTGAAAATTTTCAACGCCTAACAATACCTCGCTCCGACAGAGGCTCTTCAATACCTACCAATCAAATCTCTACCATCAATCACGTAATAGAACTTAAATGACTGCTCATTCACTTAGACAACATATACATGGGATCAATTATTCTAACTTCTGACACGAAAAAGTAAACAACCATCTACATCAACGTCGACGTATTATGTAATGGGCCTCCTAGGCAACGAGGGGGTAAATCGTCAGGGATTCTTTATGGATTCCGTTTATGTGCTGATAGAGTGTGGACCGATGGGGCAGAATCACACAGAAGCAGTGAGCGAGCAAGACACACGAGATTTTCCAAGCACGTGCACAATCCACTATTTATCGTTTCTTGACTCACCGTACTACTCAAGTGATGGAATAAAACCACCACTAATACGGAAAGCATTGACGAAGATTTCAATAAAGTATTTATTTATTCATTCATTCATTCGAACTACGTAGCAACTCAGAGCAGCCTGGTTCCGTGGCGACCCGAGTAGAGACGCGACTGCTTCGGGCGTGAGTAACGCCTATGGCGGACTAAATAGGACCGATCCGTATTTTTTCTTCCTGTCACCTTTCTTTCCGAAAACACTACATAAACTGTGTGCAGGCATTGCAAGATAACTGATTGTCATCCTCGGAACACTTTGCACCGAGGGTGGTGTCCTTCACGTTCTTAAGAGGACGCCTTGTCCAGCGCTATTCTCCCTTGGATTTGCTGGGCCTCTTCCTAGCGATTGGGGTTTATGATTCGACAGGGTGCGGAATGGGGCGTCTCATGAAAGTGAGTTCTTTCATGAGTATCATCCATTATGCTTGTGACTTTTGAAGGCAGAGAGGAGAGGCTTCAAGGTAGGTAGGAGAAAACTGGAAGAAACTACAAAATCGAAAATCATTATGGTGTGTACTAGGACAAGGCTACGCATGGTAACGATGCAGTATGAACGATACTGCTCAACACCCTCTTGCACGTCGGATTCTTCAAAATTGAAACTCAATCTCAACGGATATGCCTCAGTGAGAGCACCAATTATCGTTGGACCTTAGCATCAAGGCAGTGGATTCTCCGCAAGCACACAAACTCTCGTGTTCAAAAGGACTATCGATGTCCGCCTAGGCACGCAATTGAAAAAGTTAAAGGTCTTTAGCATAGGGCGTGATCGATGTCCTCATACCACATTAGTTACATTATCATCTTTCATTTTTATCAAGGGCTCCTGTAACACACGGTGGGCAACTACGAACGTCCTCAAGAATGCGTAAAATGGAGGACATATTTATCATTTGCAGAAAGGCAGGGGCTCATATCTCCTTTTTCTACTATACAGGGAGAGCAGCATTAGATCGCGCCAACCCTGCTGCCTCAATCTTTGCAAATGCACATTGTGTTTCCACTTGCAAACACAAAAAGTGATTAGAAACACGGTGTGAATGCCTAGCACCTGCTATTCAACTAAAGAACGTCATGTCATGTTTGATTAGATGAGCACAATGAGCCCCCCTTGCCCAATGACCTATGAGTTCATGAAGATTATACCTACGTGGTCGAGAGATTCAACATGACGGGTCTTGAAGGACCAGACCTTCGGCGTTCTTACAGTAGTTACGATGACAACTATACCGGAAACCTTTTTCTCAACGGGCACAAGAAAAGACAATTCATTCTAACGGTGACGTGACTTGGATACACGGAAACGCTACAACGAGATTCGTTGATGACTGAAGTAAAAGCTTCTGTCAACTAGGACGCGACGGTGACGAATGTAACTTGTAAAAGATTCTATTGCTTGGACAAAGTAAACAGCGAAAATCTTATCCCTAAACATCAAAGAAATCGGAGTTCCTTTACCAAAATCCTAATTTGCAAAAATCAGGAGTGGCTAAGGCTAATGCTACAATGCTAATCGTTTGCTAATCCTGCTCCTGCCGAGCATTTCGAAGAGACCGTCTCTATTCGCTTCACCTCACGAGAACTGAAGAGCGAACAGTAGGACCGAGGGCTTGGAAAAGAACGGTAGTTTGTCCTCAGTCTACTATTTCGACGCCTTGCGGCAGACTGTTAGAGGCTACCGGCACTGGCGGTTCTCCGTCCACTGCGGATTTTTGAAAAAACACCAGCACACAAGAAACGTTGTCTCGCGATTTTCTAACATGAATTGCCTCGTAAACGATCTGCCGCGCAATCTGGTTTGATTTTAGATTGGAAAGGTCGCTGAATATGGATACCACTCGGAAGATCATACGCAACTGACCGAAGCCGTGGTCGGTACGTCAAAGATCAGACTTCACCTAGAAGATACTTGCCTTCACGACTAAATCACAGTTATGTTCCAAGACCTTCGTTTATCAGCGAGAGGCCTAAACAAGGTTAGCAAAAAGGTACCGCTCCGGGATCGACTTCGGGCCCCACCGCACGACTTTTGACGAAGTTTACGGCTTCCTGTGATTCCATCACGTCCCAAAGGCCATCGCAAGCCAGTATCAGAAACTCATCGGTTGCTTGAAGCTCCGTATACCTTGAAAGATGAGCAGATCGAAATCAGCGAAAGTAGCAACGACAGTGAAGAATCCAAGACATAGCTACCACGTAGTAAAAGTAAAATAAAGATCTAGACCGTGGTGGTCTTTTTAGCTCATAATAAGAATGCATGTGTCCACCTCACGCTACTCCTGACAATATCATCAGAGCTGAAAATAAGCGTGTAGACCTTAGAATATTAAGAAGCATTGATTGTGAGATCACTGAAAATAATTTACAACTATCGAATTGCGAAGCAAAACGCACCTGATTTCTGGTTCTGCAATGACTAGTGGGCCTGTGACTTGCTCTAGTGCTAGCTCTTTGTATTCGAAATCTCCGAAAGCGCGGGACACTGCCAAACGACCTAGAACTCGGGAGAAGGAAACGAAGCCCCCACGCTCCTGAATCCTCTGTCTTTCGTCGGCTCGGTCAGGCCTATGATCCCAACTAAGGTCATACGCCGTGCCCCCGCGACTCAGGACACAACGACTGTCGCCGACACAAGCCACATATAGCGACGCGCCTAACAAAATTGCAAAGATCGCAGCACATCCGGAACTAGCCTCGCTCGCGTCAGCATTCCGATGCACTTTAAATCCGTCGTCTACCGACAGCGAACTATCCCACAAAGCTTTTCGAACTAGCTCGTGAACCTTGAAGATTTTCAAAGCAAAGCCAAATCTATGTGCTTATCTCTTGACAAATCATGCTTTAAAAGACGATGCCTACTATTTGTGAAAGAAGACTGCACGACAAAAAGTGGAAGGATTCGAATCAAAGAAGCAGTACGTCTTCGGTGGAGTCGACCTCTTGCTGCAGATTGTATGCTATCTCGAGATGCAACCGCACTCTAATGTAGTCCACACAATCTCGCTTACTGTGCCCATCATAGACGGCATACATACTACAGAGCCGATGACTTGAAACTGCAAGGTCCTGCTCGACGAAGTCTGCATCCTCCATATGGGCCCTGAACCCCTTCTCAGACGCTGCGCCGAAGTTATACCTTTGTTGACAATTATCGGTAACACGTGAAAGTCACAGCACGCAGCAAGATCATTAACGACTTTCATTGATTTCTTGCACGAACCTGTTGCAAAAAACTCAAAATGCTGTTGTATCAAGGTGAAATGGAATTTTGTCTTTGTTGTTGGTGTGTGAGGACGAGTACCTTAAAACTGCGAACTCTAGGGAGCCTATCTTGAACGAGTCGCCCGGCTGTAAGCTGTGCCGTTGCCCTTGTCGTAGCCTGAGCCAGTGTCTCGAGCTACTGCTAGGTTCGTTTTCAAAATGGCAATAGTATGAACCATTACTGCAGTAGCATATTCGAAAACTCTCCTCCCGACCTTCTGACAAACCATCCGTCTTCAGACGATTAAATTGCTGCATTGCTTGTGCTGTGAAAATCAAAAGGGAACGGCTGTAAAGTGCAGCGATATGAAACTTGAGAGAACACTATGCAAATCACAAGAAAATTTTCTGGGATAATAATTCAAAGTCGTTCCTCAGTTGTATAATTTGTTCTTATGTTATTCTTCCCCTGCAGCTCATGGCTGAAAATTCGGCAATGATTTTCTGGGATAATATATTTCATACGTACTTAATTTGTGTGTCCAAGTTGTCAATCTAGGAATCTTATCATCTTACCCATCAAGCTCTGTGCGCCTTCACCGCCAATGCGTCGCTGACTCGGGCTGAGGCTGCCAGGAAGGCTCTGGTCAAGCCGCGATGCCGGCGTGGCTGAAAGCGGACTAGACCGCGGATCCTGCCCGTTTCCGTGCGCCCGCTGACCTTCTATGACCAGAAAACCGCCGCTCCATGCCACATTCGCATACTCCTTGCCGCTTTCCTCGTTTCTCACCACTAGCCGCCTCTTCGGATACGCAACTCCTTCTGGAAACCTGAGAATGAGAACAGTTTGCATTTCTCAGTGGAAGCGAAATCAGTGCCGTCATCGCCCTGCAGCTGCATCCATAATTATTAAGAGGGTCGCATAGTTTTTCTCAGGAATGAAAACTGCTAGCTGCTGAATCATCTACTTGAATAATTTTCACATAGCGATAAAAATACTGTCGCGGAAGCTCGTCGAACCCATTCCGTATTCCGTCTGTGATTCTTGCTGGATCCGTTATAACCTCTTCTGCAGTTTTCCCTCTTAAGTCTTCCAGTTTTCGACACGATGTGCTTACGCTGTCCCTGCTGTCCTCGCTGCTGTACAGCTTGAGCCATTCTAGGATTTCATCCTCGATTTCCGGACCCTCTTCGACTTTAAGTCGTAGACTCCACGGAAGCTGCCCCCCTTCGTTCGATGTAAATTGCACTTCTTGTCCCGGCTGGATCTAGTGTCGAGTAGGTTTTTGGAAAAGACAGTTTGCTCTTCTCAATCTCGACCTGAATTCACATCAAGAATCATTGAAGAGTAAGTTTGACAATCATACGAAATCAACTCAAGCCATGAGGAATCAGACTAAAAAGAATTTCTAGAAGTACATCAGGTACTAAAGTGCGTCGCTATTCTCACCTGCAAACTTCTGTTCCATCGAAGCGCTGTCCACGTCTCGCCTGCTTCTGGTTGAAGATACAATGTTGGCCGGCCTGAAGGAGCACTTTGCGAAGTTGATGATGTGGCCGGCGTGGCGTCAATTCTCGCATGCACTGGCGCGAGATCGGCATTTTCAATGAGCATAGTTATACTACTCTCAGTCGGGTCCGAGCCGAAGATCTCTCCCCCGAGGGAGGGGTAAAGGTACCGTCCCTGAAAAATCCCCTCGGTACATTTGAGGCAGTACGAGAGCGGTCGATCGGCTGCCTCTACGCGAAGGTCGGTCACGCGTTTCTTGCCAAGACCTGCGGGGTCCAAAAGAGGCAACAGCGGCGCTTTGCCGGCCTCGGGTGGTTGCCCATCTGCGCCATCTGACGAACCACCACCAGCACCTGGCGAACCTGCTATCGTCGGACTCGTTCCTCCTCCCGGCCGGAGCTGAGTTGGCCCGCCGCTACTCATATCTTATCTTGTCCGCTCCTTGGGACACTTTAGAAACGTGCTACAGCAAATTTGCGACATACAGTTCGTAATGGCTGTCCACCTGCCTGGTAAAGCGTCCTCGCTGTGAAGTCCGCGACGCTCGTTCAGTTACAGCCTCTCTCGTTTTATATCGAAGGAGTAGGCATGCAACACATTAGTATTTACTATGCGTTCACTTCGAAAGCCAACGTACGGCTACAGCTCGTACAGCTTTTGTGAATGCGCACCTGTCCTTTTCCTCGGAACCTCTTATTTCGAAACAGAGTTTCCTCTCGGGCCGTCTCGCAAGTGCGAGATCCGTGGACTTGGATTACCGTGCGGGCCACACCGGGTATTGCGGACGCCGCTAAGCGTTAGTTCGGGATAGAAAGGCGCGTAAGTTGCAGTCGTGCCGAGATCCCCAAAGTAAACTCGATTCTACCGGTGCCGTGCGGCTCCAAAACATTTCAGTTTGCTTTGGTGACGATGTATCAGCCCAGAAGTCGAACTCAAAGTCTAGCTTATCGATTGATATTACTCATACAAAGATGCCAGAAGGCGAACTTTCAAAGAACAACAATAAAGCCGTGAAATTGCGTTCGGAGCCCAAAAACTGCCCAAATGAAAAAATAAAGCCAGTCCAAAAATCGGAATGAAAATTGCTCGACTTCAGTATCCACTTTCTCCTGCTACTCGTCCAAGACGTTTGCTAACCTACTTACGCTCTTCCACGTTTTTTCTCTGGTGTTACGGTAAGCATGTAGACGTTGCTCTGCCGTTTCATCCCCCGCATGGCAGTATTATACGTAGTAGTCATCAATTTACCAACATCGCTACCTTTTTCTTCGGCCTGATTACTTTTACGATATTACATAATTTAATCATCATCTCCTTCAGTGGGGGCTAGGAGCGATTTACATCCAAGGTGAAAAACCGAAGGACATTTTTTTGAACATCTTTCTACTTTAACCGATCGTCTGTGGTGCTAGCGGTAGATCTGTAGATTTTATAAAAATAGATCCTCTCAGGCGAGCTTCTATCAACGCATATCACGGTCGTGTTGATACAGCACTTCTCTAATGTCGCTCATAGATACACATTTGTTCTCGCTACAACAGTGGTCGCCTAGCGTGCCAGACTTCGGTACTATTTCTGCGGATTCGTTCTGAAGGAGTCATCGAATTCAAAAAACCAAGGTATAAACATCGCACATTTGTTTGCGGATCGTTGCGCAAAAGAGGTCACATCATTTCTCATCATGCCACTTGGGCGGCGTGGAACGAAAGATGGTCAAAAGACTCTTTGGAATTGACTTACTATGTATTGTTCTACTTGTCAAAGGCAGATAGTGAATGAATCATGATACGGAATACGGGTTCTCCTATCATCTTCGAAAAAAAGTACAAAACTAAAAATCTTTGTGACACTATCGGTTTGTCAAATACTAGTATACAAACAGAAGTTTCCGCCGCCATCGCTGACTTGACAGCCGATGACTTTCCCAAGAAGTTGTTGTCAAATTTGATCATATAAATAAGATATTAGCGAATCCTATGAATCGTAACTTTTTTTAGGAGGTGAATTGTTTGATGTGTCGTCGAAGCAGACTTGTCTCCGCAGTTCCCTTACTTCTTGCTCTCGTTTTGGGCGATGACTGTGAGTAGGCGATCGACCTGCTCTTGGCTGTTTAGCTCTGTCACTTGTTCCGTGTTGTAGCTACGCATTACCGCAACCGTTCCCTCGCCGTCGCCGCACACGAGTACCGGCGATTCGCGCGCGAAGCGGATAAACGTTCGGTCGGTGCCACTCAAGCTGGACGGATGGTGCACGACCAATGGGTCGTGCGGCTTCACGGCCAGATCCCACAACTCGACTCGCCCGTCGTTCATGCAACTCGCGAAACTGGCGCTGTTTTGCGGGTGCCAAACAACGTCCTGTACTGTTTGCGTTAGATCCGGAGATTGGAACGTGGAAATAAGCGGTGACTTGAGCAGAATGCTCTCGTGTGTCGGGTGCGCGCGTGTTGCGACGTTCTCGTCGCCGGCAGCTGACATGCCGTCGATCTCGCTCGGCGTGTCCACCTCGCGACGACTCTTATTAGAAGAGGAAAGTGTATACTAGTTGTAGTTTCTGTGTCACTTTCTACTATGCTGAATCAACGAGCTGATTCCACACTTAGCTGTTACTTGTGGCTCTACATTGTTAGCTGCTTAAATCATTCTTAATTCCAGTGCACGCTAGCCTTAATCTTGGAAAACACCAAATTATTCTTGCAACTCCACAACCGCACAGTCCAATCAATACTACAGGTCAGGAAAATGCTCGGATAGAACGGATTGCAGCGAACACGGTAAACACCTCCGCTATGCCCACTGAAGGACTCCAAATACTGCTCGTTATGCGAAACAGAACACCTATATTTATATATATGCTTAGTACAACTAGGATGGTTAAGATCGAATCGAAAAAGATTTACACCCTCAAATCTTCTTGAAGCAGAAAAATAGCTTCAGACCACTACCTATGAACGAAGCCATCGTCCGTGGCGACGAGATAGCTACTCGAATCTAAGACGTCAACCGCCATGCCTGCTGCTTTTCGAAACTGCCCGCCTTGGTAGGAGGCCGCTGAACCTTCCGCCTGTCGGAAGGCGTTGGAGCCTAGATGTGGATTCGGCAATCGTTTTAGAGACATGAGGGTCTTTTGTTCCAACCCTTTGCGCATTGTCCACTGAAAAACCCGGCCATCTCCAGAAACAGATACCAAATTCTCCATCTGGCCAGCCTGTGCTGACCCACCCTGCGACTGGTTGGCCTAAAAGAGTTTTCATTACGTACCTCGAAAATGATTTTTATGGAAGAACGATACTAGAACTACTTCCTTGTGAAATCGAAGAATGAAAGACGCGAAAGAAAATTGGCGACGTCAGCTTCAGCAGTGAAGTACGCAAAAAAGATTTCATATGTGGTCAACAAGTAGATCTGAACTACCCACTTCACTTCCCAGACGCAGTCTGTGTGTTTCCTATCGTTTTGAGTACTGACCGAACTGCCGCTAATCAACACTGGATGCTGAGATTGTCTTCTTGAATCCCATATGGCGACTGTGCCGTCGATCATGCCTGCCGCGATCATAGACGGATGCGTCTCTGAGAATGCCAAACTCGAGACTCCCGCAGTTGTCTTCAATATTCGCTCTGGATACGAAGGATTCTTCAAAGACCAGAACAAAATAAGACCTAGGGTTTCGTCGTAACAAGGAGATGATGCGGTGAGCCGTCGAAAAACCAGTTGTTCAACAATTTCATTGATGTCAACATAGGTACGAAAATCAAAGTCATGTTTTCGTTCCACGTCAAACAAACACACATTCTGATCATAATTGCAAAAGACCCAGATCAAAAAAAATCATTCTATCCAAGCGGAAGCACCTTGTGTGTCCTCCTTTCGTCGTCTAGCCGCGATGGAATCGACTGTTGCACTTGTGTCGCCGTATGCGACCGCCAGCAAGTCCTGCTGATGCGCATTCCACTCTGCGTTCGTCGTCGCGAGTCCTTTTGTGACTTGCGGTGCCGTGAAAGAGAACAAATCCCTCAGTGCTGGTTTCGTCGGGTCTTCCGGTTCGCCAGTTTCTGCGGCCGCCACTTCGGCCCCTTCTTGTGGTCTTTTCTGCTCACCCTCCGCGGCAGGTGCTTCGCCTCCCTCGGGCGCACCGGCATCGCCATCACCGAGTTCGCCAATGCGCTTTTCGATATCGGATTCCGCCCCACCACATCCGTCGGTCGCTGCCGCCTTCCACTTTGCGTCGTCTTTGGCCAGCTGCTCAAGCGTCGGATAATTCCTGAACGTTGGTTCCACCATTCATGTTGTCACAAACATCTATCCCTGCACTATGTCTTGTGCTGGAAATGACCTTCTCGTAAGTTTGGCACATTAAGTTGCGGAAAACCACGTCGAGACACCCATTAAAATCACACGTCACTCGATCCACTTATAGACTTAAACGTCCCATCGGTATGCATCCGTTTCACTGTCATAAAGAAAAATCACACATAAGCACCTGTAAGTCATGTGCTGTCCGTGGAAGACATTCTGCACAATGCTCTTCTCCATGACGCTAGCGACATATTGCATACATTCAATGTCCTTGTCTTCCCGCAAGGTCCACTCGATCCCGCCACCGCCGCTGTCGGCAGCCTCCCCCGAACCCAAAGGAAACAGGCATCCCTTCTTCTTCAGCGCGCTCTCGACGAGGAGCTGTTGTGATGAAAAATTTCCGATTGTGTTACGATGAGTCTCGACATGCCGAAGAGAAGAGTACTTGTAAATTTTTTCATTCAGACAAAACGCAGTCTGAGAAGCTAAGGCAAAAAGTAACAACCTCTGTGTCGCGGACTGTACTAGCTTCGATTTGCTGATGCCTTGGTATAGCCTTCGTCACGAAGCTATCATGAATATCCCATTCTGTTGCTTCAACGCCGACAGTGGAAGTTTTTGGTGGTAAAGCTGCGTGAAGAATGGCGGTTGGTTTAGTGACTGAAGATCGTCTGTTCCACGGTTTTGTTCAGAGAAAAGCTACTGAAGGTGAATTTGGATAGTCGTTTTTCTGCTGACGAAACGTAAGTACAACTGTATCTTTTTTTGTCTTGGCGTTGCTGAACATCAAAAAAAATGCTACCTAGTATCTCTTTCGTTTTCATGAGCGCGTTCAGCGTTTGCTGGTGCTGTCCCCGATACTGGTCGGCCGCGTTTCGTTTTTGTACTAGCAACTCCTCGTACTTTTTATTCTTCGCTGATATCTGGAGCGGAGTATTTCATTTTCAAAAGTACTCTCACTGACTGCGATTCATCATACTCGAGGAGATGTAGTGTCAACTAGCTATTATGCTGCTTGTTGTCAAGTGTGAAATAAAATTGCATATGCTATTGTGCAGCACTCAAAAAATACCGCTCCGTGGAGGTCGGTATCGTCTAACGCTACGCAGAGCGACGGGACAGAGAATAGGGTCGTAGTCTCAGTTTCCGTTAGGTGCTTCGATATTACCTCGTTCAGGTCGGCTTTTCCTTCACCACCCTGTGTTTTTGACACGTGCGAAAGCCTTGCCGGAAGGTGCGACTGAAAGAACGGGACACACACACACACACACATATGCACCGACGACGACGACTGATTCCAAGAATGTTGCAAAAGAAAGGGTACAGCAGCGCAATGATAACCACCACTCTCAGATATTAGTCTAGCATGTCGTACATGTGCCTCATGCAGTCCGAGTCCTGTTCCCTGCTTCAGCGACGAAGTATCGCCATCAAACTGCGACTCGAGAGGTTTAAGACCCCTTCCTTTCTCTGAAATCTGCGTGACAGCCAGGGGTTGTGGGGTCACTGTTTTCGCATCTAGAACGATTTGTAGCCGGGTCCCGCCGCTCTGACCGCTGAAGTTGGTCGTACCTGGAGCGAGAATCATGCAGCAATCATAGGATCATCCGCTTAATATCGTACTGAGAAAAGACCTTCGCTGGACACGGCGGTATAGAGTGTAATTGAGTAAACAAGGTCTAGCATATTGCACTCTGAAGTCGGGCTCATTTCATAGTAGGACACATCGGAGCTCCGACTTTGGATATTCCCTTCACCACAAACAACAATGCACCTCCAACTTGTCCCGTTGTCGTTGTCTCCTTCTTCGGCGTTCCCGCGTCTTTTTTGCCGCCGGCTTTCGGCGCCATTTTGGAGAAATCGCTTTAGGACGGCGGCTATGCAGGACTATCAGAAAGTCGAGTTGTTAGGGGCCGCACAACCTCCAACAGTGTGGCATTTCGGAATACGTTCTCGGCTACTCCGGGAAGAGTGACGACGGCGCCGCAATCAGCAAGGCTCTCGCGCGATACCGGACTCACAAGTGCGTGGCGACCGAGAGGGATTTCATGTACCCTTCTGGCCTTCAGACTTGGATTACAATTCTATAATTAAGCGGTTGGTGAGTGGCGCTTTGCAATAGGTCGCATCTAAGCACGTATACTTTTTGATCCCGAAGAGTTCGAGTACTATATAGAGCGTGGTGACCTGTAGCCGCCTTGGGAAAAAATCCTTTTCTCCTCTCTTAGACACTCCACCTAAATTTTCGAGCCTCGTGCTCCCTCGCACTCTCACTCGCATCTCTACTAGCTCATAACACTTTCATGTAACGAAAGTAGCATCTTGATTTATGATGTATCTCAGCGGATGGACTTACTACACGACAACACACGCGACACTTCCATCGCTACACTTGCCGCCACTACGGCTGCTTCCACGAGCTAGCTCCGTGGTGGGCGGAGGTTTTCCAACCCTGCATTTACCTTCGTTGTGCTGTACCTTCTTATTACACTTTCTTTTATGGTTGCGCAAGTATGCTTTTGTGGTTGTGAAATTTCAGGTCTTGGTTTCTTCTTGATGTATCGTGAGATGTGCCGCTGAAGCACGGGAGGTCGGCTGAGCCATCTTCCAGACGTTGACGTAAGCCATCGAAGGAAAAAATAGCTGCCCTCCCTTCGAATATTCAACACCAAACGAAGAAAGATACATGCAACAACTAATACCTATTGAGCTTCAAGGTTCTCAACACACAAAACAATAGATACGTCACCTACCGATTACTCATCACAACTAACAGTTTTGTAGTGTTTGTTCGCGAATTTCCACCAAGAGACCAAACATCTTATTTCTAGTTAAGTTTTCGTCCAGACCGACGACACAGGCCTGTCTGCAGCAGTAACGGCACTTTCTCAACATAAAATTAGTCGGAAGTATAACACTGTATAGAGCAAATCCTTACTATTACGAGTATGCAGAGTGAGTCATTCCATCACATTATGATCATCTGTCGAAAAGGGAGTAGATGAAGTTGCAAGTGGCTACATCGAAGAAATCATTCTCATTTTGAATATCCAAATCTAGTATTATGCTGATTCGTGTGTTGTCGTGATGCCCACCTCTACATATTTCATTCTAGTTGTAGTCCTTCATTCAGAGAATTTTCAACCGTCACTTCCTGATGTCGATTATTCGATATGCTGCACAGTCATGGACTCTAGCAAGGCGTGATGTGTAGTTGTAATTACCATTACGTGTGGACATTTGGACAAAGAAACAGATGAGCGCATCAGCTTTGCTCACGTCGCAGCATCCACGAAACTAATATTGCGCCCAGCCTATCTTTATTGAAGAATATCGAACCCTCACGAAGCAATTATCTATATGAAAATGCATGGATGCATGCAGCTGCAGAGCACACCAGAATAGTACGACATGTGAATTACGTTATTTATATTTTTTTTCAAGTGAAATACCACAGGGCGCCGTCGCGTACGGTGTGCCAGATCTAAAAGCTCTGTGTTTCGAAGCCGGGGAAATCAAAGCGCACGCCAATTTTTCCTGGCATCCTGTGACGACAGCAAATGCGGGCTTACGCAACGAGATCACCGCCATCTGGAAAAACGCGTCTCACCTCTGCGTTACCACCTCGTTTTCCTCAACTTTCCCACCCACCAGAGTCCGAGAGCTACTGCGAACCGGAGAAAATAGTTCGACTCCCATCAGCCGTTACCTGTTCTTCATCCCGTGGGAAGCAAAAAGAAGAGCGTAGTCAACAACAACAGTCTCGTCTCCATCTAGTTCTGAGGCCTACATCCTTTCCGGCCTCCCAAGTCCTCTAATACAGCTTCCTTACTCCTCCGCGGTGGTGGAGGTGGTACCAACCGCAGCAGCGTCGGCTTCAGCCTGTTTGACGGCTTCGACCTTCGCGGAACGCTCGGCCTCCCACACCTTGACCTGAAACGCATGCGATGGAGGAAAACATGGTCAACGCGTTATAGAAACAATCTAGAATACGATGTCGAACCTCGAAGAGTAAAGAAGAAATCCTATTGTTAGTCTGGAATTTTCAATCTCAAACCAAACATGGTGCTTGTTGTACCTTTTCCATGTATCCAGCCAACTTGGACTTGAGATCGGCGAGGAGAGCTGGGCAGTCGTCGGTGGAGAGCGGAGCTTTCACGCCCAACTGCTCGAAAGTAGCGAAAGTGTCAGCGGTGTGCTTGATAGCGACTCCCTTCTTTTCGGCTGTTTATGGAAAAGCAAGGCCCGTGAGTGCAGGAAAAACGGCATTAAGTGCGAGATTACGTAAGATAGAGAAGGCCCAACCTAATTCTGATAGCTTCATCGAAATGTAAGTACCCTTCTTCTTGAGGCTCTTCTTCTTGGTGGCTGCGTAGTACATTTCGACATCACGATCCTTCTTGGACAGCAAAACACGGGCTCCGGCGGCCGGGGCGCATGCGGAGAGATCCTTCTTCTCTTCCTCCTCAGCGGTCTCATCCTTCGGAAGCATACCTAGATTAGGCTTCATCGAGATAGGACTATTAGGAAGTTTTGATAATCGACTATATCTTATATATTTAGAAGGTGAGTTCACCTCGTCAATAAGGAACAGGATTTAGGTAAAACTTTTTTCCTGCATGTTAATCTCTTTAGGCCCAAAGGCGCTCTGTACCCTGCAAATAATCGATGGTCTGCTCAAGCAGAGTCGTTTCGTCCAGGTATGGATTCGGCATTTCGAGTTCCTTGCGTGCACGCTCGGCTTCGGCAGCGGCTTCCCACAACTTGCGCTGTTCCTCAGCGCGCTGCTGCTTCTTCTTTCTCTCACCCTGCTCCCACTGGTTGAAACTGTGGATAGAGGAAAGGGGAGATGGAATTTGTTGCTCGCGTACAACTTCGACGAAGTCAAATTTTGCTCAGAACATCCAGCTGCTTCCTTCGAGAGTATATGATAAAAACTGACACACAACCGACTACAGCATCTCTGAAATATTGTCAAGAAAAGGTGCCCTTTCCAGCCAGTTTGCATGGAAAGGCTAACTCGTAGCTGACAAAGAAAAGAGCCAAATACGCCTTCTGCATCTTGCGCTTTTCCTCGTGGATTTCGGAGCGCGTTTGGATGAACCCATCGATTTCACCCTTTAAGGCCTTTTTTTTATCGATGAAATCCTTCACGCCGTCAAGAGCCTTTTCCCGCTTCTCCTTCAAGGCCTTAATCTGCGTGTAGCTGTGTAGATGCTTTATGTTTCGAAATCCAGAAAAAATGAATCTCAGTTGGTCGTTGATAGACACAACACACAGAGCACTACTATCTACCTCCATGCTGATGTGATACGTATGGTCAGCGCACTCTCAATGTTTGTGAGCAAATACCCTGATGTAGAATTAGTAGGTACTATTCCTCATGTTTCGCCTTCTTCTCCTCGATTTCTTTCTCGAGGCGGTCCAGTTGCTCCTTTCCGTTAACTGCCGGATCCTGCCCTTCACCAGATTCGACCTTCGCTTTCATAGCTTCGTATTCCTTGAGCTGCTTTTGCGCCTGCGGGCGTTGAGCCTTGAGCCTGATTTATGGAAATGCACAGGGTAAGACCAAAAATAGACGGACAAGTGCTACTTAGAGAAAGCACAAGCCCCCCGTGCATCAATCAATACTCTGTGTCATAGAACGATAGCGATACCCAAGACCTCACGCTTCAAGATGACACAGACGCTCCGCAAAATATTCACAGAAGAATCTCCAAAACAAAAGACGTGAAATACTTCTTAATCTGCATCATGAGTCCCTTCTCTTCCTTCAAAGGCATAGACTGGGTCTGGATCTTGTACTCGATGGCGGCGATTTCCTTATCGATACCTTCTTCGGTGAGGTGCGTGACATCCTTTTCCAGATTTTTCAATTGCTTCTCCGCCTCCTTGGCTGAAAGATTTTTGTTAAGGCGACGATGCTCAACATCATAGTTAAGATTTGGACGAAAAGCAAGCCTAGTGACCAAGCAACGACATGATTCACACGGGAGACAAAGCCCATAGCAGACAGTATAGGATGGAAAGCTCGTCAATCTCGAGATGAAATCTGCTCTTGCCGTCGTTGGCAGAGCCTCATCAAAAGCATGTTTAAGTGGAAGCATGATACCAGCCTTGGACTGCTCCCGCATGCCATCTCTGAGATTCTTCTTCTGCTCAATGAGGGCGTCACGCTCAGCCTTCACGGTGTTCATATCGTTGTACAGGCTCGTGCGGTCGGTATCGAACGCCTCCTTGCCTGTTGGAATTACAAATAAAGATATGTAGTTGCTACCGCTTGACGAGAGACTACGATCTTGGCACGTGCTCGAATTACACAACAATGGCACAGGCTAGAATAGTCAAATCTGATTCGAAATTTTCAAAAACATGTTAAAAACCTCAAATCTAAATCTAAATTTTCAAATAACCACGAGTGGGAGTGAAGCGTGCATATCGAAGCGGCTGGAATGCCTGCTGGAAGCACATATTACAGGATTCACTCATGTTCCTTTACACAGCAGCCCGATTTACCGTCGGGTTTGGTCACCTCAAAAATGTCATCTCACGAAGTTGTGATGCAGATAGTTGTATCCGAATGTGGTAGTGTGATACAAAAAGTACCCTGGGATCGCTCCTCGATCTTTTCGGTGAGTTTCTTCATTTCCTCCTTTCTTTTGTCGATCTCCGCCGCGACGGCATCAAGTTTCTTCTTGAATTCCTCCTCATTGGGACGCTCTGGCTTGACATTCTCCTTGTTTTCGTCAGCTTTCTCGACCGGAGCTTTTTCGGCCTTCTCGGTCACCTTCTGCTCCTTCTTGGGAGCTTTCTCCCCGGCAGCGGACTTGGGAGCCATGGTGAGATTTGGAGTGAGACTGCTTCTGTTGTAAGACTAGAGACGGAAAAAGCACTATCGAAGCATAATTTGCTACGAAGTGCACAAAGCGGTGACGTACTTTTGCAAAGTATTCAGCCTAGTTACCTGCTCTCGTGACGGTGAATTAAAGAGTCAAACGGTGATTGGAGTCGAGTGGAGTGATATCATGAGAAACATTAAGAACCATTGTCCTTAGTATTATTGAATATTAGTAGTTTGGTTCCACGTAGATTTAGATCTTTCAGGAACGACTTCAAGCGAACCCGATGCCTCATTCTCGAGATCCCAAAGAGGAGTTGGAGTAACTCTAAGTTCCACTTGACCTCCTCATTCTTACTAAAAATGACCCTTCATCCATCCTGGATCCGCACATCATTAAAAGGTCGACAGACCTAATAGCGGGTATTCACAAGCCCACAAGCTAAGACAGAATCTCGATCTTTCCCGAAAATTTAGATTTTCCTCCTTCCCAAAAATTTAGAACGCGCGAGCCGACCAAGGCAGATCACATCGTCGACATCCCGGATATTCCAGCGCAGAGAACCTTCATCAGAACCATCGACCAGGTGGACAGTTAAGCACAGATCGGAAATGCAGGAAAACATTCTTTTTCGGGATCTCTTGTGTACCAGAACGAGCCTTAAGGGAGATCTCCACGGAGAACGAGAACCACTGAGGATGAACCGGCTGTGGAAATCGACCGTGGAACTGCAATCAAAATATCCTCCTATTTTCACTTTGGTGAACCAACTTAGATTTGAGAGATTATGGGAACCCAGAACGTTTCCTAACAAGGATAGCATTCCCCAATAGTATTCCGCTCGAGATCAGACGTGCAGGAGAACTAAACAAGATCCGCGGCGTCGAGTGAACACAAAAATCGGAGTTGGCAAAATCTAAAAAAAGCAGCTCCAACGCGCTCGCATTTCATAAGCTATTTTGCCTTCAAGCAACTTTGGCGGTTCCCACTAGAAAAGTTCCGAAAAGTTCTCTATGTAGTTCCTAATTCAAAGACTAACATGCACAATTTTTCGTCTCTTTCTGATATCCCTCGAGTCCGAAGAGTTAGATATTTGCGACGCGATGCAAAGTCAAAACAGAACAGAACAAGTCATCATATTCATTCATCAAGCCGTCCACTGGCTAGCATACCAGCACCTAGACTATGCGATTCGCTGCGCCCTCAAAAGGGCGACAGGTGTAACGTGAGGAAATCTATCAACGAATATACGTGAACCAACGATAGAAGGGATCAAAGGGCTTATAATCCTGGGGCCCTACCTGAGGTGAAGACGCCCAAAGAATTGAGGTCGCGCTTCAAATCTGTACTACACCTAAGACATCGCGGATCGCGGCAAAACCGATTCTGAAACTCTTTGCACCAGCAATCGGAAGTCATCATACTTTGTAATGTACTTGTAGCTGAAAGGACTATTCAATAGATATGCGCGATTAGGCACGGTGAAACAGTGCAAAAAACGTATCTGGTCTACTCTCAAACGAAATGCAAGCAGCAAATTCAACGATCGTCGTCAATTTTCTTGTGCCTTACGTTTTTTTCATTTCGTGAGGGGGCCATCAGTTTATTCGCGCTCGTGTTGCTGTCAGGACCGCGAGAGCGCAGTATGTTTTTCCCCTGCTCTGGTGCTAGTTTCATTTCTATTTCCCTTGAAGGCTTCGCACACTGGTTCACGGGTGAGCTTACAGGACTACAGTCTGAATCTGAGCGTATATCACCAGTGTCATGTAACGACGTCCTTAGCGCCTTTTTAGCCACTTGTATTATCATGGTGAACCAGATGCAATGCAGCACGAAGAGAACTGAGAGGAGTATTGGTGCACTGTAGCAACCCACACCGGCCGCGATCATCTCAGGGTCAGTTGGAAACGGTTCGGCGCCGAACAGAGTTGCTAAGATGGGATCCACGAAGGGCGCGTAGCCTGTACGGATTGCCGTGTATACGCACACTCCTGGATAAATCATCATCCGCAGAACGAAGTAGCTAATGGCCAAACAGACAAAGAGGCCTTCCGTTACTGCGCGCGGCAGGTGGTCTTTTCCAGATTTTGTTGCATACAAGAATACGTCGCTAACATCATGCAAGAGCAGTACGCACAACCCTATCCGCCAGTAGTTCCACAAGAAGCTCCCAGCCAACAGCAAGGAGGTTGCCAAATGGTGCGCAAGCATGATGAAAAAATCCTTCCTTGCTTTCTCCAAGAACAGGTAAACTAAACTCGATATCCAAAAGGCCATTTCGAACGAATACCAACGGTGTAGATCCGCACCCATGTCCTGCCGCTTCCATCCCATGAATAAAACGTGGAACTCGCCACGGTACAAGTCCGTCCGCCACGATTGAGTGAAAAAAAGGCTAGCGGCCCAATAAAAAGACGTGCTGTGCCACAGCGTGTACCACAAATTTTCGAAGAACCTAGATGTTGTTGTCATGATCACGATTCGACATGAACTTCATTTGATTTTCAGATTCAAACTTGGGAACGGGATTATTCTCCATTACTCCAGAATTTCGGAGGACACTTAGACATCAGATTTGTCATCGAGTGCCCAACAATTGTACTCAGATAGAACCTAACGATTCAACCAGTGTAAAAGATCGTGAGTACTTGCTTTTTTTCGTGTCGTCCATATCTTTCGGCTTCATGACAAAATCCAGAATGCATGGTATCCTTCTGAAGTGTTTATTGTATGCACCGGAGAAGCAAAACCTGATCAGAGAAGTGTGAGAAAATTGTTCGCAGTCTTTTTAAATCACAAATTCATGAACAGCACAGCTAAAAAATTCAAAGCAAGCGATTGTGCTTTCACGATTGAAAATCCCTTCATCCAAAACGCGCACTGCTACTGCTCCTCAATTTTTCTGTATTAACATAACTAGTTGTAGATGTCGTCTTACCTAGCGCCGACGAACATTGCTATTCGCAGCCCTACCATCTCTGCATCTGGCCAAAAATCGACTCGTGGGTTATTCACGACCATATTGGCCCTTGTCCATCTGACGATGTCGTCCAACATTTTCCCTCTTCTAGCTTGTCGGAGTAGAAGATACTTTCTTGTCGTGCTTTACTATCCCCCTTGTTAGCTTTGCCTTTACGCTCGCCAAATTGGATTTCTCGTTATGCGTTCCGCTGGCTTAATGTCCTCATGTGATTCACGTATAACGCTTGGCGCTGTAATATCGTGTGTATGCCGCCCAGGGGTGCGAAAAAAAGCTAGCGACGCGCTTTTTGGCAACGCGCTGCAAAACACACTCGACCTGCTCCGGCGTTCCGGCGTTCTCGCAGAGATCCAGCGTCTGGAATCAGAGCAATGCTACTTCAGGTCTATAAGAAGAGGGTCATGCAGTTGGCGACCGCAATATCAGTCTTTCAAAGTCTCGATAATGTACATCAATCATGCAAGAAAAAAGTAAAGATATGTTAACAAAATTCCAATACCTGCCCCATGAAGGCCAACAACTAAGAAGCAAGAGAAACCAAAGTCAAGTCCTTCTTGTCGAGCCTACGATCTGTATTTATTTAGATGTAGTAAGGGTGACTGTTTATCCTTGCAATACCAGATCGCTAGCAAGCACTAGAACTCTTTACGTGCTAAATCTAAAATTTAGCGTAGAAACTAAGTAGATTTGTTTCAGTTAGACATGCACCTGAGCACACCTGCTCGATGGCGGAGGCGCTGTACTCTTGTAAAAAAACGAGAACCGCAAAAGGGTTGATCTGTGCACAAAAGGCCTGTCTGACCAATGTTGTATCAATATAAAAAATCAACAGTATGAATTATTCATCTGACGAGCTTGCGTCGATTGAGTTTTTATTTTACGTGGCAAATGACATACATGTAGAATGGAAACTTCCGCGCATATCTCATCAAAGAAGAACTCGTTCCTCTCAAACTGTTCTCACACCTCGTCGCTTGCGCTTGGTGAACACTTAGAAGCTAAGAAAATGCGTCATGCAGACTTTGGTTTTTGCGATAATATTGCCAACCGACTTCTGTCAGACAGGATTTTTTTTTGTCATTTTCTTTTCTTTATTTGTGGTTTCTCGGAAATAGGCTAATGTATAATTGGGGATCCAGCCGCTCGCGGCTTTCACTGTTTCAAAAGCCACAACAAATGATGACTGGGTAGGATATTGCGGCCTCCGTCGAGCAATCGACAATACTTAGGAGAGTCAACTCGTGGAGGTACAATTGTAGAGTAAGTGAAAAAGCTACTTTCTTGAAAAATTGCCATCAGCGAAAAACGAATTAAATATCGGCGAAGTGCTTAGCGCAAGGGGCACTATCCGGGAAGGGGAACTACTCAAGCATCACGGAACGGATGGAGAGGGATCCGTCGGGGGAAACTTTTTTTGGGAGCTCCGACTGGACGGACTTTGTTGTGTTTACGCGCCCCGTCCACCTCCACGCTTCTTCCCCAAGCCCTTGGACTTTGCTGCGGCTTTTGGCGCTTTTTTCGCGGTGCCATAATCATCTTCTGAAAATGCGTCATCGCCGCCGCCCTCTTGTGCTTCCACTGGTGCCTTGTTGAAGCCGGCGCGTTCCTTTTCAGAAATCTTCACTTGCTTCCACTGTGGATGGAAGGGAGAGACGAGCAGCATCACGAAATCAATAGGAACCGTCTTTGTTGGGATCAGTACTATTGGAACCACTGATAAAAGGTGGATATCTTGCTCAACGTCTTGCTCTTCCGGTGCTATTGCTTCCATGCCCGGCGGCGCTGCGACGTCGGCTGTTGTTAGTTTTTAGTTTTGTGTTCTGGACGTACACGATGACGTAGGCCTTCTGAAGAAGTGATACGACCATAAGACGAAACTTTTCGATGTCTTCTGACAATCATTTGCCACATGTCACACTTGCTTTCTGATATGAAAAATTAAAAATCTGTCGATTTTGCTGTCCAACTTTTAAGTACCCCCGATGATTTCTCCATCGTGCTCTTCCAGTTCTGGTCGGTCGTCTCCGTACAGAAACTGGGTGTCTTCCACCTTGCGATTTGTCCAAGTCACTTTCATATGGCTCTTTGAAAAATACTCAAACACGTCTGGCAGAAAAATTTCGTCTTTTACTTCCTTCACGAATAAATCCGGAATATAGTGTTTGGTCCGTATATCAGCGGCCATGATTTTCTTCTCTTTCCCGATTTCATGAGCGAAAACAGTGATTCCATCCGCTTCAATTTCCGTGACGGTCGCGGCACGATACCACCAGGACTTGAGGCCGCGCAAGAGCATGCAAAACCACGCGCGATCTAGCCCTTCCTGGCAGTCCTTGGAAGCTTTCTTCTTACCGTTACATTTCTTACACTGATTGGTCATAGCGATGTTGGCTTGGCTCTTCTTCTCCTCGCCTTCTCCACCCTCGACGTCGAGCAGCTTGTTCTCATCACCTCCAGCGCCGCCGCGGTGCCTAAAAATCGGTACTTCAGTGGGGAGTAATTATGTACATCCAGATTTCTTTTCGATAAAAAATAATCTTTTCTTTACCAAACCAACAATGTGCTTTTGCATTGCAGAAGAATATTGCGAATCAAAAAATCATGTTGAAAGTGGGCCTTACACCATATAAAACCAAAATTTATTCTGTAAGCTCAGCATCCTCACCTTCCAGCCCCCAGCGCTTTCCCAGTTTTTACACGACCGTGCTTGTCGTACTCGTCCTCCTCCAAATCGTCTGTGTTGAGATCTGGCAGTAAAGTCTTCAAGCCCTGATCTTTTTCCGGGACTGCCTCGCGATCGTCATCGTCCAAATCTTCTTGTAGGAACTGTTCTTTTGTCTTCTTCTCCAGAATCGCGTTCAGGACTCGGTGAACCATCACGTCCGCGTAGCGTCGAATGGGGGATGTAAAGTGGGTGTACTGATCAAAGTTCAAAGCGAAGTGATGGGAACTCTCCTCTTCTCCGATAAAATACGCGGCTGGTCGCATACCGCATTTCATCGTTAACATGGAAGCGGTCGCGGCAACCTCTGGACCGTACCTCTTGTGGATATTCTGGAGACCTGGTCGAACGCAGTCAAAAAAAGTAGAAGATGACTCAGTCTTTGCTTACTGTGCCGAAAAGAACCATTGAGCTTCCTCTAAGTATTTAAAGCTACCTGCAGCTCATTTTCAAATCTCAGTGTGGCCAAAATAAATTCACGTGATAGTATTCTTCAACAATAGCCAGCACCATCACCAGCATTATGTTCCTGTTCGTAGTACCAAGGTCTGAAAATTAAATACATTGATGTAACTCGCCTGCATCTTTGTTCGAGTACTGAATGCCACAAAGACCCATGACTTCGAGAACGCGTTTTGACTTCTTCTCGTCGGGGGGAGGGTGATTTCGCAGCACTGCTAGGGTGTCAAACAATTCATGGCGCTGTTGAAGCCTAGCCACGGCTTTGTTGGCAAGCAACATCAATTCCTCGATGACCCAATGAGAGGCAGAGTGGACTTCTGTCGCGTACCCCGTCGGTTTTCCGAAATTGTCGTCCGTTGTCTTGAATATTAACTTGCTCTTGTGCATCGCAAGTGCTCCATTGCTGAAGCGCGCCGTACGAATCTTCGTGCAAACTCGATAAATCAAAAACAAATCTGACACGCATGCTTCCCACGCAGCCTGAAAAAAATAGGATAAAGTAAGACCGATAGACATAATACCTATTTGCTCAGTAGAAACAAAAGTTTTTTTCGCACAGCACATAAAGCAAATTTCATTTCAATTAAATATCTCGATCATACAGCACAACCCAAGTGGAAGCAGAAGTTGTACCCCGTGATAAACTTCGGGTCTCTCGTCACCCTCGAGCGTCTTTCCGTCGTAGAGCTCCTGCACCTGGTCGTAGTTGAAGCGACAGCACGTGTTAATCACTGTTTTGGCGATCCACGGTTCGTTTTCCTTGTCGACCATCAATTGCCCAGCTTTGTTAATTCGGAAAAAGCAGCTGAAGGCGCACTTCGTTTCGTTTGGATTCAGGGAGCACAAATGATTACACAAAGCGTGCGGCAACATAGGCAGCACTCGATCCGGCATGTACACGCTCGTACACCGAAACTTCGCCTCCTTATCGACACGAGAGCCGGGTTTCACGAAGTGCCCAACATCGGCAATATGGACGCCAAATTCGGTTATTTCACTACTGATCTTTTTCACATGAATGGCATCGTCCAAATCACGCGCGGTTTTCGGATCGATCGTCATCACCCGGATACTGCCATCCGTGTTGTCCCGCTTGCCTGCACGCAGGTCCATGCGCTGCGCTGCGATGCGCTCGAAGTTTTCCGTCGTGTGCGCAACAATAGCGTCGACCTGTAACAGAGATACTTCTCAGTAGAACAAATCAAAGAGCATGATTGAAGATCTGCGACATTTTGATCAACAGCAAAAGTGAAATGAGGAGTTGTTCATCGTAATTGGTATTCGAATAAAATCGAGTTTCCGAAAAGAAGATCTCAGTGAATCGAAGTGGCAAGTTGTAGACATAGAGTTATTTGAAATAAAAATCATACCTCATCTAGCATCTCGTCGTCAAAATTTTTGTTGTGATCCATCAGCTCATTTTCCTCCAATGCTTTTATGACCTCCGCCTGGGCGTCACCAGCTTCTCCGATTGGTTTTTCGGCGAGAGAACCCAGCGGCAAAATACTAGTTTCGTCCCACTTTTGAATTTTCACTGCCCAGTACATGAATTTATTCACTTTTCCTGGCACGCCCGGCGTCAGTCCCAATTGTGCCTTGATTTCGTCTTTGAGGTAGATGAGGATCCAAGGATATTTTTTATCCACTGGCATGGCCTTGACAAACTTTTCCGTTTCTTTCACCACTGATGTTTTTCCGGAAGTGCCCTCCACGTTGTTGGGACATAGTGTGCAGACATACGTACGATTTCTACCAGAGTAGTCGCCAATATACACTACTTGCGCAAGGCGGAAGCCGTGCTGTTCTTCGTCGGGTTGCGCTTCCGGCTCCAGGAGCTCGGGAGCTAGAAGTGCGTCGACCACATTGAGTGTCATATTATTTCTCGCCCGACTCGATGCCGCTCCTCCTTCGATCTCATCGTCGTCGTCACTATCAGCATCCTCGCTCTCATCTGCTCCTGTATCCGCAGCTCCACGAGGTGTCCTTTCCACCTCCCCATTAGCAGTGTTTGCTGGTGATTTCTCTGTTAGCGTTAATTTCTCTTCCGTCTCAGCTGCTAGCAGTGCGTCCTCCAGCGCATGCTGAAGGTCCGTATCGGGAGCTTCCTCGTCGTCTTCTTCCTCCGGGTCCCTTTCTTCCTCCTCTTTTTCCACCTCTCCTTCCTCTTGCGGTAGAAGGCGGACTACTACACGGTCACCGTGAACAGCACGATTACGATTCTGGTAACCCAAAACAAGCCAGTCTTTTTCGCCATCCTTTTTGTTGCCGCCAAGATCGACATAGGCACTTGTGGGCTTCTTAGGATTTACCCTCAGCGTTCCTTCGGTGAGTGAACCATCGCGCAGACCCGCCATCACGTCTTTCGGGCTCCAGTACGGTTGATACACTTGCTTCTCGCATATGAAAAGGGTGAAAAGACAGAATCGTCTAAAAAACATTTTATCAATTTTCTCCTCTACTTGGTAATCATAAAATAAGAAATGCACATACCAGTCGTGGACAATTCGAGCCACAGGATCTTGCAGCCGTAATCCTACACGAGTATACATCATGGCTTGCCAAAGTTGCAAGCAAGCTCTATGTAACCGGAACAGCATTTTTAAGTACATATTGATAACGACTCGCATCACGACAAGTTGAAATAAGTATCCATAAGTGCATCTTTTCAAAAACTGCATCATAATTTTTCCTTTACCTTCTGTGACTCGCTCAGCTAAAACACCTGGATCGCCTGCGTATCGCACTCGGTGCGCCTGTGGCTTTCCATCCTCACTGGTTTTCAGGTAAAACTTAACAGTGTCGCCTCTTGCGCATTGATCCCACTCATCCGGCTTAAAGTTACGTCTATGCGCAAACAAGTCGGAGTCAAACTCCTTGCTAACTTGCTCGTTGCTGATGAAGCCGAAGCCTTTGTCATCATATTTCAGCTTTAACACACCTTCGAGGAGGTTTTTGCGTTTTCGTCTGCGCATTTGTCGGCCACCATGCTCACCTCCATTGCCTCCTCTTCTATTCCTTCTATCACTGCTTTTTCCAACCTTGCCCTCACCTTTGTTATTGTTCTTGTCACCACCTTTATTGTCACCGCCACGCCTCTCCCTGGTGTCTTTACCCCTGTTCGAAGACGCGGATGTGGAAGAGGTTGCTGCTGCTGACGGTTTTCCTCCCTTTGCAGGGTCTTTTTTGCTCGCCGGTTTTGACGAGGCCGAGCCTCCGCTTCCACTGCTCCCGATCACTGTAGCAGGACCATCGGCTGCAGGGGTGCGTTCGTTGTCCGACGTCATCTTTCAGTGACAATTCAATTTAGCTTTCAACTTACTTAATTATCAATTCTCTTTTGTTGCTGAAAGACAACGATAGCACGTGATAAAAAAATGAAATCAAGCTTTTACTACAGCTGAGTCAACTTTTGGTCAATCTAACCCACCTCCGTTTAGTTTTCCCTTGACTACTAAAAACGAGGCGTTTATCAATCTTCAGTAAAGTCAGCAGACTTAACTAGGAGTCTAATTCTTTTCAAAAAAATGTGGGGTCAACACAGCAGTTAAAAAAGAGAGTTGTTGAGAGCTGGATGTTGTATAGCAACACTAAGAATTACTCTACTTTACACTTTATATTTTCAACTATAAGGTTGACTCTGTTACGAGACCAAATTTTGAAGAAGATAAATTTTTTTTGATGAGAGTATATATTCTTGTACACGCCTATTGCTGAACACGTAAATTGCACTTACTCAGGCGCTAAACGAGTTTCTTTGTTAGAGTGGTTTTTTTCAAGACAAAAATTAATTCCGTCTATTCCAAAACTTCACTGCTACTGCTCACTGAAATGGGACAAGGACATGGAATTTTTGGCTTGTAAAACAGAAGTCATGTTGTTGTACATGTGTAGGTACGTTGCCGATTTCACGAACTTCAACTGAAACAAGTTAAAGAAGGATCCGACATGTTACGAACAGATCCCACATAATTCTCTATTTTTCTAAACAGGTAAAATCAAAAATATCCCTAACCTACTATGAGGATCGTATATTCTGGGAACGTTGTCACCCGCAGATGATTCTATAAAAGATCCAAAATGGGTTTGTAAATTTTTTTCGTCTCAGTATGTAAAGGGCGAGATATTCGAACACATTTCACATGTCAGTTCCTCCGTTCGAGTTTTGTTGAAGAGTATAATAAATCAAAAGAATTCCAGCACAAGCAAACAACGCCGAATTCATTCAAATTCAAATCAAGCTGCCACCATGTTGCGTGCTTGTTACCCGAAAAAAATTATGGTCTGTCATGGGTGGGATCATATGATCAGGTTTATTTGCCGAGCATCGGATGGATGGACCAGGGACCGATTAACACATTCTTGGACATGCGGATGATCAGATGTGAATTTGTGAACATAATAATTGTTCTCGAGAAACTCCACTCGAATATAGATTCTATGGCGCGAGACCCTGGCTTGTTTTCGCGAAAAGCTGCGTAAAGTAGCACGTTCTATCCGCGCGCATGGCGACCCCGATCCCGCAGAGATTTGTGAGGCTCAACAGATTTTTACAATGCCCCGGCGACTTGATCCATCCATCCACTGCCACGGCGGCCGGATCGGACAGGCCTTGGTTGTAAGCCAAATTTTCCGCGGAGGAGTAACTGTGGAATGGAAAACGCGCCATTCTTTGATTGAACCCATCGTGCGAAAAAGGCATTTCGCCCTTTGCCATCTGAATGGCATGCTCTCGGGCGATCGTTGTCATCGACTCATTCCACACCAGCGGGGGAAGCCCATGCTGTCCACGGAAGCGATTCGTGAAGTCGAGTGCGCGTCGGCCCAAGTACGCCGGGTCGCAGTTGCGCCGCTGCACCTCCGTGTAACCTTTGGCCTGCGGCTGTGCGTTCCACCACTGCTCTGCGTACAAAGGCGTGTCCCGGATAGCCTCGCGCCACCGCAACTTCTCCACGTCTTCTAACGTAAAATGCTGTGCTCGTCGGTCTGACAGCGCTTGTGGACCGGGAAGGTGTCCTCCACGACTGCCACCTCCTGCTGTTCTGGAGGACGAGGAAGAACTGCCACCAGCGCCTTGAAAATCTTCTCCACGAAAAACCGGGTTATTAATGTTCGGCACTGTGCGAATATCGATATTGGGCACATCCGTGCTATGCCGATCTAGCAGACGCCACATTCCACCCCAGTTAGCAGTAGTGCGCACGCTTCGAGTCGTTCCATTCTGCGCAACACGGAAAATGAAGCTGCAAAAAAAAGAGCACAGACAAAAGTCGCTTTGCACTACAGGAAAAACTCATAGCATCACTTATGGTGAGACACACTGACGCGAAGACAACATTGAGAGCGCAGTGACGGGCACTTGCCACATAGGCTGCCTGTCGCTTAAGCGATGACGGTCACTACTTGGGCGACCTGTCGCGTAAGCGGTGACAGCACCGGTCGCTTAAGCGGTGACAGTCACCACTTAAGCGAGCCGTCGCGTGAGCGGTAAGAGCACTGGTCACTTAAGTGGTGACGGTCGCTCCTTAAGCGAGCCGGCACGTGAGCGGTGGCGGCACCGTCCGCTTAAGCAATGACGGCCACTAATCAAGCGACAAGCGATGACGGCTTCGTCGGCTCAAGGAGTGACTGACACAACCTTAGCGAGCGAGCACAAAAGTGACGACTGCGTGATTTGCTCAACTGAGTGTAATCAAATTCCAAAAATGACAACCCCATAAAGAGGAAAGCTATCGTGTACAGTAAATGCTTATGCAAGAAAAGCCAAGCTTGAGATCGAAGCACTGATTTTCTCTGCAACATAATGGAAGTAGCGGCAACGCTAGCAGCTGCTCGATTTGCAGCGATCTTTCGATTTCTTGAGGTGGGGTCTAGAGCACCAGCCAGTTTGTTGCTTGGACCGGCAGGACTGTCGCCTGTCAATTTTGCTAACCGTTTCTGCCTCATTTCGTCGGTCGAAAGGGGAACTCGGCGTCCACCCGGTACTTGTGGATTTCCTCTTTGCTGAAGATTGTCAGCCAAGCCTCCTCCCGCTGGCGCTAGTCCGTCTCTTGATATTGATGGCACTGTGCCTGCATTACTGGCTGTGGCGCCGCCGCCTGCTTGTCTTGCTGACGCTGTTGTAGCTTCCATCTCCTCGTCGTCATCGTCTAAAACAATGACCTCTCCCGGAGCGAACGTTCCTTGTGAGGCTGTATCAAAGTCCATCCCTCTCGCTGTTGTTGCTTCCTCATCCCCGGCTAGTTCTTCGAGCAGACTCAAAAGTTTGTGAAAGCGCACAACAGCCGCTAAATCGGTATCCAGCGCATGCTTGAAGCAGAACCACTCTTCTTCCATCCGTCTCTTCGTCGTTGTGGACACCGCGTACGCGCTTTCGGGAACCTTTTTCTCTTCGGTAAAACCGCAGGAAAGCATCAACGGTCGCACAAGGCTCTCCAGTTTTGCAGAGGCTTCAGGGGGTGGCGAAGGCGTATGCGGTGGAGCACAAGTTGGAGATAAGCCGCTTGCTTCCAGTAATTTTGAGCAAATGACGCGACTCTTAATCTGCCTCACTTTGGGGTCATGGGGATGACGTACGATTTTCGAAAAAATTTTGTGCAGCAACTCCAATCTACGGCGCCGTGTCCCATCCGAAATAGATCCATTCGCTGATCGAGGTCCGACTGTAGTGTGTAAGTCGAATCCACTGATTTGGTACTGACGATGTAACCATAATTCTATTTCTAGGCACAGAAATTGAATTTCTGGTGTTGCTTTATGTAGCAGCTCCTGCGACACTGCAACGCCACAAGAGCTGATCTATTTCAGTCACAGAAAATATCTTAATTTCATTAACGAAAACTTGGACATATCTGATTAACAACATAAACTGCAATGAAGTAAGTCCAGCGTGATCTATATTGATTCACCATCTAAATCTATTCAGTTTGTAAGATTTTCTTCCCAGCAGAATTTTTATCGAAGAAGTGTAGAATTACCCTGCTTGCCGATCAAATATTGAGGAATGATGAATCTAGTCATAATAATGAAGTTGCACTGGGGGGACGAGCAGTGTGCACCTCATACTCAAAGGAGAACTACTTCACATTTATATTTATGGGTAATGAACATTACATTCATCCTCGATGACGAAGTTGCAAATTTGCCTGAGCTGGTCCATGAGCAATAGGGATTCTTTTAGGGCTATCGCTTCCAGCGACAGACGCCAGTCTGCGTCCCCTTGGTGTCGCTCCACGTATTCTGAAACTTCCTCCAACGTATCGCACTGCCCCAGCTTTACTGCCTTCTCCACCGCGACCGCACCAAAGAGGTTGAACGAGTCCTCGTGGAGCGCAAAATAGGCCTCCAGAAAGGATGCCGCTTGTTCGTCGTGTGAATCCGCAACAAGCATATCAATCAGTTCACTTCCACTCATGGGTGCCACGTTCGGAGGCTCCGCGCTCAAACAACAGCAACCGCCGAGGCCACCCTCCTCGCTTGGTGGCAATGGTGGAGCAAATGGTGCTGTTGCTGGTGATGGTGGCATTGCCATTCCGGTCGCCTGTCCCCGATTCGCGGCCTGTATGTTATCGCCGACGCTGCTTCCTCGGAAGTCCAACGACTCATCGACAGATGCGGCGTCTGCTACTCCCCTATCGTCTCCCATAGTGCTGTTCATGTTTCGGCTACTCCTGACCGAGGTCCAGCCATTCCAGCAGTGTGTTAGTACGTTCGCGCGAAAGCAGATTATGCAACCTCTCTAGTACCCTCGCGGCCGCGGAGCAAATGCTTCAGTCATGAGCTGGTGTGACACGACGAATGCGTTTGCACGATGTGAGCATTAACTTCGTCTTGTGTGGCATTCTTGGTCATTTCGGGACAAAGATAAATTAGGCATGAAAGCGCAGGGTCCTAAATACTAATACTTCCAAGCAATTTGAATTTGGTGACAAAAATTCTTCACAGAAGGCGTTTCAACGTGGCGCGGCACGGCAAAGATACCACAACACTCAACTGGGACCAACTATAAGAGAAGAAAAAATTTTGTTACCAACTACAGCAAAAGCACACCCACTGAATGTTCATCTCTCAGGAGGCAGAAGGAAAATGTAAGGCTGAAAACATAGTTATATTTTAGATACATTCAAGCGCATTAACAATTGGGTCTCGTGAGGTGGGTGTTCGTGCTCATACACTCCTGACTTTGAAGACAGTGTCCACTATTGACGCGCCCTCGTATAGAATGAATTCAGCGCGAACAGCTTTGATCACGGGCACGTTCAAGAAAAGAGTCCGTTGAATCTTTAGTAAAGATCATAAATATGATTTCGCGACAGCCCTCGTGGTAGCCATTTCAATCGCAGGGAAAGACGAACACAGAGTTGGCCTGACTTGCGCTGGATCAGCAGACAAGGTTGAATAAAGGTTTAAAATACATCGATGGTCCTGGGACCGATTTTGAAGCGTAGATGTTTGAGAGCATCATTTGCGAGAGCGTCTGTGCGTTTCCTATAGCGGCTTCGCTATACTCGTGGATAGCGGGGAAGGGCTCCTTCATCCCGTAATTTAATCTAATAGAATACCTTTAGCAAAATCAAAATCTTCAGAAATATTGCCATTGCACACAGGATCTGAGTTCTTTCATGCTGAAATGGTGATCAAGTGCGCTTCCTGCACACTGACTCAGATAGATTTTATTTTTCCGCTACCTAGGCGCACTCCGTGAATCTGAAGTAGCTTCTTTGCTAGTCGTTCCTGTATCGGGGGACACCTCAAGAGCCGGCGGAGGCATCGACCTAGCGCGGGCCAGCTGCCAGGCTTGGAGCATCAGGCCAAAAGCAGCGCCCTCTTGTGCGGGCCCGTGGTCTTTCGCGTTGCCTCCGGTTTCTTTCTGGGTATTCTTTGAGAGGCGGCCCGAAACCTGCCAAAAGCCGGATGAGGCCAGGCTGAGGCCAGAGGGGGCCCGCTGGTTTAGTTTTCGACTCATCGCGGACCGGCTGCCGGGCGTGGGGCATCAGACTAAAAGCAGCGCCCACGCGTGCGGGGTCGCGGTCCCTTGCTTCAGTCTCGGCCTTTTTCCTGGCTTTCTTTGAGATCGTTCCCAAAACTTGCCCAAGGTCAACCATTTTTGGGCAGTAGCAAGGCGTGTGTGCTCCGCTACTTATGGACCTTTCGCGGACCGGCTGCCACGCTCGGGGCGCCAGGCCTAACCGAGGCCCCCCCGCACGCGGGCTCAGGGGCTTTTGCTGCTGCCTCGGTTTTTTTCCAGGTTTTCGCTCAGGTATCGCCCAAAAGCCTTCAGACGTCGGCTCTTTTTGGGCGCGTCTCTCCAGCCATCAGAGCACAGCAAGAGGGCCGCCGCAGCTGGTGGGGGAATCTAGCGCGGCAGCGGTGCTGCCGCGGGGACTGCTGGACGGAAATCCCCACCGGCTTCCCGATCGCGGCCACGGGGAAAATAAATCAGCGGGGTCGTGGTGCTTCGGGGGGTACCAGTGAACACCAGCACCGACTAGTGTCCAAAAGGGGAAATAAGTCCCCCCCAGTTTTCTCCGTGGCCGTGATGGAAAACGATGCGGCCCCCTCGGGGGCACCCGTAGGGGCTACGTCGCCTGCGGAAGCGGCCTACGGGGAAACAGTTCAGACGCTTTCGCTCGGGGGTGGCGTTTCGCCCTCGAAACTCTTAAGCGAAACCGTGAAGGGACAGCGGTGCCCCGGTTCCCTTTCGGATTCCTTTTGGATTTTTCTCCATTTACTTCCCCCGATTTTGCTCAGGGCATGGCCGCCGCTTGCTCTTGCGCTGCCCCTCTTGTTATCGGTTTCGCGTGTTGCCTTCGTCTCTTCTTTTCTGTGCTTCTCTGGCGCCTGCTTGTCGGTTTCGCGTCGGCTGCGTTCCCTCGTTTGTTTCTCGCGCCTCCTCGCGCGCCCCCGTGGCGTTAGGTTGGGCACGCTCTCAGTTTTTTCAGCATCCTCGGGGCCCTGCGTCCTCCTTTCGCCAAGTTTGTCGCCCTCTAGTTCGTTTCTGCCTCGTCTCTCCCTAGGGTTAGCATGTCCTGCGCTCCCGCTTCGTTTGATTCCTGGCATCCGGTTCCACTCCCCTCAGGGTTTGGCTTAGGTCGCCCGCTATAGGGTCCCACGGGAAACTAATGGAGGAAAGTGTGGAATCATTTCCCCCATTAGTTTCCAACAAAATCGCGACCCCCTTACGCCTATACTAGCAGACACCTGTAGCAAGAAAGCCGGGACTTTGCAAGCAGTTGGCGACTGTGCGCGCGCAATGTCCTTGGCCGTCAAAGGCGTGCGGCTTTTAAACCATCAGAGTATCAGACTCGCAGAAGGGGGAGGGAACGGATGGCCCCGAGGGAAAAACAACGCCGAAGATGGCGGCTCTTCTCACGAGTCTGAAGCCTGTAGGGCTTAAAAGTCCATGAGCCTTCCAAACCCTGACAACTTCAGACCTACAAAGAGCCAGCGCTTTCTCTGCACGGGTTTCCCGTAGGACCCTCTAGGGGGCGGGCCCGTCCTTGACTCCCCTCAGGGCCGTCGCTCCTGCTGTGAGCGCCTACGCCGTGTCGCGTGTTTCCCCTGTGCTGGAGAAGGTGCCGGCTTCCTTGGCCGCGTTGACGCCACGCGGAAGGCGTGCATCGTGTCACTCTTCCTTGACGCGGAAGGCGTGCAGCGGAGAAAAGAAAGAGAGAGGAACAGACGGCAGCGACATGCGAGCCAGCCCGCGCAGAGCTTGCCATTGCCAGCCGATTAAAAATGGACCCACTTCACACCTGAGAGGGGAGACGCCTGCCGCGTAGGTATACCCTCACAGGCGTGCCAGCTGCTGCCCAGTTCACAAAACTCAGACGGCGCGCAAGTGCCTCCCAAGAGATCAGCGCAGGACCGCGGCGCAAAGTAGCCGACCCTTGGCATTATATAGAGAGGGACGCGAGGAGGCGCGAGAAACAAACGAGGGAAAGCAGCCGACGCGAAACCGATAAGCAGACGCCAGAAAAGCACCGAAAAGGAGAGAAGGCAGCACGCGAAACCGATAACAAAGCGGACGGCCCAAGAGCAAAACGCAGCCGCGCCCTGAGCAAGACCGGGGGAGGCAAATGAGGGAAAAAGGGGGCAGAGAAATCTACAAGGGAGCCGAAGCGGCGCTGTCCCTTATCGGTTTCGCTCCAGAGGTTCGCGGGGGGGGGGGAGACTGACGAGGCCCAAACGCACTAGAGACGAGGCACTTGGTGGAAGGAAGACGCAGGGCCCAGAGGATGCCGAAAATGCTGAGAGCATGCCCAGCCGAACGCCACGGGAGGGACGCGACGAGGCGCGAGAAACAAACGAGGGCAGGCAGCCGACGCGAAACCGATAAGCAGATGCCAGAAAAGCACAGAAAAGGAGAGGCGAAGGCAGCACGCGAAACCGATAGCAAAAGGGACAGCACTCACAAGAGCAAAGGGCGGCCATGCCTTGAGCAAGATCGGGGGAAGCAAATTGAGGAAAAAGGGCGCAAAGAAATCCAAAAGGGAACCGAAGCACCGCTGCCCCCTAACGGTTTCGCTTAAGAGTTTCGCGCGGATCCTCGCGAAACTCTTAAGCGAAACCGTTAAGGGACAGTGGCACTTCTGGGCCGTTTTCGATATTTTGCCACTTTTCTTCACAGTTTGGCACGCCAGTCCCTAGATCGCGAGGCCAGTCCGCCTCTCTCCTCTTCCCGTTTCCTTATCGGTTTCACCTCTGTCTTTCCGGGCTCTGTTCAGATGCTTCCGCCAGTCTCTTATCGGTTTCGCCGCTCGCTCGGCGTGCCCGACTCCTCTGCAATCCCTCCGGCTACCGATACAAACCGAATAAGACGACAGGCGACACCATGAGACATGGGCTCGCCCTCCTTTTTAAGAGTCCGGAGCATCATTACAGGCAAAGGCTAGCCCTGTGCGCCTGTAGCTCTCAGAAGTGCGCCCGGTATAGGTAGCACACGCACACGAAGAGAGCCAAGGGGATAACTTCAATCGCGAACGCCTTTCGGTAAGACCGCAGAAGCTTGGCAAGACGCCCCGTCTGGCGCATCGGCCGCCAGCGGGGCGATAGGGCATGCCTTAGTTCTTCAGTTACACGGGCGACAGTTTGCCTGACGCATCCCCCCGCCTTCCGTTGTACCCCGCGCCCCCCGCCCCCCTTGTACAAGGTTACATGGTTGGGCACAGTCCGGAGGCGCACTCTTCGGCGCAGGCTCGTTATAGGGGTTCACAGTCGCGCAAACATTTAACCTTGTACAAGGGGGGCGGGGGGCGAGATGGTCACGCATTGCCCCCTCGTCCCTGGCGGCCTACGGCCGCCAGAGCAGAGGGACGACGCGCCACGCTGCGCTGGTGGGCGGTGATGGGCGCGTGGTGTGCGCCGCATAATCCAGCGCGAACAGCCCAGCAAGGCAACCCTCTGCCCCCTCGTCCCTGGCGGCCTACGGCCGCCAGAGGGACGACGCGCCACGCTGCGCTGGTGGGCGCTGGTGGGCGCGTGGGGTGCGCCGCATAATCCAGCGCGAATAGCCCAGCAGGGCAACCCCCTGCCCCCTCGTCCCTGGCGGCCTACGGCCGCCAGAGAGACGGCGCGCCACGGCACAGAGATTAGGCACGCGGCAAGAGCACACGAGGAGAGCACGCGCGAAGACGTAGAACACAAGAGCAGCCAGGCCAGAAGAATACAGACCGACCAAACTGGAACAAAAACGAGCCAAGCCAGGGGAACACAAGACGGCGACGACCTCTCTCGCGTATCTCGCGAAATGAAAGAAGTGGAAGCAGATGGATGATGGAGGCGCGCGCGGTTTTATCGAAAAGCCGCCACGTGGAGACCGGTGGGGCCTCTTGTCTGTGGCCAGTCTTTTGGGGGATAGAATATGACGAAGCGAAACCGATAAGGAGACCCGCGAGGCCCTTGCGGTGATTTTTGCCGGAGACGCTGCGGCGGTCTTTTTCTTTTTTGCTTTGTTAAGATTTGGGAATGTTCGAACACTTTCCGAATATTTGGGAATATTCGCCGAATATTTCAAAGCAATTCTTTGGGTGCGGGAATGGTTTTCGCGTGAATGTTTTGAAATAAGGCGAAAGACTGCGCACCCAGTTCGTGCCGTGTGGGGATCGAACTCGGTGCGAGGGCTTGGGCATGCTCGTCGAGTTCTGCGATGAGTTCTCCCCGTGGGGCTATCTGGGCAAGCGCGTGTCGATACGCTTCCTATTAAAAAAGTTAGCTTTGAACTTTAGGGCTTTCTTTTTTAATGGGAAGCGTGTCGGCATGTGCTCGCTCAGATAGCCCCACGAGAAGAACTCGCCGCAGAACTCGACGGGCGTGGCCAAGCCCTCGCATCGAGTTCGATTCTCGCATGGCACGAACTGGGTGCGCCGTTTTTCGCCTTATTTCAAAACACTCACGCGGAAACTATTCCAGCAGCCAAAAAATTGCTTTGAAATATTCCCCGCGAAACTCTTAAGCGAAACCGCTAAGGGACAGTGGTGCTTCTCGGCCGTTTTCGATATTTTGCCACTTTTCTTCACAGTTTGGGACGCCAGTCCGCCGATCGCGAGGCCAGTTCGTCGCCCTCCTTTTCATATTTCCTTATCGGTTTCGCCTCCGTCTTTCCGGGCTCTTTTCAGGTGCTTTCGCCATTCCCTTATCGGTTTCGCCGCTCGCTCGGCGTGCCCGTCTCCTCTGCAATCCCTCCGGCTACCGATACAAACCGACTGAGACGACAGGCGACACCATCAGACACGGGCTCGCCCCCCTTTTTAAGAGTCTGGAACATCCTTAACGGGAAGGGCTCAACCTGTTTGCCTCCAGCTCTCAGAAGTGCGCCCGGTATAGGTAGCACACGCACACGAAGAAAGCCAAGGAGATAACTTCAACCGAGAACATCTCCCGGGAAGACCGCAGAAGCCTGGGAGGGCGCCCTGTCTGGCGCATCGTCCCGCTGGCGGCCGAAGGCCGCCAGGGACGATGGGGCATGGGCTAGCCCTTCCGTTACGCGGCCGGTTGTCTGGAGCATTCCCTCGCCCCCCTTGTGCCCCGCGCCCCCCTTGTACAAGGTTACACGGTTGGGCACAGTCCGGGGGCGCGCTCTTCGTTGCAGGCTCGTTGTATGGGTTCGCAGTCGCGCAAACATTTAACCTTGTACAAGGGGGGCGGGGGACGAGATGGCCACGCGTTGCCCCCTCGTCCCTGGCGGCCGTAGGCCGCCAGAGGGACGACGCGCCACGCTGCGCTGGTGGGCGCTGATGGGCGCGCGGTGTGCGTCGCATAATCCAGCGCGAACAGCCCAGCAAGGCAACCCTCTGCCCCCTCGTCCCTGGCGGCTTACGGCCGCCAGAGGGACGACGCGCCACGCTGCGCTGGTAGGCGCTGGCGGGCGCGTGGTGTGCGTCGCATAATCCAACGCGAACAGCCCAGCAAGGCAACCCTCTGCCCCCTCGTCCCGGGCGGCCTACGGCCGCCAGAGGGACGACGCGCCACGGCACAGAGACTAGACACACGGCAGGAGCGCACGAGGGGAGCACATAGGAAGACGTAGAACACAAGAGCAGCCAGGCCAGAAGAACACAGACCGACCAAACTGGAACAAAGACAAGCCAAGCCAGGGGAACACAAGCCGACCAGCGTGAAGCAACCAGACGGCGGCGACCTCTCTCGCGTATCTCGCGAAATGAAAGAAGTGGAGCGCCCCCTTGTAACGAACGGGATTTGGACCTACTTAAGCGAGGCAAAAACTAAAACTTCACCTAGGTAAACGAGCTAAAACGACGCGTATATTTTTACTACTTGAAAGCACGAAACAGCCCGGCGGCAAGACCAAAATTAAACACTCGTCGAGTTCTTCTTCCGAGCTAGATCGTAAGTATATATAAGCTATACTCATGTAAAAAATCAGATACCTTTGTTTCCGTGAAGCGTTCTCCAGTTCCACCTTGCTTGCTTCTTGTCCAGCCAATCGATGCGCCCGCGCTTCCGCCATGATACGCCCACAATCGATCGGGTTTTCCTCGATAGCTTTGATCAAAAAACGGCGAAGGGGCGTGACAAAGTCTTCGGGAACCTCCACTTGTCCATCTCCATTAGATAAGAAAGTAATTAATTCACACTAGCCGATACTGATGATTACACTTGACAAATTCGTGATGAGTTGAGAGTAATGAGAAACAGAAACTCATAACAAGACGGAATCCAAGAGAATCGAAAACCGGCTGCGAACCCCAGCTGCGACTAGCATCGCGAAGACCTTCCCAAAAGCGTTTATTCATATAAGTGTCACATGTAGACTCTTCACATGCGCGCCTCCCTAGTTGTGACACCTTTTGAGCAGGTCCACCTGCCATATCGACCAGCTGTATCGTCGCTGTGCCTCCGCCTCCTATCTTGCAGAATCTAACATTGAAAACATTTTTCCAGGTCCACGCCAGCCCATCTGGTATGTTATGCACATTACTATCATCATGGATGATGATCATGTGCGTTTCCACTTTCTTCCTTTTATCCACTTCCTTTTTATGCTCGATGAGTGCTGCCAAAGCTTCCAAGTACATTCCATTGTTCACCTTTCCGTTCCGCGCTGTCTTCGAAATATCAGAGAAGTTACATTTTCCGAATGGCTCCATGGCAGCCTCAGCTTTTTTCCTCCTCATGCGCTTATCTTCCGAAGGGCCACAAAAATGATCCTTGGGGAGGACAGCAGTACCCAGAGGAGGAAGATAGTCCGTATCCGAAGCCGCAACGCATAAAACAGTCCCTGACTGATCTGCCGTATCGCAATCTTGTATCCCAAACGAATCAATAGTTAGATTGTATTAAAAGAGATTACATTAAACAAGTTGCACATACTAAGATAGAAGCACGTCGTCTGATAATTCGTAACTTCACGTGAAATGGATTCGCACTGAATCCACCGCGCTGCCCGTATCGTCGCCGAATGCAAACCTCGTCAAGATTCACCAGCACAACTTTGCCTCTAAGGTCGGAATTTGGAGGCAGTCCCATTTTCGCACAAATATCCTCACGGATAAGATAAAAGCTAGTCCAGGCTTCGATAGTCGACTTGAATCGCTTTGCGCGTGTATGGCGCCAAGAGCATACTTTAGGATTTCGTTGCGGTATTTTCTCCCAGCTTCTTTTTGCGCCTGTCTTCGTGTTCACCATTGAGTATTTCGATCTCACCCTGTGAACGTAATTGATCTCAGACCGAGAACCTCTATTATAATTATATACCAGCTTCCGTTGTGGATAGGTGGTATTGTAATGGCTAACAACTTTTCTCATGACGGTTCCAAAGGTCACGGCGGTTACTTTTGGAACTCGTCTATCCACAAGAATTTGTAAAGTCTTCATCTCTGCAGCCTGTCTGGGTCGTTCCCGATTTCGCATCGACGCAACTTTTACAACTTCCCAGTCGCGTACACGCTTAAAGAATGCGTCGTCAGGTTCTGCTTCAAGCCCATCCGCGTTATTGTCTTCTTGCTTCTCATCTCCATCGACGCTTTCCCGTTCGATGTCTTCCACGCCAGGAGGAGGAACGACATTGGCTAGCTCGGGTGCTGGATCGTCAACACACATATCAATAGGCCCAGAGGATCGCAATTGAGCAAGAAACTCTTCTCCTCTAGCCTTTGCTTCTGCAAGTTTCGCCTGCTCAACAACATCAATAACTACTGGAACTGAATCCTCCACACGTGCCTTGGGGTTTTCGAGTCGGTGTTTCTCAATAACCCACAAGTTTGCTGCTTTTATTAGAAAGAGGCACCAAGAATGAGAAGCCAGCATCAGTTTTCCATTTCCGTTTTTCAATAGAAATGCCCAAGCTACCGAAGCAGCTAAAATGTCTATAATGCACACTCGTAAACTTAAATGGGCCAAAGGATCAGGCAATCGAGAAGCAGGCGTCGCAATTCTCGAAGTGGCACCATTCTCGCCTTGTTTGTGTGGAGCCGTGGTATGAGGCTTATCCCCTGGTAACAATACAGGCTCTGCAAGAAACGTTTTCGAGTCGCAATCTGCTACGTGTGCTGCTGCTTTCTTCAATAGCGGATCAGCATCGATTCGATCCTGGGAAAAATGAGAAATAGAGAGCAAGGATGGCTCAACATTCACAAAGCCACCAGCAAACTCATTTGAAGCATGGATTTCCACAGGCGCAGGGCGATGCACTCGGAACCAATCTCCTACAGTTAAGCGATCATCACCTTTACTTGATCGAGCAATACCCAGACCCAGTCTCTCCAATTGTTCGACTTCGTGTTTCAAGAGCACTCGAGAAGATGCGTCTTCAAAGAACTTCTTTTTTGCGCGTTCCGTGAAATGCGCAGCACCCTGTTCTTGTACTGCATGGCACGGCAAGTACGCATACCTACACTCAAACTCAAATATGGGACACCATAAGTGATTCTGTGGCAGTATTAGTCGCCTGATACTCGCGCACTTACAGCAAGAAAGATAATGCATCTGATTCACATAAGCCATATTGTTCAATACAGTTGCGACTCAATAAAAAGAAAAACAACTCAAGGCACATCAAAAAAACTAGGCTAAATAAACTTTGCCCGTTTCGCTGGAAATATTCTAAGTCAAAGCATGTTAGAAATACACTTGAGGACAATGTTGAAATAGCCTTAAAGTCTTGATCTTTCTTCAAAGGCTTCTTTGTTTTTGTGCAGATCTCGTTTCAAGAAGTCGAACAGTGATCTCCTCTAATATTATCCGTTCCGCATAAGTAAAACCTAGATGCATTTTCATTTTTCACATAGCGCGTAAGTTCCTGCAGTATTATCATAGCCAGATCTTCGCTTTCTTGCACGATCAAAGGCTACAATCAGGCTACTTTGTGATGCATATTCTAAGACCACCTAATTCATCACGAGGCACGCACCGCTCTTCGCCTTTTGGGTGCTATAGTCTCTTCCTCTACCTCAAGCTTTTTTTTAGAATTCTTCGCACTGGTCGCGTGAGCTTTGGGAGCCTTCTTCGGTGCACCCTTCTTCGATTTCTGCGTAGCGATGTCCTCCATCATTGGATAAACTTGAGAAACATCGGCAGGCTCGTCTACTCCACGCTCCTGTGCTACGCTTTCCTCTGAAGCAGTCCCAGCTTGAGGAACCGTAGCCAAATCATTATGCACCTCCTTCTTTGTTTCATGTTCCCCGGGAATAAGAATCTCCTTGGAAGTCATAGTAAAGCCATCCTCCGCGGCCTTTTCTAATTGGCTGTTGGCGTAGATTGCGGCGCCATTCGTCGATTCATCCTTCTCGTCTTCAACATCCTTAGCTTCCAGTGCCTTGGTCGTAGAAGGTTCCTTATGAGCCTTAGTTAGTTCATCCTCCGCCAACTTCTTTGATGCAGCGGCTTGAGGGTCAACGAAACCTTGGGAAGCTTTAGTGAATTGATCTTCACCAGCATCCAGAGACGTTGATCCTCCAATGGTCGGAGACACCTCTAAGATCGTACTCAAATCACTTTCCAAAATGTGAGCAGCTTGCTTTTTCCGACCGTCGTCGCCAGCAGTGGAATCCTTATTCAATTCATCCTCTTCGGGCTCGTGTCCAGCTTTCTTCTCGATAGCCTGCGCACACTTAGGCTTCTCCTGGATATCCTTTTCAAACAACCGCCCCATCATATCTTCGGACGCAACATCCATCGGGCTTACTGCTAATAAATCGTCTTCAAGACCGTTCAGACCTTCACTCAGGATAGCATCCACTTCCGCCATTTCTTGCACCGAGAGACCACCTGTAGAAGCACTGGACTTCGATGCTCGAGGTTTACGAGCACACCCAGCATCGACGAGAACTTGGACCCATTCCTCGAGATCGTTCGTAGAATGAATGCTGTCCATAAGAGCAGCCGCTTTCCCGTCCAATTTTTCCAAAAGAGATTTATACCGCTGGACCATCGTCCAGCATGTTTTTTTCTCCAGGGAAACTCTTTTCATTTCGTCGAAGTCACGAGGAGTATGCTCCTTTGCCACTATTTTATCATACAGCTTGGATCCTTTTTTCGAAGCAGCCTTTCCTTTTCTGACCCACCAATTAATCAAAGCCCGCAACTTTCCCGTCTGCGTTCCAAGGGACATCTTGTATGTTGCCTAAGATAGGAAAATAAAACAAGAAATACTATCACTGCCAGCTAAATCTTAATCATTAGTCAAGGTGAAATTTTGAAATGAAAGCCTGAGCAAGGGATCAGAATAATCGTCATCCGTAAAATCCACAAGACAAACTCAACACAAATCAAATAACCAAGGAACAACTTATATCAACAGCGATATGCAAGATCTTGCCCGTCCTAAAATACTTGTTTCAATTGGATCATGCCAATCGGAAAATAACGATTCAAGATCACGATCTGCGAGCATCTTATAACGGATGATCTTTCAGATGCTGCCACCTATCTTTTTCTAAATGATCTTCCACTACGTGACACCTAAAGATCTCGATCGAATAGACTTCAACTGTTCGCTCCCTGTCTCTCACGCTCACGTAATAACTAACTTTTCTGCAACAAGGACACTGACTGCACGTTCTTCAGAAGTGTTTCTTGCTGAACTTACTGCCCAGTGACTGATACCAACAAAATAGCACTCTAATAGAACCTGCTGATATATTCATGAAAATATTCATGCAAACCAAAAAGTGTACATCTTTAAGATTCTCTTGCAGATCGTAAGACAGTGCTTACCAAGAGTTTGTAGTGTCATATTCGTCACTGCAAATATTTAAGTTGGATATCCAAGAGTCAAATTGACTAATACAATCAACAACTTTCAGTGATCAAACCAGAACTACTGCTGACCTTCATAACTATTTAACATGCCGCCCCTATGATACAATAGTAATACTACTGCAGATTGAATGTTGACCCTTATGGACTTCTACAAATCGCAAATCCATCTACATTCCACTCAATATAATGCACGAACAAACAATACTAGCATATACCATCGGATACCAGCAACACGAGAAGGAATAAAAATAATAACAGAAAGAATTATTCACAAATTACAATCACTCACACAATCTGATACTTGACTTTAGCCGCAATGATAGCGCTAGAGCATGTTCTCCAATTAACGAAGTTCATACTCATTCGACAACTCTGTTCCTAATTGCACGCTCTCTAGGGCTAAATCAAAACTGATCTGGGCACTTCTCTTCTGTCCACAAGTAAGCTTCTACAATATCTGGCTGAACGAATGTCTTCATTAAATAAACGCCCCAACGCTGAACCAATATTTCTTCTATTTGTAATGCACGAAGAACTTTATCAAATGCGACGCGCTGTTTCTCAGAGCACTCCTTCCCCCTTGCCAGTTGCAAACTCATGGAGGCCACGAAGCATTTTTGATAGCCATCTCCTTTCAATTGTTTCTCCATAAATACACGCAAACCTTCCGCCACTCGGTTCGCCACAAAAGCAGCTGCGAAGCTAGATTTCTGTCGCTTACTGCAGAACGCCCAATGCAGTTTCTCCTTTCGCTGCCCTGCAAGAAAATCCTTTTTCATCCATTCGTTGATAACTTTGCGCTTACACAGAAACTCCGCAATAATTAGAAGTGAGAGGATCCCTCAAAGATTAGACAGTGTAGCAGTAACATTATAAGCATAAGAAGAATCTTATCAGTCACGCAATCAAGAGGAAGTCGAAGAACATACTCTAATCATACTAAGAATATGGACAACCGAATATAATCCGAGCTTAACCTTTCGTCAGGAATTTCAGCAAGAATCGCTCCAGTTATTTCTGCTGGTCCCAAAGAAACACCCATATAAGTCGCACTTGCAACTTGCTCAGGAGTCAGCTTGTGCAAGAAAATCTTGTTCTTAGTCAAAACCTCCTCTATGCTTCCGACACCAATGTTAGAAAATGTGACTCAACGACCGAAGAAAAGCGTCCGTATCGTCCGCAATAACTAAGCAACTTGAAGAGCAACCATGTACTCACACCAAATGCCACACCCTGAAACATTTAAAGAAAGCCTTAACGACAAAATTTGAAGCATCGAAGCCACCAATTTCAAGGCCAGCTTTTTTACACGCGTCCAACGAATACACGTGCTCCTCATACGAGCTACCACGTGAAACGTCTGTACTTCCTTGCGCCGTCTGTCGTTGTTGCTGCGCCTGGAACTGTTGAGCAAAGCCACTTACTGCGTCAGGCGTTGCAACACCAGACGCAAGGTACAAACCATTTTGCTGTAATTGTTGTCCTCCAGACAAATTCACTGATGCACTAGAATCAGTACTAGGCGAAGTAGAACTCGATGGATATGTTGTTGCGCACATGGCCGCAAGCTCTGATGGTAACTTCGTGGCTGCAATAGATGAAGAGTTTAGTCCAGGAGTGCAAATGCTCGCCGCCGCATTCTGCTTCTGCCACTCAAGGAATTGCTGAAACATGTCTGCTGGTGCAAAGTTTGACGACGCTCCAATTTGAGTAGTTGAGTTCGTACTTCCAGCCACAAAACACCCGCCAGAAGGCATGGCCACAGCTTCCCCCGCACTGTTGTATAGTAATGTCGAAGTAACAAGCTCTCATCAACCAAAATAAATGGTAACGAAATAATAGTTGCTATATGAATAAATCCTCGATTTTACGATAAACATAAAATACCTCCGTCCATGACTGTAAGGATTCGACTGGCTGTATGGATTCTGGGCTGCTTGATGTCTATCTGTTTGATGTTGATTCGCCTTCACCGGTCCGTAGTGTGCCTGCTGAGTTTGAGCTTGCACGCCAGCATTCCCGTTAGATTTCCCTTCAGTCCCAAAACCAAATCCAAATGCAGAACCTCCCACACCAGAGCCGCAGCTTCCTGTTCCCCCCTGACCTAGCTGTGATTGCTGTTGAACACCCGTAAACTGCGAAACAGCCGACTGCTGCACGATTGGTGCTGTACCAGCTTGCTGCTGATGCATAAATTGGCGCACTGGCTGTGATGTAGAACCTTGCTGCTGCATTGATTGATGCATAGTTGAAGAAGGTAAAAGTTGTTGATGCTGCACTACTTGTGGCACGGACTGTGCTGTAGCACCTTGCTGCTGATGTACTGGCTGCTGCATAGAATGAGACATCATGCTTCCAGACAAAGGTTGCTGCTGAGACTGTTGCCCACTAGGCTGCAATGTCAGACTTTGATTATGTTGCTGCATCAAGGGAAATGTCAAAGATCTTTGCGACTGTTGATGCCCGTGTTGTTCCTGCGGTTGATTCTGCTGCATCACTGACTGAACAGTTGAAGTCTCCTTCTGTTGCTGCACAGGTTGCGCAGGCTGTTGAACAGCATGCCCGACTCCCTGGAAAGGAGGAATCGGTGTCTGCTGCTGTGCCACTTGTCCCGACAAAAATTGCTGGAACATCTGTTCCATTGATAATTGAGAAGACATCTTGCTCAACGACAATGAGAATGAAACTCAACCTTTCTACGAGATTATCAACACAACTTACAAAGACCAACTACAAAACCAACAGCAAAGGTCCACGCAAACTTTTACGATATTTGAATTTAATAACACAAGGGCAACGGAACAAACAAACTGAGAAACAAAATATCAAATCCAAAACACTAATCACAAAGAACTACACCCAATCGAAAAGAAGATGTTCCGTGGAGAGGAGGAATAAATGACCTGAAATAATTTTGACACAAACTCCAACTAGAATAAACATCAATTTTCTTCCTACATACTAATCCTTCCCACGATAAAATAAACTATTCCAATCACACTCCCCTCACCTCGTTGTTAAGCACAGAAGCATCCACCGCTACAGAAAATTTTCCCTCCTCGTGCTAAACGATGCTCATAAATCTGAACACTTTACCTTCAATGCCTGCAATCATACACTTGGTTATAAATTTGAAAGCTTAACGATGTCTTTAATGGTTTTTGACAATCCTCGTGTATCAAGTCTTTCAAGACCATCGTGAACTTTCCCTAACTCCAAGACCAAGAACAACTACTACCAAGCACTGACAAAGTATAAGAGTCCATATACGTTTAGATGAAGTCTCACTGTGCACACGCTCACGAGCAGACACTTTTGCACCACTATCATGAACGAGAAACAAATCACACATAATACATCGTTTATAGATTTAGGAAATAATAGGATCAACGCCTACGCTTAAGATTCAAAAGTAGCAACTTGTTGCTTATCGAAGACGAGTACTAACTAAACTTATAATGGATTCATATTCATCCCAACTACTACGAATTACACAAACAAAACGTTATTTCTCTTCTTAGAAGCAGCTTACACCAATGCAAACACATCGAACATTGATCCCCACCCCTCCGCACGCAACTCCCCCTCTTCCTCCAAACAAACCGGCCCTTACCTCTCCATCCGTTGCAACTCCAACTGTTATTACAAATAAGCACTCAATACATCAATTCTCCTTCAAATAAAATTATAGTCACCCAAAAAAAACCCTTACCTTATAGTCGCCCAAAAAAATCTCAACCCCAGGTTAGGAAGCTACTTCTTCATAAAACAGTTTTTTCCTAGTCGAAAAATTAACCTGGGGTTGAGATTTTTTTGGGCGACTATTGGGTTTGAAAGGGTTGCTGGGGAGAGATGAAGTAGTTTTGTGAAAGGAGATGGAGTAGGATGATATTAGGAAGAAAATTTGAGTAGTAAAAAATAATCGAATGCCATTCCCTTGATTTGGTTCAGGATCATGTTCAGGCCATTCGTTGCATTTCCCGAGCACAAAGGAGCAGAGGAGGTTGGTGTTGTTCCATTCCCCGAACATGATGGAGTGGATGAGGCTGATGCCATCGGAGGAATGGACGGATATGGTGGATGAGGTGGTAGTAGTGACTCGGGAGGCGGCGACTGGAAGTGCAACGGGTTGGGTAGTTGTGGCAGCGGTAGAGTCGGCGTGAGTAGATTCGGAAGAAGACCATTTTGCGGATTCATTGGCGTTCCCTGAACAAGACGAGATGACGAAGACTACGCGATATTACTAGAAGATGTTGATGAGTATCAGTATTGAAGTCAAATTACACGTTAAGTATCAGTATTTAAAATGATGAAGAAGTAGTCGAAGGAATACCATCGGAGTAACCTCTTGGACAAAGGTGGGTAGTGTTGGCGTCTGGTGAAGTAGCGGCAACATCGGCGTGTTCTGTCAGAAGTTGGGTGAGGAGGATGTGGACGCTGTTGGGGACAGTAGAAGATTTGAGATATGTTTGCCTTTAGATGATAAACATAGGGACTCTATAAGAATCGTCGATGAATGAAGTGAAGGAAAACGAAAACAGCTTACAAGTCCTGGCAATCGAGGAGGCAAGTGCGAGCTTCGCGGAGTGATTGTTTGCTCTAGGTTGACTTGGTGAATCTTATCGGCTACTTTTGCTTCGAGCAAGCGGACACTGGACTCCAAACGGATGACAAATTTAGAAGGTTTAGGATTGGGCGGTTAATGGAGTAAGAAGGAGCTAATGGGTGTTAGAGGTTTGCTGGAGCTGTAATGATGCCATAATAATCGATAATAACGGAGTAACCACTTCGTTGAAGCGACGATCGATTTCGTACTGGTCTTGTTAGAGCTGGTTTAATCCACCAAGAAGCGCCTGCAAGGGTGCCGATGAAATTGTCACTCTTGCTCTACAAGCTTTCGATGGTGGATTAGAAAAGCCCTAAATTGCTCTTCTCTGTGCTCGTTCCCATTCCGGAGGGTTGTGCCTCTTTCGATTATCCGGCATTATCTTTATCACGGAACTAAAAAAAAAAATTCTATGTGACTAACGTTGTTGCCCTATTTTTCGTATGGTAGTTGTTGAGTATTGGTGTGAGTGTAATGCTTGCCACCAATGCCCGAATATGTGATAGGTAGTTGATTCAGATATAAAACAAAAATTCTCGCAGGATGATGATATACGTTTTGAATTCATGCACGCAAGAAAGTGGATGCCTGGGTTTGTGCATTTAAGGGTTAGAAAATGTTTTTGGCAATGAAATTTTGGGCAGGGGATTCCATTTGCGACAACCATTTTTTTTTGAATTTCCTACCCAGTCGTTGCTGAATTAAGATCGCGAATTTCTCTCATGACAGAGCGCATTCGCAGGTGACAGCGCGTGTTTGGTGGTCTCTCTCCTCGAAAATACAAGAGCAATGATTTTTCTCGTTCACTTCTCATTCCTCGTGACTCCCAGTCTTCACGCTAGGCGAATGAATTAATTTAGGACGATTCTCATGAACAAGGAGCACACTTAAGGGATGAGTTTCATTAGAGTCTATACGTGCGCGAAAGTATTGCCCTTTACAATTCTAGTGGAAGTGTGTACATGATGGATGAATAATATCGGTTTCTATTTCTTGCAGTGTAGCCCAAGAGAATGACTGTACATGAAAGCTTTATTCTCTTGCAATGTATGCGACTACCAAGAGCGAAGTATTGTATATGCTTGTAATGCATGGAGTGCAAATATACATTATCACTGACTGTGTAACTATAGTCTTACTTTCATGGAAAAGAGCTTTACTTTTGACAGATGAAAACTATAATTATTGCAATGATACACCCTATAGCATGTCAATCAGCATCAGTTTTATTATTAGTATCCTTGTTCTTGCAAATTGTAGTACATATATGCATAGTCATATTAATTGCACTACCAAGAATAGAAAGTTCATGTGTTGGGCATGATCAATATTATCAACGTGAATATTAATATGGTTCAAAAAGCCATACCTTCAACATCGTCGAATGCAGAAAAAGGAACAGAAATACTGCCTAAAATTTCATCAGCAGCCTGCTCCAAGACTTGTTCGGGTTCATGATCAGTGCATTCATCTGGAGAAATATCGACAGCAAATTCATCAACGGACTCCTCGGCTTCTCCTTCCTGTACTTCCAAGCATTGAAGATGTTGGTCCAGAAGCACGTCATAATGATCATGCGCGTCGGTCATTAGAGTACGAGAGTAGGCAATGTTGAAGCACTTGGTAATCTTGGGGTATAGAAATGAAATATAAAAAAAGTAAGGGATTGGCGCGGATAGTACCATGTAGCATAGCCATAACTTCAAATGATGCGAAAAGCATATGGCGCAGATGTCCCAAAGATTTTTTGCTTGAGCCTTTGGCCCAAATTGTGAAGGTAGTTTTTTGGTTAGGTCCACATTCCAGAGTCTATATTTGCATCGTTGTCGAAGTTGTTCGTTTTCAAGTACAACTCGCTTCTCAGTTTTGAATTCGGTGTCCTCTCCCATCGCATAAGTTAGACTTGATAAAAGGTGTCAGGAAAACAAGAAGTTGCAAGCAGTGCATTACGTAAAAAGCAGAGTTGCACTATGAGCGAGCATTGGACGTCCTTAAGAGAAACAGTTCTTCTGTCGTGCTACCGAAACATGGCGCAGGGTTATCCCAGAGTGCGTCGTCTCTCGTACAGTTTCGAGGAACAGGAACTTCGATCTGTCTGGTAGTTAGGAAGTTCAGTAACCTCTTGAACCATCCTCCGGATCCTGTCCCCGTGCCTAGCAACGAAGCCCAACGTGAAAGCACGACCTCGTCCACGCAGAACGCTTTAATGTTGCGGTCGAGGATATCGAGGAGCCCGTAGGATCCACAACCAGAAGCCATATCGAAGTTTTTTTTTCCCAAAATAACTGGCCAGAAATGAAGGAATTGCGCGAGGTAAAAGAAGAAGAGGTTGTGACGTGTGATGAGTTGAACTTAGCTTAAGTTGCATCATCATTTTTTTTTTGCCTACAATAGTCACGAAGTGGAAAATAAATTATTTACGAGACAAGGGATAAAGTTAATCTTACGCTTCAGCGGCTCCGTTGCGAAAGCTGACTTTCCAGATCCAGGAACTCCGACTACCAAGAAGTAGTTGCCCCTTACCCGTCCGAGATTCGCCCAGAGCATTAGAAATCTTTGTATTATGTATTGCGTAGACTTTTTCCATTTGGAAAAGTAGTCTTACAAATAAAACAAATTTGTAGTACAAGCAAGGTAGTGAAGCCTTAAGTGCAGGATTTCGAATGCAAAAAGCCGGGACGATTTTTCCGTTTGGATCTCCACTGCTTTCTGCCAGATATCGTAGTACGCACATCTTGCATTAGAAGATGAAGGCTAGCAAAGTGAGCGAAGTTGCAACTAGAGTCATATGCTATACTGAGAAATATTGATACTGGATCAGTAAGTCACCACTTGAAGAAAGGAATTGCCATAAGATGTTCTGGGTTCGCTCTGCTTGGCTTGAGCAGGGAGTCGTAAAGGTTCATGTCGTCCTCGTAAGATTCGAGCAAGTGGGCAAATCTTCTAACAGTAAAAAATAATTATTAGACGCGGACCCCATAAGTACTTTACACGCACAAAGCATGCATCTCATGTTTGAGATTCTTTTTCTGTGAAGTACGCATGTAGTCTTCTTAATTTTTTGTGAAGTCGCCATTGCCTCTAAAGCAATGTCGTCGAAGTCGTGAGTCTTCGTGAGCCATTTTCACCAAGTCTTCTACACGCTTCCATTTATGCACAACGTAGTTCTGGTAAAATTCGGGTCGATGAAGAAGTCGAGTAACAAAAGCGCACGCTCTAGGGCGGCGATATTGAGGAAGTAAGACTTAGCTCGAGAAACTAATTTAAAAAGTATAATGAGAAGTTTTGCTTATTATCCCCATTCATAATCATTATCCATTTCGTTTTTTTCTTTACAGTCTGGCGCTCCTCGCGCTATCTCGTCAAGAATTAGAAAAGCAACCGTGCATCTACAACGACTACTTCGCTAAATGCGTTGTGAAATATTCTTTCCAGCATTTGAGTGCGAAGATGTCATTGTAGAAGAGTCAGTATCAACGCCATAACAAGTCTCGTTGCACCAGCGACGGGTAGGGGTTAGAAGGCGACGCCAAGTCATGTGAAACGTGTTTGAAGTAGTACGGGAAAGAGGAGATCTGATTTCTAAGCTAGTATATATTACATAAGTGTCCATCGTGCGCACTGTCCAAAGGTGCACGCTGCTTTCTTGCCTGTGGGCATCGTGAGGTAGAACACGCTCGACTCAAAAGCAAGGGGTCGCCAATCGCTAGATATTGCTTTGTTTTGCTTCGTTCCAATCGTCGCTTTGCATGAAAATAAAAAGGCTCACTTCCTTGCTTTTCTGTGCAGGCTATTCACATTTTCAGACGAAAATAGTCGTGAATAAGCAGAGAAAAAAAGAGAGTACGTGATAAATATCTTAAGTCTACGTGCTCTTTGATGTGCGGAAACCTGAGTCGGGACTTCACGTGTATGGCTGCGTGTGAGTGTTGACCTTCACCGGATCGATTATTTTCAGCTCGCACTAGAATCTGCATCACAGAGTGGCCATTCGCTGCCACTGAGTTCATAATAACTTGTAAAACTTCGGCGGGAGACAAGTCCACGTTCAGAATCGTAATTAGGTAGCAGGACCATCCCTTGTAATTTTTGGGAATTTCCCAAATGCAGTTCAAACTAGACCCGTCAACACGAATTGCATCAGAAGGATCGTCTGCTCCTGCTTGCACAGTTGGATCGTCTGCCTTGCGCCTGTCCGTGAAAACATTACGTCGATTTTCTGTTTCATCTTGTTGGGCTCGTTGAGTGTTGTCCGATGCTTGTGTATTATCTTTTTCCGTAGAAGAAGAAGACTTTTCGTTGTTCGTTGAACTCGAACTGGATGACGAAGCTCCGGCTGCTGAATTACTATTGCTGTTTTTCTGAAAAACAAATTGACTTGCTTCAGATGTAGTTACGTGGGTAGCTGGAGTAGTAGATGGATCCATTAGGCTAGGAGTTGCATCAGCGTAAAAAGTTAGAGGTTCCACAGAGGCACCCGCTAGCGGATCGATCGTCGTCGCCGTGTCATTTGCTGCAGACGACGTAGATGTGCTAAAACTAGATGCAATTTTTTTTACTATTTTTTTTTTCAGATTCATCGGAAGTTCTTCCCCGAGCATTTGATCCTTATCATCTGCGCACTTGGTCACTTTGTTATTCACGCGCTTCCTTTTTGCTGGTAGGTCAGTGCTAGCGTCAGGAGCAATATCATTGTTTGCCGATTTCTTGAGGGCGCGTCGCTTCATGGGGACAGTCTTCTTCGGTGGGTCAGGAACTGCTGCTTTTGCCGTGCACGTTGTCTCAATGTCCAAGCAACGGCAGTCTTGTCCTGCAGCATGAGGAACAGGGACGTTGATAGACTTGTTGCCCGCCTGCTCCTTGTCATCGTCACTCGTCAAAATTATTATCGAAGAAGATCGAGATACTTGCTTGTTTACCTCGGCAGCAATCTGGCGCGAAGCGTCCAGTGGAAGTTCTTGAACTATTTCAGACCATGTAGAAGCGGGAATGAGATCTTGCGAGTCGCCTTTTGATTCCAAGTCATTAGCTCTCCCAGGACTAGCAACTATATTTACTACTACTGAGGAAGAAGAAGAAGATGTCTTCGGTGCTGCGAGGCCAGTGCTGCAATCAACAATGCTCTTCTTCGAGAGATTAAGATGAATCACTCCAATCGGCGAAGTACATGGTTCAATATTTTGCGACTCCAAGTCTGCGACCAAGCTTTCCATATCGAAATCAGCATTGCCAAGGATGTTTGATTCACGCGATTCCTTTTTTATCAATTCCGTGATGTTCGAGTCTGCTTGCACTTGAGAAGTTTCGTTGTTCAGTAGTATTGTCGCAGCAGGTTCTTGAGGGAGACTGGTATTGATCGACGTAGCTTCCATTTCCACGTCCGCGAATGAGGTGGCAGTGGTGCCTTCGATTTTCTCAGTGATCTTGTTCACAGTTTCACTATCTTCTCGAGGTGTTTGTTGGCCAGTATTACTCTTCTTATTCGTTGTTTTTGAAGTTCGTTCTTTATGTTTTAAAACTACAGCAGAAGAGTTTTTGTTTTTTTTTCCTTTGCGTACTGGTAATTGAAGACGGGGCACAACAATCTTGCAAGCGCTTTTCGAGTTCTTCTTGCATTCCTCTGCATCATTTTTACATTCTGCGTCTCCAGCAAAAAAATCTTCAAGGCTTTCAACTTCGTTGAGAGCAAGGTCAACTTTTTTTGGAAGCACTTTTTTCATTGGCTTCTGCGCCGCGACCTTACTGGCCGCACGTTGTTGTCGTGGCATCTTGTTGTTGAAATGAGAATGAAATGTTACGAAAAAATAGGGATTCAGAAGAAGTTCAAGAAGCCATTATATGTTCGAGGGAATGGCAAAGAAAAGACTACAGCTCAAAGCGCTTAAATAATGAGAATACTACGCGAAGTGACCGCAAGCACTAAAAAAAGTGGAAAGCTGAAAAACAATGAAGGTTGTTCACGTTCAAATGTAGGCCTGAGGAATGTGAAGGAGAGTCTTAAGGTGAGGGTAGAAAAAAATAATATCGTTGTCAACGAAGGATCAGCACTATACAAAATTGATTTTTTCTCTCGTCAGTGGGTTAGTTTCTCCTGGTGTTTGCCTCTCCCCTCTGAAGCAGGTAACGCGAACAGAAGACTGAACTCGAGGAAACAGAAAATTAAATCACTCGTCATTTCTCGATGTTATGCGACAGACTGTCTCAAAACAGATTTGTATTTTTAAGACAGTGAAAAGCTCTATTTCAAACAAGAACACATATTTTAATTCATGGCTTAAATCATCAAAGACAAACGAAAGCGTAGTTTACATTTTTCATAGTCATAATATGTTTACTCTGTTACAAGGTGATACTGCAAACATGCACAAACATCCAGAATTAGTCTCGTTCTGCAAGACGATGTTTCGCAATCAGTATCCCAACACCCATGCTCAAAGCGTGTTAATTGCCATCCGTATCGTTGTGGTGAGCTTTATAGGTCCACCTTGTGACTTTTTTTGTTTTTTGTGGTATTGGTTGCATAGTCTGTAGGTGTAAAAATCACACAATAAAACGCGACTACTTTTATCCTTTAAATCTGGGGCCCTGGTGAACACCAGACGCAGCACAGTGAGGGGAAAACTATCACCGAAGCCAGCAACAATTTCGGCAGTGTACCTATCACCGAGCGGAATAGTTACCACGATCAGCGAGCTGGGCGCTGTGACTATCGGCGAAGTCAGCAAGAACGTCGGGGGTGTGACTATCACCGAACGCAACAGCTAGCACAGCCAGCAGGTTGGAGGTCGTGACCATCGGCACAGCGAGCAAGCACGTTGACGCGAAGGCCATAGCAGAAGCCAGGGACTATCATGCGCAGCAGACCGAGGCGGTTGACTCTTCGCGAAGCCAGGAAGAACGTCGGCGGTGTGACTATCACCCAACGCAGCAGCTGCCACAGGCAGCAGGGTGAAGGCTGTGAGTATCGGCAAAGACAGCACGAACGTCCACGAACGTTGGGGGTGTGACGATCGCCGAGCTGCTGCCCAGAGGCAGCAGGTCGGAGGGCGTGACTATCGGCACAGCCAGCAAGCACGTTGGCGCAAGGCCACCGCAGAAACCAGTGACTACGACGCGCAGCAGACGGAGACGGGTGACTATTGGCGAGGCCAGCAAGAACGTCGGCGGTGTGACTATCACCATCCGGAGCAGCTGCAACAGGCAGCAGGGTGGAGGCCGTGACTATTGGCGAAGACAGCAAGAACGTCACGGGTGTGACTATCACCGAACGCAATAGCTAGCACAGCCAGCAGGTTGGAGGTCGTGACTATCGGCACAACCAGCAAGCACGTTGGCGCAAGGCCAGCGCAGAAGCCAGCGACTACCACGCACAGCAGACCGGGACGCGTGACTATTGGCGAAGCCAGGAAGAACGTCGGCGGTGTGACTATCACCCAACGCAGCAGCTGCAACAGGCAGCAGGGTGGAGGCCGTGACTATCGGCAGAGCCAGCAAGAACGTTGGGCGCGTGACTATCTGCGTGCCAATGACTATCGCAGTCTGCAGCGTGACTATCCGGATGGGACAGATTCACAACAAAACGAAAACAAATGGGAACGCGATAGTCCAACGTCGTGACTATTTTTAACGGACATTGCTCCTGGAATAGTCATCGCTTACGAGAAAAAAAAGTGATACACGTTGTCAAAAACGAAGTAGTAGTAGTTTTTTTCTTGTACTAGTGCTTCGCCTCGTTGTTTGTTCCTAACTTTCTCCTCCCTCCAACTTCGCTGTCACCTCCTTCTTGTCCTGCGCATTCCACTTTGTCGAAGTCTCTCAAGGCCGAGTATGTTTTTCCTATCACAGTGCCAACAGAGTAGGAAACTCTGATGCCGATATCAGTGACTCTCACTAGCAGATGAACCTCAGACAGAAAAAACTGAAACACAACAAACAGAATAACGAGGAGTAAGCCGCAGAAGGATGATGTAGTATACTGCTCACAAAGACTGTCAATGTGGGGGCCAACCCCTGGATACTGTTCTTATCCCAGTGCAAGTACAGAACTCTAGTGCCTTAAAAACTATTCTGATCTTGTGAAAGTCTACAAATCTAGGGGAACGCGAAAAGCATGGGCTTTCTCTGTTCAAGAGTGTAGACGAGTATGAAGATCATGCGGCAGAAAAGTAGACGGATTTCAGGTATTTTCAACTATGTGTCAGCGGCTTTTCCTTATGGAGAAAACTACACACGAAGATGCTAGCCTTGCTGGCTCTGTACAAGTAGACTTTTATAGTACTGCACTAATGGAGTCCCTATCTCTCGTTGCTCTCCAATTCAAAAACAACAATTACAAAACCGCACAAGGAAATGTGCCTTTTTCACCAGATAAAACATACAACAAAAAATCACTCTTCGCGACAAAAACAAAGAACGATGAGAAAGAGGAAGGCTTTACATGGAGACTCAGAAGGCTTTACATGGAGATCGCTCTTGCTATCGTCTCACAGTAAAGATGGCCCTCGATGGAAAGGCCATGACCCCACAAGATAAAAGCAGGCGCCTATGCTGTTTAATACACAGAAAATCACTCCACACCAAAACCCACCAACCTCCAATAGGGGACGCTGGTGGGAGTTTTAATGTGCAACAAAAAAACGCCCTATCCTCTCAACTCAAAATACACCAAATTATTGACTTGATGATCACAACAACTGCAATGCACTTTTTCACACGGTCGCAAGTTTTCAAAACTTGCTATCTTACAAAAAAACCGACTGACAATTCACAGAAACGAGGCTACTACTAAAAACCGAGAAGATACCAGAGTCCCCAATGATGACACGATGCGCATTGCCGGGCAGAAGCAGGCGCTACAAAGTGTTTGCCCAACTCTCCCCCGTAAAGCATCTTTAGCGACCCTCGCCTTGTTGTAGCCCTCCCCCGGGAACAGAAGAAAAAGACTATCATGCCTCTACGTTATACAGGCGGGGCTTCTGCTCAACTTTCCCCCAGCGAAGGTGAAGGAGCAGAAACTGAAAAGTTGCAACATCGATCAATTATTTATTTGAGGCTTCATCAGCCACTTCAGCTAGAGAATAAGATAATACTAGATGGCCGGTCTGCAAGGCACTTCAGGCGCTTGCTCTAGGCCGGAAAATTTGAGAGAAAAATAACACGAAACAAAAATCAATAATCTGTTTCTTGTAACGTCAAAGAACAGCTTAGGGAAGAAATCTAGCGCGCTCTTCTGCGCTCCGAAAAAGTTTCCCTCCGACATTCTAGATTTTCAGCTATTGCCTACAATACCCCCGGAAGCCCCAAAAATCAAGCGCCCTGCTTGGTTTTTGACACACGTACACGCACACGCAGGCATGCGCCTGCATGCGTGTGAAGTGAATTTTTTTTATTTTTAATTTTCAATTTTGTGACTATTCTACCACGAGAGTCCGTTAACAAATGGCCACGACGTGTGACTAAAAAATGGTTTTAAGTAGCAATTTGCAATTGGTGCCATCGATTAAAAATCAAAAATTATAGAAATGTAATAACTAAGATAAAAATTAAATTTATAATTTGTAAGGAATTAATGCACTAGTTTATTAACGAAAAAAAAACTATACGAAAGGTTCTATTTGTAGGAGAAGTATACTTATTTAAGCTCCTCGCTTAAGTAGGTACACTTAAGCGAGGACGTTAGGAAGCAGATGGGCGCGCGCGTGGTTTTACCGAAAAGCCGCCAGGTGGAGACCGATGAGACGCCCCACCTGTGGCCAATCTTTTGGAAGAATATGACGAAGCGAAACCGATAAGGAGACCCGGGAAACCCTTGCGGGGATTTTTGTCGGAGACGTTACGGCGGTCTTTTTCTTTTTTCCCCTTGAAACGCTACGGGGCGCATGGCATTCCTTGGAAGCCCTTGCCGGTAAGTTCGCTTGGTTTTTCTCCGTTAATGTGGTCAACCTTTGCCCACTTTCCCCCGCCTTTCTCACGGTTTTGGACGCCAGAAAGCCCCCGCCGCGGCGGCCCCGTCTCGCCTGCAGGCCTCGCGCCTGGTCCATGCTGTCCCCCTCCGTGCCGGCGTGTGGTTCTCTCCACCTCCTCAGCTTGGAAGCACTCCAGACGCCGCGTGCCTTGTCCTCCTTGGGCGACTCCCCGCGCCCCAGGGAGAGTCCCCCCGAAGATACCCGATAAAGAAGCCAGGCAGACTGGGGGGATTCTCCCAGGGGCGCGGGGAGGCCTCCAGGAAGGACGCCAGGCCAAACCGAGCAAGCCAAGCTCCCGCACAACCGAAAGGCAGGCTGGTTGGCCACATCTGCGCCAGGTCGTGCGCCCCGAGGTGGAGGGGCCTATAAGTGGCCACGCGACGCATGCTAAGCGCGAGAAAATGTAGCAAACGGGCCACGTTCGGCGCCTGCTTTCTTGTGGGCTCGGTCCCACTTGAGACGGCACCCGAGCGCCGAGCGCGCAACCACTACCGGGGAAGGCGCCCAAAGTCAGCGAGCGAGCAGCGGGAAACAGTCCAGACCAGCCAAGGCGCGCACGGTTTCCCCGGCCCCGCTCGCTGTTCGCCTTCGAAACCCGCACCATTTGGCGCCAGCGCTCTCAGACACAGGGAAAACAAACGCGGGCCCGCTCGCTGCCTCCGCCTTCAAAGACAGGCAAAACGCACACGGGCCACCTGCCCCCGCCTTCTGCCGGCTTCTTACTTCGTCACGGAGCAGCCCGAAACACCCAAAGACAGGCAAAACGTACACGATTCGCCTGCGTCCGCTTTTTGCCTGCTTTTCTACTTCATCACGCAACAACTTAGAATATTCAAAGACAGGCAAAACGTGCGCGATTTGCCTGCGTCCGCTTTTTGCCTGCTTTTCTATTTCACCACGGAACAACTTGGAATATTCAAAGACAGGCAAAACGCACACGATTCACCTGCCTCCACATTTTGGCGGCTTTTCTACTTCGTCACGCAACGACTTAGAATATTCAGAGACAGGCAAAACGTACACGATTCACCTGCCTCCGCTTTTTGGCTGCTCTTCTATTTCGTCACGGAACAGCTTAGAATATTCAAAGACAGGCAAAGCGTACACGATTCACCTGCCTCCGCTTTTTGGCTGCTTTTCTTTTTCGTCACGCAACAACTTAGAACATTCAAAGACAGGCAAAACGTACACGATTCGCCTCCTTTGGGGGTTTCTGGCTTTGTCTAGAAATTCCCGGGACCAACTCAAAATATTCACGCCAGGCGGATCGTGTACGATTTTGCTGGTCGCGCTTTTTTTGATGATTTGGCGAATATTTTCCGGTCCGTTTGGTGAGGTGCGTACTAGGCTAAAACTTTCCGAAACGAAACGGACACGCCTATTACAAATTTTCGACAGTGCTCAAAAAGACGCGAAACACCACCAGACACCTGCCAGAGGGTCTGGCGCCTGTCCGTTCTAAGCATCTTTTTTTAATAAATTAATTTACCCTTTTTTTTTTAAAGAAAACATGGTTAGAAAGGACAAGGAAAATCCCAAGAGATGGAAACTGCTCCCGCTTCCTCGAAAATTCCACAACTCAAAAAAATGCAATAGGCTGCGAATCATTTCCAAACAAATCCCGGGAGACAAAGACGCATGGAAGGCTTCGAACACTACGAAGAACACACGGACCAAAAAAATCCCAAAAAATTCAACAAGGAGCAGAAAAAAGCTCCGAACTAACTCGGAAGGGAATCCAAGAAAACCCAACGACAAGAAGAGTTGGCAGAACAAGAAAACCAAGGAGGCGAAGAAAATTCAACAGTAGTGGCCAAAAAATCTGCGAGCGAAGAAAACCGGCAAAAAAGCGAAGAGCACCAGCGACAACATAAAAGACTACACACGCGCACGAACACAAAACAGCCCGGCACACAAGGCAAGAACCTGCGCACAAAAGTGAACAAGAAAGGTTGGCCCTTAAGCGTTTCGCCTTAGCGTTTCAGGGGGGTCCCCTTGAAACGCTACGGGGCGCATGGCATTCCTTGGAAGCCCTTGCCGGTAAGTTCGCTTGGTTTTTCTCCGTTAATGTGGTCAACCTTTGCCCACTTTCCCCCGCCTTTCTCACGGTTTTGGACGCCAGAAAGCCCCCGCCGCGGCGGCCCCGTCTCGCCTGCAGGCCTCGCGCCTGGTCCATGCTGTCCCCCTCCGTGCCGGCGTGTGGTTCTCTCCACCTCCTCAGCTTGGAAGCACTCCAGACGCCGCGTGCCTTGTCCTCCTTGGGCGACTCCCCGCGCCCCAGGGAGAGTCCCCCCGAAGATACCCGATAAAGAAGCCAGGCAGACTGGGGGGATTCTCCCAGGGGCGCGGGGAGGCCTCCAGGAAGGACGCCAGGCCAAACCGAGCAAGCCAAGCTCCCGCACAACCGAAAGGCAGGCTGGTTGGCCACATCTGCGCCAGGTCGTGCGCCCCGAGGTGGAGGGGCCTATAAGTGGCCACGCGACGCATGCTAAGCGCGAGAAAATGTAGCAAACGGGCCACGTTCGGCGCCTGCTTTCTTGTGGGCTCGGTCCCACTTGAGACGGCACCCGAGCGCCGAGCGCGCAACCACTACCGGGGAAGGCGCCCAAAGTCAGCGAGCGAGCAGCGGGAAACAGTCCAGACCAGCCAAGGCGCGCACGGTTTCCCCGGCCCCGCTCGCTGTTCGCCTTCGAAACCCGCACCATTTGGCGCCAGCGCTCTCAGACACAGGGAAAACAAACGCGGGCCCGCTCGCTGCCTCCGCCTTCAAAGACAGGCAAAACGCACACGGGCCACCTGCCCCCGCCTTCTGCCGGCTTCTTACTTCGTCACGGAGCAGCCCGAAACACCCAAAGACAGGCAAAACGTACACGATTCGCCTGCGTCCGCTTTTTGCCTGCTTTTCTACTTCATCACGCAACAAC